AAAAAAAAAAAAAAAAAAAAAAAAAAAAAAAAAAAAAAAAAAGTCGGGTAGGAAGAAGGGACTTGAGATTCACTTACTCCGGGACGGGTTTCCCATCATCATCACCCTTAAGCGGGCGAAAGGGCCGCTGATCCGCGGAATCGTCATAATTCTGCAGATGGAACATCTCATGCAGAAAAGTGAGCGCGAGGACTTCGAGCGTATCCAGGTGCGTGCCGACGGGCTGGGCCTCGTCGGGGATCTCCTCGCGCCCCTGAGCCGGGGAGAAGGCCTGGGGAGTGCACAGGATCACATGCCAATCGAGCAAAATGGCGCCGGCGCCGGGGGCGTTGTCGGGGAGGTCCTCGTCCGTCATGAGCACGGCGGCGGCTTGGTTGTTGCCGGCGCAGAGGGAGGGTTGTTCGGTGGCTGGGTCCCAGGGGAAGGGGAAGTGGTAGAGTTGGCCGTGGATGATCTGGGGGATCGCGGGCCAGTCGTCTTTGCGGAGGAGGAGGTAGCCGGACTAAGGTAGAGACCGTCAGCCCTGAAATCGTTCTCATGAGGAAGTTCTGGGTTTTTGGGGTTTTGGGAAGAGGAAACGTACTTCTCCAGGTCCATCACCCGTACTGGTGTAGAAATACCAATGGTCATCTGTTGCACGGTGAGGGTCAGTCAGTAACCTCGGCGTCTCCGAGTGATCGATCACATGCATCGTCGGGGGACCCTCTTACCCCAATCACGACCGTGCGCTTCCTCCCATTCTCGAATCGTCCACGGGTCAGGATCCGCGGGGGTGCCTCTTGCCATGGCATTGCCGTCGTAATCAAAGGCATACTCATCGCCCCATTGGAATTCCATATGCGAAGAGCCGCAGAACAGCTTGAACTTCTCGTCTTGTCGAGGGGTCCACATGATGTTCAGGGCGCTCTGGTACCGCTCTATCGATCGATCTTGTTTAGCGATTTCTCAAACAGATCTTGTTAGGCTTTAGAAAAGAAAGAGCAGACTTACTGCGGACTTCGTTCAATTTCTCGAGGTTGATGCCTTGTTTTGGTTGATGGTCGTCGCCGTTTCCGGCATCTGCGTCGGGCGAGATGCCCCAGAAGGACTTCATGAGTTTGCGTTGATCGAAGTTGTCGTTGTAGCCGTCCGGAGTGATGGATTGAGTTGTGCGGAAGACCATCAGGTTCATCTGGCTGTGGGTTGAGAGGAAGAGAAGGTTAGCACGTCTTGTGGGGGGTAATAAGATGTTGCTCCCACGCCTCTTTGACAAGGCTTACTTACTTCCAGATTTTGTTGAGGATCTTATCTTGATTCCGCCAGTCGACGTCGGCATCGAAGAGCACGGGCGAGTTGGCGTCGTTGGGGTCTCGGGGCCGGTTGCAAGAGCCGCCGTTGGCAGGATATGGCCTCATATCGACATCGAAGATCTCGGTGAGCTTTTGCGGTTGTGCTGCCGATGCTGCACTGGTCAGTATCAGAACACCGAGAGCGTGAGAGGCGCGCATCTTGACTGCGTGGTGTTGCAGGGAGGATGTTGTTTACAGAGGTTTGTTATCGACGGATGATTGGAATAGTCTTATCAACCTGTCTCTATGAAAGCATGTGCTTGAAGCCTGTGCCCGTGTCGACTCATACAGCTGGAGGTGCACATGGTGATTAATCAAATGCCATGGTGCATATGCGAATATTCCTCGTGGCTACGGAGTGGTAAGCCTGTGACAGCGCAGGTAGGTATCGAGGCGACGCAAGAACAGGGACTTGCCACGGTCCACCATGGTGACAGTATTGCTGTTGAGCCGATGTGATGGATGCGAATCTAGTCGTTCTCAGGCACAGAGCCTCTACAGCATCTTGTCCGTCTCCTTTGGCACTCTGTGTGAAGGTTAGCCAACCTGCCATACGCCATGATCCAGCCACTCCAGGGAGGCGCAAAGGCGAGAAAGTCTCAAAGCCTCGAAATCATCACCAATGACAGTAGGGGGACAGCGGCTGTGAGGAGAAGGTCTTCGAATTCCTACTTTCACTGTCTAGAATTTGTGGCAGCGTGTTCGCTCTGCGATCTGGTAGTCGTTGTGATCGTGGTCGAATAACAATTTACCTGGCCCGCTTTGAAACACAATGACCCAACGCTGATCACCATTTTCGAAGTCGCTCCTCCCATCTCTTAGGAAAGAACTGAGCATAAGACGAAGGTGCTCTTGTAGAAGCGGGCCGCTTTGGAGTATCCTCATCGAGTCTCGTCACAATTGGAGTCGAAGGGGGAGGAGTCTTCGTTGTCCTCAAGGAAGAATTTCGGAGCGGGATGTCTGGAGGAACAGACGATTCAGACCGGACAGACCGGACAGACCGAACAGACCGGACAGACCGGACAGACCAGGGAACTGAGTACTTGGACGTGAAGGATGCTGTGCGAGAGGTACTATGGACTTCATCGTTGCCATTCCCTCGGTAGCTTCCAGATCTCATTAGTATTTCTCCGACACCACTACGATGACGGTAGTTCGGGCGAGGCGTGGGCTTGTCCAAAGACTCGGCCATCTGCAGCAGATCCTCATCGGTCAGTCGATCTTTACGCGCCGTGCTGTGGCTCACTTCTTCGTCCTTGTACGGTGCAGAGCTGCTGTCTTCCGCGGAGTAGGGATCCCGAGCCTGGACCTCCGGGCCGTCCTGGAAAAATCTGGCCATATCCCAGACCGACTCCGATTTAGCCTCAGCATTGCGAGGTTCCCTGGCGTTCTGCGCCGGCAGCTTGCGAATGAACTGGGAGAGTGCACCCACCGTGTCATCTTGGACCCTGGCATCGCGAGGTACGAGGTTGCTCCGGCGTTTCGGAAGTCTCGAAGACTGACTTTTTTGCGAACTCGGCCTCTCTTGCGAATTCGGCCTTTCAACAACTCTCTTCGCCGCTTTGCAGTCATTCATCTCTGGAAGCTGGTAAGTGTTGGCAGGGAGCGGACCCCTCGAGAATGGCGGATGTGGCGCCCTCGATAGGCCATCATCGATGCTCTCCACCGTGAGTGGGAGGCCGGATTCTCGGATAGATACACCGTGATCCTCCGCTTCGGGGTCTACGTGAGACCACGGGTTGTCTTGCAGATCCTCGAGGTAATTGTCGACGGGAGAGGCAGAACCTGATGAGAGACTCATGTCTGTCAATGTGGGAACTCCGTCGCTCCCGACAGAGGCTCTTCTTCTCTTACTCAGAAAGAAATCTCTCTCATTAGATCTTCTGCGAAGCCTGCCTGTCAAAGTACTCGGCGCTTCGAAGATGAGATTCGCGGGCAGGGCTCCCAGGGTACCCAGGACGCCAAAAACGTTGTTTTTGGTCTCGAGGATGCGAAGGGTCTCCTTGATGTGCAAAGGACGGAGAATGTAGTCGATGCCGAACTTCTCCAAGTTCTGTGGTTCTCCTTGGAGTTGGCTCAGAGCGAGCTTGAAACACTCCTCGGCCTTCCCGAAACTGCCCTGCTCGAACTCGACATGGCCCAGAAGGAACATGGTAAAGGCGCTCGTCTGTTGCTGCGGTTCGGCTTCTAGCAACAGCTGGGCAGCTGCTTCGAAATCGTCCAAGCGTGCGTAGATGAGCGCGGCATTGAGAAGAGTGAGATTGCTCTCGAGTGGAATCTTGATGGAGCGCGATAGGGAGAGGAAGCTTTCGGCGGCTGCGTGCCAGTCGTAGCCGTGGAATAGCAGGGACGCATGCTCCCAACGATGAGTCTGTCGCCTCGAAATCGTGGGCACAGGAGGCGGGAGGAGCTCGTGAGCGGGGATATAGGTACAGCTCATCTTCGAAAGTCGACCTGGGTGTCGCGGTGGTATCGGAGGAGCAGCGGAGGACTGTTGCGGGAGGGTGGCCATTTTGACGAGCAAGGCCACCGAAATGCGTCTGGCGAGATGCGTGAATGGAACCGGCCAATCGTGTTTGCTAAGCACAAGCAAGCGTGAAGGTGTGTGAAGGTAGTATGCTAGCAGCGGTTGCTTGTGCTGGAAGAATGAAGGCTGGCTGCTGGCCGGCAGAGCTCCCGAAGAGGTAGGTGTATAAGAGTGTTGCAGCGTGGAAGGAGGCGAATGCGTGGATGGAGGGGATAAAGTTGAGATGGTGATCAGTGGTGCATCAGGTGAGGTGAAAGCTAGCCTCGAGACAGTGTGGGCGGCCTAGAATCAGCCTCCATTCAGCCAGGCGAGATGATAGGTCAGATGCAGATGTTGGCGGACATCAGGTCACGGCCAGCTCTGGTCTGGGAGAGGAGGCAGCGGCGAGGAATTCATACTCGGGCAGCAGGTCCGGGTGGCTGGAGAAGACTTGTACATGCTCGCAAGCCGCCTTCATCTGCGCCTCGATGTCCGATATGTCCGTTGCGTGGGAGATGAGCAGGATAGACAGCTGCGTGTGCGTGTGCGGTGCGGGGCCAGCAGCACGTGCACTAGCGCGGGCACGAGCACGAGCGAGGACGAAGCTCCGCACATACTGCAGGATCAGCGGTGGGGAGCGTGGGTAGACGAAGAGGAGACACACGTCTCCCGCGTGCTCGGCAACGATGGGGTGGACGGCGCGCACATCCGGCACCCGCAGCATGCGCTCGTCGGGCAGGAAGAGATTGGTACAGCTGGGCACCTCGACGCCGACGACCTGACACTGGCCATGGCTATGGCGGTACAGCAGTTGCTCCAGAAGACCCGTGCCAGAGCCGACCTACGCCCGGGGCCACAAAGGTTGTCAGTCCAGAACCAGCACGGCACAGCAAGCACAGCAAGGGACAAGAACAAGGTTCATCTGCGGCGGGGTAGAACAATGGCGGGGAATGAATAATAATGGGGTGCCTCACGGAAAGAACCAAGGTGGATGGGCCGGGCGGGATGCTGCCCATCAGATGCGACAGCAGTGGCAGACTGATCGCACAGCAGCATTGGGGGAAGGAGCGAGGCTGCTCGCTCAGGGCGCCGTACACATCCTCCACCGGCGACGCCATTCAGCTGCCTCGGAGGCCACTCTGTCATCGCCTCCGTCCGCTGTCGCTGTCGCTGTCGCTGTCGCTGTCGCTGTCGCTGTCGCTGTCGCTCGGTGAGGGTGAATGCAGTCGTGAAACGAGCCTCCCGCTCACGTTTCACATCGAGCTGCTCGTGCCAGTGCCGTTGGAGCTGGACGCCTTCGCTTAGATGCGGCTCGATAGTGTCGTCGCAGCTGAGCTTGCTTGCATTCATTCCTATCGACGAGTGAGGAGGGAAGACGTGCACTATCCACGGGCGGGGCGGGGCGGTGCACATCATGTGACTCGACTCAGCTCGACCTTTCCTGCACGCCATTTTCAATTTTCTTATTCCCTCAGCCCACGAACCTCTCCACCACTACTCTCTCCCACTCTGCACTCTGGCAAGCGCCCTGGAGAATGATGAGGTCGCGCGTTGCACAGCACAGCACACCACCTGCACCCTGTCAAGTGCGCCTGACTCGGAGAAGCGCCTGTCTCGCAGCTCGTCTTCCCGCTCATCCCCGTTCGACAACATGATTGCGCACGCTGCACGCCTCTGATGCTGCTCATGCTGCCTTCCATGTGATCTCTGCCATGGCCCGCGACGGCTTTGCGACAGTCAACCTGAACGCAGTACGACGGTTAACAGCGGCGGTCCATCATCCAAGATGCATCATCCATCATCCATGCGAGAGGCACTATACCTTCCTCATGCTTGCACCCAGCCAGATAAGGCACCGTACGAAGCCGACGCCAACCCCGACATGGCCGACATGCATGGCCGACTTGCAGCGCAACGCCACACTCACCAGCTGCGCCACCTCTGTGCGGTCTAGTCTGCAGTCTGCAGCTTGCACTTTCCCCTCTGAGAAGCCACACACTTGCCATCATCATTGCTCGCAATTTCCATCTCCATCTCTCAACGACACATCTCAACGAGCGATCGAGGCCCTTCGAAGCGGACAGCTGATGATGGCCAACTGTAGCAGCAGCCGCCCGTGCTACTACGGTCCACTCGACCGGAAGCCATCCGATCGCGAACTTGTGCTGCATCTTTCTCGGAACCCTGTCGTGCATGCTGATTCGCCGGCCAGAGATGGACGCTTACGTCCGACGCGCCCGCTCTGGGAAAAGCGTCCGAGCAGAGCCATCACCCACAACCAATTGTTGCCTGCTACACCGCCCTCACGTCCGCCTCGTCCGCCTCGTCGTGCGGAGGGTACAGAGACGTCGATTCGGAAGACATGGAACACCTCTCCGTGCCTAGCTGCATCTCCCGGGGCTGCCCTTCGTGGCAGCGTTCGAGAAGCCTAGTCGAGCGTATCGAGCGAGCACCTTAAACTTGGCTACTGGCCTGTGGCCGGCGACGCGCGACCACCACTCCCATCCTGAGACGCTGCTTGCTATAGCTTGCTGCCTTCGACGATGAGTCCTCATGCGTTTCACCAGATGTGTCAGTCCACGTGTACCCCGATTGCGATCAAAGACGTGCTATCATGCACATGCTTTCCCCCTGCCCCCACGATCAGACGAAAAGCAAGCCGGGAGAGCTGCCACTTCAGTGTAGAAGCCGGAGCGTCACCAGCAACTACCCACGCCACGCTACCGTAGGAGATGCGCGTGCGCTGTGTGCATCTCGCTCCATGAGATGATGGCAATGCTGCAGCGCGGCTCTGCGCAATTTCTTGCTCTGCGCAGGAACGGAGCAGCCGAGAGCAACGCAGCAGCGCGACCGCAGAGAAGATCATGATGAAGCTGCACGTTCAGGCTACTGCGAAGCTAATGTATGCATGCTGCTGGATGGTGTGCTGCAACTCCTAAGCCCGTCCTGCAGGTCAAAGGTGGCGCAGTGATCCGCTCGCTATACAAGAAAGGCTGTCCCCCGCTTCATTATTCTCTCGGGAACACCTCACCCTCCACGCCCTCTCATTCGCCGCCCATACCCTCCCCCTTCACTTCTACTCCTCTAGCCGTACCTTACCCGCCCTGAGACATCTTACGTCGTTTCCTTTGATTTTTTTGCTCCTTCTCGTCACGTCCAGACGTCGTCCATCCATCGCATCGCTTACATCATCCGGTCTATCCTATCCACCGGCAACACCATCCGCATCTCTTCTTCCTTCTGCGCTTCTTGCCATGCCCGTGCAACTCCTCCCGGCTTCAGCGCAGGCCTTTGCGCCTCGATCTGGTCCGGAAATCGTTCTCAACACCAAGGTTGAGCCTTGGTTGACACAGACGTTGAAGCGTATCAACCGGATCAAGCGCCCCCTCAACAGCGTTCCACAACACTTTCGTTGTCTGACAGAGACACTCGGCGGCCCCAACGCGATCTGGACGCTTGCGTCCCTCATGCTGCCCAAGGCACCCGATAGCGAGCTGCGCAAAGACTCCAATCCACTTGTAGAAGCGCTCTTCAACCACCAGTTCATCCACCTCGAGGCCTACATCGTACACGTCGACATGGTTTCCCAACACGAGGTTGCCTTCAAGCTCACTCCCGAGACCATCGAACTCTTGGTCGACTACCACAAGGACATCTACTCGGTCGATGCATCAGCAAGCACCTGGAGTTGGCCAGAGAAGGAAGCGCAGGTCAAGAAGATGCAGGAAGAGTTCGTCCAGGCCGCGAACAAGTTCGTCTTCAGGACTGCTGTTCGGGCCTTGGAAGGCATGGAGGAGGATGGCGCGGGCGAACTGCTCGAGGGTCGCTCGGAAGAAGTCAAGAACGCCATCATGAATCTCTTCCTCCCTCTGCTGCCTCCGCCACCGCGAATCGTCGATGTCATTCACCCGCCGACAATCCTTCCCAACACCTCCGTTCCAGGCCACTGGTGGGCCCCGCAGCAATCCATGGCACCGGCGCATCCAGCGCCCGTGGACTCGTGGAAAGTGCTTCCGTCGACACCGTCGCCCACCGCCACCTCGTGCAGCGACAATCCACCGAGCAGTTTCTGGCAAGATATGCACTTGAACCTCGTGCAGCTGCCTTCGCCGACACCTTCCTTCAGCCAGCCGTACACTGCGGCACCCTCTCAATATTACGGCTCGCCCGAGTGTCTTGCACCGATGCCGGCCATGTCGTTCCCGAGCTCGATGCCGCAGCATTGTGCGACGGACGTCGGAATGGGCGGTTTCAACGATTTCGGTTGGAGTCAAGGCCACTTCGCCCCTCAGTACGCCACCACAGTATGAGCGGCAGGCGCGGGCGAGAAGGTGTCTTGCCCCGTTGGTCGTTGATTAGCACTGGCGTTGGTGTTCTGGCCAAACCCGACGACCTCCACAGAATCTCGACTCTGGAGTCCTGAATGCGCACAGGTCTTCCGACACGCGACCACGACTTTTGATGCGATGCGATGCGATGCAATTCAATGCAAGCGATACCCGATGTTGATCATCACCGTGACGGAAATCAACATCAATCCAAAAAATCCGGAATCTGGGCATATGGACGGCGTTTTGCGAGCGACAACCATTTTTATATCTCTCTGTTTTTTTTTTTCCATTTGCGGGAAGGGTTTGGCAAGCGAGCATCGGTGTCGGAAGCGAAGGTTTACTTTTGATATGGGAATTGGCCTGATCTCTCCGGGAGGCACGCACTGCAAAGAAGGAAGTCTTCGACCTCACGGTCACAGAAAGAAAGAAATGTATGGGCGGACGACTTTGGTTTTTCTGATTGCGTGGGTTACGTCTTACCGGAGAAACGCGACGCGCACATGCATGGGATCACGGCCGACATCAGGAATGTCGATTACATTCGCTAATGCTGTTTGCAGCGCCCGGAAGCCCGTCGTGCACTCCGGTCTGGCAAAAGCCCAGACAGCGGACACGACGTGGGGATGAGGGCGCTCGCACGACGATGGGATTGGTACTGGCGACCAACTGGATTTATTCTCATCGGCGACCGGCAGCAACGCTTCGTCCTTTTTTTTTTTTTTTTTTTTTGGAGCCTCGGACGTTTGACATGGCCGGCTCGACCTAATATGACCACCCCTCGCTCACCATACGGACCGCTCCAACAACTGGCAGCCCGCGATCATCCGAGCACGGCCGAACACGCCCTCTGCTCGTCAACTGGCCAGGCGCGACATCTGCGATGTCTCGTATCTGCGCTAGGATTCCGGAGTATTGTTTCCAACCGCAAGTCGGGAGGAGGTAGACTTTGCTTCGAGTGGTTGTTTCTGGAGATGGGAATGCGGGACGTTGATTTGGGCCAATGGGCCGCCTTTGCTGGCTGGAACATGGAGCTCCGAGCGTGTGGAGGTCAGAAGATAGTGATCATCCTACTATACTCCATTGAGTGGAGAAGTCCCGAGGGCCGCTTGATGCGTGCCGGGGCAAGTGGATGCGGGTATTTCAGACATGGGTCTTTGTTCCCTTATAGCTATGTAGCTGTGCTAGATGCACGGGATGACCGCGTAGTCTATTTTCGTAGTAAATGTTAATTCACTCCGTGTGAAGAGTGGCAGTGGTGTCCTTTCCTTCTCTTCTCGGCGCGTCAACGAAGAATGAGGGAGCAGCGATGCTTGCAGTGTGTATATTATATTTACCTTACCTTATGTTCCGTGGGGTTCCAGTGTGCCGGCCAGCCGGCGACGAGACGAGGTGAGGTGAGATCCTCCCGGCGACTCTCGCGTCATCTCGGTCTCACGTGCTTAAAAGGTAGCGTGTGCCCTGCCCTTTATGCGACATGAGAGCAGCGCACCGCACCGCACCGCACCGCACCTCACCAGTCGTCGATCGGGCGACTTGACCGCACACAGCACAGCACCGTGCCTGCCGCCAGACACAGCGACAGCGACAGCGACACGACACGGGAATGCAGTAGGTACATATATACCTTGGGCATTGCGCTACAGATGCCGAATCGGGAGCAATCGCAGCGGCATTCGCAGCTGCTGGGCGGGCTCGACGAGGAAGTGCCCGACCTGGCAGCGACGCTCGGCACCTACGCCCACTCTCCTTCTCCCTCTCACGCCGCCGACGAGGCCGACGAGGCCAACCTGAGCTTTCTGCGCGACGCCGCGATCGCGCTCGAGCAGGACCCCGAGGCCGACCCCCATCGTCCCTCCGACGCCCGCCGCAGCAACCTCATCGACCCGTATCGCGATCCCCGCCGAGCCACCGGGCAGCATATTGAGTCCGTGGACGGTCAACGAAGCGCTGGTGGTGCGGCCTCGCAGACGCAGACCCAGACGCAGACCCAAACGCCCCCGGCAGACAGCCGGGACGACCTCTGGCGCCGGGAGCGCCTGCAGCGTGTGCTCGCTCGCTTGAACCGCATCCACGATCCCACGGGGACATCTTCTGCCTCGGCCTACGGCAATCGTACGCCTTCGCCCAACCGTCAGAGACTCTACGACTGGGCCCCGTCGCATGAGGAGCCCGCGCAGGAGGACACCGAGCTGGACCAGATCCTCGCCGAGCTACGGCGACAGCAGCCCGACACACACCCAGATATCCTCCGCGTGTTGAGCCAGAGTCAACTGGACGCTTCACGCCCGCGAGAGCGAGACGCGCCGGTGCCCCCGCCCACGACCGATCAGACGGATGCTGTGGACCGGAGAGAGCGACTGCGAGAGCGGAGACGGCGGGAGAACGGCGACTGGGTGAGTCTGCGCAGTAGGGCGGTGCTCCAGCGAGCGAGACAGGAAGGCTCGCCATCGGCCACGGAGAGCATGTTGCGGTACGTCATGGAGCGTGAGCGCAGTGGCATGAGTGAGGAGGAGGAGAGGGCGCGAGGCACCGGCTGGTTCAGCCCGGCCGGCAGATCTGGAAATGAACAACATCGTGGAGGGAATCCTTCCAGAGAGCCTTGGCCTCTTCCTCCTTCCGCCAGCGAGATCCGCGCCAGGACCCTTCAAGAGCGAGCAGAAGTCATGCAGCGCCGCCATCCGGCAGACTTTGCTCCTCCTCGGCTGCCTCGCATATCAACTCCGCCGGCGCCTGTGACCTCCACGCCCTCAGCACCTAGCTCGCAATTTCTGGAAAGCGCACTCAAGTATCTCGATCAGCTACGATCCTGCTACCGATATGAAGAAGCCCTGTCCGCCGCCATTGACCACGGCTTGGCCACCAAAGAGTTCTTTGCTGACAAGCACGACGACTTCGTCATGGACTTGGAAGAAGTGAATCCGATCGCAGGATCCTCATGGCTGCAGGAAGGTACCGTATTCGAAGGACACCAACATGCTACCGCCGCGTCTCCCGGGCTGTTGCAATCAAGGCCCACGAGCTCCTCCTCCCATTCCATGGAGCAGATCAACCCCAATTACCGCAATCAGGGCGTCGGCACCACGACAGGATTTGACCATCCTCCAGCCTCGACTAGGATACACCCATTTGACGCCACAAGACCATGGATATCTCACCAATTCACACCTCCTTATTACCCGGCACCTGCACTTCAAGGCACTAAGCCTTCAGATTCGTCACACGATCACTGGCCCGTGCGTGTGATCATACATGCCGTCGACCCGGACAGAATGACGCTGCAGGGTACGATGGAAGCCTACGACGTACCTCAACACCCTGCCAGTTTTTCCAGTCTAAACTCCACCGATCGGCCAAAGGCTGGAAAAAAGAACGCGCCCATCACTACATATCTCGAGGGGCACATCATTGACCTCGCCACCCACCCATTTCTCACGCCGAGCGCATCGGAGGCTAAACGCATGGGACCGCACTCGACTGCTACGCAGAACGCAACGCCGTACACCACCCTCTCGGACGCCATCTCTTTCCCGTCGGCAAATGCACATACCGATGCCGCCAACTGGCGCAAACTCCCCCCCTTCAATGCGCTCCCGTCCGACGAGGAGACGGCGAGGTGCTTGCTTTCCAAGGCCCGCATGGACGAGATCCACGAAGAATTCATCTTCATGCGCTGGAAGGAGCGATGCTTTGTGCACGGCAAGAACGACAAGTGTAGCGAGACGGAGCGGGCCGGGGACCAAGATCGCGGGCACGGGCTGACCATCAGTGGCTTCTACTACGTGAGTCTGAAGAGGTCGAATGGGGCGGTCGAGGGGCTCTACTTTGATCCGACGAGCACACCGTACCAGCACCTGAGGCTGAAAGGTCAAAGGACGGGCTGGCCGGCTTTTGAGTTTCGGTGATGAGACGATGATGATTGAGACGATTCGGTGTGCAAAGGTATGTATGTGCGACGACGGAAAGGGATTATTCGAGCGTCGTCTTTGCGATGCATAACAGCAGGGGACTAAGGTATCTGGAGACAGCGGCAGGGTATGTAGGTTCAAGCGTCTAGATGAATCAATGACGCATTAGATCCATTTTCACAAAACGCGAAGTGCCGGGGGATGGATTTTTTTCTTGGGAGAAGATTTCTATTCGGTTGCTACCGTGCACGAAAAAAAGGTATACAACCAGGGCGGGATCGAACCCGCTTCTGTCGTGCCCGTCGCCAGGCCCAACAATCGGCCACTTGTGCATCATGCTAGGTTGTGACATGATGCCCGGAGACTCGAAATTCGCGCGCTATGGAATCCGCCTATTTTGTCTACCCGGGAATCCTATGCTGCGAGAAGGATTGGTAGTCCTACTCGTTCCGAATCGCAGGTCATGCTCGTGTGATGTGCTCCATGTTTGCTTGTCGATGCCCGCTTCTTACTGCTCGGTGGAGAAGTAGTTGAGCAGGATGGAGCGCTCCTGTGACTCCTCACCCCAGTCCTTGACGACGACGCAGGAGCAGTTGACGACCTTGCGTGCGTTACCCTCACGGTCAATCTGGCCTGTGCAGTGCAGTGTTAGTGATCCATCGCATGTAGTAAGGCCTGTGAAGCATTGGCAGGAGACTTACAGAGACCTGCCCACTCTCCCAGCTGCTTTCCATCGGGCACCTTGATGAGCGGGATGTTGTGCTCTCCGCACAGGGCAACGACGAGCTTCTTGTAGGCCTCCTCTTCGCATGCCTCGTTCAGCACGCACATGTGGGCTTGGCGACGGTCGAGGGCCTTGCTGGCCTCGCGGAGACCACGGGCGAGACCGTCGTGGATGAGGGCGATCTTGAGGACACCCTTGAGGGCGTCGAGGACGGACATGCTGCCGGACTTGCCCGAGGCCTCGGCGGGGACCTCGACCTCATCGGCGGCCGCGACTTCCTGGGTGGGCTCTTCTCCGTCCGACTGTACAGGGCGCTCTGTCAGTACGTGTACACTCCGACGTGCTGTGCTGACCATTGTATTATCGCGCGTCCCAATGGCGCGGGACGCGCATTGGGTGAGATGATTGATCGCTAGGGGAAGATGGATATGGCTATGCAGAATCCCAATCGTGGTCTCGTGCCGTGTGCTTCAATGCAGCGCGCGGGAGGATCGCAAGGAAGGTGTAGACGGGCAGGATAGCGAAAGGGAAGGGGGCCTTACCATCTTGAACGCTGGATTGACGCTTTTTCAAATTATGTCTGAACCTCCTCAAAGAGCGCTGGGTGGTGGTGGTGGGCGAGTGGTAGTGTTGATGATGGTTCGCTCGGGGGGATGTGAAGCTGGAAGCGAGGTCTTTCTTCCACACAAACTTCGTCTGTGCCCAATTCGACCTTGATGCCAAGCAGTGTGCCGGCTAAGATTCGGCTAGCTCCGAGCCGGCCCCCGGCGTTCCAGCTCCTGTCTGTTCGTCATCGCGTTGCATGTGAGCCTCCACCATCAACACCTCTACACATCTCACGGTACTTGTACAGTATGGCGGCCACGCGCGTACCCATGAGGCTGCTCTCTCCCAGGATTCAATACCTTCAAAAGCCGGCAAGATGCACGCAAATCCGCCACGCGTCCTCCAGATACAGCAACCCGGCCAAGAGGGCCTTCACTGCGGCGCCTGCGTCTCCTCCCTCATTTGTAGAGCAAACCGCGAACCCGGCCCTCGAGTCTGCTGCAGAGCATGGCGCTGAGGACCCTCTGGACGCTCGGGCAAGTCATCTCGCTTGGAAGGAGAAGAGGCAATATCACCTGCATCGCATGCGATTCGCAGGCATGGGTCTCCTTCTGAGCATGTTCGGGCTCGCTGCGCTTCTCTACAACCTGGACTTGGACAGCATGGAGCAAGCAGAGGCAAAGAGGCGTCAAGGCCAGCAGATGGACGCTTCCGAAGATTCAAACAGGTTGTTCCAGGGCAAGGAAGTGGAGATCATTGGGGCTGGCGAGGACAAGAGGATTGTCGCGAGAGGACCCGGTGGGGAAGTTGAGCTCGTCGAGACAGGCACAAGCAGTGTTCCCCATTTCCCCCGGACAATATACCTGCCGACTTCTCCAGACTCTGTGCCGACAGCAGATCCCGCCCAACCCAACTCTTCGATCAACCCAGGCAATGTGGATAATCTAGAAGAATACACCCTTGTCGGCCTCGGCATTCGATCAGTCTCTTTCCTTAGCATTCAAGTCTATGTCGTAGGTCTATACGTCCGCACGCAAGACATCAGCTCGCTGCAGGAGAAGTTGATCCATGTCATCAACCAGAGCGCGTCGACTTTGATCCCATCCGAGAAGGACCAGCTCAGCAAGCGTCTGCTAGATCCGGATGCGAGTCGTGAGATCTGGACGGAGCTACTGCAGGTACCAGGTCTGAAGACTGCGTGGAGAGTAGCGCCTACTAGGAACACAGACTTCGGACATCTTCGAGACGGCTGGATCACTGGCATCAACAATCGCACCCGAGAAGCAAAGCAGATACTGCAAACTGCAGAAACTGAATTCGATGCCGAAGACTTTGGCAAGGCTGTCGGTGATTTTAAAAGCATCTTCACGGGCGGGAAGGCACCGAAGGGTTCGGTGATGATTCTAACACGAGGCCGCACGGGCGAGCTTGATATTTGGTTTCAGCCTCAGCCCGGAGCCAGTGGTTCGGACAAACAGATGCAAAAGCTGGGCTCTGTGCAAGATGAGCGAATCAGTAGGCTCATCTGGCTCGGCTATCTTGCTGGCGGGAAAGTGAGCTCTGAGGCAGCGAGGCAAGGCGTCGCGCAAGGATGCGTAAATTTTGCCGGAAGACCCATCGGAAGTGCAGAGAGCCGTGTGGTATGAGCGATGTCCAACTTTGGGTCCTCAAACGGTTTCAATGCCCCTCTATGGCTGAAATGAAGTGCACGATGCTGTAGATCTTTGACAGAAGAAGAGGGAAGTTGGGGGCTGTTTTCAGCGTAAAAAGCCTTACTTTACTGACATTCTACTCGGTCACGCCGGCGGTTACGAGTGGTATATGTAAGACTAGACTGTATATTTGTGAGCTCTCTCGGGCTCAGGCGCGGCGAAACGAGCTTCATGCGTGCTGATAATCTAGCATTTTCGACACTGCTTTTTTTGCACTCGTCTCGACTCCCTACAGGCCATTTAGAGCTTTCGACGTGATGGCTTTGCTGGTGGGCATTGGAATGCGGTATGTCGATGTACGGTTCAAGATAAGAAGGATTACCTTACAGTGTAGTCGAAACGAAAACGAGCGCCGAAGTTCGGCCGAGAATGTGGCTTGTCTGCTTGCGCATCCGACAAGAAACATCTGGCCGTCTGACATGTGAAGGTGGAGGCTGAGCGTCATGCTAGCATCGTTCCATTCCTCTTTGATATATATTCTTTTGAGGCGATGTGATCGTGGATCATGTCTTCTTCCCCCTTCCCCTTCCCCCTTCTCCATTCCAGTCTTCTCGGGCAGCCGATTGCAACACGTGGTACCGTCCAGCTCTAGCGTCTTTGCTGTGTTTGTCCACGCGCGCGCGATCGTCAGACTTCCAACGCCACGACCTTTTTTGCATTTGTAAACACTCTCCTCCCGGTAACATGCAGAAGATGGATGCGGATGCGAATGCCGGCTGGCTCGGGACGCTGAGAGGCCACGTCGAGCACACCTTCCCCAACTTGAAGCAGAACAGCCGAGATGCCCACGAGCGCGCCCACGGCGGACAAGGCCCCAGGCCACTGACAGCAGATGAGATCCAGGCACACCCAGAATACCCTCACGTGCATTGGGACTTGAAGCCCGAGAAGCGCGAGAAAATCGATGTGGCGCGAGGACGAGGCGGGCCTTTCAAGCTCGCGTATGAGATTCACGGACGAGGGCCGAGGAAGATCATAGTAAGTGTGAAGCGCGCGCATCGCGATCTTAGCCTCGCAGATGCTGACTATTCTTACGCAGTGGATCATGGGCCTTGGGGGCTTTCTCAAGACTTGGCAGCGACAGACCAAGGAGTTCGGGCATATAGACGGCGACAAATACACCTGTCTCGTCTTCGACAATCGAGGCATGGGCGCTTCGGATAAACCGCTGCTCCGGTATACGACTTCGGAGATGGCGAAGGACATGGTCGAATTGCTGGACCATGTCGGCTGGCAAGACCCCCGAAGCATACACGTGGTCGGCATCAGTATGGGCGGCATGATAGCCCAAGAACTCGTGATCTCTGCCCTTCATGTTTCTTTCCAAGTCCCCCTCGCTGACACCGTCTCCCAGGGCATGCTGGTACCCGACCGGATCTGTAGTCTCAACCTCATCTCTACAGCACCCAGGATCGTCCGCACACTTCCTTTCGTCGAAAACATCCGCAACCGAATTAACCTGATGGTCCCGAAATCTCTCGACAGCCAGATCGCCAAAGTAAAGGCAGACTGCTACTCGGCCGAGTGGCTCGCAAAGCCGGACGAAACGGAACACACGGTTCAGAAGTTTCCCACCAACGGCGACCGCTTCGCGGCCCAGGAAATCAGCAAGCGTCTCTCTCCGGGAGTCTTCACCCCGAAAGGTTTCATCTGCCAGCTATACGCGGCCGGCTTCCATCACAAATCGCCCGGGCAGCTGAAGCAGCTCGGCGATGCCGTGGGTCGCAATCGCATCTTGGTCTTCCACGGTACGGGAGACCACATGATAGAATTCGTCCACGGGAAGATGCTACTCGAGGAACTTGGAGGCGAGGAAAGCGGCGTCACCAAGTCATTTCATGAGGGCATGGGCCACGTCGGACCATTCGAAATCCGGCAAGAATTCCGCAAGCTTATTGCAGACCGGATCGAGCGGACAGAAGCTTTGAACAGGGCATGAGAAAGCGGCGTCCCTGGATACACGGATTTTTGATTTTTGGGACTCTTGATACCACAGGCGGGTTTTTGCAACGGGTTCAAATTCTGCTGTCAATGTTCATCTCATATACTTGTATCTTCACCACCTCTACGTCGTTCTGTCGAGACTTCGCTCTTACATCTCGATTGCACTTCAAGTACGAGTCTGGCTCGTAGATTTGCAGACAACAGGTCGTCGCAAACCCTCTTGTGAGACAGCATGCCTGATACATGGATGGTACTTCTATTGGTCTCACGTGCAGCGCCATTTCATAGACGCTCTACATCTTTACACATCGTGAACAACGCCCATAATGGCAGTAAGACCCAATTGCGGCGGGTTATCCAATCCTGGCGACTATCTTCCAGTTCCGTACACATTTCTACTGCGGTGTGGTGGTCTGCGGGAGACTCCGAGCCGGAGTCTGCGTCGGGGGTGCGTCTGTTCCCGGCATCTCCTTCTTAACAGGTACACTACCCGTGGCAGCAGAAACCTGTTGGCTTGAACTCGGCACCAGTGGCGTATGGGGTGGAAACACTCTCTTCTCGCCGATGCTGTGCGCTGACGATGGCGGAGCAGGACTCTGGTCATGTTTTTGTGGAATTGCCTGACTTCCCTGTGGCCACGGGCCGCTCATTCCATCGGCCACGATGTTGTTTCCATTCGCACTGCCAGGCCGTGCGTCCATCTGAGGAGTTCTAAGATGGCTCGATTGCTGGGTGCTTTGATGTCCGTTCATCCCGGGCGGCTTCATGTGATGGGGAGTTTGAGTAATGTGAGGGGGCTGGGGCGATGATGATACAGCATGCGGAGGTTGCTGCTGCAGATGTGGAGGCGGTGATGACTTTATAGGCGATTGACTTGCTTCATGTTCCTTTTTCGTAGGTGGTGGCAGATGGGTATTCGGACTTCGAGCCAGTGGCTGCCCTTGATGCTGATGAGACTGCGGGGGAGATGCTGGAATACTGCCTTGGGACTGAGTGGGATACTTTTGCGGCGAAGCAGCTGATGCCTGGGGGCCAGCTTTGCTAGGTGATTGAAAACCGTTCATCAGTTGGCCTGATGACCGCCGTTGCGGCTGTTGCTGAGGGGGATAGTAATGACCGTGCGGCGGCTGAGGCTGAAGCTGAGGCTGGTACTGGTAATGTTGTGGTGATTGGTGCGCCATTGAATGTGCACCCGCAGAAGCTTGTGGATTGTAGCCGTTGAGCTGCGGCGGGTACCCGTACGGCTGATGATATGCTGGATGGCCTCCTGCGGAAGCGACGGCGCCGTGATGAGCAGCAAGATGTTGTTGTTGGTGAGACGCGGGAGCGTGGCTGTTGGATGGAGCTGTTGCATATGGTGGAGGAGCGTGAGGCCATGTCTGCTGGGTCGGTTGAGGAGCAAAGTTACCCACGGGAGGGTACCGATAGCCCGGCGAGCCTTGAGCCTGACCGTGTGGCAACAGGCTAGGACCGTTCGTGAGCTGACCGAATGGCCCAGGGCTGGGGTGGTTTTGCTGATGAGGAAGCGAGTCTAGCTGCCGGGCCAGGTGATCGGGGAGGCGACTATTGGACTGCTGGCCGCTCGCAGTCGCTGGGCGGCTCTTAGATACTTCCGGACTGCCACTTGTGCGATTGTGCAGCTTCAGCGGCGGGATCTTAGGTTTCTTCGCGTCTTCCTCCTTGCGCTTGCAGGTATTGCAGACGAAACTGAAGCTCTCGCTCTCGGCTTGCTTCGGAGAGAAGCCGTGGCATTTGCTGTGTTGCCACACATTGCACTTGTCACAGGCGATGCTGTGCGTTCCGTCGTCCATGTTTTCGCCATGCTTGCCACAAACAGAGCAGTCGAAATACCAGTTGCCTTCGTCATCGGCGAGCTCCTGCAGATCTTTCTCTAGTTGCTCTTTCTTGGTCTGACGCTGTCGTTCAGAAGCTCTCTTGGAATCAGCGGTTTCGCTGCTGGGGCCTTGGGACTCCGCGCGCTCTCCTTCGGATTCCAGTCTCGCAAGCTCATCTTCGTGCAGAATGCGCTTCGCCTCGCGCTCCCTCACTCTTTGCTCGCGAGTGAGTCGTCTCGACTCGTGACCCTGTGATGCACGTTAGCCTAGTTCATCAGCTCTGCTCCGCCATCGACTCACCTCTTCTATTCTCCGCTGTCTCTCTTGCTCCTCACGAGCCATCTTTAGCTCTGCATGCCTCCTCTCTTCTGCTTCTCGCTCTTCGCGATCTTGCCGGTCCTTCTCGGCTTTGTCTGCAATACGACTAGAACGCTTTGCCGTTGCCATTTTCTGCAAGTTCTCCAACTCCCGCACCTTTTTCAGCTGTTTCTGTCTCAATGCCTCGGCGCGCTTTTCGATAGTAGGAAGGACATCTGCTTCAATCCGAGCTCGAAGATTCTTTTCGTTTGGGTCGCGAGAGCGGAACATGTTCGCCATGATGTCCTGATAGTGTTCCAAGGTGATTGCCACACACTCCCATGTCTTGCTGGTGAAGCCGTATCCGGGCTCTTCTTCTTGCGCTGCGTGGTCGCCATTTGTCATCAAGGTGTCATCCATAGCGGTATCCGCTTCCTCAGGCTCGTCTTCTTCTTCGGGCTCCTCGTCCTCTGTGTCTTCCACCTTCCTACGCTTGCTCGACCGCGTCGCTCTGGTCCTGCTGCTCTTTGACGACTTGCTCTTGGCCTTCGACTTCGCCTTTGCCTTAGGCTTCGGGGTGGGAGGAGGTAGAGGCTCATCGGCTCGGCGGTAAAGTCGGTTGTCGTCAAGAAGGTAGTATGTGCGGTCTTCCTTGTCCCAGCCAAGGGGCTCCATGCGCCAGGACAGCTGGTCGGCGTCTTGCGGCATCAAGCTCCTAATACGATCCACGTTACCTAGTGTCCATGTGCTCAGCTGTTGCAAGACCTTTATACGCGTGCAGACGTCGAGGTCGTTGAACTTGGTTGGCTCCTCTTCGTCGCCGAAGGGGTTGTGTTGCGGGGCTTTGGCGAGATACTGTCGCCTCGTGTATTCATCAAATATCTCTAACCTGCAATTCATCAGCGCTGTTCGAGTTCCTGACATGGTAGGAGAGTCGTACGTGAGGCCCCGATGCGATGAGACGTATTTGAGCAGTTGCAGTCCAATGTTGCCGAGCTTCTCAGACGGTGTGGGCTTTAGACATTCCGCTTCCAGGTCCTACCATTATATCTAGTCAGTGATCCAATCTGAGATGTACCCTCGCGCCATACATGGCAGCACTAGTCTCATGCCGGGGTGCTATCGTACCTCGATGTCGAAGTCGTCGTCGATTTTGACGGCGTGCCCGAATAGGAATATGTACTGCATCAGACTGGCAAACTCCCACATGTTGCGCAGCTTATGGAGGGTCTCCTGGTCCCGAGGCGGGACCACGGGCTCGAGGGGCGCATCGGTCTCGAACTCGTCTCGCGTGCGCTTGTAGCGAGGCATATTGTGGATGCGCCTCGCTCGGCGTGGGTGAACTAGAGATGTGGTCGCAATGGGATGTCACTGCAATTAGTAATTGATCCAAAGATTTATTGGTGCCAGTCGTGGAGGTGTTCGTGCGCGGTGGGAGGCGGTTGTGAGCAGGTCACGTTTGTTAGACGGACGAGTTGAGATGGACGTGATGGACGCGAGGTAAGGCAAGGCAAGGCACCTCAGCCTTTGGCTGCGGACGCTAGCGGCTGGTCCCTGCGCCGATCCGGGAGCGACCGTTCCATAAACTCTAAAGCTTCCAGACTCAGTCGGTCGTCATCTACTTTCACGAAACAATACCAAAATGGAGAGCACCATCTTGTCATTGGGCGCTTGACTCTCGTCGCAAAACCCGTGAGCTGGAGTAGCACTGCACACGCCTGGTCAGTGTGACAGCATGGCGTCCTCTGGAGAGGCAGAGCAACGACTGCTCCAAGAAGACCACGGCGAAGGGAGAATAGAGATGGAGTTGATGGATGCAACGGAAAGCTCACACATTTCAGATCGCGAGCATGGCACTATTTGCGGACTGCTCTACATTTCGCATTTCCTCTCGGCGTGGAACTCTCGGGTTTTCGAATTCGGCGCCTTCCTCTTCCTCGCCAACATCTATCCTCAGACGCTTCTTCCCGCGTCAGTTTATGCGTTGGCCAGGGCAGCCTCAGCGGCACTACTCTCGCCAATGCTGGGCTCCTACCTTGACAGGACGAATCGTTTGCACGCGGTTCGACTATCGATAGGCAAGCTTCGGAATTCACCACCTTCAACGAAGCAGCTCTTCTGACTCTCTCGGCAGTGAGCCAACGAGTTGCTGTCGCAATTTCATGCATCTTGTTGTTCTTGATGGCAGAATATTCGTACCTTCGAGAAGGCATCTTGACATATGTTGGATGTCTTTCAGCCCTCTCGCTTCTTGCCTGCGTAGAGAAGCTCGGGTCCGTGTTGAACACCATCTCGGTGGAGAGAGATTGGGTCGTCACTGTGGCCTGTGGTCACGAACAGCGATTGCAGTGTAAGACCCTGTGACCTGGCCTGGCTCCTAAGAGCGGAATCCTCATACTAACAATTGGAGAAGCGCTGAATTCGCGAATGCGCCGCATTGACCTCTTTTGTAAACTTATTGGTCCTCTGACAGTTGCGCTCGTCGACAGTGCGTCGCCCAAGATTGCAGTTGCGATAACAGGTGGAATGACAGTAGCTTCTGTGTATCTTGAATATCACTCGATTGCACGAGTGTACAACGCTGTCCCGGAATTGAAGCGTCCCAAGGAGGTCAAGCACCAAGGCTTTTCTCGATCAACGGGCTTCTGGACTCGAGCCAAAGCAACAATGTCTGGTGCAGCGATTTACGCTCGACATCAGGCGTTCTTGCCGTCCTTTTCGCTTGCTCTACTCTATCTCACTGTTTTATCGTTTGCTGGTCAAATGATCACCTACCTGGTCGCCCTTGGTCTGTCATCAAGCCTGATTGGCGTGCTTCGCGGAATCTCGGCTCTGTTTGAAATCTCAGCGACCTGGATAGGACCACGAGTCATGGATCGTATTGGACCGATCCGAGGAGGTATCTGGTTCATCAATTGGCAGATCATGTGTGTCGCAATCGCGTGCGTCTTCCTCTGGGTGGATTCGCATCCCAAAGTCGCGGCCTTTGGAACTGTCTGTGCTGTGATTGCAAGTAGGGTTGGCCTCTGGGGATTTGATCTGAGTGCTCAGATCATTGTACAAGAAGTAAGCCCAAGTCGCGTTATCACGGTCTATGTTGGATTCTGGTCACCCGGGATTCTGCTGACGTCCTGTTAGGAAGTCGAGTCTGAACATCGCGGCACGTTTTCTTCACAAGAGTTTGCACTGCAGAATATATTCGAAATGCTTGCATTCGCCTCGACGATCATGTTTCCCCGGCCAGATCAATTCAGATATCCAGCGACCATCAGCGCTGCGGCCGTTACTCTGGCGGGTGTGCTTTACGCTCTGTTTGTTCGCAGCAGGCGAGGCCATCTGGTCCACTTCTCGTCGTGTGCAGACCGGCATGGAAGGAGGAAAGACCATCATCATTGGTGGATGCGGATATCCAATCGAGACTCGAGCGACACTGGGCTATGATTTCCTACCATTGCCAGGCTCCAGCAATAATCGGACTGCAGAGTTTCATGCTTACATTGCGAGAGAGCGAAAGGCAAAGGCACAAACATGAAGGCATAGACTCATCGCGAAAACATGTATTCTGCCAAGTCTCGGCTCGCCCAGAGCTATTGGCGAGGAGCACTATTGTCCGGATACAACAGACTTTCGCCAAAGAGAATACTCATGCGGGCAACGCTGGCCAGAACAGCCACTGCAGCTGTATCGCATTTGCTGCTGGCGTGACGCGCAGCCTTCTATGGTCTCTCAGCACGGCCAAGTGGGCCTTTCGCGTGCAATGGCTCGCATTTCAGCGGCAGGTATGCGAGCGGATGAGCATTTTTCTGATATTCGCAGATTTAATCCAAGTTGCGGGATCGTTGGGAGTAGCCGCCTGTCCGGGAGGACGCATCGGACGAGTATACGTTGGAAGGGCTAACACCACTACCGCGGCGCCTGATGGACTCTTACCGAATGCACTCGGACAAGGCGTGGTAGCCAAGAGCAGAAGCTCTACACCAAGGTTGAGAAATCAGCTAAGCATTCTCAGGAAGCGATCACGATACCATTCACAACCTGTTTCTAGATGAAGGCTTCACGGCTCGAGATCTCGTAGCTGATGGGAGCACACAGCACGGCGTTGGCAAACTCTCAGACAGGAAATGGAAGTCCGTCCGGAACACCTCTGGATTCCACGCCGGGACTGTGGGATGTCAACTACTACAACGAAACGTACTCTCCTCCCTCGGATATTGCTCGTTCGGATAGCGAGTGTGAGTTTCCAGAGCGCTTAGCAGGCTGTGACTTTGCTACGAGTTCCTTCGAGTGTCAGGAGGACTATGCAGGATTGCAGTGTGGTTGTTGGGAAATGCGTATTCGTGAATGTGCATGTCGGCGATGAGAATTTCGGTAGACCTGATATACCGCGTCTTCGAACGTCGGAACGTTGTTTTCTTACCGACAATCCTAGCCAAAACCAGGGCAATAGCACAATAGCGCAAGATGAGCGGTAGCAGCCATCGAGATTGCACTTTGGTGTGGGAAGATGCTGTACGCATGCTCAGCCGCGGTGTAACCCACCAGATGAGATTTGCAATTGGCGCAAGGTCTGGGTCTTAGCCGATGTTCACCCCATCGCATCGGTCCAGCCGCTTCGAGAGGGATGTTGAGAGTCGCGCGAGGAAAGATGCTGTGGGAGCATAGAAGGCGCGAATCTGGAGTCCATCTCGATCGATAACCCGGATGGGATTGGCTGTGGTATTGGAATGGTGGTACGTGTAGTGGTAGTGAGGTAGTCAGGGTGGATGGTGATGAGGATGAAGTGATGTGAAGAGAAGATTGATATTAATACAGACTTTGACGCGGGTGCATTCCCGGCGGGACAAGGTTTGGACAGCGGCATCCCTTTGGCCTGAGACACGTGCAATCTTCGCATGCCACTAGCCCTGCCGTACGCTATTCACAAATTCAATCCACCTGCACTGTCCGTCCCTCGCAGCTCTTCCCGTCGTCGTCGTGGTGCTTCTTTCTCCCAACCAGAACCAACAAAGTGTACTCCCGCGCCAGTGAGGAGCTTTACGCACTCCCGCCTCTTATTGGGACTGTGCCGCACAGTCGTGGTCAGCCGATCGGAGGGTCAAGCAGCAGCTGCGAGACGACATCTGTCCGCAAATAAGCTACCTCACCTCGACATCCCGTCCCATCTCGTCTCACCTCCCCTACCATCAGCCGCACAACCCACTGCACTGCACCGCACCGCACCGCACCGTCCCTACCGATCAAGCAACTGCGCTCCGTATACCAAGATTCCGGAACACCACGAAGGTATACGATACGATACGATACGATACGATACGTTACGTTACTAAACGATACGATACGATACCAGAAGACACGTCCGCCAGGCCCACCCTCTCTGCACCATACGCGAGTAGACACGCTACCTGCTGCCCACGAGCGAGCACTCTACCCTTCCTTGGGCCGTTGCTGAGCGGACCACCTGCGTAGCGCAAACCTGGCAGCATCCCAAACCCCCGCCTCGGGAGCGGAGGCCACCTTCCCCTTCAATTCCTCAGGCCAGCGCCGCCGCACATCTCATACTGGCTCCAATGCTCCCCTAGCCCGCCTAGCCAGTCACCACCACGACCGACTCTCCTCTGCCTTTGGCACCCGCCAATCTTCCCTGGGCACGTCGCCCTTCCACGAGGACGACGAGGACGATTGTCACATGTCACTCGATCGCTCGCCTTCGCCAAGGCGCGACGGGGGATGGGCTTCGCCGGGCTTGACCACTCCATACGAAGAGACCAATGGAGGCAGATTACGAGCGGTGAGTCCGATGAATGGCGGGCACAGCGTGACTTGGGCGAGCGCAAAGGCGAACAGCGACAAGGTCAAGGGCGGCTATCCTCGATACCAGAGTCAGAACCAGGGGTGGTTCAACAGAGTACGAAGAATGTCAGTGAGCTTACCCATGTTCACGCATGGTGCGCGAGGCGATCGCTACGCGGAGAAGGAGAAGCTGGGCCGAGGGAGGTCGCGCGATGGGCCGGGCATGATCTGGAGGGATATCCCGAGAAGAGCAGCCCTACTACTGTCTAGAAGACGGAAGTATCTTGCGCTGCTCGGATTGCTGCTCCTCGCGGCAATGTGGTTGTGGAGCGATGGTGAGTATCGGACGCAGGTGCCGTTCGAATCTGGCTGATCAAATGAAACAGCAATTACATTCTGGTACAGGAGAACGTCGTGGTTAGGTGGAGGCTCCAAGTTCGTCATCATACTCGGCGCAAATCAGGGAGGTGGTGTCATGGAGTGGAAAGGCGCCAGAGAGTGGGCCATCGAAAGAGACAGTGTCAAGAACAAGAAGCGGTATGCAGCCAAATGGGGATATGAGCTGAACATTGTCGACATGAGCACAAAGAAGCGGTATGCTCACGAGTGGAGAGAGAGCTGGGAGAAGGTGGACATCATCCGAAATTCCATGAAAAAGTACCCTCATGCGGAATGGTATGGTCCAAGTGCTGAAACAGGTGATTACATGCTGATTCTGAATACAGGTTCTGGTGGCTTGATCTGACTACCTTCATCATGGAGCCGTCTTACTCGCTACAATCACACATCTTCAATGACTTGGGATCGAGTACATATCGGGATATCAACGTCTACAATCCCCTCAAAATCCAGCATCCGCCCAACGGTACATCTGGCGACCCAAATGCGCCTAAATTTGCAAACTACCTCGATCCCGAGTCAACTTCTCCGGTCGGAGATGGGAAGCCGGAGAGCATCAACCTCATTGTTCCGCAAGATTGCGGAGGTTTCAATCTTGGTTCCTTCTTCGTCCGCCGCAGCGCCTGGACGGACAGGGTGCTTGACATCTGGTGGGATCCGGTGTTCTACGAACAGAGGCATATGGAATGGGAGCATAAGGAGCAGGATGCGCTGGAGTATGTCTACATCAACCAACCCTGGATACGGCCACACGTTGCGTTTGTTCCCCAAAGAAAAGCCAATGCGTTTCCCCACGGTGCATGCGGTGACGATCGGGGCCTTCCCGAGGGAGGCTGCAAGGCACTGAAGATCGGAGATGATATGCAGGAATGCGGAGTGCAAGGCATCCATTACCAAGAAAAGGAGCGTGATTTCTTGGTCAACATGGCAGGATGCGAATGGGGTAGAGATTGCTGGGGAGAGATGTACAATTTCCGCCAGCTGTCGAATAAGCTGAATCGAGGGCGATGGGAGAAGTTCAAAGATGGCATCAGCGAGTGGTGGACGCAGAAGGAGAAGAAGGAAAAGGCAAAGAAGGATCAAGAAGCTCTGGAGGCGCAGCAGAAGGAAAAAGCCGAGAAAGAGCAGCAGCAGCAGCAGCAGCAGCAGGGCAATGGATCATAACACTCGCCACTGTCGAGGGTGATACCGTTCTAACATGCTTAGTACGTTTGCAGTTCGGATGTCAGGGCACACCTGGGGAGGCCATCTTTGTCATCTCTGGACCACGTCTGAGCGTTCTTGCATACCACTCCTACAACGACGAGCTGGCCGTCAGCTTGATGCGGCGTTCCCTTGGCGTTCGACGCAGGCTCCGAAAAAAATTGGGAAAACTACGCTTTCATGCTCTTACGAATGCGGGTGAGCGCGCGCGCGGCCGCAATGTATCATTCTTCCTGGTCCGTGGATTGGGGGTTCAGGATTCTCCGATGTCGATCGGGATCTCCGAAGTGTACATCATAAGCACAAGCAGCGCCGCCGCCGCCACGACTACGAAGATGAATCAATTTGAGCCAACGGGCACGATGTGGTGGCGGGGGGTTTGCTTTTACCTGGAAGCTATTATGTAGAGATAGATGAACCGCTTTGTGATAATGATACCAGAGTATTTGATTTTGGACAGCAGCGGGCCACATTGTAGGTTGAGAGAAAGGCGAAGTACCTCTGCAATGGGGCTGTCATGAGAAGCTGTCACAAGACGAAAGCATTGCTCGCTCGTTACGTGCGCCATCGCTGACTGTTGTTACATGAACAAACACCATCATCATCACCACCATCTACCTTGATTCCCTTTTTGGAGACGACCCCAAAACGCCGACGCTCAGAACGCATGGATGGAAATACAGACAGCAAGATTTTTTGAAAAGTGCTCACGCATCCAGCTTCACGCGCTTGTCGGCCTCTAGCGAGACTCCTCCATCGTCCGAAGCGCCTCCCATGACGACATCCGCGTCGTCGAAGTTGTCGTCTACCACGTCTCGACTTCGCTTGAGACCTTTCATCTTGCGAGTCTGTAGCTGGCTGAGGTCTTGACGGCCCATGTGGATACGGCCGACCTTGTCGCCGATGGTGTCTGTTTCGATGTTCTTCTTCGTCTTGGGCTGAATCAAGAGACAAAAATCGTTAGCATGGGCGGGGAATATGGACGGCGCTGCATGATGAATTCTTACCTCGAGAGACTTGGGTTTCCGCATGGCCTCCTTCAGCATCCCCGGGTCCGCATCTCGCACTCTGCCTACTCTGAAGTCGATCCTCGGCCCCATCTCTTCGGCTTCGACCTTGGGCAGGTCGTCTTTGCCTTTCTTCGATCGCAACATGTAGCACCGCAGATGGATCATTGGCTTGACGGTTTCGTTCTCTTCCTCATCCACGGAGATGTGGATCAGGTACTGCAAACCCAGAACATCCACGCTCGTAGCATCGGGGCCCTTGAAGAGGTCGAGAAAGGCGGACTTGGCCAGGGTGTATGCATTCGCGGTGGGCGATTCGAAGGCACTGCCGGAGAAGGACAGGAGAGGCTTCACGCCGATGGCAGCCTTTGCGATCTTGAACTGCGATAATGATCGGAAACTCTCCGCGTCGACCAAGAGCTCGAGCATATCGAGGACTTTGTAATCGAAGAAGCGTACGAGCGTGAGGGCGTGAGGTCGCTTCTTGCTATGGCTCCCGTAGACCATGAGCGAGGCATCGTTCTTGTCGGCGAAGAATTCGAGCGACGAGGGATCTTCGAAGGGATGGATGCCGTTTTTCTTGTCGAACTTGATGGTCAAAGGTCTCTTGAGGGAGTTGAGATCGCGGAGGACGAGTTGGATGACTTCGCTGCAGGACGTGTAGCGGAGGAAGAGGGTGGTCTTGGGGTTCTCGACGTTCTGGGGCGCCTTGTTGTCGAGGTAGCGTTTGGTGCGGGCGTTCTTGGGCTTGACTTCGCGCAGAGGGAGGGCCATGGTTGCAGGCTGCTAGTGCTCCTCTTCGGCCGTGGGTTTCGGTATGTCTCTGTAAGGGTACGGCGTTGGGTGGTGAATGCGGGAAGTTGTCGCGAGATCAGTGTGATCAGAATCGATCCCAAAACTTCCACTCCACGCTCGGCCGAAATCTTGGCGCGTCCCGGAACCGAGAGCTGTCGACGGTTCGGCGGCACCCGACGGGCATGAGATGAGACTCGGAAGCGCTCCGAAGCAGGGGTCCATGATGACACAATTTCATCCCACCAAGCTCAGAACCACTGCTTCTGCTTCTTTGCTTGTTGCTTCTTGCTTCTTCGACTTGCTGCTCAAAAACTTCCACCTACGATAACTCCTCCACCAAACAAGAATTCATCTCTACACCAAACAGGAATCCATTCGACAACACCGCCAACATTCCGCCCCGCAACCACATCGCACACATTGAGAGGATGGCGGCACCCTCGCCATGCAGCCTCACGTCCATCACTAGCGAGTCCCAGTTCCGAGAGCAGATCTCCCAGCTGCCGCCTTCATGTCTGGCCGTCATCTACTTCAACGCCTCATGGGCTGAGCCATGCAAGCGCATGTCCACCATCCTCTCCACCCTCGCCCAGACATACGAGGCCACCTCCCCACCACGCATAGCCTTCTTCGACCTGGATGCTGAGGAGCTGGAAGAGGTGGCGGAAGAGTACAACATCGTGCAGGTGCCCGTCGTGATATTGCAGCAGGACGGCAATCGCGTATTCGAGATCACGGGTACAGATGCTACACATGTCCGGGCTTCCATCGAAAGATTCGCTGCTGGAAATGCGGCCACAGGCAGCCTGCCACCTGCCCAGACGGTCACCAAACCCGCCGAACAAACTCAGCAAGCACCACATGCCAACGGCGGGGATATGGCAAAGTACGCCCCGGACGCATCCGATCCTGCCACCGCGCCGCAATACAGCTCGGAAGAATTGAGCGGGGACAAGCCCAGGGAACAGCTCAATGAGCGCCTCGGAGAGCTGGTCAAGGCCGCACCAGTGATGCTCTTCATGAAGGGTACGCCCTCAGCGCCTCAGTGCGGTTTCAGCAGACAGACCGTCAGCATTTTGCGAGAGAAGGGCATCAGATATGGCTTCTTCAACATTTTGGCCGACGATGAGGTCAGGCAGGGTCTGAAGGAGTTCAGTGATTGGCCGACATTCCCACAAGTCTACGTTGATGGCGAGTTAGTTGGCGGACTGGACATCGTAAGTGCAAGATGCGAATTGCTTGCAAGGACTGCGAATACTGACTATCCCGCAGTTGAAGGAAGAATTCGAGAACGATCCGACCTTCTTGGACTCGTACTCGGTGAAGAACAAGCTGGGTGGTCCGGCTGCGCCAGAACAATAAGCACACCCAGCATAATGTTGACGTACCCTACCGTTCGCTTCAATCCAGATACCATCTTTTGCTTGATTTTCAGCCTTCATTGCGCCTTTGGGTGCAGCACTCTTACAAAAGAAGCGATAGAAGCGGGCGACAAAGAAGCTGAAGCCGCAAGAATATATCATAGACTTGAACGGACTTGACTCTGCGTCTTTCTTATAGCCCTGAATCCTCGATGCGAATACTAATTTGCTCAGCTACCGCAGGGTCGATGAGGATACGGAACGGCCACCCAGCAGGCAGACCAATCGAGAGAGACCGGGAGATGATCAAAAACAACGCTTGCTAAAAACAATCAATGCCGCCACGTCCAACATTCCAGGATCGACATGGGACCACGTCTATTCCTCGCACGAAGCGTCACTTCCCGGAACATTACACTTCCTGTAGAGGGAAGTGAAGTAGCACCCTTCTGGGTAGCTGCCATCGCTCTCCTGTGACCCCCAGGTCAGGACGGGAACCTCGGCGCTGTTCACCGTTTGGTTGCAAGCTACGAGTGAATGTCAGCCAGCTCCCCTTCCGGCTTGGTTGAGTGTGTACTTACCGAGGAAAATGTTGTTGGCGGCTGTCAGTTGGTGGTCAATGGTAGTGCCGTCAACAGACCACTCCTCGTCTTTGTACAATGGATCGGCATTAACGGTGCTGGCAGCGCCATCCAAATCGCCCTGGAAAAACCGTTAATCCTGTCCGGAGGCACGGGAAGAGAGCAACATACAATATCTGCTGCGGACATGTAGTACGGCTTGCCGCCCACATCCAAGGCGAGTGTCTGATCCGGAGACGTGCCGGTTGCGTAGACTGGGGTCGCAGCAGTACCTTGTGTCTGGCCGACGAGAATGTATTCCTTTGAACCTGGCCCGTTTGGGACGGCGAGCAGAGGGACGACAGGGGCTTCTTCTCCCGCTCCGAGTTGCATGGCTATGGTGAATTCTTCCTTGCTGATGGCTCGCTTTGGAGGGAGGGCAGATGCGGCGCCTGCCAGAGCGAGGAGGGAGAAGGCGTGCATTTTCTTTTTCCTTTCTCTTGCTTTCTTTGATCCTAGTAGCGTGGTGGAGGGTTGGTACACTTGATGCTTTTGGAACGCCGAAGACGAGTGTGCAGGAAGTCTAGAGGTGAGTTCGATGATGGCAAGTAAGGTAGGTAGATAGTTGTCGTGGAAGTCAAGAGCCCCCCAACTTTTATATCCTTTTTCTCCCATGTACTACAAAGGGTAGCGACAACCAACCACGTCTTCCTTCCTTCCTTCCTTCCTTCCATACAACGCTACTACAGGTACCAGCTGCAGCACTGGCAACTCACAATGTTACACACACCTGCGCAGAGGTAGTTGCTTTCTGGCAAAGCGCTCTGTAACGCTGTACGAAAAGTGGGGGAGAACCGGCGTTACTGTACCTATATCATGAACCGATGCGGATGAGGTCACCCAAGACCGCGTCAAGAAAGAAGGCGGGAAATACGACAGTGTACCTCCTCCTCCTCCTCCTGTCTGAACGTTCTGTTACATCAAAGCTGAAGGTGTGAGGATGGGGATGTGCTATAACCTTGGTAGCTTGTGCAGCAAGAACCCTCGGGCTAGTAGGCTGGCTGCAAAAGTCAGGAGCGACGGATGTAGGTTCCGGATACCTTATTGAACGCCGTGATGATGGACGAAATAAGGTATGCCTCTTGATAATGTTTTGTAAGCTAGGTAGCCTTCTTACCTTACGGAACATGCCTCCCTCGATCCCGAGTAGCGCGGTCGTCTTTGTAGGAGTCGTAAACGCTAGGCGACGTACGGAGTATCCTATCCGGAGCGAGGTTATGAATACTGCGCTAAACCTAGCAAAGATACCTTGGCAGACAAAACGTATTGACTCTTTGTGTTTAGTCTTTCGTGTTTGCTGTTTTCGGGTCTGGTGCTTTCGTGCTTTCGTGTTCTTCGTGTCCGGAATTTACATCCGGAGCTCCGGCAAAAGGCTAGATCACAGAGTGTTTCGAAGACAAGTCGTGAAAGGTCTCGTACCATGATTCCACAAGCATCCGTGTTGTGTGGTTGTGAAATTTTTTTGACGGCAGATCGCTGCATCTTCCGCCGCATTGCATTGCATTGCATGCGCGGATAGGCAGGACTAGAATTCCGCGGAAGGCTAGATTGGATGTGGTATGTGTCTTGCAATTGATCCGGGCTCGAGCTCTTCGATGACATTCTTGTTCACTGTGGTGAGTCAGTGATTGGTTTTCGATCAAGGCGAGGGCTTGCTGCGGTGGAACAGCCTGGAAGACCGAATTCTGGCACACCACACGTACCTGCCTCGTACCATTGCAGTAGGGTGCTTATGACAAAGCAAGCTGAAGACCATATGCAAGACAGACCGAGTTGATAGCCCACGGCATGGTTGGTATAGCTCGCCGGACCCAGCACAGCAGCCAAGTCAAAACCAACGGATCCCACGACAGCCCAGAATCCAATGTGCCACCCAACGACCCCGATCTGAGGCTTGTACCACTTGTCTTGAGTTTCCAACATGAACAGCAGACTGGAAACAATGAACAACGTCGATGCCACAATGTCTGGGATCCAATACGCCGCATTCTGTTCCCATTGTTCCAGGCTCTCGAAAATGCTCGGAAGAAGCGTGATCCCGGGGATAATGAATAGAGTCGCGCCTAGCAATTGGATGCTGCAGGCGAGAAACCCGATCTCATGAATGTGATACTCTTTCAAGTTCTTCCAGGTAGGAATCCAGCGGAAACGGCACAAGTCTCGCGAATCTTCTTCCACGCCCAAATCCATGGCGTATCGACGTGGTGCTAGGCCCCTCCATACCGACACCCTGCGCTGATGTTGTTGTTTAGAAGGGCTTTGCTTTGCGTCCATCTCGTCACTATCAACGACTTTGGCTGTATCTTGTCGTTGTCGCGTCAATCCTGAGACTACACGCGAGACGAACGATTGGAGCTTTGCGTCCACCAGCTTCTTCTGCTCATCTTGGTGTCCCTCCAGAAATCGGCGCATCGCCGAGCCATGGAATGTCCCAGCATTGATTGCCTCCAAGTAGGCCAAGACGGCACCTATCTCGTAGAAGACGACGCCAAAAAAGGCCGTAAGACCCTCTGTCATCTTACAGACCTCCGGAGAGAACATTTCCGGGTGTGCGACGGGAAACCAGGTAAAGATGCCGTTGAAAACATAAATGACAGATCCGAGAGTGAAACAAAAGGCGACCCAAAATGCCATGTCCCAGTATGGGAACCGGGTGAATATGTGCGCCATTCCTTTGCAGATTTGCGTGAAGCTGGCGGAGAATTGAGGCGGTCCATCCGGAAATTGGACTGAGGAGTGCATTGCAGCTGCACGCGGTACTGCTATTGAGTTCCTGCGAGACGAAATGAGTTTGGTGATTGGGTGGACGATGGACGAGATACGATGCTAGTTACCTGCCCTTGCGACTATCCCTCGAGCGCCATAGCAGCGTCATATCAGCACCAGGGTCTTGTTGATGCGCTTCGTCTGTCCATTCCACTCGCATGCGGACATTGGTTGGGTTGAACAACCTCGAGGGCCCAGTCGCCTTGACTGAGCGGAGCCGGAACTTGTCTTGAGCAATTTCGGCGACAGATTGGAGCTTCTCCAAGACAGAAAAACTTGTGGTGCCATACGTGCCTACAGTGTCTATACTGTCATGTTTCTCGACGTTTGCAGACGTGACCATGATGAATGATGAAGACAATGGCCAGAGGGGACGTCGAGACGGGGTGAAAATGAACAGGCCTGTTGCCTTACGGATGGTTTATCACTGCCCGCCATCGAGCTCGAGGCTGCGTTGCGGAGGCACATGACAGGTCGACGCATTGCTGACATGGAGAGGACTGATGAGTGGTGAGTGGTGGATGGCAAAGTTTGGAACGAGATGGTCGTCGGAGAGAAGAGTGGCACCAGGCTAGCCTCTTGAAGAAGACACCACTCAAAATAATATCATCGCTCGATGCGTCTTCTTGGTCTGCTACAATGTATCCATACGCTATCGGACGTGGACTTCAGCCTTTGATTTGGCTGGTAGAGTGTCATGATACGTGCAGGATCGAAAGCCGCCGTCCGCAGGCAGCAGGAGCCCCTCAAATATGCGGCCCCAGACAACCGTGAGGTCGTCCAGTCTTTGAGCGAATTGGAGCTTTCGATGTCTTCACTCCGCCAGAGCCCACAAGCATAAAAGCAAGAGTCCGAACGGATGAACAATGGAACTACGTTCGAGGCTGGTGTGTCGCTGTACATGCCGCCCTGACTTCGAAAATGACCTCTTTGGCCCTCTCGGCGATGCTGCATCACGTCTCGGGCGAATTCTGGTAGGTCCATCAAAAGATGGGTCCGAGTGTTTGAATCACCGACGGTGCTCGCAAGCTGCAATTCGTTGTTGGGGTGGACGGAGAGGTCGACGGAATGAGATTCCAAACAGAGTCTGAGATGCCTGAAGAACTTGCTTTCTTCGAGAAGGTGAAGTCATGCCACACGAGGGTAGCATTAGGATCGAGGTACAACTTATACAGACACCGCTATTTGCTCTTCGTACGAGCAGACTTTCTGGACGGACGCGTGGCAGACTTCGCCTCTTGCCTTGGTTTTGGTGTCGCCTTGCTACGACTGGTGGGCTTAGTCTCTTCCTCAGCTTCTTCCGGTTCAGCGTCACCGTCCGCGGGCTCAGCTTTGGTCTTTTTCGACCTACGTCCCTTGTTGGTGGCTATGGCTGGGTCATTGGTCTCAGCCTTCGCCTTCTTCCCGCGATCTTTCTTAGCAGGTAGAACTTCTTCTCCCTCTTCTTCCTCCTCTTCGTCCTCTTCAGCTTTAGTCTTTTTCGACCTACGTCCCTTTTTGGTGGCTGTGGCTGGGTCATTGGTCTTAGCCTTCGCTTTCTTCCCGCGATCTTTCTTAGCAGGTAGAACTTCTTCTCCCTCTTCCTCCTCCTCTTCCTCTTCTTCAGCTTTGGCCTTTCGCTTCCGACCCTTGGCAGGCTTCTCTTCCTCCTCTTCATCATCATCTTTCAAATCGACATCGCCGGACAGACCACTTGTTTTCTTTTGCACCGATGGCACGATAGCTGACGTCCTTCCACCGACTTTCAGGTGAACAATTTTCTCTCCATTGGGCAGCACGTTCGAATCCTTCTTGCCTTTGCCCCAACGGTACTTCATTAGCCATTTCTCGGGGAACTTCGTGCTGTCGGCCAAGGTCTCGCAAGCCGTCGTGCAAACGTCGATCAAAGCATCGTGCAAGCGCTTCACTTCCTCCTGGGCAAAGGTGTTGCTGTACTGTTCCGGGTGTATCTTGGCCTGATAGAGGACTTCGTCCGCAACCCAGTTGCCGACTCCACTGATGTTTGCTTGATCTAGAAGAAGGGCTTTCACAGGCACCCGCTTCCTTCCGAGTAGCTCTGCGAGCCATTCTACTGTCACTGTGTCCTTGTCTATGACTGGGTCCGGTCCATTCTCCTTCAGTGGCGTCTCGTTCCTGATGTTATCCGCATCGCAGTCGATCAAACGTATCCGCGCTAGGCGGCGCGCGTCAATGAATGCCACTTCGACAGACTCTCTGTCCTCGCCGTTGATCTTCTCCGCCTCACATTTGACCAGCCACTTCATGTACTTAGGCGGCCATTCTTCTACAGTTGCAGTCTCTTTGGCTTGCTTGTAATACCCTGTCTCTTCTGCGTTGAACTTGATCCAGCCTGTCATTCCCAGATGCATGATTGAATGGGGGCCTTTGTCGAAGGTGACGTAGAAGTATTTCCCCTGCTGACCTGCTCCCATGACTTTCTTTCCAGTCACGGCCTTCTCGAATGCTGAGGCCGAACAGCCGACCTTCCCGTAAACAATTTCATCTTCGAAGGCTTGGCAGGACTTGATCGTTCGGTTCACAAGATGCTTTCGTAGGAAGTGCACGATGCGCGCAACTTCGCCGATCTAGCTGAGCATTAGACGCAGTCTGATTGAATCGCGGGAGAAGGCAAAGGAATTGGTACCTCGGGCATTTCGGATGCAGAGCGGTGATTCAGTCAGGAAGTGTGTGATGGTGGACGATACGATACATGTACATCGTGTCTTAGTCTCCATTGCAGCCGATGATGCCTTCCCCGGACGCGAACGCGAGAGACGCGTCAGCACGTGATCAATTTCAACCCCTGCTAGAGCCTTGCCCGTTTTGGTTGCCAGGTTCTCCATATCCCATCTCAGCCTTACTCATGCGATTGTCTTCCCTCTCTGCTGCGTGCACATCAGTAGCAGTGCATAGGGAAGCGCGATGAGCGCTCCTCGATGTGATGCGAGACTCGAAGCCATGACTAACAAATACCGCATTATATGCACTCCGCCGCGTCGACTTGCCCTTGGCGGCCGGCAAAGGACTGATAGATAAGCGTTTTGCTTCGCTCTCAGTGTATCTCATCACACGTTCTTTTCTTCCAGTTGATTGCGAACCCCGAGAATGGCGCGCAGCAAGTTGCTCCTCTTTTGCGCGCTTGCCGCTGAGGTCGTTACAGCTCATAGCCATCATCGTGAGGCGGAAGATCTGCAGCAACCAGTCGTGGGCTGGACGCGAGAAGACCTGGATGCGAAATGGGGCACTGATGTGAGTTTGGTCAAGTATACAACAAGGCCATGTCTGATGGGATGCAGTGGGGCTTCTCCGGAATCAGTACATTCGCCCACCTGGAGCATTCCAGGTGTCTGCAATATCCAGAGACCGAGTACGACATCGCGATTCTGGGCGTGCCATTCGACACAGCGGTATCATACCGTCCCGGGGCTCGCTTTGGCCCAAGAGCAATCCGACATGCGTCAGCACGACAGACGGCGTTTCGAGGCTACAACCCCAGGGCACACTTGAACCCATATCAAGAATGGGCGAAGATCATTGACTGTGGTGATATCCCCGTGACGCCATTCGACAACGCTCTTGCACTCAGACAGATGACAGAAGCGTTCACGAATCTCGCGCATGCAAAGGCGCCAGCCGAGAACGCAAAATCTACTATTACGTACAGACAGACTCCTAAGCTTCTCACGCTTGGCGGCGATCATAGCATTGCACTACCGACTTTGCGAGCTTTGAACAAGATTTATGGCAATGTTGCGGTAGTTCATTTCGACGCTCATCTAGACACCTGGCATCCTGCCAAATATCCAAATGCGTGGATCGACAAGGACGATCCGAACGAGCAGAGTTTCTTTACGCACGGTACGATGTTTTGGGTTGCGCATAACGAGAGTCTGATTATGAAAGATAAGTCGGTGCATGCCGGCTTACGCACCCGTCTTTCGGGCCAAGGCGACAACGAGGATGACGATGCTCAAGGATGGACCCGGATTGCGTGCGACGACATTGATGACTTGGGCGCGACCGGCATCGTGAAGAAGATTGTCTCTCAGGTAGGAACTGAGACGCCTGTCTACCTATCAATCGACATAGATGTGATCGATCCAGGGCTTGCTCCAGGAACGGGTACTCCTGAACCTGGTGGTTGGACGACCAGAGAGCTGATCCGCGTGTTGCGAGGCATAGAGAGCTTGAATGTAGTTGGCGCAGACATTGTAGAGGTGTCGCCCGCATACGATGGATCTGGGGAAGTAACAGCGTTGGCAGCAGCCCAAGTTGCTTTCGAGGTGCTCACTAGCATGGTCAGGCGCGGAATGCTGGATCGCGGCGAGGCTGGCAGAGACGAGCTATGATCCGTCCGATGCGGTAGAGGCGGAGGTCAATTATACGAAACAGCCGAAGTATCGAGCTCAATGCATCACTGCAGAAACACGGCGTTCAGAGCAAAGTCTGGTACCTGCATCAGACGGCGATTGGTACGCGGCACAAGAGAAAGGATACCAGAACGCCAACATCACGTCATGACTTTTTCAGACGCTGTCACCACCAATTTGGTACAATTATGTCTAGAGTTTGCAGACCTTTATGGAAATACAGACCTACACCAACAGCATTTCACACATCTACATATCAAATTCAACAACTCGCTATGGTGTCTTCCAAGGGCGAGCCAACCGACCCCGAGCTGCGCGAGCGGATCAAAGAAGAGGTTAAGCAGGAGGAGAAGGGTACGTACGCTCCCAAGGTACGACCGTACTCTATGCAAGCTAATGCAAATATAAGGTGGTGGTAAGGGAAGCTGGTCAGCATGGAAAGCTGCAGAATTGTCAAAGCGATATGAGGCCGAAGGAGGGGATTACAAAGACACCGGCGACAACAAGAACAAGGCCAAAAAGGGCGAGCCTGAGAAGAAGTAGAATTCGTCCATCGCTTGTAACGCTTGCTGTCGTCTACCAATCGTGCGTCAACTAAGGCGCATTTTCCTCAGAACGGTCAGAGTCGGGTTCCACGGTAGCCGTCAACGACGCCCTAGCCTTGACTTTGGCATAAATGCTCAGATGAGGCGAACCGCTCGGACACGCGCCAAAAGCGCTGGCGAGTCGCGACCTATGCCCGTGGATTCTATGATCTGTCCCAATTCTCCTACCGCCGCAATATTAACAATCCTCTTCCAGAGCCATGGCCTTCGAACCATCACCTCACGACAACCATACCACCACCGCCGCGGTGCAATGCTTTCCTGTACGAGCGTCCAGAACTCCAGGTGCACTCCAGCAACTCGACCGTGACTGTGGAAACGGCGGCGTCGTCTCCCAAACCACGACAAGTCAATGGCGGGCCGGGCTGTGAGCAGTGTAAGCAGCGTGATGTCCGAGGTGATGAGCGTAAGCCACGCTACGGTTGCTGTGAAGCTCTTCAGGAAATATGTAATTGCATGACGCGCTGTTTACGCAGCTCCAAGGCTCTTCGTCATGCCGTTCAGAGTCTGAGCCATGCACATCGACGGCACTTCTTCCCGAGAAGCATCAAGCCAGCCATCGAAGAGCGACATTTGGCAATCGTTTCGTTGCAACACGAGATCGATCGTGCCATGGCACCGCAGCTCGCTTCTCCATGCCTCTCGTCTGACCGCAATCTCATTGAAAAATCTGCGCCCTCGGGATATCTTGCGCTGAATGTGCCCAAACGAAGATAAGACGCCAGTTCTTGCTCGGTGCACGTAGTACAGTGCCATTCCTTCTGGCTACGTCCGTGGACAGCTTGTAGCATGGAACCTTGTCAGCACAATTGCGCGAAAAGCCACATGGCAGGAGAACTCCATTCTGTCCTGCAAATCGCTCAGACGTTGTATCCTGTCCTTCTCGAGACAGGCCAGTACTACTGAAGTCTTGTCGACACGCGCAAGCCGGATGCGACTTGCGAGGAGCGGCTGCTGGACAAGTCATCGCATTGGTAGTCTGACGCCTCTGGGCGAGATTTCGAAGACCAATCTAGTCAATGCCATGACCTTGCAGAGGGCGTCGACTCACTTGGCCGGAATTGATGGTGGAGGAGCAATACTTCCCGTCGATAGGTTAATTCGAGACGACGAATATCCTTTCTGGACGTTGAGAGTGAGAAAATTTCCATATACTATAGAAAACGGGTGTGATACTGCGACTAGACGCTGGAAAAGGCAGTTGGGCAAAAGCGTGCACGGACATATTTGTCACGTGCAGTGTCGTATCTCGTCCTTTGTGAGCGGATCACCTCCAGGGTACGTTTAGGGCCAGATAATCGTCGCACTGGTCGCGTTATGCATTGCGATCACTCTAGGCGAGCTGGCATGGGCAATGCCCAACGCTGCAGGACAGATGTACTGGACCGGCAGACTCGCATCGTCTTCAGTCTGCCATGGTCTCTCGTATCTCGGCGGTGCGCTCAGCTGGGTGAGCGCGATGTGAATTTCCGAATCTGGAACGCCACTAGTTACCCAGATGGCGATCGGGACGGTTCTGCTTTGGCATCCAAACCTCGCAGTCAGGAGGTGGATGCCCAAGCTCTAAACGCCTTCATGTTCGCATTCAACGCAATGGATTCGCCCTTGCCTCGGTTCAGCAAAGCCAGCCTTGTCTCTTCGGTGGCTACCGGGATCGTCGTACTCACAGCTATGCTGGCTTCGACGTCGGCCGTGCAGCCAACGAGTTCTGTATTTAAGGAATTCGTAAACCTTTCTTGGCTGGAATGGCGGCACTGCTTTCGCTACGGGTATCCTTGGTGTCAATTGGGCTTATTCTTGCCCTGATGCTGCAACTCATCTTGCAGAAGAGGGTACAGATCCCGAGGGAAATGTTCCTCGTGCACTTCTTGGTACATTCTTTATAGGCTTCATCACTGGCTTCCCAAGGGCGACGGCCACAAAATTCTGCGTCAATGATATCCTTGAAACCGTATCGACACCCACTGGAATCCCTTCGTTGCAATTGTTCCCACAAGTCCTGGACGGGAAAAAAGCTGGAACGATCAGTCTGCCATACCTGTTGGCCGTGACAATGCTAGGCTCAATCTTCGGTGCGCATACTTGGCAATCGTGTCTCGTCTGGAAACTTGCTCGTCAGAAAGGTCTTCCATTCCGCGACACTGTTCGTTCGATTGGTTCCTTGCCGTCCAGAATACCTGTGTGGGGACATGGCATTTCCTGCTACGCGGCCGCGGTTCTCGGATGCGTCTACCTTGGATCCAGTGTAGGTTTCAATTCATTTGTCGCTGCCGACTTGCACTTGCTATATATCACCTCTTCGGTCTGCGTGTCACGCGTTCTGTGATACTGCCTCCAGAATCTCGAGCATTGCCCATTTTGTTTTCCACGAATCGGGTCGTTGCAAATGTTGTCACTCTCCTCTGGACCGGGTTTTCTTAGTCGTCTTCTCCCTCCGGCCGAGTTTACCAGTGACAGCGTCGACGGTTAATTACATCACCGTGATCGTGGCCGTCGTCGTGATCGTTGCGGGAATGGAATGGTCCCTACAAACGAGCAAGGCTTTTGTAATTTGCAGATACGGATGAGATACTTGGTCTGGAGTTAGGTGACCTCAACATCCGTTGGCACAATCGCAATGCAGTCTTGCTCTGAAATCGGGAAACCCAGTACGGTACCGCAAAACCCATTGCAGTCCAAACGATTGCTGCAGATGACTCGAAGCCGAGTTCATGGCTCTCTTAAGCTTTCTCAATCAGCCAGACGCTCCGCCGCAGCCTCGGGAGTTTGATGGATGTGCTCAATCTGTAAGCATCGCGGCATTCACAGCAGCAATAATCTTCAATAATTCCTTCTTCTGATGGCCCTCCGCCGGCAACAGTTGGCCCATGTAGTCTAAGTGCCATGCCCAATGTCTCAGGTCGGGATTTTCCAGGTCGTCCACCAAATAAGATATATCCACGGATGTGCCCTTTTTAGTTGGATCCTCCGATCGCTTAAGCCATGATCGTAGGTAGGGAAAGTCGCCCAGAGCATCTTGGGAAAAATTCGGTCCCATTGTGTCCTTCAAGGCTTTGGGAATAGGACCTAGATCCAGCTGAATGACAATCTTGCGTGAGATGCGTAGCTCGCTATCTCTTGAAAGGCCTTTGAGTTCCTTCTCCGAAAGTCGATTGAAGAAGGTGACGACATGGCGAAAGTCGAAGCCGTACACGCTTGCAATAATAAGCGGAGCTCTGAGATAGACGTAGCTCAAGAAGTCTTCGCGGATCTGCCGGTTGACGCGAGGAAGGGATGTCGATGTAGCTAAACGGCCTTTGGTTCGTGGAATCAAACGTGCAGCCTCGACCCCCATGACTGCATCATAAACATTGTGTCTGAGCTCTGCCGGCAGGTCGAGGAGTAACGAACATGGGCCACCATCTGCTTCGTTGCCGTGGATCACATCGTCCTCGTCGCTCGTGGATCCGTGTCCCTGAATAGAACGACGCTCCATGTTGTTGCTCTCTGTGGGTAGGTTGTATGGTGAAGGCAGCGTCAGCTCGAAACTGCGTTATTGCGCCTAGATCCACCGGCAGCGTCTGATTGAGACGTACTTAAAGAAACCCATGAGCAAGAAGTGAGGCAAGAAGTAGGATGCAGGTCAAACGCTGCAGCTCCAGCTTTACTCTTTTATGGTGGGACAGCCGCTAGCGCATATCCGGGCCCAGGCATCCAACGTTAAAACTCTAATGAAATCGCTCCTTGCTACCTCTCGGCGGATAATAGGCGCCCCCGAATTCAAGAGAAGCATTCTCGAATCTGTCCTCAAGGACCAGTCGCCATGGAGTGAAGAAGCCGCTTTCGTATATTTTGATGACAATGGTGGCTTCGAAACTCTGGCCCAGGTAATTCTCTCGGTGACCCTCTGGAAACGGTGAGCTGAGAGAGAAAAAGGTACCTTTCGGAGCAGTCGCTTCGACGCAGATCTTGCTGCGCAGACTCTGAACACTAAGCGTGAAGCGGCGTCCATCCCACTCTGTACTGTATGTCATGAACGGACTCAGCCCGGCAATACGCGTTGCCCAGGGAGGCCGAAAGTCGATGCTCAAGTTCTTGCTGCGATAACCAAGCAGGAAAGCTTCCATGCCGAGTATCTGGCCACCGGCACAGCAAAACCCTCGGTCTTCTTCGCGTGCCTGCAGCCACCTGAGTGATAGAGCAGGTTGTCAGAGGCTGATAATAGGAGTGATAGACCTGGACTCACATGTGAGCTGAAGGAAAGCTGCTTGCCCAGTTCTTCTCTGCATGGACAACAGCATTGCCAAGAGAATCTGCGTCTGATAAATCATAGCCCGGTATACTCAGCTCAAAGGTGCAATTTGAGGCCAGCGACTGAACGTGCCAATGCAGAGGCAGAGGAAGGTTCACTAGAAGACTTTCGGGCGTGGTCGCTGTCTCGGACCAGGGTGTGCCTGATGATTGCTTTGCTGTAAAGATGAAGTCGTGGTGCGCGAGCCGATACTCTGCAGAGGCGTCGTCATGCCAATTCACGTATCCTATCTCAGGTATTTCAAGAACGAAACCGGTGCCTTTTCCAGACTTGGTCATGTCGATTTTGTCCGGCCAAATTTCCCTTTGGTACGTCTGGGCGGCGTTGTCGCGAGGCACGTAAGTGAAGGACAGCATGTGAGGCCGGGTCTTTGCTCCTTTCACAGTACAGACGACGAGGGTAATATGGGCACCAGACGGTAGATCGAATTTGCTATAGTAGCCTGTCTCTTTCTCAGCGATCGCATTTTGTGTGGATTATGTGAAGCAATTGACCTTCAAAGACGGCATTCTTGTGCGGGGCGTGATGATCCATGGTGGGCGCTCAGCTCAGATCAAGTAGAGCGGTCAGGTCGTAAGCAATTTGACGATACCAATTAAATAATGCACATGTCGGTGATGCCACAGATGGGAGGCTGCTCTCTGCCTGGCCATAATAAGGGTCACGATGATGCATACATTGGCCAGTGCCAAGAAAGCCTGCGTTTCCTCGCTCTCGTCTTACTTCCTGCAACACCCTGTGAAAGAATAGCGACCTCAAGACGTTGCGAGAGAGGCTTGTTTGCGTATACAACGAATCTTCTAGCAGCAGGGTATTGTACATGTACATCTAATCCTAGCTGGGCGGAGAACAGACAGAAGGGTCTCGGTCTCGTTCTCGGTCAACCAGGGTTTGCGGGCGCGAGCGGCTGCGGGCCGTTGAAGCTTAATTCGGACTCGGTGAGCACGCCTGCAACTGATACCTTCCTGATACACCAGTTCGTCGTCTTCACGCCCTCTCTATCCACCACGCCGCCTCCGTCGACCTCGCCTCGTCTCAAACTCTTTGTTTCCCTTGACCACGCATACTAACACACCCTCGAAGCATACAAGACGACACCACACGGCGCACCCACGGGGTTTGCATGGGCCCCAAGCGCCGACCTTAGCCGACCATGCAGCACGTCTTCTCTCACCAAAGCCCATATCACCAGCCCGACTGGCAGCATCACGCCCATGCCGCGCACAGCCAGTATGCTGCTCAGACCCAGGCAGCGGCAGCGGCGAATGTCGTCGCCCAACAGCAGCAACACTACGGTCGCACGATGAACGCTGCGGGGCAGAATAGAGGAGGCAATACCGGCGGATTAAATGCAGTGAGCAACGGTGGAAGTAATGGCATGGGTTCAGCGTCTGGTCCGCTAGGAGGTGGAGTAGGACCTGGAGAGCACGGTGCTGGGGGAAGCATCCTTGGGCCAGGCGACACCATCAGCGACGACAACAGACGGGTCCTGGACTGGATTGCTCAGGTCCTCAACGCGAACACCCGCGAGGCCGCCCTGCTGGAGCTTAGCAAGAAAAGGGAACAAGTGCCAGAATTGGCGCTTATTTTGTGGCATTCGTTTGGTGGGTCTGAAGCCGTGGATGATATGAGCGCACGTGCTAATTGTGCAACGCAGGCGTTATGACGTCCCTCCTTCAGGAGATCATCTCCGTCTACCCTCTCCTGAACCCATCGCAGCTCACTGCCGCCGCTTCCAACCGCGTTTGCAATGCGCTAGCGTTGCTACAGTGTGTTGCATCGCACAGCGAAACAAGAGGCCTGTTTCTAAACGGTACGTACGTTTCCGATGCCGACCATACACACGCTAACACTACGCAGCTCACATCCCACTATTCTTATACCCATTCCTCAACACGACTTCAAAGTCGCGGCCGTTTGAGTACTTGCGCCTTACATCGCTCGGGGTGATTGGCGCGCTCGTCAAGAATGACAGTTCGGAAGTCATCAACTTCCTACTCACAACCGAAATCATTCCGCTGTGTCTTCGTATCATGGAGACTGGATCGGAGCTGAGCAAGACGGTCGCCATCTTCATTGTTCAGAAGATACTTCTCGACGACATGGGCCTACAATACATTTGCCAGACCTACGAGAGATTCTATGCTGTGGGCACCGTTCTTTCGAACATGGTCACTCAGCTGGTAGACCAGCAGACGGTGCGATTACTTAAGCACGTTGTTCGATGTTTTCTACGGTCCGTATTCACCGTATGATCTGACCTCGCGCACAGGCTGACTATTGTCTACAGGCTTTCAGATAACGCTCGCGCGCGGGAGGCTCTGCGGCAGTGTCTTCCGGAACCACTTCGGGACGCTACATTTTCGCCAGTGTTGCGCGACGACGCCGCAACCAAGCGCTGTTTGGCGCAGCTTCTTCTGGCACTCTCTGACCAGGCAGAGCCGACTATGTCTGGAGGAGGATACAACAACCATCAACAAAGTCTGTTACAATGATGCACTCTTCCCAGGAGCCCGGAAAACGGCGGAGACTGACACAAGGTTCTAAACAGGCTCCCGAGGCGGCTCTGGCAGGACCGCAACTATCTACTGAGACGACCAGTGGAGACTTATTCTTTATCGATGCGATTTTTGGGCACTCTGTATCATAACCCGCAGAGGTTGTCTCGATCTAACGACATTCTTGATGCGCGGGAATCGTCCGGCGCGGCGTTTTACGATGGCAGAGGACCTGGTGAACTTTGCGGCAAAGAGCCAATATACCCCAACACGGCTGGAATTTTCAAACAGTCGTTGGCTTTTGCAATCATTTGAGCATAGCGGACGGCGTGGAATTGCATTCATGTTTTTGCAACGATGAAGGGAGGCCAGGCGATGTCTCTTGCTTTTGGGCTGTAGTACTAGTAGGGATCTTCAAAATCGGAAGGGGCGAGCAAGCGACTGTAGATATGAGCAGCACGGAGAGACGTATCAGCAACTGTATTTTCTGGGAAACGAAGAGGAACATGAGCATCTTGAGCTGAGAATTGGTTCTTTTGACGTTTCCACCTATCAAAGTTGTGATGTGGTCGATGTCTGCTCCTCCACCCTTCCTTTTCGCCACGCATCGAGTGCCTTGTCAGCATCGCTTGTGTCGTTCTCACAGCGCTCTCCGATCAGGCTCCAAGTTCGTACTCGTATAATGTTCTCTACCATTCTTTCGTTCCGAATCAATGACGCTAGCACCTCTGTTCGTGCTTCTCGCGGGAGATATCTCGAACTGTAGGGATCCAATCGTTCGTCGACTATCCGCTCTCTTGATCTAGCATCCTCGTTCTCTCTAAGAACATGGTCAGGATCTTCGGGGTCTGGACTCGTAGCGACCCCCGCGCAGTAATTCAGAACGTCACTCCGACTCTGCCAACTCGGAAAGAGAACTTTCTCCTTAAACTCATCGCAAGCTGTGGGATCGATTGGTCTTCTCCCGATCGGTCGAGGCTGTCGTTCTGCTGTTGAGGACGGATCGAAGGGCTTTGCGCCAGGCGTGACAAGGGCGTTCAGGTTTTGTGAAATGGTATCGTCTACTGCGGATCGTGAAATGCGGAGAAAGTCTGGTTCAGAAGCGATCTCGGTATGAGCGTGAGCTGAGATTAAGGAGACATAGGGTATGATGCAGTCTCACCTCGCAGTTGGGTCTGGTTGAAGCAAAAGCGTGGCGATAGAGTCGGTTGGTCTGGCGTACGAGACATGATGAGACGGGATTTGCTTTCGACGGATGCCGATGCGCTGCTCTCGCTCGAGCTCGATGGCGATGGAGACGATTTCCAGAAGCTGAGCGCCAGGATGGGCAATAGGCTGTCGAAGTAGATGTGTCGAGAGAGGATGCGGCTCTATGGTATCACAGTCGACAGTACTGTATCCACAATCTGGTGACGTCGGACATCGGCGCTTCCATTGCCCCAAGCTCCAGGCGCCACTTTCGTGTCGCGTAGGCGCGTCAGGCAGAAGGCCATCCATCTTGCGGTGGACAACATCCTACATATCACCCCAATTCCCACTTCCACCTGCACTGCGTAGGGCATGCCATGGTCTCGCTGCTTCTTGCAACGTTCATTCTGCGCTGCTCAGTTCAAGCGTAGTCCATTCAAAGTCATCCTGAATGTCAACTCCCTCCCCGCCAACGAAGTTCAATCCACGGTCCGAGACTCGAGATCGCTGTACAGGCGCTGCATCTCTCATACAACAGATCGCGCAATATTGGGCAAGATGGCGCCCAAGCAGGCGACTCTCGGGTATGTCAAAACTCAGCAGACTCTTGGGTGCGGCTCTCTGCACCCCATGACCCGAGAAGTCGTTGAACAACTCGTACTAATTTTCTCCAAAGCAAATTCTTTGGCAATCCAGGCGGTCCCAAAGCCCAAGCCCAGCAGTCGAAGCTGAAGTTCTCGTCTAAGGCAGATAAGCAGGAGACTCAAGGGAATGATGAAGCCGCTGCGTCACCAGGAGCGCCGAAGTCCCCGGATGCCAATGGCATGAACGGAAATTTCAAGAACGAGGACGTTAAGATGAAGGACGTTGGCTCTGTGAAACAAGAGGAGGACGGCGATGGCACCGAAAAGAAACCCACGATTAAGGATGAGCTTTCGCCAGGATCGTCGAAGAAGCGACCTGCTTCCAAAGAGCGGGAGAGTGAAGACGAAGATGAAGATGAGCCACCAACGAAGAAACAAAGACAGGAGGGTGTGACTACTGGTAACGCGAAGAAAGGCATGGCAAAGAAGACTCCAGCGAAAAAGGGGAAGACTGAACCCAATGACATTAAGAACGAGGATGTCGGTGAAAACGACATGCCATCTACGAAGGCCAAGTCCCCCACGCCTTCGAAGGCTGCGACCAAGAAAGCAGCAAAGGGAAAGAAGAAGACGGTCGTTGACGAGGAGGATGAAGAGGAAGCACCCGTCAAGAAACCTACCCCAAAGGCTAAGACACGCACCAAGGACGTGAAAACTGACCCTGCGGGAGATGACAACCCGCACCACAGCAGTGGCAAACAGGATACAGATGACTCCGAAGCTGAAGAGGAGGAATCAGAAGGTGAAGAAGTCAAGCCTGAAGTTGCAGCCGAGGTACGTGCAAAGGTGCAGACAAAATTGAAGGCATCAGGCAAAGATCCTCACCCCGACTGGAAAGCTGGCAACCCAGTGCCCTACGCAGCGCTGTGCACGACTTTCTCCAAAATTGAGATGACAACGAAGCGACTTGAAATCCTGGCACACTGCTCGCTCTTCCTGCGACAGGTGCTACGGCTCACACCTGAAGATCTTCAGCCGACTGTGCTCCTGATGATTGGCAAACTTGCTGCGGATTATGCTGGCATTGAGCTCGGGATTGGCGAGTCGCTCATCATGAAGGCTATCGGCGAGACCACAGGCCGTAACTTGAAGATCATCAAAGAAGATCAGCAGAAGATTGGAGACCTTGGGCTGGTCGCGGCAAAGAGCAGATCCAACCAGCCTACGATGTTCAAGCCGAAACGATTGACTGTGCGCGGAGTGCACGAAGGCTTGATGAAGATCGCCACCGTGGAAGGGCAAGGGGCGCAGCAACGCAAGGTCGATGGCATCAAGAAACTTCTTGCAGCGGCCGATGTCAACTTGCCAAAGGGAGAGTCTGTCGACATCACCAAGGACAAAGGTGGCCCGAGCGAATCCAAATTCATTATCCGCGCTCTAGAAGGCAAAATGAGATTAGGGCTGGCTGACAAGAACTTGCAAGTCGCCCTTGCTCATGCCATGGTTGCACATTCAGTGGGCAAAGATGGCAAAGGCACACCAACCGAAGAGCAGCTCAAGAAGGGCGAGGAGACCTTCAAAGCTGTCTACAACGAACTGCCAGCATACGAAGTTATTGTGCCGGCCCTTTTGGAGCATGGCATCTGGAAGCTCCGCGAGGCGTTGAAGCTGAAGCCTGGCGTCCCACTGAAGCCTATGCTTGCGAAACCCACCAAATCCATTGGCGAGGTACTGGATCGCTTCGAAGGCAAGGACTTTACGTGTGAATACAAGTACGACGGCGAACGTGCACAAATCCATTACGTGGCTCATGATGCTGAAGAGGATTTCGCCGCAACAGTTGCCCCTGCTGCTGGGAAGACAGACCGTGGCATCTCCAACATATTCTCCCGGAACAGCGAGGACCTCAGTAAAAAGTACCCAGACATCTTGCAGAAGCTGCCTAGCTGGGTCAAGAAGGGCACGAAGAGTTTCGTGCTTGATTGTGAGACTGTCGCCTGGGATGTAGAGAAGAAACATGTACTCCCATTTCAGCAGCTCATGACGCGCAAGAAGAAAGACGTCAAAGCAGAGGACATCAAAGTCAAGGTCTGCGTGTTCGCATTCGACATTCTCTACCTCAACGGCGAAGCTCTCGTGAACAAGTCATTCCGAGAGCGGCGAGATGCCATGTATGATGCATTCCAGGAGGTGGAGGGCGAATTCGCCTTTGCTCAATACGGAAACTCAAGGGAGATTGAGGAGATTCAGACCTTGCTGGATGACTCGATCAAAGCCTCATGCGAAGGTCTGATGGTCAAGATGCTGGATGGCGTCGAGTCTCACTATGAGCCTTCGCGACGATCTCAAAACTGGCTCAAGGTCAAGAAGGACTACCTCGCTGGAGCTGGAGACTCGCTCGACCTTGTGGTTTTAGGCGCCTACTACGGAAAAGGCAAACGCACGAACTGGTACGGTGCCTTCCAGCTCGCGTGCTACAACTCGAGTTCAGAACAGTACGAGACAGTCTGCAACATTGGTACTGGATTCTCAGAGGCACTGCTGGCAGAGCTGCACGAGACGCTGTCGCCGCTGGCAATCGATCGGCCGAAGCCTTTCTACGATCATTCCCAAGGCAAAAACGACCAGCCAGATGTGTGGTTCGAGCCAAAGTACGTGTGGGAGGTCAAGACGGCGGATCTAACCCTGAGTCCTCGTTATCGGGCTGCGGCGTCCGAGTTTGGCAGCGATGGCGCACACAAGGGCGTCAGTCTGCGTTTCCCTCGCTTCATCCGTATCCGTGACGACAAGAAGCCGGAGGACGCCACGAGCAGCAGACAAGTGGCGGAGATGTACCGCAAGCAGGAGTCAGTGGGCAAGGACAAGAAGCCTGCTGTGGACGACGATTTTGAGTACTGAGTCTCTCGCGGCTGGTTTATTGCCATGGAACCGAAGGTGAGGTGAACGATTTGCAATCAGCGCATAAGAGTATCTTTTCGAGCTTTACAATGTTTTACCAAATGCCGAACCACTTCTTCTTCACGGGTTGCTTTTTGCCTTCAAAGTCGATGTAGGTATCCTCGCTGTGCCCACTCTGACCATCAATATCCTGCGCGGAGCCTGTGACAGCCTCGACCGCGTTCTCGGAACTTGGTCGCGACAAAGCCATATCGCCTTCCCTCAGAGCTGGACCCGTAGCATCAGTATCGGGTTTAGCTGTCCAGCCTCCAAAGATGCCCTCGTCTTGGTCCAATCCATGGGCCTTTCTGTATTCCGACCTCTTCTTTACATCCTCCACTTTTTGCTTCCGCCTCTCAGCGGTCTGCGCGGAGATATACGCGACGTGCATTGAGTAGACCTCCATCCATCTACCCAGGAAGCGGAAGGGATGAGCAAAGAACATTGAATTGGGAGGGAGAAGGTCGAGGTAAGGGGTGTTGCGGAGGAAATCGCTGAGCCAGATTCCAACGACTAGCGAGACCAGAATTGACTAAAGCAGGCTGTCAGCATGGAGGACCGGAAGCTGGGGCGGAGTTACCATACCAAGCTGATCCAGACATGTATACTTCTGTTGGTCAGGAACCAATGCATCAACGTCCCTTCGGGAGGCATCATATGAGGATACCGTCTTGTCTGCTGCTGTGGGGTGAGGTCTGGCCCATAGCTGTATCTCGATTTGCTCCTCAATCGTGACGGGTGCGATGGCGGACGAAATTTGTCGGGCTTTTCCAGTACGCGAGGTTTGGGAGGCGGCGCCGACGAGGCATATCGCAGACTGGGAAGGAGAAAGCGATGCTGGAGTTGTTTGGAGTGGAGTGTGAAGCCTGCCCGAGGCACCAAGGCACGTACGGATGCCATTGTGAGGCTGCTCCCCGATGAAAGTCTGGTGAACGTGAGCTGGTCGCGGTAGAGTTCTGGATGTCATGCCTGAGGCACGTTCGCGGAGCATCTGACCAATCAAATTGCGCGCGCTACTTCCCGCGCACCAAGGGCAAGCGCAGGGGCCGCTTGTTTATTCGGCTGCCTCCACCGCTGCTTCTGTCCAAACTTCATCCCCAACAACAGCTTCCAACAACGCAGCCCAGCCGCCCAACAACAACGCAGCACGCCCTCGAGTGCCCCCTCAGACCAAGAGATTCATACCCTCACCCAAACCAACACCCCCCACAATACCGCCAAAATTCCCGGAATGCGCGAGATCGTGAGTAGAAACGCCCACACCGCCCCTGATTTCCACGCGTGCCCCGCGTCAACGGTCACCACATCCCTCGACACAGAGCCCCAATGCTGACTCCATGTGATCACAGGTCCACCTTCAAACCGGCCAGTGTGTAAGTTGACACGCGTAAAGATTTGGAATTGCAAACAAGAGCGGGCATTGACACACACCAAAGGGCAACCAGATAGGTGCTGCATTCTGGCAGACCATCTCCGGTGAACATGGCCTCGACGGCGCCGGCGTGTAAGTGATGCGAGTGCGATTTTCCGCTTCGAGACGCGTTATTGACATTCTGCAGGTACAATGGCACGTCCGACCTCCAGCTCGAGCGCATGAACGTCTACTTCAACGAGGTATGTCTACCTTCCGCATCGAGCTAGGCCGAGATCGCCCAAATGCTAACTCATGATGCAGGCCTCGGGAAACAAGTATGTCCCACGTGCTGTGCTCGTCGACTTGGAGCCGGGCACCATGGATGCCGTCCGCGCTGGTCCATTCGGCCAGCTGTTCCGCCCGGACAACTTCGTCTTCGGCCAGTCTGGTGCCGGCAACAACTGGGCCAAGGGTCACTACACTGAGGGAGCCGAGCTGGTCGACCAGGTTCTCGATGTCGTCCGCCGCGAGGCTGAGGGCTGTGACTGCCTCCAGGGTTTCCAGATCACCCACTCCCTGGGTGGTGGTACTGGTGCTGGTATGGGCACGCTTCTCATCAGCAAGATCCGTGAGGAGTTCCCAGACCGTATGATGGCTACCTTCTCCGTCATGCCATCTCCCAAGGTCTCCGACACCGTCGTCGAGCCTTACAACGCCACCCTCTCCGTCCACCAGCTGGTCGAGAACTCGGATGAGACCTTCTGCATTGACAACGAGGCCCTCTACGACATCTGCATGCGCACCCTCAAGCTCAACAACCCATCGTACGGCGACCTGAACCACCTCGTCTCCGCCGTCATGTCCGGTGTCACTACCTGCTTGCGTTTCCCAGGTCAGCTCAACAGCGATCTTCGCAAGCTCGCCGTCAACATGGTGCCATTTCCACGTCTGCACTTCTTCATGGTCGGCTTCGCTCCTCTGACCAGTCGTGGTGCTCACTCCTTCCGCGCCGTCACCGTCCCAGAGCTCACCCAGCAGATCTTCGACCCGAAGAACATGATGGCCGCCAGCGACTTCCGCAACGGCCGCTACCTTACCTGCTCCGCCATCTACCGCGGCAAGGTCTCCATGAAGGAGGTCGAGGACCAGATCCGCAACGTGCAGAACAAGAACACTGCCTACTTCGTCGAATGGATTCCAAACAACGTTCAGACCGCTCTCTGCTCGATCCCACCGCGCGGTTTGAAGATGTCTTCTACCTTCGTCGGCAACAGCACCTCCATCCAGGAGCTGTTCAAGCGTGTCGGTGACCAGTTCACTGCCATGTTCCGTCGCAAGGCTTTCTTGCACTGGTACACCGGTGAGGGCATGGACGAGATGGAGTTCACCGAGGCCGAGTCCAACATGAACGACTTGGTTTCTGAGTACCAGCAGTACCAGGAGGCCTCTGTGTCTGAGGGCGAGGAGGAGTACGATGAGGAGGCGCCGCTTGAGGGCGACGAGTAGAATCGCTCGACAGGAGAGGCGCAGAATGTCATAGCGATTGCGACTGGGAAATGCGTAGAGGTGTCGTCGCTGCTTTCACTGGCCCCTTCGACACCTCCGGAGCATGTACATTCTCACTTGATTGACATCACTCCTCCCTGGCGACAAGGTTCTCTTATGAGTTGAAGGGCGCCCGAGGTTGGGCAACTTTAAGCGTGTTTTTCTTGTTGCGCGAAATACCAGAGAAAAGTGTACCTAGCATTGGCGCTGACAGTTGATGGCGGCTTTTTGCAAAGTTCAAGGAGGATGATACCAAGTTCTTTTTCCCACTGCGAATTCACATTCTCGCCCGTCTATGTCCGTTCAGCTGAGCGGCTGGGCAGAGCAAACCAATACTCGAGTGTGCGAGTACGCCAGCGAGGCTGGTGGTGGATGATCCACGAATAACTACCGCGACTCAAAGGGCAGTACTCTATTTCTGGCGACGCTTGTGGCTGATCACGTCTCTATCCAATAAGAAGGCGGCACGAAAAGCGAAGGATTCTAAAGCATGGCAAGCACGCTGCAGTAGGGCGCGCGATGTAAGGGTTGGTCAAGTGATGGGCGCGATGTGTGCGATTACCCATATCTGCCTGCAATAGGGCAACGAAGCAGCAGTCAGCCTCGATGATGGAGCCAGACTGCTGTTTTTAGGCACTGCTGAAGAGTAGGTAGTGGCAGATTCTCTCTACTCCTTCTTCCAGGGCCTCTTTTTTTCTTTTCATAACCCAATCGTTACCTTTTTCCACATTCCGGAACCTGAAGACCTTGCGTTGCACTGTACTCAGAGAGAGACGAGCATCATGGCCAAGAGCAACGTGATGGTGGTAGCTCTGCTCTGCAGCTACATCGCGGTCACAACCGCTCAAACACCGGACAACCAATGTTTCTGGAAGAACTCGGCGGGTATCGTGTCGGAATCGACGCAAGGATGGCACGTGTGCAACAACACCAAGACGACAGCTACGGGAGCTTCGCTGTGTTGCTTGAATGGCGCACAGTGTGGAGAAGACAGTATCTGTCATTTCCCCGGAGGAAGCCAGGGTGGGACGGGATGGTTCTTGGGAGGTTGCACGGATGGGAGTTATAATGATCCTATTTGCGCGAAGGCTTGTAGTAGGTCCACCTCACCCAAAGGTAAAGGTAGGAGGAAAGGCAAAACGTGTGCTGACCATTCCATTTTGCAGCCGACTTTGGAACTACGTGGATCCAATACAACAACAGCGAGCAACTATGGCATTGTTGTGGAAACGACGATTGTGGACAACCGAATACACCCTCGAATGAGACTTTCCAGGCTGTGGCGCAGACGGCATGGTCGGCTCTGCCTTCAACCGCAACGAGTACTGCTTCGACCGCGACGGCAACGGGCACGAACGGCGCAAGTCAGACAAGCAATGCAAGCAGCAACAACGATAGCGATAACTCCAGCTCTGGCCTCAGCACAGGCGCGCAGGCTGGCATTGGTGTAGGCGTAGCAGTTGGTGCCATCGTCGTGATAACCGCGTTTGCTTTCTGGTTCTTGCGGCGGAGGAAGAACAGCGGCGGCGCAGAAAGCAGTGCAGAGGTTCAAGGGATGATGTCGCACAAAGATGATGAGGATTATCAGTATCAAGGCGTGGCGGCTCCTGCGTATCCAGGCAAGCCACAGCCCAGAAATAATAAGGATCCGATTGAGATGTCCCAGGAACAGCGAGTAGAGTTGGGTTCGGGACCATCAGCACCGCAGGAATTAGGAGCGACACAAGACCCATCCGAGCTGCCGGGCGATGAGAGAAGGTAGTGGATAAGTCTGGAGGCGGATTGCGTGCTTAGTCGTTGGAGCATAGCGCAGGCGTCAGACTAGAGATTCTGTGAGCAGGATTGAATTACTTGAAAACTGATGCAGCTACTAGCACAACACCTTAGCAGTTGTCCAATTGCTAATGGGACGGCGGGTTAAGGCTATTATGCACGTTCATAGCTCAGTGTTCACATAGCATCTGGGATTTCCGGTTGGCGAGCGCTTTACACGGAGCAGGGTCGTTCGTGGGTCTGAGCAGAGCGTGACTGCGAATAGAATAAGACGTCGAAAAGGCGGCTGCAAACGTGGACAGTTGGCTCATCAAGACATATCATGGTCGTGATGGTTGGGTTGCCTCGAACATCCCTGATCCCTGCGTGCTGTATCCATGTCATGATCGCATTGAAATGGATCGAATACATTGCATCGTCCATCGTACAGGTCTATGTTATACAACGTGCTTAACCTGCTCCAGAGGTTAGCCCAAGGCGCCCTTATTGAAGGAAGGTCTACCGGGCGACTTGACCTCGAAGAAACGCTTCAGCCACCAGACCTGGAAAACGCCTTCGCCGATGAGGACGCCCAGCTGGAAGATGCTCCACCACTTGACGCGAGAGTTGGTGCTCTCGGCGGTGTTTCGGTGGGTTCGCTCGCGAATGACGATGTAGCCTTGCTCGTCCTTGACTTGTGCGAGCAGCTCGGACATTTGACTCACTTGGTCGAGTCAGGAAAATGTTCTTCCTATATCAAATGAGAGTACGGCAGAAAGACATACCTTCCTTCTCCAATGGATCTTGTGGAGCCTCGCTCTCCGGCACGTACACTATTCCGTGCACGTTGAAGCTGACCTCCTTCGTGTTCGCCGACCAGTGCTCGTTGCTGAAACAGTACGTGTACCGTCCGTCTTCTTTCGCCTCGAAGGAGTGGTCGCCTGCGCTCACACTTCGCTGGTCGATGACGCCTTGACCGGCAGCAGTGGTTACCTGGAGTAAAGTATCCTCGTCAGCCTCTGCGTTCCTCAAGAATTCTAGCTTTTGCAGTTGACAGTCCAGCTCTTTTGGGTATACCATCACGTGTGATGTGCTAAATCAGAGGATGTGCGTACAAAGAAGTCGACGTCCAGATTTCCGCTTCCGCCGAATTCTCTGTCGCCAACCTGGAAGGTGACCGTCATCTTGTCATCTTTGTGCAGCGCCTCGTGGAAGCATTCGCGCGAATGAGCTCGGAGTTGGATGTTGTGCGCGTGGGCGAGGGTCAAGAGGGAGAGGATGGAGACGAGGAATCCAAAGAGAGGCGCCATCGTGGGCAAAGATTCGACGCGTGCTCCGGTGGGATGGCGATGGCTCCTGAATTGGTTCGTCCTTTGGCAGAAGATGTTTCGTGTCCGCTTGCTGAGAGTTGGACGGACCCTTGCCAATCGCTCCCACGCGCAGGGGCTTGCCCTGCTCCACAGAACTCCGCGCGCTTTCAGACGGGAATACCCGACTTCACCTTTCACATGCATTTCCATTAAACTCGTAGCCTCTTCTTGCCAGGTGTCCTACATGTGAAGAAGCTAGCGCGTGGAACCCGGAAGTAATAGCACTGGAGTAGATGCGTGATCCCATACAGCACTATCTGGACGATATTCGCAGCCGACGCCTTCGCCTTCTTCTCGCAGCTTACGGGCTTGGGTCTCGTCTGGAACCGCTTGATCCTGCAGCATATAATGCAATTGTCGTATAGCTTACTCATACTGGTCATTGTATGGAACACCAGAAAAACATTCAATAGAGCCTTTTCGGTTCTGGACGCCCTGTGGAGGCTGCAAGCTTGTCCAGACCACGAGTGAACGACCCACAACAGAGCCTCACTCTGCCAGGATGAGAAAACAGAGCAGAGGCGACTCACCATGGAGAGCGACAAAAAAGAAAGAAGAGTTCGCTTCCCTCTGTTTCAAAGTCACTGGCTTATAATTTTAGCACCTAGCTCTAATTTGGCTAAAAGCTCCAGGGCCACCATACGTAAACCGACGAAAAAATAACAAGTTACATCTAATCGGATGAAGGGCGCAGGTGAACCGACGGGGAAAAATAAAGAAGTTACATCCATCCGGATTAAGGCCACACCAGGCCTCCCTGTATATGCCACGAGGACTGATCTAGAGCTCGCTCCGATCTAGAGAACTTCGTGATTAAGCCCATTAACCACTTGGCCACGAGGGCGGTTCTTTAAGGGAATGTTCTTGAGTGAAAGCACTGCTTAAACAATGCCTATAAAGCTTTAGAGAGTGGACCCTGACACCTTCGAGTGGTCAAAGCGCAAACCTGATAAAACGCCCAACTCATCATTTTCTTTCATACATGTGAAGGGCTAAAATCTTTGTCGCAACCGGAAATCGAATAGAGAAGAGTCGCACAAGAGGTTTGACTATATGTCATTTGTTGGTATCACTAGCTAACGGTAATTCTTAAACAAGCAAATAGGTAACAGTCCAAATGTACGTCTATCGTCCGTCGTGCTACTGTCGAAGCCCCTAAGTGTCCACATGAAGCAGCGTGCGCGAGGTCCCCCCAGCTGAACACTCGGACGGCGGCAGTCGCTGGTTCGAGCTTCAAATCTCGTTCACCTGGTAGGTCTTGTCACACGCGAACCGCCCGACCACACCTCTCCTGGTCGACCTGATAAAACTATCCTGCTTTGCCACGATCTCGAGTTTGAAACCATTGAAACTCGAACATGGGTCGATTTGCGACGTGCGTGGCATCCACCGCTGCCAACGCAGAGAACCTGCCCCCGCTTGAGAGGACTCCCACGGTCTCCATTATGGATGCTCTGCTACCGCGACGCATTGTTTCCATCAGAAGAGAGGTAAGCGAAGAGCTGGAGGCTCTCATCGGCTTTCACATTCCTACTTCACTCCACTTCACTTCTCAGCCATACTTTACCTCCGCTCGTCTCGACTCTGTCATGTTCCTCCCTTCAAACACCGCGGGATCGAGCGTCTCCAGATCCCCAAGTCACTAATTCACTTCCTACTGCGTGCCATGTTCACGCTCTTTCCCTTCTGCATGTTCAGGCCGAAGGTCTCCGGTCAATGGGTTGGTTCTGACACAGGACAGTCGCCAGATCGCAATGCCGGTGAAGTGCCTTCCGCAGCACATACCGAAGTGAAGCGCGACAAGCATGGCAAAATGATCATGGTTCGCCACAAGGGCAAGTCGAACAGCACGCTAGGCAATCGCGAGAACCGGACGCCAGCCGACCGAGACAAGACTAGCAAGAATGGCAATGGCGATGGAGGCGGCAAGGACGGCGGCAAATCCAATGATGATGGCGAGAAGGGCTGGACCCCCGAACACGACGCGAAGATCAAGGAGATGAAGGCCGAAGGTAAGAGCTGGGCACAAATCGGACAGGAGCTTGGTGGCCGTACTAAGGCTGAGGCGTCGGCGCGCTTCAAGGAGATCACCAAAGACGACCCGCCAGCTGTCGGAGGTGGTGAGAAGAAGGACGAGAAGCAAGGCAAAGGCAAGAAGAATGACGACGAGGCGAAGAAGGACGAGGGCGACAAGGGCGGTGACTTCACGGCTGAAGACGATGAGAAGATCAAAGAGCTCCTTGCATCCAGCACGAGCTACAGAAACATCGCGGAGGCCCTGGGTAGAACTCTCGATGGCCCTCTGAGAGAACGCATCACCAAGCTCAAGGGCGAGAACGGTGCTGGAGGTAAAGACCGAGGCAAGCAGAAGAATCAGGAGGGCGAAGACACGAAGGGCAAGAACAAGAATGGTGAAGGCGGCGGGAAGAAGGACGAAAAGCCCAAAGACGACTCCAAGAAAGACACCAAGCACAAGGAACAGAAGGAGAAAGCGTCCAAGGACAACAAGCCTGGTAAACCCGCCAGTAACGCTCCTAGCCATCGAAGCGAGGCGAAGTTCACCATGCGCGAATGGATGACGCTCCAAGAGGACGATCTGTTCAGTTTCGGCGAGCTGCAGTTGCTTGCGGAGATAATGGCCAGGAATAGCGACATCACTTGGCTAGGGGTCGCCAGTGAGTTCTACGACAAGACTGGTCGTCGTGTGCATCCAGAGGACATCAGGGAGAAGTTTGAGCAGATGACCGCGATGGGCGAGTAAGCCGTCGCTGGGACTGCACATGTTCTCTTTGCGCTTCTGGAAGAGACGCCTTCCCCGCTGGCAAGAACATGCGTAGCGAAGCGTTGCAACATGGAGGCATGTGCCAGGACTCATCTGAGCTAGTCAGCAGGATCGAGCTCGTCGAATTCGATGCAGGGCCATGTGATTCTTTTCCAGATATCCAGAGCCCACTTGAGCTTCGTGTCGGGAGAAAGCACAAGAGAAGTGGATTGGGCCTCGTACTCCATATCAATCCATAGGAAGCCTGAGTGGTGGTAGTACAACTTTCATTCCCGTGGGTATCACATGCTCGTCTTCAGCTCTTTTCACCGGCCCCCATGTGCGCCTAAACTCCTCCAGATGCTGTTTTGACCTGAACGCGCCCTGACATCGTATTGGGCAGACTACCGTGGACAAGGCCTGACGCTACTTCAGACTAGCAGCGATCGCCTGTTCCTTCTCGTAGGCCTCGAAGGGATCTCCGTACTTATCTGGGTACCTTGTCAGAGCAATTTCTTTTCGGCCTCCCACGTGGAAATGTCACTACTTACTCTTGACCATGCGGTCCCGGTGCTGCATGCTATCCCAGGCGCGAGTAGCCTCGTCCAGCGCGTTCTTGTTTCGCCACGAGTATCCCGGCTCATCCTCCGCTCGGATCCAGGTGTATCCGCTTGCAGCGTGTGTCTTGGTGGGCATCTCTTGTCGTGCTTTTCCGTTTGCCATTGCGGCGAGCTCTGACACCATCATTAGCTCTCCTCCTAGAAGCGTATCTTCGCAAGACAGCTACCTTCGACGTCGTCGTTTCCGTTGGAGATAGTTTGAATGGGGCGTTTTCCGTTCGAGTTTGCGATGGATGAGCCAGAAGCTGAGGTGGGCATGGTACGCTCGCGATGCTGGGAGTCGGGTGGGGAGAGGATGGAGCTTGAAGGATTCTCAAGTGGTGTCTCGACTTCGGATTCACTGGGTGACGTGATCATTCTGTCGCCGTCCGACATGGTGTAATATTTTAAATACCGCTCGCGTGCGCAATGCACTGATTGGGCCTTGTCTTCTTCACATGCGTCTGGGTGCCTAGAGTGAATGAGCTAGTGAAGCTAGCGCTGGCAGAGAAAGTCCTGGGACTTTTGGCAACGGCAGTTGCTCGGCGACGAAGTCCGTCGATTTCCAAAAGAGACTCGTTTGAGACCGCTCTCTGCCCCCTAATGAACTTCCGAGACGTTACTCTCCTGCATAAGGAGACTGAGGTAAAATATGAATGCACTCGCACGTCGTGAAACCACGAAATAGACTCATTAAGAATAGCTACTTGTTCCCAGATGTACCTCCCGTCTTCCTTCTCTTCACTTCGGAATAATCATGTTTACTCTGCCGTGTTGTGGGCCTCAATCTCTTTTTGGCCTCGGGCGTTCGCGCAGGAGGCTCGTCAACGGACTCGTCCTCTTCTCCAGGAGAGGCTCCTCCTGGTGTGACGTTGATCGCATCGCCCAAGTCTTCTTCACTTCCGTTGTTGTCGTTTTGGTATTGATCTCCGTCCTCCCCATCCGGATCCTCTCCTTGATCCTCTTCCATTGCTTCTCCGTCCTCTCCACCGTAAGCAGCGTCTCGACCACCACTAGTATCCTCTCCCCCATTCAGTTCACCATTCCCTTCATCATCTAAACCTGCGGTATCCTCTTCATCATCAACCGACTGCTCTCCACCTTCAACATGGCGAAGCTGCCTCTGGAGTCTCGAGATTTCATTTTTCGCGTCTTTCAAGTCATAATCCAGGTCGCCCACTTGATCCTCGAGTTTTTCACCGTGATCTCTGCACTCTTGAAGCTGGAATTCGAGGTCGCGAATAGTATTCTCGAGACCCGCATTCGCCTCGGCGTCACTGGTTCGACCGCGATACAGCTCAAGCTCAGACTCAAGCCGATTGACAATATGCTGCTGTTCGTCCAGCCGGTCTTGTAGACGTTCATTCTCTTCTGACGTGTAATCACCGTTCGCTCTCGATACAGTAGAGCCCCCTCCAAGTGAGATTTGGACTCCAAGTTGCTCCTGGAGATCGTCAATTTCGTCTTCCTTCTTACGAATGGTCTCCTTGAGTTCCGCAATCTCAGTGTCCTTCTCCTCCAGAGGTTCGGCTTCAGCGTTGTTGTTGCGCGCGAGATCTAGATCCTCACGCATCCGATCCATTTCGATAGATAACTGGAGATTTTCGTCTGGTAGATCTTCCAGCTGAGGATCAGATTCGTCCAGCTTCTCTTGCAGCTCGTCTTTCTCGAGGCTTAGAATCTCATTTTGCTGCTCCAGAACCTCGACCTTCTCCTTCAGACGGTCATGCTCCGACTTCAACTTCTTGGCCTCTTCCAAGTCCGCGTCTCTTTGCTCCAGCAACGCCTTCAGATCCTCTCCATGCTCGTGGCAGTCTTCAAGCTCCTTCTCTAGCTTTGCTATGCGGTCACGGGGCCCGGTCACACCCGGAGATCCCTCAATCGATCGCACGCCATCATCTGGATAATTGCTTGACTGGCCATCGTCTGGGAAACGGTCGTCAGGGGAACCACGGTCCTTGTTTCCTGTGGCTCGCATGCTGCGCAGTAGTTCCTCATCCTGGTCCTTTTCCTCTGCGTACTGTTGTTCTAGCTCATCAAGTCGTGCTTGCAGGCCTGCTCCGTGTGCACGACAATCGGCAAGTTCATCACCGAGTTCCGCATTTCGGTCCCTTTCTTCCCCAAGTTGCTGCCGCTGGTCCTTCAGGAGTTCCTCGTACTCGGTCGGAGTGAGACTATCTCCGCGGACGCTTCCTATGGGTGTATGACGGGATGACCGTGGCGAACTACCCCGGTGAGCTGGGGAACTCTCGCTCCCAGCTCTGTAGTGAGGACGAGAAGAGCCCACCCTACTGCCAGCGGGTGAAAGGCCCTGAGCCAGTGGTTGTGAAGCAGAACGATCATGCCTGAGCTGGGAACCAGGAGAACGCGACCTCATGGGCGTATGAGTCCTCTGTGGCATCCAGGTAACGGGACTAGTAGGAGGCTTTGAAGGATCATGAATTCTCTGCGGCGTCCCTTGGTGTGGAACTTCCGGAAATCTCGATCGAGACGAGGCGCGATTGACTGCCCTCGGCTTTGTACCCTCTTGTGTTTCAATTCGACGCTGCTGACTTGGACTCTGTTGGTCTCTCATGGACTGTTGAAGCTCGTCCTGCAATTGCTGGCTTGGAGTTCTCGTGTACTGCAAGTATTTGCCTGGCGGGGCAGCGTATCTTCCTGGCCTACGTGGTCCATCACTAGAACTCCTGGTCGCTTTCCGAGGTCTTCCTGCTGCTTTAGCGTTCTTGGACGGCGTTACAGCAGCTCTTCTCCGTCCCGCACGACTGTCAGAAGGCATTGGTGCCGGCGCAGAGTCTCTTCCAGGCGACGACTTTCTTCGGATGCTGCGTGAAGTTGGCGAACGTGACGCCGCTTTCTTAGCGCCGGCTCGTGTGAGAACCATGATGGCAGAACTTATCCTTCCAAGCACTGGTGGAAGTAGTAAACAAGTCGGATGGAAGCCCAAACCGTGTAGTTGTGTTTGTGGTCGATGAATCAAAGAAGGGTTCTTTCTTTCATGGATTTACCGGATGCGGCGCGCATGTCCCTTTCCATGCAATGAGTTCATTGTCTCCACTGTTCGAACAATCAGGTAGAATGTGCCATGGTGAGGTGCGGCCGAGCCACACATGTCAGTAGTTATTGCAATCGGGACAACCGACAGAGATCCCAAAGGCAATGCAAAGACTCGATGCATGTTGCGCCAATGATGAGTAGCTAGTGCAGAAGCTGGAGACAGCAATCAAAGGTCATTTCCGGATGATACTACTCCGTAGTCGTCGCAGCGTTTGCAATTACTCATGACCATTGAAGGATTCGCAAGGGGGTACGGAGAGCTTGAGATTGTGGAATGTGGAAGGTTGTTCAGGGTATCTCGTAAAGACTAGGAGGTATTAGTACACAAGTTTTGGTAGATGGACAAAGGAAGGCGAAGTGAAGTAGACTCACAATTCGCTTTTCTCTTCTTCTCCAAGTTTTCTAGCTTTCAAGTGGGCGGTGGTGTCCTGGGTGAAGAATCCCTCTAATTCCATCCATTCAGCGGCAAAGACAATGGTCAACAACGTCCAATCATTGACCGTGTCCATGTCCAGATGCTCGCCGTCGTCATTGATAGTATGCCACACGCTTGGGAATGGGGACGTAATGATGTGAAGAGTCTCTACTCCGCGTTCCATGAAGGGAACGTGGTCGTCCTCCACATAGCCTCCCACCCAGCGATCGGTGTCTTTCTTGCTGCCTTCGGACAGAAACATTGGCTCATCTCGAACCTGAGCGCCAGGCTTACGCTTTGACGGGTGGTTTGGCGAGCTCCTGAATCGGTGGGCTTCGCGAAGTCGCCTTTCGGCATCAGCCATCTTCTGATATGCCCAGTGCGTAGTCTTGAAGTACGACGGTACGGTTGGGTCTTTGGCACCAAGCAGATCCAACAGAACGAACAATTCGATAGTGGAGAGAGGTGAACGGTAGGAGCTCCAGCCCGCATATGCTGCCCCCTCCCATTCCTCTGCCAACGACCTAGCGCCATACAACGAGTCGTCGTGCGTCCACGTGTGGAAGGCCTCTTCACCGTCCAGCAGGAGTATTTGTATACCCTGATGGCTCTCCAGAAGGTCATCACCAGCGATCCCTTCTGCCTCCATTGCCGCCCACTTCTTGGTCAATGCCTCATCCAAGCTCCTAGCAGCGTGCAGTAACATGGCGCATGGAGCAGCGGAGTCGGTCGCACCAATGAAGCCATTGGGGGTGAGTTTGGAATCGTAGTGCGCGACCAGTGCTAGTCTTCCAACGTCGCCGTCTCCTTGCGTCCACGGCGGATCACGCGTAGCTATGAGATTGACGAAGGGGACCTGCTTCCCTCCCGAGGTTGGAGTAACGCTTGTCGAGTTCTGGAAGGAGATGTTCCATTTGGGCAGGTTCTGGGTGAAGAAGTCGGCGAAGTGCGAGAGGACCTTCTGGGAACCGTCGGTGCCGGGGACACGGGGGATGAGGATGGGCGACAGGAGCTTTCCTGTGTGGATGTCGAAGTCGTCGCCGGGCTCGGGGATGGAGCGCAGACTCGCGTCGGAGAGGGCGGTGTAGGCGAGCGCCTCCCGCAGCAGCGCGGGCAGCAGCAGCAGCGAGCTCAGCAGCCACATGTCGCAATCCGGCTCGTGATCATGATGAATGAGGCCAGGAAGGGATTATCCCAAGGCAGCGAGTACAAAGTACGTGAATGCCGGACCCATCAATATTTGATGAGTGCTCCACGAAATCGGCAGAGAGCTCGCATATGACATGCATGACACGCTAGGCGGCCTGCAATTCTACCTTGCGACAAGCTCCAGGCCATACCATGTAACCATACCAAAGCACTCTGCATACCGCTCGTTTCCAACACCGTTCGAATCTGCCGGCCTCCAACACCGCGCGCATCTGCGCATCGAATGCAAGCCGCCTCCGCCGCATGAGTGGAACATGCGAGCGCGTGCTCGGACACGATGCGATTCACGAAGCCGGCCTGGCTGATCCACGGCGGCGAGAAGAAGGACCATGAGGTATACAGCTGCCATGTCTCGCCCGACGGCTCGCGCCTGGCCACCGCGGCAGGCGACGGACATGTGCGCATCTGGTCCACCGAAGCCATCCTGAACGCCTCGAATCCCGCCTACACGCAGCCGAAACAGCTCGCGTCCCTCTCCTACCACTCCGGCACCGTCCACTCCGTGCGCTTCAGCTCCAACGGCAAGTATCTGGCTTCGGGCGCCGACGACAAGATAGTATGTGTCTACACGCTCGACCCAGGCCCGCCCACGCATTCCACCTTCGGGAGCAATGAGACACCTCCTGTAGAAAACTGGAGGATCTTCAGGAGGTTGATAGGCCACGACAATGATGTGCAAGATCTGGGTTGGAGCTGCGACAGTTCTATATTGGTCTCCGTCGGATTGGACAGCAAGGTCGTCGTCTGGTCAGGCAGCACCTTCGAGAAGCTCAAGACCCTTCCGCAGCACCAGTCGCACGTCAAGGGCATCACCTTTGATCCCGCGAACAAGTACTTTGCAACTGCCTCGGATGATAGGACCATCAAGATCTACCGATTCACCTCTCCACCACCCAATGCGACCGCATACGATCAGACCAGTAATTTCACTCTAGAGGCTACAGTCTCTTCGCCCTTTACCACATCGCCCTTGACCACATACTTCAGGAGATGCTCGTGGAGTCCCGAGGGTAATCACATAGCTGCTGCCAATGCCGTCAATGGCCCTGTCAGCTCAGTTGCGATTATCAATAGGGGCAGCTGGGATAGCGAGATCAATCTGATTGGTCACGAGGGCCCGGTTGAAGTCTGCGCTTTCTCTCCTAGGCTGTTCACACGAGATCCACCCCCGAAAGATGCTCCGAAAGATTATATTTCGCCAGCAGCGGTGACAGTTGTCGCGTGTGCCGGACAGGATAAGACGCTGAGCGTGTGGAATACCAGCTTTCCTCGGCCGTTCGTCACAACGAGCGAATTAAGCGCAAAGGCGATCAGCGATTTGGCTTGGGGTCCGGACGGTGAAACTCTCTTCTTGACTTCTCTCGATGGGACGATTGCCGCACTTGTCTTTGACAAGGGTGAGCTGGGATATCCTGCGCCATCCAATGAGTACGACAAAGCGTTGGCTAAGTACGGAGCCGGGAGGCGCGTGGGCATAGTAGAAAACACGGATGCTCTCCGGCTGGAGGAAGGAAGCAAAGCTGGCGAGATCAAGAGTGTAGAGGGTCGGATGGGCGATCTGATGGGCGATGGCCACGCCGCTAGCGCTTTGGCCAATGGTAATGATCCAACGAAGGACTCTGGAAACAATCCGAACACAAATGGAACGGCCCCGGGGCCTGCCCCTGCCCCTACTCCTGCTCCTCCGAAAGATCCTCAAGTTGAGCGAGTGGATAGATTAAAGCAGCGCGTCACATTCACTAAAGATGGCAAGAAGCGCGTGGCGCCTCTGCTGCTTTCTTCCTCGAACCAAGGAGAAGCAAACTTACCCCGGCCACAACTGCAAGCCGCTGTCAGACAAAGCGGCATCTCTTCTGACGAGCCTACAAAAATATTGGACCTAAGCAAACCGTACGATGGTCTTCCCAAAGGTGGTCTCGCCAGCCTCCTCCTAGGAAACAAGCGAAAATATGCCGAGATGGCGAACGCGGACGGCGAGGAGAGGCCAAATCAGAAACGTTTAGAAGGGATGCAGAAGGAGGGAGCTACACCGATCCTCCACAATACCGAGGATGGGCTAGTCCCTGCTTCTGCTGCGACAGCAAACAAACGACCAGTAGACGTTCCAGAAGTCTTGCGACCAGCTATCATCAACCCGAGTTTGGCTGTTAGTCAGACTAGACTTGCTGTGCCTCAGCTGAGAAGCGTCATTGTCCGGCCATTGGATCCTAACCGGGCTAGTGCCGAAGGTGGTGAGCAGCAAGCAAATGGCGTAGATGCAGGAGACTCTGATCCCTCGCTTGTGTTCGAAGCTCGAAATGCTTCAGGTCCATCTCGAACAGGTCGCGCACAGGATCGGGAGCCGACTCGCATCACACTGACAAGACGCGGCCAGACTTTATGGCAAGACTTTCTGCCGCGAGCCGTGCTGCTAGTCACAGGCAATCGCAATTTTTGGGCGGCATCCTGCGAAGATGGGAGCATTCATATTTGGACGCCTGCGGGCCGAAGATTGATGAACGCTGCCGTGCTCGAGGCACAGCCCGTCATCGTGGACTGTAGAGGCTGGTGGCTTCTGGCGGTCACTGCAGTTGGTCAATGCTATGTATGGAATATCAAGAACATGAGCGCACCACATCCGCCCATCTCACTGGCACCTGCGCTGGATGCCGCTGCTCAGTCGCAGCAAGGACACCTCACAGCAGGGCCCAGTCTGATGTTCGCTCGCCTCAACACTCAAGGTCGAATCATTGTCGGCATGAGCAATGGTGACGGTTTTGCGTACAACGCCAGTTTGTATTGCTGGCAGCGCCTTAGCGAATCTTGGTGGGCAGTTGGCTCGCAGTACTGGAACACCACAGACACCTCCGTCTCGACGGTCACATCCACCTCCAAGCCAAGCGCATCAGACCAGCACCCGTCGTTCCTGGACGAGGTCAACCCCGAAAACATCTCGGCGGGTATCATTCCCCTCCTGGAGCGCAACACCACCTCTCAATCCCTGCTCAAGGGTCGCGCGTACTTCCTCCAACGCCTCGTCAAGCAGCTCCTCTCTGCCGAAGGCTTCGAAGGCTTCGAATCCGCCGTCTCGATCGCGCATTTGGAAAACCGCATCGCCGCCGCCCAGATGCTGGGCGCGAAGGATGAGTTCCGAATGTACCTGATCATGTACGCCAAACGGATCGGGGCCGAGGGGCTGCGCGGCAAGGTCGAAGAGCTCCTCAAAGGCCTTCTGGGCCAAGTGTTTGAGGGAGCCGACGGGGATGTCGGCGTCGAATGGAGTGCGACGGACGAAATCGTCGGGTGGAAGCGGGAAGATCTCCTCAAGGAAGTCGTCATGGTGTTGGGGAAGCATCGCGATCTGCAGCGCATCACGGTGCAATATGCGCGCTTCTTGGGCGTTTTGGACAAGCTGGAAATGGCGGCGGCGGCGGGCGAAAAACCGGATGGCGTTATTAATGGGAATGGTGGTGGTGCGATGATCATGGATCGCTAGCAGCTTTCTCATGCATTGCGGCGACACGGATGATTATGAGGTGTGGGTGGGGAGCGTCTACAGCCAGCAGCGTACTACAGCACGGGAAAGCGTTGGCGTTTTTTACTTTTGTGTGATTATTGGGTTGGGATGTGGCCTCGATTGTGCAGAGCTGGCGGGGGTGTAAGATGCTAGTTGACTTGACTGGACTGACTTGACTTGACTTGACTGTATTGTGCTGTATGTAACACCACCATCTGAAATCTCGTGACCGAGAGATCAGCACCCCCTTCGCTTTGCTTTGCCTCTTCCTCCTCCAATTCCATCTACGCTGAACGCGATAGTCACAATTCGTCGAAATCTCACGCTCACGCTAGTCATCAGATTGTATCGCTCAGAAAGTCCTGCGCGAAATCTTGAAATGTCCTCTGCACGAACGGTCGCTCGGCAGGTCCAAACATGGTCGTCGTCGTCGTCGTCGTCGTCGTCTTTCGACGTGGTGCTGCTGCTGAGGAAGATGCAGGTTGTTGTTGCCGCTGGCGCATGACTCCGAATTGCACGACGTCCCTAGCCACCACATTCTCATCTTCTCCCCCCCTTGCTCTCCTCGCAAAGCCCTCTTCGCCGCCCGGACGTTTCTCCCGATCAATCTCCCCGAGCGCCTGTTCCATGCCCACCAGCCTCTTCAGCGTCTCGAGAATCGCGCCTCCATACTCGAAACTCAGCAGGATCGAGCACCGCATCGCAACGGCAGTCAACCACTTTCGCGCTTCTTCATGCTCATCCCAGCGGTCGCGGTCGCGCGTGGCGAGGGCGACAGACGCGGAATCGGGATTCGCGCATGCTGCGGCGACGAGGGTGGCCCAGAAGAGGACGCCGGCCATGTGAGACCAGCAATCGCTGAGGTTCGTGCGTTGGATGTGGGATTGGATGAGGGTGTGCCAGCTCTTCTGGGTGGCGAAACTCCTGGAGAGCTCGCTCGCGGACTTGGAGAAGGGGATCTCGTGGGCGAGGGCGTGGGAGTAGACCATGGCGACTAAGCGGAGGGCTTCGTACGTGTGCTGGTCGTTGGCGCCGGGGAAGTCGTCAGGTCGTTCTGCGGCGGGTCGGAGAGCAAAGATTTCGTCGCGGAGCATGTGCACGTCGTGTGATGTCTTGGCCGCCGACGATGCCCTTGCTCGGATCGGAGACGTGGGACTGGCAATCTTGATGCTTGTCGTCCTCACGAAGCTGTCGAACAAGAGTCGCAGGATCTCGAGGAGTCTGTAGACTGGACTAGGAGGTGCCGCTGCTTGCAATATGGTGTGATAGCCAGACCGTCTGAAATAGACGGGCGACTCCGGTATGGGCTGAAGATTGCTGGAATGGGGAGATCTTGTCCGCATCTTGGCAGCATATTTGACAAAGTCGGCGTGAGGCTCTGTCTCACGCAGAGCGCTGATCATGTACATCTTTCTGCTCGTGTCAGCCATCGAGCCGCTCCTATTGATATTCGTGGGGTACTCACATTGTCATGATTGGAGCCAGCTGACCTGCCACGCCTAGGTTGTCCAGTCCGCCTCTATGGCGGACCATGCGGTGTAAGCCCTCTTGATGTATTCTCATAGCCTGGTCGTCGCAGCCCATGATCTCGCTGGCTAGGAGCTGCAGTACGGCGATGATGGTGGTGTCAGCTGTCCGTGCCTTGTCGTCATTCATAGCGTGGTTGATCAACGATATCACTTCGCCTCGAGCCTGCATACGTGCGTGGGAGCCATGCTGACGTCGCTCGTGAGGCGCCTGCTCCGCGCGTCTCATGATGTCCTCGTGGGAAGAGGAGATACATATGGTGGAGAGAAAGGCATGTCTCGCTTGAAGCACGGTAGGTACCCAGTGAGCTGAAAGGCCTTGACTGCTGAAATACCTGCTACCTGGAAGGTATCAGTGGCCCCCTCTCCTCCAATACTCGAAAGCATACTTACAACACCATTTGAGGGCTCCGATGCTGCACTTGAGATCAGAGAAAGCAGGCCAAGTCTCGAATGGATTTAGGTCAGATCCTATGTAAGACGTCGGGTTGGGTATGTCCTCTAGGGAGACTCGCGAATATGGAGTAGTGCTGAGGTCTGCAGCGATCGGAGGCACCAGGGGTGCGATGTCATTGCAGAAGGATATGGGACGACGGTCGGCGGGTTGTTGCCTCTTGGTCGGAGGAGATGCTTGGTCGGAAGTGGGCGCAGGTTGACTCGGGCCATCCGATGAGCCAGTGGAGCTTGCAGTACCACGGACGGCGGAGACGGAGCTCTGTCGTGGGCCAAAGATGCAACTTGGTGCCTGTGGATTACATGAGCTTGCCGGCAGCTGCGCATCCAGACGCTTGCGCTTTTTGTTTTTGGACACCGTCGTGGAGCGCATGACACGAGCGTCGGTGCTTTCTGGATTGCGTCGCTCCTTGTCCAGGTAGTCGTACATGACATGTTTCCGGAGCTCTCTCATCTGGCGCTTGTCTTTGAGCTTCTCGGGATGGTCCACGACGAAGAAGTGAAGCGAGGAATTGCCCTTGGAAGTGCTCGCCGACCTTTGGTTGCCGGGAGGAATTGGTTTGGAGTTGGGCGTATCGAAGCCGGGGTCTGGTGAGGATGAAGCGGCATTTGTGCTGCGATTGTCGCTTTGCGTACCAAAAGACATGGGAGGAGTGCCTCCCAAAGGCGAGTCGACGCGAGGCAATGGCAGTGACAGGGGCAGTGGTATTGTTTGATCATCGCTTGTTGTCGCATTTCGACTCGCAAAGGTCCGGGTCATGACTATGTCGGATGAGATTGAGATTGAGCGTCTCGTTTTTTTTTTTTTTTTTGCTTTCTCGCTTGTAGTAATGAGGCCAGAGCGGATGGAAGAGTGCAGGTAAGGTGAGGTAAGTATGTATCTATCTATCCAAGGAGGCGGAGTAAAGCCGACCCGGCTGACTGACGATGCATCAAGTTGAGCCCTCACCGGTTACTGCACATTTGCAAATGCATTTGGTTGATATTTGTTTGCAATGCAACTGATACGCTGGCAATGAATGCATGTTACATTTGCACTGCCTCACCCACCATGTCATGTCATGTCAGGGGAGAGAGAGTGCAGTCGATCGACGGTTGAGAGAACTACTACTACTAGTATAGTACTACCCCACCATCAACATCACCTCACCGTCGTCATGCTACGTCAAGTGTCCTAGACAGCACAGCCCTGAGTGTGGGAGCTGCTGAGTGCTCCCCGGCCAACAACACTCTCGATTCCATCCATCGAAGAATCCGCTTCAGTACTTACTTCCCAGAAAAAACAGACCTAACCTACACCCACCATGCCTCCCTACCCCACCAAGCCCGAGATCGAAGAGCTGTGCTCAGCATTGGCGACCTCCGACACCTCGCCCTTCTTCTCGCGTGTCTCTCCCAATGTCACCTGGGATGTCATGGGGACACATCCCGCCGCGGGACACTTTACCACGCTGCAGGCGTGGAAGGATGGTGCGCTTGGAGCAGTGCAGACAGCTCTCGACGGCCCACTTGCCCTCAAGCCCACCAACGTGTGCGGCGGAGGAGAGCAGGAATGGGCGGCAGTCGAACTCGAAGCCAATGCAACGTGCAAGAATGGTACGTCCATGCCCTTCTGCTCACCAGGACCAAGCGCGCAGAATGGCACCAGACTCCGATGCTGTGTGGCGTGTCCTTGCCATTCCTACCCGGCGACGGCGTGCGATTGACCGTGTCTGCTAGGCATGCCCTACAACCAGCGATATGTCTGGATGCTCCGCTTCGACAAGTCTGGTACGATTGTCCAGGCAAGGGCCTACTTGGACTCAGCGCTGGTGCAAAAGGCAATGGTCTCAAACCCTTGAACTGCCTTCATTCGCAACGCAGGCCAGGCCTCTCAGCTTGCGCCCTCTTCATTACTTCTTAAGACATCATCACGTAGCACGAAATTTGTTGCGTTTCCAGGCTTGCAGCCCCGCCTCCTCGTAGGTCGCGCGCATCTTGGCTGTACTGATATGACGACGGTGCTTCATGAACGGGTCACATCTTCGCAACGTGCCCTCCAGGACATGCAATTGGATTGAAATCACGCAATCATGCATCCGGTGTAGTGAATTCCACCTCTTCTTCGTCTTCAGAGCTCAGGCGTGCGGTGACCGAGAAGTAGTCCACTGCTCCGTTTGTGCGCCCGTTATGCCTGTGGTGACCTGTATTCCTCGCATTCCCCCCCTTGTCGGCACTGCCTGGTGCTAAAGTTGCATGAAAGCTTGCAAAGGGCCCGTTAGGTGTGTCCTGGAACCCAGCCTCTCGCAGTGCGGTCCTCAATGTCTCACCGGACCTGTCAATCCCCACAAGGAAGCGCGCCAGTTCTTTACATAGCTCCCAGTCTTGCTCCACTGCGGCTCGCTGCAGCAATTGCGAGAACTCGTGAACCTGGAACGAGTCTTGCTCGAATGCATGAAGCACCAACAGGTAGCCTGCAGCCGTGTTGAGCTTGCCTTGCGTCAACGCCTGTTCAAAGAGTTCCAGAACGGGCGGAAGGAATGTGAACAGGGTCTGCCAGCTGCGCAGCTCGGTCTTTCGTGTGCAGTTGACCACCACGTCGAGGTATGACCCAAAGGAGGAGAGAAATGACAAGACGGTAGGCAAAAGAGCCGTCTCGGGTGGTGAGGGAGGATTGTCCACTTCCATGTCAAGCACGTCGTGCAATAACACTTCCAACGCATGAGAGAAATAGGGCAAGTGCTGATAGTAGTTGGACAGATGTAAGGCCGCCGGTGAGTTGAACTCCGCCAGGTGGTATCGAAGTAGCTGGGGGAGAAAGAGTTGTGTCCTGGGTGCGTGCCGGAAGAAGCTAAAACTGACATCCCGCCGTTGCACGAGATCAGCTTCCACGCCGGACAGGATGCCTTTTGCGACGACCACAGACAAGGGAGAGAAATCCAGCGGAATGGTAACAGCCGGAGGTAGGTCTCTGCCCAGCTCCGCGGGCGCTCGTGCTAAGACGTCTTGCACATCGGACCATACATGAAAGCCGGTTCCATCGAAGTACCACAGAGAATCACGCAAGCTATGTCCGAGATGGTCGTCGAATTGCAATCCGCCGGGTGCAGGTGTGCCTGCGTTATACGCTCCTCCCGCTTTTAACTCCGCAACCATAGGCGGTTGATCGCGGAGCAACATGTAGTATTCAACATTATGCGCAATCACTCGCATGTCGTACTTCAATTCTCCGAGCTCGTTTGTAGAGGGCTGTAATAAGACCAGTTTGCCGTCGACGAGGAACAAAACAGATGCCGTCGCAACATCTTGAGACGGATCGCCATGCTCGAGTTGGTCTTCAGGTAGAATCCAGCTGATGGCGCGGACACGCGGAGGTGCTCTGATGATGCCATGGAATCCAATCTGGCCGACTTGTACCAGCTTTGCAGATACACCTGTCATGACAATGACATAGTGCAGCAAGGTGTTGTCGTAAGTGTACACAAGTAACGAGTCGGCGCCCGAGACTGCGGTGGTGATGGCAGGAGCGGTGAGCTGCTCAACATGCTGGATGTTCGAGTAGTCCAGGGACTTCTCGCGAGAAAACAATCGAACTTCGTATCGATTGTCGGCTTCGACTGCTGCAATAAGAATATGCTGATACCAGCACATACCGCCGCGAACGCTGAATTCGTGCTCCGCTTGTGGATCGTCGAACGTTTTCCATCGGCCACTTGTGACGCTATAATGTGCAAGACCTCGTCGACCAGCCACCGCCACGTATTTCCCATCGGGTGATATGACAGCGGCCTTGAGAGGCCATTGGTGCACGAGATAGGATGAGGGTACCTGTACGGTCTGCCAAAGAGGTACATCCGAAGGTAAAGAGGTCACGTCTGGTACTTCATGGCCTCTGTAGAGCATGACATTGTTGCTTGAATGCAATAGGCCCCGCGATATGTTCGCGGGTGAGAAACAAGCTGCCGTTGAGTTCCGCGCAATGTCGAGGATCCAGACTTGATTGTCCGCGATTGGGAGCAAAGCAAGCTCGCAACCACCTCCGAGCCAGAATGCACTCTTGACTCCCCGAAGCCAATTCTCCCGATTGCCCTCAGCCTGAGCTCGGTCTATGCTGAATGTGTTGGCGCCTGGCTTGCCATAGACGCTCCACAGAGCCCAGCCTCGCTCATAGCCTGCAAACAGGCAATAGCCATCGGGGGAGTAGGCTAAGCAGGTCAGTCTGCCGGTAGTCGATTTCCCGACTGGTAAGCGAAGCTTGTGCGAGAACGGGATATTGCCGGTGTAGTCTTTGACTACATATACGTCAATTTCTCCATTCAAACACCCGATCGCGATCAAGGAGAATCGGGCGTTGATAGCAACTTTGGTTGCAATGGCATCGTCGGATTCTGGGTCGCGGAAACAAAATCCTTGAAAAAGGCTCTTGGAATGCTCAGCTTCGACGTTCTTCCCGGTTTTTCTCTGTACCGCAAACGCTCGTCCGTCGCTGGTGATCCATGTGGCCAAATTCATAGGTCGGTCATGAACCATCTCAATGACAACTTGCTTGCCGCCAACCCAAGCCATGCGACTGACCAGTTCGGTGCTTGTTTGAGACGTGCCTTTCTCCGCTACCCACCTGATGCATTGGAGAGCTGAGGGCTTTTGCGTCGCGACAACCAGCTCGTCTTCCAGCGCAAGCGCTTTGCTGATGCCTGCATCGATTCGGATGACCATTCTGAAGCGCACGTTCACTTCGCGTATACCATCGGCCTCTCCTGCAGCAGCATTGGCCGTCGCAGCGCCATGCTTACGAAAATTGCTGTATCCGTCCACGCTGTTATGCCGTGAGTGCTTGCTGGATTCGGGGAGGATGGTCTGGTAGACTCGTGCAGACGGATCCGTCGCAAGGGAATACGTAATGAGATATCCCGCAGCCGTTTGAACGACAATGATCAAAGCATCAGGTCGTAGCAGTAAGGCCGTATTTGCACCGTACGATTTCATGGACTGTGGTGAACGCACGACACTGGCCAACGCAACCGTGGGTTTGGACTGCCATACAGTCAAGCTTGAGCGCGTGATGGTCACAAAGACACTACCACCGCGAGAGACCTTCATGTCCAGTATCTCATGCTCTTCCAACACTTCATCGTGCTGTCCCTGCGTTTTGGCAGCTCCATTGGGGGAATGTGCTGAGCCATTGCCAGCGGCATTTTCCGAATTGCCTTCAACACCGCCATCGACGCCGTCATGAGACTGTGTGACGCTTGAGGACGGGATCGCATGCTTTCGCAGAGCATAAACGTTGGGCGTACCAATCGGCCAGTACATGGCAATGGGTTAGGGCGGCTTCCTCTGGGGGCATGGAGGCACCGTCATCGTTCTATGGTGCGTGTTGAATCATTGATGGATCAATTCAAGATGTCGACGGGTCTGAGAAGATGCAGTTGTTTAGGAAATAGTTGTCGGCATGTAGCCTGCTGGGAGGAGGGTTTAGGTGAGGCGCCGGGGTCACACGTGCCGGCTTCGCACCGGTGCAAACTCTCGCGGGGCGGCGCGAACAAGCGAGCATCACATGCTGCGTCAGGTCGTCTTCCAACTTCACCTCCTGCAACATCCCAAAATCACAACTCTGCAAATCTCCGCAATCGACTCGCGTTTCGATATTAAAGGAACACACGGCACATCTCGCGCTTGAGGACTCGAGCTCGAAATTGGCACACTATGGACGACTTTGCAAGCGATACGGACAGTGACTACACAAGTTATTGGAGAGACTGGGTGAGTGCTTCCTTCCAATTGTCTGAGCCTGTTGGGCTTGCCATAACATCTGGAATCATATCCGCCATGAGCCTTTCGTCGCAAATGCAACCGAAAACCTCCACATTCACCCCGTACGCACCAGCTCCAGATAGCTACACGACAACCGACCTCTGTTTCTCTGCTATCGATACTACCGGACATGTCCGACAATATCGTGAGCCAAGACCGAGGAGAATTCGCGGCCACTTCATTGCCACGGAGTCCCAAGCAGCGCGTTCCCGCGGCGGTTAGCTCGAGTGACCGAAGCCCCTCTTCAACATTCGGCGGATATCGCGATGCGGTATGGCGTTTGCGGCCTGCCTGCCAGCTCTTGATGATATCTTCTCGGCTCATACGCTCAACTAACTGAAATTTGGTTTAGTTTATCTCATCGCGAGGGAACGAGTACTTCTGCGAAATTGACGAAGACTACCTCACAGACCGGTTCAACCTCACGGGCCTCAACACGGAGGTTCAGTACTATCAATATGCTCTCGATCTGGTGACCGATGTCTTCGACATGGAAGTAGACGATGACATGCGAGAGCAGATTGAAAAGAGCGCAAGGCATTTGTACGGCTTGGTGCATGCACGGTACATTGTCACCACCCGGGGTCTTGCCAAGATGGTCAGTCTGTCCTGTCTTTGGATACTCAACGGTTTGATCGCGACGCTGACTCGGTACTTCAGATGGAAAAGTTCAAACAAGGTATCTTCGGCAAATGCCCTCGCGTGATCTGCGAATCACAACATCTGTTACCCATGGGTCAACACGATGTGCCGAACACATCACATGTCAAGCTCTACTGCGCAAGATGCGAAGACATTTACAACCCAAAGTCCTCGCGCCACAATTCGATTGATGGAGCCTACTTTGGCTCGAGTTTCCATAACATTCTCTTCCAGGTCTATCCGGCTTTGCAACCGCCAAAGACACAACGCCGCTACGAGCCTAGGATCTACGGGTTCCGCGTCCACGCAAGTGCAACACTGATGCGGTGGCAAGAGGAGCGACGAGAGGAGATGAAGGAGCGTCTGCGTACTCGAGGTATTGAGACTGGGTTCGAGGAGGAAGACGAGGGCGACGAGGAGATTGAAAGCGAAGATGATGAGGTTGACGAAGACCGGGACGGGATCGACGATATGTTTGAGGGCCAAGGTATTGTGCAGTAGCATCCAGCCACGAATCCAGGGCATTTCGTAATGGCGTCAGGGTCTTGGGAAGATGGCCATTTCTCGCAGGATTCGTTGAACGACTTCCATATATAGGGGTGGATTTCCTTCCTGTTCCCCGCAGGCCATCAGCTCGAGCATCCGCTCTATGTCCAGATGATCTTGAAGGGCAAGATGACTGATCTTTCGATGATCCTCAGCACCAGGAATCGCTCCATATCGCTCGTCAAACTTGGTTGCCGCGCTGCTTCTGGTGACCAGCACGCGCACTTCGATTGCCGAGTGAACATGAGATGAGGCTTTCAAGGCTCCGCTGCCAGCCATCTTCGAGTCTGACTACCTATATGATTCGCAAAGCGTTGATATTCGCTGTATCTTACAATGAGCCGTTCCAAGTCCAAGGCGTGAGTCGCAATCGAAGAGACTATCTTATCCACATGCATGCATACTTGTACAGCTGAGCTCTCGACCTTCTACCTATCATACATGAAAAAGCTGGTACATACAGAGTCTCTTGCGTGGACCTTCTAGTAGATCTCAGGGCTCAGGTAGCAGATCTTGCACTTGCTTACCTCCGAGGCAGTTCCCGAAATGTGCGTTTGAAGATTGCTTTGGCGACATAGAGGTTCTTCAGCCTCAGCCGCTCGTTGTCCAGATGAGCCGAATCACTTGCCTGACCGCAGGGAAGATGTGCAGCTGGAGCGCCAAACTCCTTTTCCAGGAATCGGATGGCGGGGATCGAGCCACCTTCACGAATGTATAAAGGCTTCCTTCGTTGTCTGTGAGCTGGCTGGGTTGGTCCGGCGATCTCTTCCAGCCTTTCTGTAACCTCCGTGAGTGGTGTCAGAGGCGTGGCAAGACTCTCCTTCGCCAATGTAGAAGAGGTCGTCGGTGATGGCTTGCTGCCGAAGTAGCCGTTGGCTTTACGAGGCGCAGGCGTCTTGAACGGCGCCGCAGAAGACTTGCGTCGTCGCGTCTGATCGATGGGTCCCCAAGCCTCCATAATGGCCTCCTCCAAAGTCTTGAAGATCTCGTTGGTCCAATCACCGAGCCAAGGTTCTGCTTGATGGTCAATCGTGATAGTCAGGTAGTTGTTGGATTCGAGGTTCTTGAACTCTGCTTCCAGGTACTCCACCAGTGACTTGGCCACTTGGGAGGCTTCCTGGTTGGGGACAAGGCGCATAGACAGAGCGACCTTTGCAAGACGTGGGATAATTGTGGCATTGTCGGGCCCTGAGGTCTGGAAACGGTGTATGGTGAGTGTAGCTTCCCTCCAGCGACGCATCAGGGAGGCTGCCAAAGCGTCGGGGTCCCCGAGCTCTGGGTTTCTGGAGACGAGAGCATTTGTGATGTCCGCGTAGAGTTCAGCTTCCTTCTCACCCACTTCTGGCACTGGGTCATAAAATCCAGGTATCTTGACCTCGCCGTTCTTTCCAGTGAGCGTGCCGAGTAGGAGGACAAGGTCTTTTAGCGACTCGTCGAGCTGCGCACTGCCATCGACGCCACTGTGAAGGTCCGGGTGGCCACTTTCGATCTGGACAGTGGCGTGAATGACACCACGAAGGCCGTAAGTGAGGCAGGGAATCCGGTCATCGAGCCAGTAGCTGTTGGCAAGAAGAATCCAGTCGACGTCGCCAATTTTGTCCTTGTTCCTTCTCACGGCCTTTTCAAAGCCTCGAGACCCACACTCTTCTTCTCCTTCGATGAGAAAAATGATATCCGAGTCCAGGGCCTGTTCGCTGGTCAGCTCAGCGCAAGCAAAGATTGCCGCCATTATAGGTCCCTTGTTATCAGATGTCCCACGTCCGTACAAGTACCCATCGATGCCTTCCATTGAGAAAGGATCGACGATCCATTTGCCGCTGTCATTCTTGGCAGCGACAACGTCGTAATGCCCGTAGAATAGGATCTTTTTGCGATCTGCCGCAGTTGCTGGATTTCCTCTGAAGCGGGCAAGGATAATGGGGTTGCCAGGATCTTCTGTTGGCAACATTTCCGTCACAGCGCCGAAGTTCTTGAACACGGAGCGCAGATACGATGCTCCTCGTCGGCAGTCCGCTTTATGGTAGGGGTCCGAGGAGACAGTTGGATATGAGACGAAGCGTCTCAGCGAATCTACCAGCTGCTCATTGCTGGTCTTTGCGGTGGATGCTGTGGATCGGATACAATCGCTGACATCCCAGACCGCAAGACTGTGGTCGTTGGATCCCGTGACGTATACAGGGCGCTGGTCGTGAAATGAGAACGCTGAAGCAAGAATGCGGCCGTCATGCGCTTTTAAGCTGTTCTTGAGCTGATACTGTCGATCGAATTTCCGCACGTAGCCAGTGACCGCGGCGGTGAAGAGGAAGCCGCCTCCAAAGCAAATCGTGAGCACATCGTCTCTGTGCGCTTTGATATTGCGCACCAGCTGCCTGGTCTCGAGGTCCCAGACGTCGACCTCTCCGCCACTTCTTCCCGAGTAGACAAAGGTCCCTTCGTGCGCGATGGAGAGAATAGAGTGACCTTCTTCCCGACCATCGTCTAGTTTGTACAGCTCGTCGACAGCGCCCCCATTGTGTGCGTCGAGCTTCCACAACTTGATGACCCCGTCACCACCACCCGTCACCAGAGTCTCATGTCCCATCCATTCTGGCACTCCCTCCCTGGCCAGTAGCATGCAGTATACGTATCCGTAGTGTGCGAAGTGTCGTACGCTGGTCTTGCCAATCTCGATGCTCTCTCCGCCTCTCGCATGACGCGGTGTCACATCGGATCCGGGTGGTCTGGGAGTCCGGACGCCTCCAGGGCCAGCAGAGTCGAAGAAACGATCATCTCCGCGTCGCGAAGGCGCCGCGTGTGCTTTGGAAGCAGACTGTCCTATCCTGCACCATTGTATCGTCGTGTTCTGACAGCCAAGATATACTGTCTGCAGCGCAGAGGAATAGGAGACGCAGAAGACGTCGCCCACGTCAAAGGACGAGTATAGACATGCCGTTCTCTTTAATGATTGCGTATCCCACACATTTACAATTCGATCGCCGGCGCTCGAGAAGAGAAGTGTCTGGTCCTGAGAAAGGCATAGCCCTAGTACGCTGCCCCGATGGCCCTCTACGACCGCCTTCCTCTCGTATGTTCCCAGGCTGTAGACGAGGATTTCGCCGGCCTGTGTGCCTGCGTATATGTGGCCATTGGACAGGGCAATGGAGAGGATGGAGCTGTTATGGCGTAATCGTTGGCTCAGAGTGGGTAGGGCGTTGGTCGGATCTCCCGCGTCTTGACTGGGCTGTCTGCTGAGCAGCGTCGGGGTGAATTCATCTGTCTCGGAACCTGGTTGGCGAGTGGGTGTCAGCGCATGGCCGCGAATACCAAGCGCCGACATGAGCACGTCTGCTGATCGGGAGCATGTTGCGGGAAGAGGGAAGAATGGGAGTCACCAGAAGTTTGGCACTTTCCGTGTCACCATTGAACCCGCGAAGCTAGTCACGCGTCGGAACTTCAACTTACTGTGCCCGTTGACCGGCGGAGCTCTGACTGAAGCTGGAGCAACATTGCAAAACATACTGTGCTGTACTGATCTCTCCGAGACCTGCAGGATACAGAGGGAGATATACCAAATCTGTACAAATCCGTACAAAACCTGTAGGCACGCTGAGCACGTCTCGCTGTCGCCAGACAACACGACCATTGCGCAATCGAAGACACCGCAAAGCTACTGACAAACAGACCGACCGTGCGTTTTCTCCTGACACGACTTCTCCTATGTATAACTGCATGGGCGCATGGAAGAGGTAGGGTGCTGCCGATTCAGGCCTTGCGCATCTGCAATATCATACATTCATTATCATCATGCTACACACCTCTTCACGCCTTGGACTCCTTGACCGGATCCTCCGGGTTGAAGTTGATCGAGATGCTGTTCACGCAGTGTCTCTCGTCGGTGGGTGTGGGATATCCCTCTCCCTTGAACACGTGGCCCAGATGTCCACCGCAATTGCTGCAGACAATCTCCGTGCGCTCCATGCCGAATGTTCGGTCTGTGTGTCTTGTCACCGCGCCCGGGACGGCGTCGAAGAAGGCAGGCCAGCCGCAGCCCGACTTGAACTTGTGGTTGGCCTTGTAGAGGGGAGCATTGCAGCCGGCGCAGGTGTAGGCGCCTTGCTCGGGCTGGTGCTTGTCGTATTTGCCGGTAAATGGGGCCTCGGTGCCCTTTTCTCGCAGGATGCGGAACTGCTCTGTAAGAGGTAGACGTGTCAGTAGCAGCACTACCACCTTGATGGCTGCGAGTCATTGCGGGTTCGGCCATACCAGGTGATAACTGTGCTTGCCAGTCGGCGTCGCTCTTTTGCAAGGGATACGACATTTTGCGAGACTCGGCGGTGGAAAAGAGTGATCCGATCAAGGGAATCGGCATAGAAGCTCGCAGTGCAGCAGCGGGTCTCGCGATCGAAGCAAAAGGCTTGGGCGGGGTTCGGAGCGGCGTGGTGCTGAAGATGTAGATGCTACGGACGAAGGACTGAAAGCGGCGCATCAAGATGGTAACGTATACTGTGCAGGTGGATGTGGAAGACAATACAACATCTCGACCATCGCCACTGCTTTCTCGATCGACGTCATACACTTCCGCGCAGCTCTTGATAGTTCTACCGCTACGCCGAGACAGCTCCTCTTCACTTCTACCTCACGCCTTGTATACGCCCTGCTAAGAGAAAAGCCACATTCAACAAATACTATGCGCCTGGCCCACAGTATACTACAATACCACCCCAACTATGGACGATGTCAGAGCTGGCGAATTGAAATGTGTCTTTGGCACAGCTGGACGCAGCCGCCCCCGGATGCAATAGCCCCTCTTCACAGATGCTCTACATTGTAGAGCCTCACACCATAGACACCACTTGTTCGAGCCAGATATCCCAATGGCTCCGAGGCATCAGTGTTGTGTCATATATGATGGCTTTGTCTCTGAAACAGGTACAGTACTGCGCTCGTGCATTGCCAAATCCGGCGGCTTGCAACAAAGCTGAGTAGGAACAAGAAGAATGGGAAAAATTTGATGTAAAAGGCGGCTTAGTCTACTTCGCTCCCTCCGAAGCTCCAACGAACCTCGAATCCAACAGCCCGAGTCCAAACGCTCTCAACATGGACGCAGGAAACGATGCGATTGAAGATGGCAGTACGGGCTGGCGAGGAGCAGGCCCTCAACTGCCCGGGGTTGATGAGGAGTGTCCCACTTGCACATTGAAGGAGTACCGGAAAGTCAGATTGATCAATCCGATCACCGAGGACATATCCAAGCGGGATATGATCTATTGTGAACTTTGTATGAGCCCCGCTACCAGATACGGAACACGTCGAGAACTAACTTCGTTCCTCCCAGGTGTCAGGCAGATGTTCGACATGGCGTGAGGCAGTGGGATCTCGGAAATGTGGAAAATGAGCTGAGTTGTTGCAGTTTGGACGAAGAAAGGAACTATCCTCCCCTTGGACATCTAAGGATCGACCAATTCCTCGATTTCAGCACATTCGACGCACCGTTCGTGTCGGACTACCGTGAACGCGAAAAGCTGTATGCAGTCCACCCTCGTTGGACGCGTATAAACTGTAAAGGCTGCAAGACCTTCGTGGGACAGTACAGGAAACAAATCAACGGAGTCTCACTTCGAGATACATGTCCTTATTGCAGTGCACAGGTTTGCATGGGAGTAAGTCGACATTACCAACTTCGTTCTCTGAACATGAAGACTGAATTTTCAGTGCGGCGAGGCCAATCCTCTCCAGACTCACCATTGTGAAATCTACGTTCCGAATGATAAGGTTACACCTGACAAGCCTATTCCATCAAGACATGTGCAGATATGTCCCAGTTGCCACGTAGACGTTGAGCTAGGTGACGGATGCAACTCGATGAGGTAGGTGTTGTGGTGCACCCTCGGAAGAGGAAGCTTACACTCTCCCAGGTGCACGGTGTGCAGCACATCGTTCTGTTTCCTCTGTGGCATGCAAGCTGAAGAAAAATCAGGCCACTGGTAGGTTGGGCATCAGCCTCATATATGGCTTTAAACCCGGGCGACCTGTCCACATTCTAATTCATGCCGACAGGAGCGTTCTTCGTGGCGTATGTCCGAAATGGAATCATCCGATGCCGATTGACCGCGACCCGACCACCGGGAGGTTCAGAAATCCGACATGGCTGCCTTACGACGGCCATCCCTACCTCAATCGTAACACAGGATTCTGGCAGGACCCCAATCCTCCGCCTAATGTGACGCCTGCGCGCAGATTCGATGGTATATTTACAAGTAACGAGACGGATCGGATCGACAGACCCATATTGCACGCTTCTGTGCAAGAGCATGCGGTTGCTCTGTCAGTGGCTGAAGACTTTTCCGATTGGACAACGTTTGTCGATGACTTTCAGAGACAGCCACGACTGCCGGATTTTGGATCCCAAGACTTGCTAGCAGTCATCGTGCACCCTTCTCACGCTATGTTTTTCCGTCAACTCATTGTCAGTGGACATGCAGCCGCCGTGCTCCTACACAAAGGCCTCGTTTCCAAATCCGATGCTGTCCATCGCGCGGAAGGGCTGAGCGAGCGGGTTCTGTTTTCGCACCACGCCGCGATATTCAGACAGTACTTTGCGCACTTGCAGCAGTGGCCTCCGAGTGAGCACGCGGTGGATTGGCAGAACGAACCGAGGAAGTGTTTCCACGATTTCTGGCAATTGCAAGCCCCTCTGACGCTGCGAGAGGGCATACGTGGGATGAGTAAAGGCGAGAAAATGCGGATATTTGGAGCGTTCCATGCTGTCTGTGGACACTTGGGGCGCCGATATTCTTACGACCCGTTGGAGAGGACCACACCGGAAGCCAGAAAATTGCAGTATATATCCGGAGACCGGGATCCCACGGCGGAAATCGCTTGGAGGTTGCAAGAAGTGTTCGAGGCCTTGTGCCGAAATCCAGAGGGCTGGTACGAACCAGGCGACAGAGTCACGTTGAGAAGACACCTTCAACAATTAGGCCTCCTGGTCGAACTGCCTGTCATCGCATCATGGAAAGACGGCACAGTTGACAACGATCGAAAAACGCTCCATGGCTTGATGGACGCGGTGGCATCCGGCAAAATCCTCGTGCCGCACCTTGCCCTGCCTCAAACTGCGATAGGGACGACGCGGCGAAAAGCGCAACAAGTGGCGGACCGCGATTGGACCAGGGATATAGCGGATACGCTGCAACCCGTAGTGTCTGCGATAGGCGATGTCGCTTCTGCCTCTGAATTTGAGCTGATGGTCTGCGACTTGTTCACCATCGTCTGGCGGATGGAAAGCTTTTTGGCAAACATCGCAGTGGACGCCGAGTTCGACGAAAGATTGGTTGCGGACACGATACATCAAATTGAACTCAGCAGTCAAGCTGCGTGGCAAGGTCCTCTCAGAGACGTGTTCTCACATGCACTGAAGATCAGTAAAGGGGTTTTAGGCGAGACCACAGGAATATTTACGTATGCTCCCCCGGGCGAATAGACGTGAGCATCCGCTCGTCGGCTTGGCGACTCACAAGAATGAGTACAATTCTTGGCGAACGTATATTTGTGTGTTTGTAGATCAGCGACTTTAGGTTAGAGGAGCAAGTGAAGTTGAGCAGATCGTGAAGGAGATCGGCGCTTGTCCCTTGCAGCGATTCGTGCTTCCGAGATCTGGACTTACGACACGTCATGGATATTCACGGTAACCTCCCCCTGAATTATCAGTCAAGGAAGGCACCCCAATAAGGTATTTGCTCTTCGCACATTCTTGTGCTCTCTCAAACACTCCGAGTTCCGTTCGCTGCGGATACGACAGTGGTTTCTGAGAAGATCTTGTACTGTTGAGTCACAAGAACGTTGATCTATTAGCTGGCATCTGACTTGGTCGCTCGGAGCTCTCACGCGACTATTAATAAGGCGATTCTTCGACACTGTGGTAGCCTGGCCTGCTCCAGCCTTCACAGTTGCCTCCCTTCTTTCAGACAATTCTATCGGAGGACAACGGTTCTAAGCATCCTGTCTTTACCCATCGCAACAACAATGCCACGGTCCACGAGAGCATCAGCGGCACGAGCCAATGCAGCACTGACGAATGGGGCTGAGCAGCTTTCCAGCCCTCCTGCGACGCCCGCCCCAGGAAAGAAAGGGAGGACGAAGGTGCCGAAAGCGAACGAATCTCGCATGAGAGATCCTCCTGTAACGCCGGCGAGTAGCACGCGCAAACGCAGCAGGAAACCAATCAAGCAGGAAGACGGCGACGTCAACGAATTGCCTCACAACCTGGGGACTGCTCTCCATACCCCCGGCGCAGATACGTACTCTGGACCAGAGGAATCTCGGCCTAACAAGCGACAGAGGACTGCAAGGAAGACCGAATCTGATGGCGAACCTGCGATCAAGGGCGAGGACGTGGAGCAGCCGAGCGAGGTGAAGAAGACACCGAAGAAGGCCAATTATGGCTTGACACCAGGCACCTCGCCCTACCCCGACTATCCACGTCCTACTGACGACGAGTGTCGTGAGGTGGTTCGACTACTGGAGAAGGTCCATGGGAAAGCGATTGCGCCTAAAGCTATACCACCACCGTCACTGGATGTCTCCGGCTGTGGCGAGGTTCCCTCTGTTCTGGACGCTCTCGTGCGGACACGTCTTAGCGCCAATACTACCAATAAGAATTCTAGCACTGCATTTCAGGGCCTCGTAGCTCGCTTCGGAACGCTTAAGGAAGGCATTGGCAAAGGAAGTGTCGACTGGAATGCTGTGCGACGCGCGCCGCAGAAAGAGGTCTTCAGAGCCATTGAGCGCGGTGGCCTCGCTGATCGGAAGTCAAAAGATATTCAAGCCATACTCCAGATGGCGTATGAAGAGAACCAAGAACGAAAAGCAGCTTTGACCAGTGACGCCGATTCTGCTGCTGGCGCCGACAAGGAACCTAAAGGCGAAAAGCAAGAAGAAATTGCAAAGGCAACGCAGAACGTTATCTCGCTGGATCATATTCATCTTCTGAGTACCGACGACGCGATCAACAAGATGCTCAGTTATCCTGGGATTGGACCAAAGACAGCATCTTGTGTTGCCCTATTCTGCCTACAGCGACCTTCATTTGCAGTGGACACCCACGTGTTCAGGCTATGTCAATACCTGGGCTGGGTCCCGAAGACGACAAGGAAGGGGCAACCAAAGGTGGACAGGAACACGACCTACTCTCATTGCGATGTCCGCATTCCAGATGACCTGAAGTACCCACTTCATCAATTGCTGATCAAACACGGAAAGACATGCCCCCGCTGCAGAGCCGTCACGGGACAAACCAGCGCCAACTGGGAGGAGGGGTGTCCCATTGAGCATCTTGTCAAGAGACATGGTGCAAAGAAAGGTGGCATCTCAACAACAGACCGCAGGAAAGCTGAAGCTGCCGCGGGACTGGCAGGAGATGACGTGGACGAAGGCGGTGCAGATGGCAAAGAGGTTGAAACGAGCTGAGTGATGTTCCAGAAGGCGGCGATGACGAAGAAGGCGGCTTGAGATGCCTTGAGATTTCTCGCAGATGACCAAACAGGACATTTATTAACAGTGTATACAGAGAAAGCTTGTAGATGCAAATACCCTTGATACTGTACACTACCTTCGGCTTCAGTAGTGCCGATTGCCGATTGGCTTCAGGTTCATTACGAGCATGCGCAAGACGCCGACTAGCGTGATGCTTTTCTTGCAACAAAACTTTGTGGCTAACCGCGCATCTCGTTCGGTGTCTGGGCGCGTGCTCAGGCTTACGAGCGCGTTTAATTTGCGCAGAGCATATAACAAGGAAAGGTAGGCGTTGCTGTTCCAAGTTTGGGGTGTTCTGATTCCCGAGCCCCCATCGATCTCCAGTCTTGGCCCAAAAGCTACACAGACCACAAACAAATCTCATTGCGAAGAGCAGCTCGAGGTATCATACGCCGAATATCCTGCCTGCGAATGATAAAACAGCTCGAAGAGTCCTGATGTTATCGGCAGTCAAACAAAGCACAGCTGGATCAACATCAACATGCCATCCTCCACGAGCGACGTCCTTCTCTACTTCCTCGCCCTCTTCGTCCCGCCCATTCCGGTCGCGATGAAAGCCGGCTGCGGTGCCGACGTCCTCATCAACGTGGCTCTCTGGATCTTTGGTAGGAACCCGAAAAACAACGAAGCCGCGCCACGGCCCGACGGAATAGCGGCTAGCTAACGCCTCGGTCTTCTTCTTACAGGTTGGATCCCCGGTGTCATTCACGCGTGGTGGATCATCAGCAAGTATGAACGGCCTGCTGCTGTGGCGTGAGAGGAGCAAGAGTAAAGCGGTGCACGGGACAAATGTGATGCAATCAGAAGAGATGGAACCTAAGGCTCGTGTATAGACAGACGCAAACCAGAGCTGTGAAATGACGGCGTGTTTGAGGAGCACGGGACTCGGGATACATTTTGATTTCGAAGACGATACCTCATGTCAAGAAATGGAAGTATTGGAATATTGAGTTGGCGGCTGTGCGAATGCGGCGCATGTGAAATCACAGGCAACCTGTATCTTCATTCCCTTCTGCCTTGCGCTCAGCCTAGCAGTTTGTTTGCTTGTGGCGCAAGCAGCATCCAAGCGCCCACTCACTTTGCCACAGCAACCCTTCGATTATTCTCTTCACGTTCAGCGGAGACCGAACCTTCTCTCCGAGCAACACACCTCTCCCAGGCACGCACCACCAACGGTCAGTCGATCATGGGAGAACCTACCCGCGCTGTCTCAAACGCAGCTCGCGCAGCCCTCGATGCAGCAACAAAGTGCTTCGCGATGAACGAGGGCGCCAGAGCAGCTGTTGAGAAGGCACGAGCGACCTGCGCTTCTGCAGTCAGCGCTCTCAGAGAGCTCAAGTGGGAGCACGTCCCCCAAGCTGCGGTCGGACACATCAAGGCTCATCCATATCTCACCGCAATGCAAGCCTCCAGCATTCTCGTCGCCTTCGTCCCTGGCCTGGCTTGGATTCCCGCAGCCACAGGACTTGGATTCGGTACTGGTGGACCAACGGCTGGTATGTCAAATGTATGCACTTTCGCACGGTATGCCCCTGAGGGACTAAATCTTGGCAGGTTATCTTGCCCCGGCTTTCCAATCTGCCTTCGGCACTCCTACTTACTTCTCAGCGTTGCAGAGCGCAGCCATGAACGGGTGGGGCGTCAGCGTCGTCAACGGAGCGGTGCAAGTCAGTGCCATTGCGACGGGTATCATGTCAGAAGTAGCAAAGCACTGCTCAAGCAAGTTGTGAGCATCGGGGACGGATTGCAGCAGCGAACACCGTGCAGGTTGCTGCCATTTGCAGACCTTGGCTCGTACATCGCCAGAGAAAGGAAGAAGGTCTAGACTTCTCATCAGGACTACACAACTCCACGGGTGCAGCATTAGGAAATTGAACGGCCTGTCTGCGAACAGCGATGCACAAGGGAACAGACTCAATCAAATCTGAATGGTTTGAAGACAAACGTCTTGCATTTTCTTCTAACGCATCACTGTATTGCCGAATTGCCTGTGTGTCATGTCTCCCACTGCTAATATACAGACGCGACTCTTCTGGTGACATCTGGGGCTGCGCATCCCGTCTAGAGCTCATCCTTGCTCTTGCCGTTGATATCCACCAGCTCCGTCTCGAAGATCAAGACCGCGTTGCCCGGAATGGGTCCAACACCTTTCGCACCGTACCCGTAGTCGGGCTGGATCGTGAGCTTCCTCTTATCCCCGACACACATATCTTTCAAGCCCTCGTCCCATCCCTTGATGACCTGGCCCTTGCCCAGAACGAAGCCCAAGGGCTGGTTACGGTTGTAGGAAGCGTCGAATTCCGTGCCGTCCTCGAGAGTGCCGCGGTAATGCATGTTGATCTTGTCGCCTACAGAATCATAAGCAGGTGACACTTTGTGGGGAGGAGGGAGAGGCGCTGCTGCTGCTAATTCGTACCAACTTTGGTCTTTGTGGTGCATTCGTTCGCCTTTAAGACTTCAATGTCCAAGGGCTTGTCGAGCGCCGATGCGCCAGCAAAGAGAAGGCCAAGGGTCGCGGTGATGACGGTGAGTTTCATTTTGTTTGTCTGTGGATGTTGGTCGGAGTGAAAGGCTTAAGTGAATGTCAAGTACGACAAAAACGTGTCAACCTTCACATGCGAGCAGGGGAGCTCCCCACATGGTCAAAGCTTTGATCCAGGGTCTGACGGCAGGGCCCTTCGACGCGCCAAACTGCGAGACATCCACGCCTTCGCCACCAAAGGACCGAGCATCACTCAGCTTTCGACGCGCATGTTCGACAACCGTCTGGATCACCTCTCCGAGCTCGAACAGGTGGATTGTACATCCAAGACATTCTCACTTTTCTATGGAAAGTTCCTCAGCGATGTTTGCGATGCCAGGCATTTTCAGAGAGTTTGCTGAGCCGGTTGCTCTTGCTAAAAGCAGCGACAATGTTCGATCGCTAGCTTCTATGCAATGGAAACCTCTACCTTCCTGATTAGGAAGCTGTGGACCTAGCTATACCGAATACTCACAACATTACCTTCTCTATGTTCTGTATAAGGACAAGAACTTTGAGCTATACATAGGAGACAATATATGCCTCCCTGAGGTCGGCCCAAGTCACTCGTTACTTCGGTCAACGAATCCAACGTAACTTTCGGCAGACGAACCGAAATGTCAAAGGAGTGAATGTTCACTTACCAGTGCAGCATCTCCAGCGCGGCGGTCCGCGCAAGCGCGCGCTCTCGTAAAGCCGACTTTTCTCGACCCAAAACATCACTCTTCCGATCACCATTCCACTGTCAACGCCTTTCGGACGTGAGGACACCAGACCCACACCCAGACAACAGACACACCACGCAATCTCGATTCGCGCATCCCGCCTCTTTATCAACCACCAATTTCACTCTGGACTGTCGGCGCCTTTTGTACACCTGTCTTGACCTTTGAGGCTGTACTTCCCGCGCCTGCGGCCCTCGACTTCCACAACACGAGGGGAGTACGGCCATCATGGCAGCCCAGCGCCAGTTGGCCCCATTTCAGGAGAGGGCCCTCCGCGACGCGATTGCAATGGACGAGCTTAATCTAGAATGTTTGAGGGGCAAGGGAAGGAAGAAGAGCAAGCCGCAGCTAGGGATCGAGAAGGCGAAGAAGCTGGTGCAGACGAAGCAGAAGCTGATCGAGAATGCAACGGACCTGCACAGCCGCAGAGTAGCCCAACTTGACTACACGAAGGCGCTGAAAGACCAAAGCTTCTATCAAGCAGAGCTTGACCGCGCCCCGGAGGATATCGCCAAGCTGGAGAAGGAACTCGCCAGAAGGAGAAGCAGACTCGAGGAGAATGAGAAACTCAAGGCCAAGAACGAGAAACGCGAGGCTGCAAAAATTAACAAGGCTGGTTGTGCAGAGAAGAAGGGCCCCTTAGCGACATCCAGACAGCAAACAGCCAACACAGTCTGGAAGCCAGCGACTGCAGAAGGCATGGCCTGGAACAAGCGCAAGGCGCCGCCGAAGGTGACCAAGACTACCCGCAAAGTCGCGTCTCACCCCTATACATCTCGAACGCGTGATCTCGTCAAGGATACGACCTCTTCGAACAAGGCAAGAGCGCACGGTGCCCCGGGATCTATGGGCGTTGACGGAGATACCGGTGCGAAGACACATAGATCCGCTGGCAAGGTCGACGTGAAGACACCAAGCAGCGGCCGTACGAAGCGGAAAATGACCGATGCGGAGAGCGACAGCGAAGAGCAAGCGCCATTGAAGCGGGTGCGCCGAGCTCCAGAGACCTCTTCTCGTCCCAAGCGCAAATTCTCTATCGAAGACGACGACACTGCCGCGGCGAGCGACGACAAGCAGCGGAAGAAGACGCGGAGAGAATCAAGCACTGCGCCATCAGCAGTATCGGCTACCGCCGGGGACAACACCGAGGCAGAGGACTCGGATGGCTTGAGGGTGGGCGGATCTTCTGGCAATGCTAATTCTGAGAAGGCAGACACAGAGCAGCACCCAGCACGAAAGACTTCACGCGCTTCACGCACTGGATCAGAGACAGCGCCGTTCAGCAATGGTGATAACACAAGCGAAGAGGAGTATCGCGAGCTGAAGTCGACATCTCCTTCCGCCGATAGTAGTTCCATCCGCACTAGGGCCACCACTCCAGAAGATCCTGCGTGCGTCCAAAATGACATTTTCGATGACTCGCAAGTTGTTTCAAACAGCTCAGAATATACCCAGGGCGCTGCACAGAAGAAGCGCAAGCTTGAGGATGGTCCTGAGAGTCCATGAAAGAAGGCTCGATCATCGAATACGCAAGCCGGAAGCAGTACAAACGACGGTGCATCCCAAGCCAGAAAGATCAAGATCTGTGGCGTGTTCATGAACAGAGAAGTAACCGCAAACGGCAACTTCAAGGGCATGGGTAAGGAGACCAAGGATGATAGATTCGAGGTCGACACGCCAGCTAGTGTACGGGGACGGAGGACGACTATGAGCTGAGAGGCTTATTCAACCTTCAGCAAGCCTGCTTCGCCAACTCTGCTCTCCAAATTCTCAACGCGGCCTTGAGTTTTGAGGAGATCAAGAAGCTTCGAGGCAACAACCCGCTCTCCCTGTTCAAATACACGTACCAGGAGCTTTTGACTATATTTGACCTGTCAGGCAAGCTGAGGGTTACACATAAATACTCCAAGATGCTCGAGAAACTGCGCCAGACTATTGCGCTTGAGGGCGCAACGTCGGAGAGCGGCAGTATCGCGATTGGTCCCTATCTTGGCCAGCTGCTGGTGGACATGCGAGAGGGTGTCTCACACAAATCACCCAAGCAGTTGGATAGGGTCAACCCTCTCATCCTTCAACAGGTCTTCGCGTATGGAGGTCGTGAAGATCGCCATCAGTTCGACGGAGACCTCCAGCAGGATTGCCATGAGTATTTGATGGGTCTAGTCAATGCCGTGGCCGAGAGACATCCCTTCATGGGAAAGCTTTTCGAGGTGGAGACCTCAGTGCGGGAGCGGTGCACAGTATGCAACTGGGAGCGCACGAGCATAGTCCCACAATTCGGACGCACATTCCAAGTACCGCCATCCACCATAGGACTGAGGGATTCGATCGAGCGACACTCGTCTGTGGCGGCGGAATTTGGCGAGAAGCAATGCCCGACATGCGAGAAGTTCGGCACGCTCGTCGAGACCACAACCGTGTCCAAGATTGGCAACCATCTAGTAGTCGCGCTGAACCGGTCTGGAAACAACGATCATAAAGTGTTGACCAAGATTGGGCTGGGAGATACGGATTTGCGGTTCGAGCACGGTGGTAACAGTTATGTTGCGAAAGCCATCATCCGTCATAATGGCTCTAAGACCACCAACGGACACTACACGGCGCTTGTAGAACACCAGAGCTCGTGGCACGAGACCGACGACCTGGACTGCACCAAAGTGACGTTGAACGACTTGGCTGACCGTCGCAAGAATCTGTGCTCCATAGTGCTGTTCCAGAAGGGCCGGGCGCGAGGAATTCCAGCACCAGGTGCGCGCCAATGACGGTAAGGACGCCACGAAGGAAGAAGCGGCGGAGGAGGCGGTTACGCAGGAGACCCAGCATGTGGAGCCCCACGAAGGAGATGCACACCAGGCTGGAGAGACGGAGGGTAGAGAGTAAGCCATTCAGGATGGAACGACGGATGAAGCCCAAGCAAGGGAGGATCGAATAGTTGAGGAGGCACAGAAGACTGCTTGACCGTCAAGGATGTGGACACCACCTCCTCCAAAGCTCATAGCTTGGACGCGAACGGCTTCGTCAAGACCGGCAAGTACGTCTTCTTCGGCGGTATCGCGGCGCGTACCTCTCCATACAGGGACTGAAGCGCGCAGAGAGTATCATGGCTACCATTTGCAGGATGGAGGAGACGCTCAGGTCTCTCCGGTCGATGCGATGTGAGTCGTGCAGAACCGCCAGTATATCATCTGGCAGGACGCTGCATCGCCAGCATTTCGTCAAATGAAAAATGGTGGCCTCCTCGAGGTACTTTTTAAGCGTAATCGTTGATGAGCCGGGATCCCCGATAGCAACGGCAACAGGGCGGTATGTTGAATGGGAACAGTCCAGTGTCATGACGGTCATGCATGCCTCCTCATCTCGTGTTTTGGGTCAATAAATGCTATCTGCTTCGCCGAGTAACCGCACTGAGCCGTGAAGACCTAGAGCTGCTGCCATTATGAGAGTTCTGGTGTGAACAAGCTGAAGGGGGAAAGAGAAGGTTGTGTCGATGTGCCGATGTGAAAGCGAGAGAAGTGGATTTCGAATTGCCCCACGTGACTTCCTACGCTAGCGCGACTTCTCCTTCGGCGCGTCGCGTCCTCCTTGCAACCTGGAAGAGCTCCACAACCCGATCACTTACACATCTTCAGAATTCTCCCATTGCGATGCGATGGACGATATCCTTCACGGGCTCAATGCCGCCCAACGGACCGCCGTGACCTCTCCCTCTGCCGTCCTCCAAGTTCTCGCACCCCCCGGCTCGGGAAAGACCAAGACGCTTACAGCACGAGTCGCGTACCTCATCGCCGACCAACATCTGCTGCCATGGAACATCATTATCTGCACATTCACGGTCAAGGCCGCCAACGAGATGAAGGAGCGCATCAAGAATTTTGTCGGTGAAGAACTGTCGAAACAGCTCAAGCTGGGAACCTTTCATTCGGTGGCTTTGCGATATCTCAAGCATTACGGCCAGCACATTGGTTTGGCGAAAGACTTTGGGATCGCGGATACTTCGGATACAAAGGCAATTCTCAAGAGAATAATCAAAAAGTTGGGCATGCAAATAGAACCCGGACAGGCTTTGGGGAGGATATCTTCGCGGAAAGCGAAGGGAGAGACGACAATTCAGGGAAAAGCGGCGAAAGACGTCGCAGCACAGGAGTTCCAGAGATTGTTCGACGAGTACGAGCAGACGCTTGCTGCATCGAACCTGCTAGATTATGATGACATTCTGCTGCGATGTTGCTCCCTGCTGAGGTCACATCCTCAATGTGTATCCAACGTCGAGGCCGTACTCATCGACGAATTTCAGGACACCAATAATATCCAGTACGACCTCATGAGGCTCTTTGCCCAGCACCAAAACAAGGTTACGATTGTCGGCGACCCCGATCAGAGCATCTACGGCTTTCGGTCTGCGGAAATCAAGAATTTGTCTCGAATGAAGGAAAACTGGCCCGACACATTGGCGATCAACCTTCAGGAGAACTACCGCTCTTCGGGTGCCATTCTCCATGCCGCACAGAACATCATCGAGCAAGATGCAAGTCGGCTACCAAAGAAGCTACAAGCGACACATAGCTTTGGGCTACGTCCTGTGTTACGAAGGCTGCCGTCCGCCTCTGCTGAAGCAGACTGGTTGGTGTCTGAGATCCGCCGAATGCAAGCATTGAGTGGCAATATGCTTCAACCAAGCGATTTTGCCATTCTGCTGAGAAGTGCGACACTCTCGCGAGTCATTGAGGCCGCGCTGGGGAAAGCTGGCATGCCGTATCGTATGGTAGGCGGTACCCGCTTCTACGACCGAATAGAAGTCAAATTGATTGTGGACTACCTACGAGTGATCCATCACCCCGAAAATAGCGAAGCGGTCGCGCGGATTGTCAACGTACCGTCCAGGCGCGTTGGAGAGGAGACGGTCAAGAAGCTGCGAGACGAAGCGCAGGCCAGGGATGTGTCGCTTTGGACGCTCATACTCGATGTTGCACAAGGGCGTGGCAGCGTGAAAACCAAAATTTCTGAGCCATGTCGGAAAGGGCTCTCTTCGTTTGTCAATGCAATCCTCACGGGCCGCAAGAAAGTCGAGTCGTTCGACGTCGAGACGCCATCGATTGTCGACTTGATCAATTTGATTGCTCAGAAGATCTCCCTACAGTCTCATCTGAAATCAAAGCACAGTGAAGATGAGACTTACGAAGCTCGATGGGGCAACGTTGAAGAGCTCATGGCTCAAGCCGCGGAGGTGACGGCACCAGAAAGGCTTAGGGAGCTGGCCGAAGCTGATGGGCTGCCTGTGGTCGATGGCCTCGAACAGAGACCAGAGACCGCTCAGGATGTGCTATCCGTCTTCCTGTCCAACATTGCGCTGACTGCCTCAGCGGAGAAGGAAGCCGAAATGAACGGCGAGAAGGTCCAGCAAATCACATTATCCACTATCCACGCAGCCAAGGGGCTGGAATGGCCAGTAGTATTTATACCGGCGTGTTACGATGGATCGATACCGCATTCTCGCGCCGACGACCACGACGAGGAGCGCCGACTGCTCTATGTTGGGATGACACGAGCACAAGCGTTGCTGTATTTAAGCTGCCCGGTGAAGAACTCTCAGCGAGAAGAGACGGCGATGTCAGCATTCCTGACGCACGAGGGAGCGAGTCGGTTCTTTGAGGAACATGGACCGAGCCTTCCAACTGCAGCTGCTGCGAGTCTCGCAATGACCCTGAGTCGGGAGTGTCCTTCGGAAGCCACTATCACTGAGCTCAAGCGTAGCTTGGGGCGCGATGAGGACAACTTCTGGCCATTGAACGGCGAAGAGGCCCTGGAGGCGTCAGCAAGTTGGCCGAAGGGCACATCGACAACTTCGTTCCCAGGATTCAGCAATGCCAGGCCTGCGGCTTGGGTCAACTCGGGATCTGTCACCATGCAACATCAGCAAGGTTTCTCGACAGCCTCTGCCACCATGTCCGGCTTCACCAGCGTGGCAGATCGATACAACGAGATCATGGAGCAAGCGACACTCACAAAGATCGACAAGCGAGCCGAAGAGCGCGAGCAGTCCACGCAAGCTTCGAAGGGCAAGAAGCGACCGATCGAAGGACAGGGAAGCATCGCGACTTTCTTCGCAAAAAGGTCGAGGCCTACCGCCGAAATAGCCCCAGCATCCAATGCGAAATTCTCAAGCCAGCCGTTGCGAGATGTATCGGGCAGGGCTATCAACAATGAGCCCCAATTGAGACCTGAGCAGCGTGAAGTGCTTGCGTCGCATAAGCCGCGCAGTCAGCCTATGCTTAGTAGACCGAGCGCTCGGCCGGAGCAAGAGAACGACAAACACGTGATGTTCCTTTCAAGCTCTCCGGAGAGGCCAGCGTCAGACGAGCCAGCCGATAGGGAAGAAGTGGATGCAAGACCTACTCTCATGCGCCCTGCAACTACCTTTCACACCACGTCCATGGGCAAAGCAGCGCCAGGTCAAAAGAAGACGCTGGGCGTTAGGCGAAGTGTGCAAGGACAGTGGAATGCCACGAGGAGGCAAGGGTAGTAAATAGACTTGGGAGAGGGAATTGGTAGGGTGCTAACGACTTGAATGATCCCAAGAGGTCTCCTTTCAATTTTTCCCATCGTTATCCGCGCCTTCGGGTAGACGGTTTGCTTTGATTAGGTTTGGCATCAGTAGCCTGTTTCACGCCCGTGACCTGCGCGGCAGCCTTTTTGCCGGATGGCTTCAGCTTGGTTTGGGTGGTCTGCTTGCTACTCGGGCTGTTCCAATAGTAGAGCATCTGAGCGGCTAGGACCAAGTTCAATGCAAATCCAGAAAGGAAGCCGTACAGGATGAGCTTGTCGTCAACTTCTTGAAGGGTCGTAAAGATACGCGCAAGTGATCCTGCGAGGTAGTTGAAGACCTGTGACAGTAGCAATCAGTATCAACACGTAAGCTGAGGCCTGCTTTGGCAGGTGAGACTGCTTACCGCGAAAGCAGAGAGTTGACCAGTTCCACCTTCTCGGAAGATGGTGATAATTTGGGGAAGTTTGCTCGCGACTCCCAAGAGTCCAGCTCCCGCCTGAATATATTGTAGCGTATTCACTGGCGTAATGCTATCGCTGTAAAGAGCGTATCCAGCTGATGCCAACCCAGCAATGAAGACGGCAGCGGCAGGTGCTTTCCCCGAGTACTGCAACACCAAGACGCTGATGGCGACATTCTGAATCGCGATCAAAGCCGTCTCTCCATACGTGCTGAAGGGAAAGTGATTCCGCACATTGTATATCAGGGTCACGAGGTAGCTCGCCGTTTCCAGGAGGTAGGAGAGGAAGCTGATGCCTTCGGCGGATTGGGAGTTGAGCAGCTTCAGGAGCTGCGGGATCTTGACGATTGAGGAGGCGCCGATGATGGCGATACCCAGGGCCTTGGAGATTGCGAGCTTCAGGCAGACCGTGTCGGTGATGGTGACATTGTGCACGAGCGAGCGGTAGCAGGAATCGCCCAGCAGTTGAGTCGCGGCGTCGCTGATGGGCTTGGGCAGGTTGTGAGTGACCGGCTGGAGGACTGATCGGAGAGTCTGTTCGAGGCCTTCCATTGCGGGTGTCCACGAATTGTGTGCAGAAGTGTATGTGAAGGCGGGCGCGGAGTGGACGCGTGATGTGTGTGTGTGTGTGAAACGTGTTACCGTTACCACGGAGCTAGAGCTTGCACTCGGACGGGAGCTTCGCATTGGTCTTGGCGCGCCAACCACTTTCCGTCACCTGACTCTTGTTCTTGTTCTTGTTGCGACTTCTCCCGTCTCGCTCGTCCATACCGCCTTCACCATAGACGTCGGTCTGGCAGCCCGACATTATTGTCTGTGACATTGTTTGTGACATTGCCTGTGACATTGTCTGCATGACCACGGCTCGGACCATTGCCTGCCATCATCATGCCACATCTCCACGCGATGCAGTCCTCTCTGGGGCCGATTCTATGCGTCCCGGGTGACACCGCATTTCCAAGGCTTCCAACACACAATGCGCAAATAATGCCGCTGCAGCAGCGTCGTCATGCAGCAGCCAGCAGACACGAGGGAGTTAAAAATGATATGGATGTGACAGACACCCGACCAAGTCTTCGGCAGAGTATACAAACACCCAGCAACGATCTATCTGTGTGAGCCTGCCGTTACCGCTCCTGTGTTCCAATTCCCTCAGAACGTCAGCTCTACGGCATTCTTCTGCGTCCCCCAAACCTGCATGCGGCACACACCACAGATTAGCTCCAGGGAGGCTCTATCACCTTCGCGAACCAACACAACCCCCAAGCCATTGGCCCTGCGGCCTTTTACTGCATGGGCTTGCGCGATTTGAGCAATCGCAACAGAGCCTTCTATCGATCAGCACCTGCAAGCTGCAAGGAAACCCAGCAGCTTCGGGCAGACCTTTTCCGCGATAAGCGGATTCACATATCTTGCGGCGGATTGCGCTCTTCACTGAAGTAGATAGTATCACGTCGAGTACTGGAATACAACCCAAGCACGAAAGACCGGAAGGATTTACTCGCTGAGCGCAAGCATTCGATCGGAATCAAAAGCTAATCGGGCACAAACCTAAAGCAGTTTGGAAAAAGATGTCGAGCCGCCAAAACGACGCCGGAACAGCCCCAATTCCCAACGCGAACCACCATATCCACGAGTCGAAAAGTCTGGATGTGCAAGTTCGACTTCAGTATCTCAAGGACGACCCTATCTACTCGACACAGAAGCCCCTACAAATCACCCCCAACTTCCTCGACAAGGAGCATAAGACGAACGTCCAGCTGGCACCGGGGGAAGTGGAAACTATCAGCGATGTGCGAGGCAAGGAACATCAATTCTCTCTCGACGCCAACGGCTTCCAATATGTCCACGCCCCCACCCAATTCAAGGATTGGTCTTCGCAGCCCAAGATTGCTCACGACTATCTGCCCGAACTAGAGTCTCTGCTCCGCAAGGAGATTGATGGATGCGACGAGATCATGTTCTACGATGCCCGAATTCGGCACTCGGACGATGCCGGCCTGCGAGTCGAAGGCTTGAGCTACAATCCCTTCGCTAAGCAGGTGCATACCGACAATACCGAGAAGAGCGTGCTCATGAAGATTCGAAACCTCTGCGAGATTAAAGCAGATTGGCTCCTGAAGGGCCGCGCTCGCATCATTAACATTTGGCGTCCGATCAAGCATCCCGTGTACGACTGTGGATTGGCAGTGGCCGATGGCGGAAAGCTACGGCAAGGTGACATCCTGGAATGTGACCGCCATCGCCAAGACACCGGAGAATTCTGGGATACCATGGGCGTCGTCAAATATAGATCCGGCTTCGACTGGTACTACATGTCCCTCCAAGACGAACCCGACGTGCTTCTGTTCAAAAACTACGACAGTGCAACGGATGTATCAGCCCGCACTTGTCTTCACACTGCTTTCGATCTACCGGAGGTGCCCTCGGGATCTCCGACCAGGGAGAGCATCGAGGTGAGAGCACTCATCTTCACCTATCCCGAAGGGGCACGGCGGCCTTCAGCGCATTGGTCAATGCCTCATCCTCTGGCAGAGAAGCTGGAGCAGAGCGACCTACAGCGTGTGGATGTCCATCACAGCATCATGGCAGGACACGTGCGCCACGACATCGACGAAGGGAATGAGGTCCCGGACGCCGTGTCTCTCTTGAGACGCCGGCACACGCAGGCGCTACAGGCAGAACGCGACTCACTCAAAGAGCAAGTCGACATCCTCACGAGACACTCGGATGCTCTACAAAAGCAGGTCTCGGGATTGACGAAGCGGCTGCAGCAGAACGCGCCAGATTTGAGGGATGAAGTACAGGGCTTGGAAGCACAGCTTGTCGACTTGCGCATGCAATCGAGGATGGCTCCAACCGACAACTTGGGATTCGCCTCATGCGCACCTGACGAATGGACCATACTCTCGCAGCAGCTCGAAAGAGCAAACCGAGAAGCAGAGGTCTGGAAAGCCGAGGCCCTGGGCCATGGATATCAAGCCGTCAGTCGGGCGTGGCAAAGTAGTGTAGATGAAGCTGTTCGGCGCGAGCGGCAGAAAGATGCCGCTGTCATTGACGGCCTTCGAGCGCGGATCAGGCGTCTCGAGGCTGAGGTCACAGCTCCAGGTCTCTAGTCTAGACTCGATAGTGGATGAGTACACGTCGTGTCGTCGCCTCTGTGCGCCCCTGTTGCACATTTTCCATGTTCTGGGCGCAGGGCGTTCAAGACACAGGCTGCAAATTTTCATGCTTGACGGCACCGGCAGGTTCCTTGGTTCGGGATTTGGAACGATCCAAACAGAGACCGGGAGATTTCCGTTTTACTGGGCTCAGACAGGAAACGTTGGCTCTGAGAGATGCAGTCCCACGGTAGCAAAAAGCTCGATCCGAGACGGCCCCACGGCCGCGCTATTGGTTGGTCAAAAGCCCTATTGATCGTTTACTGTGATGCAACGATGGAAGAGCTTCATCGCTGCTCAACTGGCTGTCTTGCTATGCAGGCTCTTGAGGAGGAGAAAGTATGGCTGCAGTCTGACAGTCCTCGCAGAATCGACAGCTTCGTTGTTGGATGCTGCGAAGGAGGTCCAAGGTGTGGTAGCGCGGGAGGCATGGCGTTCGCGTCGACACGGCTAGCGAGGACACTTTTTTGTGTTTCGGATAGCGTACAATCACACTTGGTGCCGCGCCACGCAGGTGCGAGAAGCATGAGGGCTAGCCAAAGCCACGAGCGCCTCAACGTCCTTTCCAGGCACAAGCGCGCCGCAAAGGGCAGCTGTGCTTCACCTTCTATCTAGAGCTTTGTTCATCAACAGGGATGTCCTGGTCTGCATCATAGAAGCTTGCCAATGAGACTTCTGGCGGAGTGTGGCGAGTGCGGCGAGTGCGTTGTCGATGCGATGCGGTCGAGGGGCTGTGAGAGTGTGTTATGTAGGAGGCTGATTGGCCCAAAGCGGTACCTGGCTCTGGGTATTCTGGGAGCCGTCTCGTCCTGTCGAAGAACCGCGGCTGGCGGTGAGGGGAGATGCAGGAATGCCGTGAATGGACGTGTGGACTGGGTGAGACAGGTTGTGTCATGATCGCTCTTTGAAGACCGAGGACAGAGTCACTGCAGTGCAGGAGGAGCAGGACGGTGACGACTGCAAGAGAAGTGGAAGTGGGAAGCTTCGCTTCGGTAGCCGGCGAAGAAGAACTTGGAAGTGATAGGAGCCGCGATCCGAAGGGGACTAGCGGCAGCTCGAACGGGATATGTCGCCATCTTTAGGCTCGCTCCGCAGCCCAGGAACCTCGAATCTGCCGTGCACGTGACGGCATCCTTCAAAGCTCTCCGTCCTCTCTGCGTCGACGGGCAGGTAAGGTAGTGATGACGAGAGGAGAGAAGACAGCTGTGTCTCGACTGCCCTACGGCGGCATTCTCATTCTGAGGTGGCCGGGCCACTCGCACCGGCTCGCGAGCTCTTCCGCAGGCGACTGTGGTTCCAACTGCAGGCGTCCGCGACACGGCTGCGAGGGACCAGACGGACGAATGAATATGGACGGATAGCGAGTCGAGACGGGACGAGCGCAAGGGCCGGCGACAGTCATCGATGAAGTGAACGATCGGATCGCCGGCCCGGTCTGGTGCGCGAAACGCCCACGACGAGCCCCAATCGAGACGGCAGAGATCTCTGTTAGGCAAGAGCCAATATCATTTTCATGATGCGTACCTTCCGCCTCGAGATTGCCTTTCGGCGCTCCGTATGTGGTAGACCGGGCCGCGCACTCTCTCTCTCACCCACGCCGACGGCCTGCAAGAATGCCATGCCACGCCGCCAACAACACCGTAGCGTAGCGCACCGTAGCGCACCGCAGCCATCACACAATGGCCCAGCTCCTTCACATGCTCGCCCACTTTTCGCCCGCCCATCCGCCCGCCCCGTTTCTGAGTTGGACAGGATGGCTGCTGGCTGGCGCCCTCGAGTCTCACCTCTCCCCCCTCCAACACCCTGGTGGACCGCCCAGATCCACTCTACTCTGCTCTCCAGCCCGCTGGAGGTGCAAGCGTATCGTATTGACTTTGGCTCGCCGCGGATGCTGTTCGTGGTAGTTATTAGTAGGAGCCCATCTCCCTCGCCGCCGTGCACTCGGCTACCCACCCCGCCCCTCCCCAATATACCCATCCGCGACTGGTCTGCCGTCAGTTGTTTGACCTCGTGGTGACTCCGGCGCTGTGTTGATTGACGTATCCGACTGCTCCGCTACGCTCGCTCCCATCAGCCTCTTGGGACAACACGCTCTCCGTCCGAGATGGACTACCACCACGGCACGGCCACCACCACGGCCACCAACACTCCAAGGCCTGGTACCCCCGACAGCGATCCCATCGAGCCTACGCCACGCCCCAATCCGTTTGCCTCTCCCTATGGCTCCATGCCAGCCTCGACGCGAGGCTCATCCACCGGTGTCCAGTCGATGCCTCCACCGAGATACTTTCATTCGCGCAGAATCAACAAGGAGGAGGTCGAGAAGCCGTGGCTCGACAAGAAAGACCCGCGGGAGAAATGGCTCACCATCATTCCCATCGTCGGCATGGTCCTCGGCATTGGTCTCGCCTGTTTCTTGATTTACGAGGGCATGCAGACCGTGACGAACCACGTATATTGCCCGGTTCTGGACGAGAACTTCGCCGGTGGTATCAATCCCAAGGTGTGGACCAAGGAAGTTGAAGTGGGCGGCTTCGGGTAAGTTGACCTCAAATTGTGTAGCTGAGCCACCAGCCACAGAACGCTAACGACGTCTTCTTGCAGCAACGGACAGTTCGAGCAGACGACCAACACCGACGAGAACGCATTCATCCAAGATGGAATGCTTTACATCAAGCCGACTCTGCAGGACGAGAAGCTGGTCGAATCGAACAATGTCATCAATCTGCTCACGGACGGCTCCTGCTCTTCCAAGCTCTGGTCGGACTGCGTCGCTGTCACCAACACCACCAACGGCACGATCGTCAATCCTGTCAAGTCCGCACGCTTGAGTACCATCAAGGGACCCGCGATCAAGTATGGGCGTGTCGAGGTCGTCGCTCAGCTTCCAGCCGGTGACTGGCTGTGGCCCGCCATCTGGTTGCTTCCAGTGAACGACACCTACGGGCCATGGCCAGAATCAGGCGAGATCGACATCATGGAAGCCCGCGGTAACAATTACACCTACAAGATGGGCGGAAACAACGTCGTCTCATCCGCCTTGCACTGGGGTCCTGACTCTGACAACGACGCGTGGTGGAAGAACAACGTCAAGCGCACTGCCCTCCACACCACGTACAATGCTGGTTTCCACACGTTCGGTATGGAATGGAGCGAGAAGTACATCTTCACATACATCGACACTCGTCTTCTCCAAGTCCTCTACACCAACTTCGATAAGCCGTTCTGGCAAAAGGGCAACTTCCCTGTCGCTGACACCAACGGCACTCGTCTCGTTGACCCTTGGAGCCAGACTGGTCGCGACAGCACTCCGTTTGACCAGAACTTCTACCTCATCCTCAACGTCGCTGTCGGTGGCACTAACGGCTGGTTCGAGGACGGCGTTGCCAGCAAGCCCTGGGTCGACGCCTCGTCGACGGCGAAGAGGGACTTCTGGAACGCTCGCAATCAGTGGTACCCAACTTGGGAGAAGAGCGGCGAGATGGTCATCAAGAGTGTCAAGATGTGGCAGCAACAGGGCTACAACGGATGCTAGAGGCGTCGCGTTGTTCACAATTCGTTGCAGGCGTCCTGGTACATGGATGGCGTTTTCGGAGCAACAAACGAACCCCACAGTGGTGGATGAATGACACTTGAACATTTTTGACTTGCTCCTGTACTACTTACGAGTGAATGAGATGACTGCGGGATAGAGAGCAAACGCCCTGCACACATAGATGGTCACATATTTCGCCAATTAATTCCAGATGTCTATACAACACACACCATTTCCATTTCAAATCTCTCCACCCTCCGATCGATTGATTCAACGCAGGCAGTTGCCATTATTTCGCGCCTCTATCTCGAGTCCGTTCTACTCAGGAGTGATGATCCACGTGCCTCGAATTTCTAGGCGTCGTCAATCACTTGTGTGATACACGTGCCTAAGTCTACAGCACTATTGCAATTAGACTTTTGACACATCCCGACGACGTGACAAACAAGCAACGACACCGTATCGTATCATATCATGAGAGAGAAAACTTTGTCACAATCCTTAGATTTGGGACCAATCCTGGACTTCTCACCCACACACGTGGCGGGGGGGCCGTATCTCGCTTTTTATATCACTCATCAGACCGACCCCGTTATCAGACAAAAGTGGGCGTCCACGGGTGTACATTGAGCCCTATCGCTAAGAAAGAAGGAAGGAAGGCGCCGCCGTCCCTATGTCTCTGGGAGACGGCGCGAACCATCGGGGCACTTTTGCTGGCACACGGTAGATGTAAGCTACAGGTATCTCGACCGCAGTGGTGAACTCATCCCCCTTTCTCCTCTGTCTGGCGGGACCCAGTTACAGTCGCACCTTGCCTGCGACGAGGGCGTTCCAGTCGCTCTGCGAGAAGGACTGGTAAGTGTTGGCAGCTGGTTTGGTCCAGTACACGACATCCTCCCTGCCCGCGTCGCCCTGTGCGATTTTCTGCGGATCCACGCCTTCTTTCCTGAGCGGCGCTTTGTTCTGCTTGTTGTTGTGCATCGGTGTCGGCTTGCGAATCACACGCAGGAAGACGGGGACCGCGTAGCGCGGCAAGCCTTTCCTCGCGTGCGCCAGGAGGCCAGAATAGTCGAAATTCCCTCGTTCCTCGGCCTTGATGAAGATCGCGGCGCATCCGGCCTTCCCGTCGTGGCCCGGCACCTCCACGCCGTAGACGTTGGCTTCCACCACTCCGGGAAATCGACCCAGCACTTCGGCGACCTGTGCTGTGCTCACGTTCTCCGACTTCCAACGGAACGTGTCCCCGAGACGGTCCAGAAAGAACCATCGGCCGTCTGTGTCTCGCCGCAGAGCATCGCCAGTCCGATAGTAGAGATCTCCCTTCCGCAGCACATCGCGCTCAAACCGCTTCGCAGTGGCTTCGGGGTTATTCCAGTAGCCACAGAAAGCCTTCTCGCTCTGACAAGCGACGAGAATCTCGCCACCTTCTTCGTAGCTGTTCCGCTTTGCGAAGCCGGTCTGCGGATCGCGCCATATCGCATCTCCCTTCTCGTGATCAATTGCTACAGGAACGAGGACATTACGCAGTCTCCATCGTAGAATGGCGCCATGGTGTCCAACATGTGCGACGTGGAACGGGCCTCGGCAATTGTTGAGTAGCGTTAGCATGCCTTCAGTCGAATTGAAGAACTCGTTCACAGTCGGCACACCAAAACGCTCCTGGAATTTCAACCATACGTCGGGTCGCATGCCGTTGCCGTACATTGCCTTCAGCTTGTGATCCTTGTCTAGAGGTGACGGGGGCGCTGCTAGCAAGTAGCGCGCTGTCTCGCCAACGTACACGAATGCATTGGCGTTGGAATCCTGAACGTCTTTCCAGAAATTGCGGACACTGAATTTCCGACCAATGGCAAGGGTGACTCCAGTTACCATGCAGCATATGGCGGTGGTTCCGCCCGTCCCGTGATAAAGAGGCATGCAATCGTACCAAACGTCTCCCGGCTTCAAGCCCGTAGTTCTCAGCCGCGGCTCGCCAAACCACAGTGCTCGCGCTGTGGGTAACGGACAGGCTTTTGGAAACCCGGTTGTGCCTTGAAGAGAGAAGAGTCAGAGGTGAGTGAGTGTCCAGAATGGAAGATGGACCTCCATCAGTCTACTCACCTGAGGTGTAAAATAGAAAGGCCGGAAAGTCGCCTGTCACGCCGCCCCTGTAGTCATCTCTCAATCGCTCGGGGCTACAAGCCGTGATTCTGGCCTTGGTTTCCTCGTCCAACACAATCACCCGCATGCCCAGCTCTTCGATCTTCTCCGCGACATCTTGAATGCGTTGTTGACAACCTTCCTCCGCGTCCACAAGCAGCACTTTGCAGCCTGCCACTTTCAAACAATGTAGCAGGCCTTCGCCGCCCAGGTTGTAATTGATCCAAGCCGGCGCTGAGCCAATTGCCCAGCTGCCCAGCAGACCATGCATATGTTCGGGGGAGTTTTGGAGGTACGTGCCGATGAAATCGCCGGGCCGAACGCCATTTTCGAGCAGGAAGTGAGCGAAGCGATTGACGGTTCGGTATGTCTCTGTCCAAGTGTAGATGGTAGGTGGTTCGGTTGGCTCGGTGCGATACCAAATACATGGCTGGTCCTGAAGCTTCAGGGCTTGCTGCTCGAAGTCGTACCATAGCGATTGCTTGTTCTGCTGAGCTGCAGACCAATGATTACTGAATCAGTATCGAAACAGCGCAGTAGCTACTGCCAGAGGACAACAACCGACCTTTGGCCTGGACCAGCTTCATGAGGCGGTTCTGCTGTCGGATCGTAGTGACATCCTTGGATATGTGATACTTGGCGTCGAGGTAGGCGGCGGCTGCGCTGGCACCTGCGATTCCCGTGGCTGTCTGGTGTCAATAGTGTATGGAGCCGCCCACAACATGACATACCAAGGGCCATTGCGTTTCGACGATGCTCTAGTACTGATCAAGCAGAATGGACACAGCTGTGTTCAATCCTCCTTTGGTTGTTGTGTCTGGGGATGATGTGAAGAATTGATCCTTACATGAGGTCGACGAGTGTCGTCTACAGACAGGCCTCCGCGGTTCCTGCCCAAGATAGATATGACCTGGTGTCTCATCCCATTATCAAAGCGACAGAGGGGATGGGATGGGATGGGATGCAACGTGTTGGCGGCAGATGAGGCCGGGCCTCGCTAATTCTCGGGACGGCACCCAGAGACATCCGGGGAATAAAGTTCCAATGCGATCAAGGTTCTTGCCCTCTCCGCAGTCGACGCCGGAACGTCGTTCGGGCATGACTACATCAACAGTCGGCCTACCTATCTGTGTATGCAACTGTTCATGATGTTGCACACACCTACATCGACCATTCTGCAGCTCAAAATCGCTTATCGCGGCCAGCATCGTCACGGACGAAAGCAATCGACCGAGCTTACTACCTACCTAACCCGATGCGGATCTGTAAAGAGAAGTATTCTTCAAGACTAGGGAGCAAGCGGCAGAGAGCAAGAGTGTAGCACGAAGGAGCCATGCTGTGTGATTCGTGAGGAAGTCAAATTGACACCTGGTGGTCATATTGGTTGAGTTCGTTTGCTACAAGAAATCATCGCTCCTGTCATACATCATGCGCCGCCCGCAAGGCCAATGGTATAAGATCTAGCGATCTCTTCCAAGCATTGCGTGGCATACTGCACGACATGGCTCAGCAGGCCGGAGGCACGATTCGAAGAGGACCTACTAGCTGTGCCATCTTGACTACATACAAGATAGGTATACACGCACCGGCTATCTCCATTGACCGTACTCTGAAAAAGCTTCAGCACCAGCCAAGTCCTTTCCAGAATGTCATCGGTGCACTTACCAATCGAGGATCACAAGTCGAAGCGCCGGCATGGCCCTCGGCATCGAATCCAGCAGTCAAAGACATTGCTGTGAAAGATGTCGCAGAGGAGTCAAAGACGCTCTCCATCGGCTCGCGCAATCGGGAGACGATACTGTGGCGGTCGGCCAACATGACAAGCGATCTACAGTCTGTTAATCTGTCCGTGATTGCTTCATGGCCCACGCCGGATTATGTTGACTCGGTGCGGAGGACGTGTGTGCTTGCGTACGCTGGGACATTACAAGCCGCAACGACGTTGTTCCTAGGTAGCCACCTGTTCGGGCTTGACGACGTAAGTTCTTGATGCCACGTGAGCTTCCCATACAACTGGTCGGGTCTAGGCGCTCCTCGTTCCAGCGTTACGTCGACCATTTTCACGGCCCTAGTCATCCTTGGTGCACAGAGATGCGAATGGACAGACACATTTGAGATGTGGGGTATTAAGATATTAGTGCACCGAAGTGCATTCCAGATGGGAGAAAAAGAAAACCACAGATACCCTGGCGATTCACGTGAAGTGGCCTCCATGCTTCTTCTGGTCCGCCTGCAATTCCAAGAAGGTGGTCTCGTCATGGCCAGGGACTACTCGGCCACGAGTGAGACGCTCCAAGTGCTTCAGACGTTGTGTAGATCGAAACCTGATGCAGAAGATCAATCTTTTGACCCCGTGTAATCAATGTAAAGACGTCGCCTACCATGCTGGATGGTCTCTCGCTAACCAGCCCTGCGGGATGCCATCTCGCCACTGTGGCCACCATCAGCACCGACCAGGAATGCCGCAATTAGAGTTGCATACATTTTCGATGACGTGGCAGTGATCGGATATGAAGAGGAAGGTGCCTATAATCATGGTGTAAGTGGTAATCCTCGAAAGATCTCGCACCTGGGCCGCACCGCACTGAGGCATGTTGATTTGCATGCCTGTGATATGGGAAGGCAGAAGGTCAGCCAAAGTCTTCTTCTTGATGAATCGCTCGTGGCTCTTGCTCTCGTACCGATGAGACCATCAGTGTGCCCAGGCAGGTGATGGAGCGTGATGCCCTGGCAAAAGTCCATCGTTCGGTCGTCAAACGTTTTCCAGTTGCTGCCAACTTTTAGATCATCTGTCATGAGGGCCGAGCTATTGATGATTCACAGCGCTTACAGATCCAGATTCAGGTAGTGCTTCATGTAGACCCCAGCATCGGCTCCGGTGGCAACAGACCAGAACGCCGACCTCAACTCTAGGTCCTGAGCCACGCGAGAGTCAGATGTGGTCTGAGAAGATTGTGGGCTTCCGCGTCACTCACATGCACCCAAATCTCCACATCATTCCGGTCCAGAAACAGGTCTAGACCACCTAGAGGGAAAGCGGGGAATATGAGCAGGCCCTTTGCCACGTAGAGGTCTTCATTCTCCCAGCCTACCTGCATGATCAAGGTGAAGATGCCCGATTACAATCTTCTTGATGTCATTCAAACTGTGACCTGTCGCTTCTATTGCCGCGTCGAGCTCATGATACGGTTCGTACTTGACTCGGCTGAAGATGTCGGACACTTGCGGTCCCCATACAGTCGGATCTGAATGGAGGGCACGGCATCAGTTGTGTGTACTGTCTGGCACTCTGATGACCTACAGTCTTTCCCGCAACCAGTCTCCCACAAGATGCAGCCTTCGATGGGATGATCAATCAAGATGCAGTACATGGGCAGTAGCCGCCTCTTGTTTACGAACGGGACATTCTTGGTGCTGTCAAGGGACGTGTTGCCTCCGCGCACCACAAAGCCTTCGTCGGTCTCCAGCCAGCCGACTTCGAGGAGCCAGAACTTGGTCCCGTTGGGACAAACATTGGAGACGTGGTTTGGTACAGCGCCGAGAGCGAGCTGGGACTGGATCGCCGAGGCCATGAGGGGTCGTGACTCGTGAGTGCGACGGAGGATGCGGTGGATTCCAAAGAGTGTTTCTGTGACAGCGAGGCCGCGTTTCTGCAACCGGCGTCTTGCAGGACGCTCGGCTTCCTATGAGTTGCCATGTCCGTGATTGCGGACGGCGCGCCTCCTCACTTCAGCGGCATGTGACGTGTGTAACCATGGGGTGCACCCTGTTTGGCGGAGGTTGCACAGCAGCTCGTTGCTGAGGGGCAGGTTGCTGCTGTGCTAGGAGTGGTGATTTTCATGGTGGGTGGTTTTTACAAGGGAGTGCTTCCACCTTCCACAGGTCGGGATGTCGAGGGAGGAAGTACGAAGGTTCCAACCAGGCAGAGGGGAAAGTTGGAAGTGGGCAAGACTCCGCCTGCCCTACCCTACCCGGCCTGGTGGATGCGGGCATCATCATCCACCTAACCTGAATGATCTCACCTCAGCACGGTGGGCACGCGAGCACTTGCTGAAGACAATCATGGCCCAGACTGTCGGTTCTTGGCTGGAGGAGATCACAGGGGTTCGCAAATTAGGATAGATTGACGCTAGTTGCTTGGCATACCAAACCTCCCTACCAACACCACTTTTGAAGGCTCTGTATCACTACCACTATGCCTCCTGTACTTAGAAATTATCTAGAAAGGTTAAAGAGACTAGGGCAATTCAAGACACCACACAGAACCCGTTTTTTTAACCATTGGGATGCATGTAGAGACCAATACACACTCAAATACTTCTGCCAGCTATATAACCACGAAGAATGGTGCCCTGCCTACTTAACAGCTAGCAAATGGCTCCACCAACGTACAGAACTCAGAGCAGAAGCTGAGCTATCCCCTACCCGAAGGCCACCACGAAAGGAAGCTCCTGGACCTAAAAAGAAGGATATTAGCTACTGGATTGAGATAATGGCTAAGGGGCCCCAAGATCTGAGGAAGCAGGACTATAGCTTCTTTCAAAAGCATTCACAAAGCTCATATGCAACCTTAAGAAGGAGGATGAAAGAAAGGCAGCCACCAATACTGCGTAGTAAGAGGCAGAGCACCACACAGATCTCACAAACCAACAAGAGGCTTAGGATTGAGTATGGGCACTAACATAGGTCAGAGACAGTGGATAGCCTCTGGCAATGGATCCACTGGACAGACGAAGCTCATATTGATAGGGCTATGCCTCTTCATAAGCGAATCTTTCGTGAGCAGGGCCAGCACGAAGGGATGATATACGAGCAACCTGAGCCTGACCATCTAATAGCCCATATCACAGCCTCTGTCTCTTGGTAGCACAAATCAGACCTTATCTTCTATAACGATGAATAGTGGGACCACAGGCATATTACAGAAATCTGGAAGGGCCAAAAACCACGAAGAAACAGAAGGCAGAAGACAGAAGAGCAGTATCAAGCAGAGTTGAAGGAATGGGCCAATTTAGAGCCCCCACACACCCAGAAGAAGGGCAATTCAATAAGCCAGCTCTACTATGCAGAGCATATCCTTCCAAAGCATATTGAATAGATCAAATGGATGAAGAATCAAGGCCACCCTGCTATTTTGATGGAAGATGGTGATCCATTATATGGTCACAGATCAAAGGACAATCTACCTGAAAAGACAAGGCAAGAACAGCTAATCCAGCTTCACTGGTACCCAGCACAAAGCCCTGACCTCAACCCAATTGAAGGTGTGTGGCTGCTGCTTCAAGAAGGCCTAAAAAAGGTATATAGAGAGGCCCTATATCAAATGGACTATTAAGCTCTCAAAGCAGCCTGTATACGTGTTTAGAATAAGATTTCAATAGAGCAAATTAGGCATAGGATACGAGCATGCTATAGAGGTGTAGACAACTCACTTTGAATGGTGGACAGCGTATAAAAGACTCTATTTGGTAGAGATTGTATACAGAGTGGTATGCCAAGCAACTAGCGTCAATCTATCCTAATTTGCGAACCCCTGTGAGATGGAAGTGACGGAGGGATGTGATGGTTCCTCCTTCCTCCAGTCCCCTGCAGGTCGACGTATGTAGGACACAGGAGGCAGGTGGGGTTGACCGGGAGCGGGAAGGCGGGCGGGTGCGCTAGCAGTAGCGCGAGCGATAGCGCTAGCGATACCTTAGGGCGGCATGATGTGGGGGTGGGTCCGCTTGGCAAAACGTGGGTGCAGTCTTTGCAGTCTTGCACTAGGTACAGCACAGCACTGTCCCGGGCATGTTTCTCCTCCGCCGCACGCCTCACGCCTCACGCCTCACGCTCACGCTCACGCTCACGCTCACGCTCACGCTCACGCCCTACGCCCTCATCACCGCAGGAGTACATGGCATATAGTCACCGTCGCAGGGAACACTGGCCACTCCTCACCAATCACCACACCAGAGACAGTCAGCACCATCATCATCGCTCTTCGATTCGCTTCGCCCTCCGCCCTCCGCTCTCCACAGCGTGCCGCATGCTCGGGTGCGTCTGCATCTGCACGCGTGCCGGCGATACGTCCAGCTTCGTCTGCTCGCGTCTGCTCGGGATGCCGACATGGACGTCGGCCAACCACGGCCGCGGCGCCAGCAGCAGGGGGCCATGGTGTCTTGTGTGTTGGGTGTGCGGTGTACGGGAGGGTGGTACAGCTTAGCAAACCACCCGCTAGATATGACCGCTCGGTGCCTGCTATCACTGCATCAGAGCGGTCTTGTGCCCGCTCCCGTCCGTCCCGGACGTCTATCCGCTACTCACTTTACCATCCACACGGCGCACCTCCACGCTCGCGACGGACGGGTGTGTCATCCATCGCGTGCCGACGTCTATTTGCGGTCGACAGACTCCACCCGTTCGCCTCTGGAAAGGCAATCCAACGCGGGATGCCGCCTGATCCCATCTCTCTCACCTCACGCCTTGCCAACCTGACGTCGCCAATCGCCCGGCATCATGAGGCACGCGTGACTCTCCCTCCCTGGTAAGGACTGCCGCCCACGGCCCCATCACTCATGCCTCCGATCTCCTGTTCCGCTCCACTGAGGCACTCGCCTGTTTCAACACATATCATGCGCATCATCTGCGTTTCAAAGTTCGTCTTCACCTCTGCCACTGACCTCTCCTGTTCGCCCTACTCGTTGGATCTGCAATAACACCCACTGCACTCTCCTCACCCACATCCTTCTGACCCTCCCCCATTGTCACACGAACACCGGGTTCTACTGGCCATACACTCATCATGTCTCCCCTCATCCTCGATCGGTACAGCCCGAGTGCCTCGCCCACGCGCAAGGCACGTTCCCAGTCCTTCGCTGTCTCCGGAGCCAAGTACGAGGACATTCGAAGGCTGGTCGACATTGAGTTCCATGCCTTTGAGGAGGAGAAGACCAACCAGATTCTGTCCTATAGAGACCACAACCAGCCAAGCCATTTCCAACGAGCTGTGAGGTCATATCAATCCGCCATGGGCAGGAATGATGGCTCGCGGCGCCGTACGAAGCCAAATACATCGAGGCGTCCTTCACAGAGACCAGGTCAGGAGACTGTGCGCTTTCGCAAGATCATCGATTCCGACTCAGGCCTCATCATTTCCTGGGCCAAGACCGAGACCAAGACTTACACCGAACAGGAGTTGGCTACTCCGGCAGATATTGGACACGAGGGCGAAGCTCAGATGAATCGCGACTGGTTTGCGTTGAACGAGAAGCTGCGGCGTGTTTACATGGGCACCAGACCTCATTGCTGTGAGTGTTGCTTCAAGTGCAGGCTTTCGGCGGGAGAAACTGACGTGCACAGATATTGGCATGCTCGCCACTCAACCGTGCTATCAGCATCATGGCGCAGGCACCATGCTCCTCGAATCCATTCTGGCAGACGCGGATGAGGCAGGCATCGAGTGCTACCTCGAAGCCACTGACACCGCCAAGCCGCTCTACGAAAGACACGGCTTCGTCGAGATCAACGAGCTGCGATTTAATCCTCTGGACTACAGTGTGTACGGATTCAAGGTAGAGAGGCAGACGATCATGGTCCGAGGCGCAATGAGCTCCGGTCAACGACAAGAGGTGCGGTCCTGGGAAGATGCAATGCAAGGAGCCGTCCAAGCGCAGCTATGAATAAGCGAGCCGATACCCAGCGCGGCTGACAAGGGGAGGTCTTTTTTCGGCCCTACAAGCGATGCATATGGAGCAACTTGAGCTCTTATGCATAAAATGCGCGGAGATTTAAGCATTTTTTTATGCGTGAGGTGGTGTTGCTGCATGGTCGGCGAATTGGCACCACCTCCACGACCAAGGTTTTGTTGACATACTTGTGTGCATACAAAAGCAGCTCTTGTATCTTCAACAAAGTATCAAATAGCAACTAGAGCTTTCTTGAGAGCCATTTCCCGACCAGCTTCGAGTACGATGAGGCATTGGTTGGCCTTTTCGTCTCGACATCCAGCGAGCAACGAGTAACGAGCAACGAGCGGCGAGCGGAGAGCTTCGACCTGCACTCAAGCCGTATTACAACCCGCTACATCCCCTCACGGCCCCTCTTACCAAACAACATCAATAAAAGAACGCAGAGTTCATTCGCAAGCAAAACACCACAAGAAAACACCGGCCATTATTACAGCGTACCCAGACTGCTTGACCCAATTGATGAACTCTTTGGCGAATCCGAAAATGATGAGTCGTGTGGAGACATCGGCACACGGCGATGAGGCATCCGGACACGTTGCTGTTGTCAGAGTCGACGCTGTAGGCGAGCAGTAATGATGGTGTAGTAAAAAATCTGCCCGGGAATGGTTGGTTGGTCGGTTGGGAGAGGTTGATGGAGAGGCTGAATCGAGGAAAAAAAAGGGGATCGATCACGCACACGATGCCCAACCGGTCCGTCATTGCTACGCCACGCCGGCGAAGTAGCCGCCCATCCCGTGCAGGTTGCGTTCCGCTATCAGACCGTAAGAACGACCAGACCGGCGGATCCGATGGGCATTGCTCTCTGCTGGAAGCATGGACACCGAGTCGCATTTCTCCTGCTTGAATATCAGTCTCTTGTGTGCCGCCGACTGCAAGAAGATCCGAGGGGCGGGAAGCAGAGCGATGGATCTCGATGGGTTCGATCGGTGGGAAAGGAAGGCTTCTTTGGCTTCTTCGCTGTCTTTAGACGTCGAGGTGTGAATCGAAAAGGCTTTAGGGGGTCGAGTCGATAATGTACATGGATTCTTCGACAAAGCGGAATGAATGCAAGGACGAGAAGGACACGGGTGAACGCGATTTTCATTGTAGAAGGACGAGTGCCCGCCGTTGCCTCCTGCTAGCGTGTATCCGGCGTAGAGAGGATCTGTGGAGCCCCGGCAGAGACAGACAGTATAGATTCCGAGTCTGGTGTCTCGTTCGTGCACTTCTCGAGATCTAGCATCCGTCTTTCTGGAAGCACAAGATCTTAGCAAGAGACTCACGGTAGAATATGTCTTTGACGAGCTGCACGGGAAGCACTTCGCAAACACCAGAAGGAACCGTCTTGGATGGGCCTTGCAGCCATCGAACCGCCATACGAAGTTGCTTGGCTACATCCAAGAAGCGTCGCCAGGTCGATAATAGGCAGCATGACAGCTCGGGTTCGGGAATTCAGGTACATAGGGACGGTGATGAGCGTGCCGACGCCATAGAGGAGGATGTTCGGAGAGGAGACCAAGCCGGATGCCTTGGTCGGCGAGATGTTGCAGTGCCCGGCGAAGATGAAAATGTACAGCGACGGAGCGAGTAATGGCGTGTTGGACAAGAAGGAGCCGAGGGAGCAGATGGCTAGGATCCAAGAGCGCGAGTTGACAGGTCAGCGGATGTCTCGAACATGAACGAATGCCTTTGCACTCACGGTGAGCTTCTTCCATTGTGGCCATTGTAGGCTGGTCCTGTAAGTATAGCGCAAGTCCAGGGAGCCGAGAGAGACTCACGCATGGTTTGGGTCCTCAGCAGGTACAGTAAGGAGTGCTTGGCCAAATGCTGTGTCATCGCCCTCATTCGCATGGCTGATCGTATGGTGGCGTCAGTATCTGCACGACTGGCGCAAGTAAAGGTCTGAAATGTACCTCTGGACCAAAATGCACTTCGTTGGAAGCCATCCTCACTTCAATAATGCGAGATCGCTTCTGCATGCACCAAACGAAGGAACCCATTGAACTTACGAGGCAGACGAGCATGCCCGAAAATGCATACCTATTCCAAGTCACGGCCCAAGGCTGATGGATCATGCCAAGAGCCCTGGACACGACAGCGGCAGATCGCATCGAAAAGTCCCCAGTGTGGCAGACGAGGTCTCAATAGGCGGGGACGTGTCAGTCTTCGCGCGAGCACGCCGTATTTCCATATCGGAAGGGAAGGTCATCTCGACGGCTGCTACCGCTGATCTCGAGCTGTCTCCGACTCACTGTTACCCTAGATGTTGCTAGGATGCTCGAGAAGAGAACCGTAGAAAGACGCTGCGGTTCAAGTGATATCGAGCCTTCCCCGGCCCGCCACGAGTCGTAGTCTTTGATGAACCCCGTGGAGAATGCATGCGGAGCTGGTCGTCGCGTGCATGGGTGCATGATTACAACCGACGCCCGCGTACTCACAGCGCCACGCCCAAGGAGGCAATTCGTGCTTTCCAAGGATTGATATAACAGCGTTGTAGCTGTATCAAAACGCTGACTCATACTGTTCTGAACTGCATTCCAGCCAATCTAGTTGGCATAAGCAGCGACGGGTTCGCTCTCCATTTGAATGTCGACCTCAACTGCCGAGACTAGGCGCTTCCGAGGTTGAAGTAGGTCCCGAGATATGGCCAGAGGGTATGTATCTCCCAAGTCAGGTCTTTATGTGTATTGCAATGCCGTTCCAACTCCACCTCCGTCTCAAGCCGGATTTGTCTGGAATTGATCTTAACAAGGGGCACGTTAATGCATGCTGAAATGTTGCACACTGCTCGAGTGATGTAAAACAACTACGCCTCCTGCCGCACGCTGGGGTATCCAAGCTAATCAACGTCAGTGACTACCAGTACAGATGTTCCTACATACTTCAGAATGTCGCCCATTCTAGCCATGTTTTGATGAGACCTCGTAGTTCGCCTCTGCTCTCCAGAGTGGTGACGGATTCGATCTCATCATAACTCAGTCTTCCGGGACCGCCCCGATATTCTACCTCGCGGTGGACCTTCTCCATTGAAGCGAGGTATTCCAATCGCTGTGGACTTGGTGGCCGCTCTAGTGCTGCTGTGAAGGCCATCGTGGCCGAGTTCGGCCGGGCCGATGTTCTATTTGGCTCTTGTGGAGCTTGGATCCCGGCCGCAGGCTCGGCGTTTGGTTTGTGTTGTGGTAAGGTAGGATCCGCTGCCTCCTCCCATGGCTCGTCTGCTGAGACAGAATTTCGGAGAGGAGAAGTGATCGTAGCCCTCGTACTCCGCGATCGCGCGGTTTGCGGCCTCGAGGCGGTCTGAGCTGAGGGCGAAGCAGCGTCCAAAGACCGCGGGGACGACGAATCATATGTGGCGTTCTCATCGTTGCGCACCCCGTAGCCACTAGCATGCAGAAGCTGCTCGAGAGGCGCGTCTGGGATTTCCTTCTCTCGCCGCTCTAGACTCTCCCAATCAGTTGGAACGACTCCATCCGTGAATGCTGGAGATGAGCTGTCGTCAGACTCAGACGACAGTGGCCTGATTGGAAGGCGAAGGTCTCCAAGCTTTCGGCTTCTCTCTACTTCCTCATCAATTTGCTTGCGCCATCTCTGGCGTTCGCGCTGAGTCATGGTCGCCTCATAATCCTGCCGTTCTCTTTGGATGAAGAGTTTGTCCAGCAGCTCATTAAGCCCGGCTTCGGTGAGCTGCCACAGGAGGTCTCGCACGTAGGGTTCATCGATACTGGGATCATCTCGAACTGGGGTCCGTGTGACCATCTCCATAAAGCTGAATTCCTGGCCAGGCGATTCTTCATCCACACGGTCAGATGGGTCGCCAAGTCCGTCCAACTGATCCATGGCGTTTGAAGCAGTGCTCTGATCCGAAGGACTGAAAAGAAGCTCCTCAAAACGCGACAGATGATGACGGAGCCGTTCGTGGGCTGGCTGTCGCTTGAGCCTGTCACGAGGCCAAGGATCCTCGTCATTTAGGAAACTGTTGATTCCTTCGAGTGGCTGAAGATCGCCAAAAGCATCCTCTTGCTTGCCACGCGGCCATCTTACCTCACCTGGCGGAATCTCCTCGTCTGAGAACAAAGAGCTGATTGGCTGACTCGACCTCAGTCTCTCCATCGCTCCTTGTGTGATCTGTGGTGCTTGTCCGTCTACCATATCGCTGACGAGTTGCTTCTGGATATCAAATTTTGCTCTCAAAAGGCGTAGAAAGTCTGCTCGATCGACGTACCCGTCGCCGTCCATGTCGAATCCACGGATAGCTCTTTGCAGAGAAGCGAAGCGGTTGGGGCCCCTCAAGTAGGCCATTCCGCTTACGAACTCCGGAAAATCGATAATACCGTTGCCATCCGTGTCGTAGAAGCCAAACATCCGATCGTACATAGAATTGGCAGAGAACCTTTGCGGCCATTTCGTGGAAGTCAGTGCCTTATCAAAAGCTCGCCGGTCAATGGCTGCCTTTACACTCGACGGATCCGCCGGCCAAGGAACGTTGGCCAAGCACACGAATTGATCGTACAAAGCATCCAACTGTGGATCTTCGAAACCATGATCCTTGCATAGGCGTCTTTTCAAAGAAGCATCAAGCAGACCGTGTATCTTTCGTGGGTCGCCTGGATACCACAATTTGTATTCCTGCACGGGCTGTGATAGGATTGGGACGGGAATCCTGATCTTGGCAAACACATGCGTGTTGGTGTGCGCTGTGTGCGCCTCACATGAGGAGCATAGGTCGTAGTCTGGGCAATTCAGGCAGTGCCAACGTACGCCTCGGATGGGCATTTCTCCACACTCTTCGCAATGTATACCTCGATGCTCGTAGGCCTTTCGCTTTGCATCTTCTTCGGCAATGTAGTATAGCAGACCTCGTAGTCCTTGACTGGGTTCTCTGTTGGCAGCACTTAGCATGTCAATTTCCTCCGTCTCCGCTGGATCAGCCGCTTCGCTATCTGAAGAGCCTCCCCTCCACTTGTCGGATCCCAGGAACTTTTCCACAGCCTGCTGAACCTGGTCGTCGCTGATGTCGCCCTATTTCATGTCAGCAACAGTTGTCAAATAAGCCGAGCCGGTGACACATACTACCCCGAGGACGTCACGGATGCCATGACTGTGTAGTCTAACCTGGTCCTCGTCGTGGACGCTCATCGCTCTCAAAAGGTCGCCGAATCCAATGCTCTCGAGCTGACTCCAGCAATCGGCATTCTGGGTGGCAGAGGAACAGGCAGATAGTACCATCTCCATGGCTACGTTACCGAATGTCTGTCGAAAGACCTCGGTCTGTTGCGATAGGTACTGATGTGCCTCAGAAAAATGTTCTGATAAGAAGCGACTACAGCAATTGGCCAAGTTGAATTCGATGAAATGGTCGTCTCGTCGGATGAGCATTGTGCCCAGGGGAGAGTCAGGCGTCGAGTTCCTATGCTCGATCACGAGAAGCTGGCGGTCACGCCTCGGCCGGTGGACAGCGTTGCTTCTGTGCAATGCCGTTGTCGGCTTGGCGGCGTATGAAGCGTAGAGGGCGTATGCGATACATCCCGTGGCCAGTGCACTCAGCGGGATGACTGCTGGATGGTAGCGTGACCAATCTGTAGCATGAGCCATACTGGGCAAGTCATGTGCAATAGGCAGGCAGCCGTAAAGAGTTGCTATGGCAGATCAGGCGAGGATGTGGCCAGCCGCATGTGAGTGTTTGGATGGCGAGAAAGCGCTGCAATGCGCCTGCGGTCGGGAGAATGGCAGAGCAGCCTGCCAGGTGTGAAGCGGCGATGCGTGACTGCTGGTGCTGGTGCTTGCGGTTGTGCTGTTGCTGGTGCGGTTGCTGGCGATGAGGGCGAGGACCTGGGAAGCTGCCACATCGTAGCTGGCTCAGTGCTGCATGCGGAAGTGCGACACACACCACGATTTCATGTACTGTGAAGACCAGATGATTGAGAATATGAGCCGAGCATTGCAACATCAACAAGGCGAGGTTCACTGCCCAGATGTTGCTGATGACGATCCGGTTGCCGCTCGACGATGACTAAGCTTAGCTCGACCCTTACCTTATTTACTACTAACCGCATGGGGAGGGAGAAGCGCGTTTCTCCAAATCCACCGCGACCCTCGACCCCTCTCGTCTGGAGAGTACCCTCCGCACGTCTCCCCATAACACATCGCGTTCTACGCAACACGCGACGTGCAATCCGACATGGCGACAGAGATGGAAGTCGACCAGCACCAGAATTCACGTTCGCCTTCTCCCGCGCAGCCACCACCGACTCCCGCAGCACCTGGCCCACGCGCCTCCGCACTCCAGAAACTCTACAACGATGCGATCAACCATGTCGTGAAGACCATCTCCTATTCCAACTTCTCTGCCTGCTTTCCGACTCCCTCACAGGCAGTCCCCGCCAGCGTCAAGCTCCTCCACGAACAGTTCACCGAAAAACTGGGCGAGAGCATGCGCAAAGAATTCGATTCGATCCTCGCGGAGCGCAATGTTATTCCCTCCCTCAACGAGCTGGACAGACTCATCGAAGATGCAAAGCGACGGAAAGCGCGAGCGGCAGAAGATAACAACGGGCACGTCCCAGTACCGCCGCATACACTACCGGCTAAACAGCTGTATATCTCACATCTGGCGCCGACGTTGGGGGAGTACGACAGACAGATGAAAGAAAGGCAGGAGTTGCTAGCCACGGAGAACCAGGAGATCATGGGAAGGGTCATGCAGCAACGGAAAGATATCAAGAGCCTGATCGACGGATTGGAGAATGTGGTCAAAGACCTGAACGGGAGCGTCGAGGCTTTGCAGCCGGAAGATATGCAGGCGTTGAGGGAGAAGAACAGGGAAGTTGACGAGTCCATGAGGTGAAGAGTGCTCATGCGTCAGCAATCAAAGCCGTCTGCACGGAGTTACGGCACATCAGGACCGGCGGTTTCCACTTTCAGCAGGCTTGACGGATTTCATAGGATCGAAGATACCCACGAATGAAGGATCATTGAATTGGACCTAATCGGTCTTAAACTACAGCCCCAAGCTCTTGCGCTCACATTCTATCATGAACCATTCGTACAGCTTCCCTAACGCCACCAAACCAGCAGCAGCTACTTATTACGAATTCGATGACGGTTTCATCATTCCAAACCAGTTCCTCCCGCAGGTCGCCTAGCTACAACCAGGGTATAAAGTGTGCTCTCTACCACAACGAAGGGCAAGCAACGCCATCGGTACCAAGCAAAAGTCGGACTTCGCACCAAAGAGCCGGAAAGTGAAATATGGGGCAGCTCCTCTCCCTTTCCATTTGTACAGTCGATTTTGTTCATCATTCGTTCTTCTTGTCTGCTGCTAGCGTAGCTGTCTCCATTGTCCTGCCCGCCATGTCGTTAGAAGAGGCAATACCCCCATCTAAAGTCCGCTTGAGGTCAGCCCCAGGAGTCTCGGGCTCCAGGTCCATCGACTTTGTTGACTCCGTCGATGCATCCAAATATGGAATCGCATCGGTAGACTTTGTGCGCTTGTGCAAGTTGTCTGCCGTCTCGACTGTAGGTGTAGAAGCTTCAGCCGGAGGGCCCAGATCTAAAGCCGTGGAGAGTCCAGCACCGGTAGTATCCATCGCAACAGGTCCAGCAGGACTTGAGAGTGGACTTGCCATGGAGAGGCCATCTTGACCGGAGATCTCTGGGCTCTTCGCCATACGTGCGAGCTCCTTTCGCAGCTGATCGAGTTCCTTCTCCACTCTTCGTCCGAACACATCGATGTAATATGTCGCTCCATTCCAGGCCGCCCAAGAGAACACCATCATCATGAAGGTGGCCGATGCATATCTATACCAGAACCAGAGAGGACATGGTAGCATGGTGAGCAACGCGTAGCCGTATTGGATGAACATAAAGACATTCTCCTGATACCGATCCGGAAATCCAAGCACAAACTTGCCGAGGAAGTTGCCACGATAACTCTTTCGTAGCCAAGTAAAAGAGGTTGGCCGGCCTGCAGCAATCTTCGCCCGCTTGCGAACAGTGATCATGAAATGGTATGAAAGTTGCCAGATTGCGTAGGGTAATGTCGCCCAAATGATCATGTCCCATAGTCGGTAGTGTTCCGGAGCGTCCGGCGCGGAATACTTGATCGTATGAATGGCTGGAAATTTCTCTTTCTGCATTTCCTGGGGGATCAAGTGCACCAGGACGTGGAGAGTGGCACAGGGCATGATATGAATGAACAAACTAGTTGATCTTGGTCAGCGTTACGCAAGACGATGGTCGTTCGAGAGCCACTGTCTCCTTCGAGCTCGTTCGTCAAGAGCCTTGTGACAAGCCCTTGCGGGAGTGTTGCATGGCAGGTCATAGCGATTCCCAGCCGCGAAATTCATTACTTACGTGGTAGTTTTGTCCAGGCTGTGGAACACCAAGCTATTCCTCCACATGGCAATGGCTACGGCGTTGTTGCCGAATGCCAGACAGTACGTGCTGATCAGCAATCGCTTCGACTGGGGGAAGAACCAAATCGATAATATCAGAAGCATGTTGACGAAATAGCAGAGATCCGCGAGGAAGTAATGAAAGCCGATCTTATGGTATTTGTACCAGCGGATGGGCATGAAATACCTGCCGAGTCGTCAGTATCTCTTCTGTGTCCACACCACGCGACACTTACACGAGCTGTGCCGTGTACCAGTAGTGAAAGTACTCTGGCCACGCGCCAATGAGGTAGGCAGAGATGAAAATATTGAGTGTAGCGGTGACAAACGAAACCTTCTCCATCATAGTAACTGTCTTCGCATCGTTCCACCTCTTGCTGAGACGGTCGACCGACAGCTTCACCCGCCGGCGATACCTGTCCAGGCGTTCTTCTGGCGCCACGTTGACTCGTTTCCGCCATTCTTCAACGAGGTTACTCTTGCTTGACAAGGCCCGCGTGGCCAGCTTCTGGCGCTGCCGCCTCCACTTCTCAGCGTTGTTATGGATAGCATCCTGCATGCGCTCCAGACGTTGGGGTAGAGCGAGGTTCTCCAAGATATCGAACATGGTCAAGCGATCCACGGGAGGGAAACTCTCGTTCCCAAATGACTCGAAGTTGCTATGAACGTCAGAGGAGCTGTTAGTCCGCGAGAGACCAGGCGTTCCGGGCGTACTAAGCCCGCTGACGGAGCCATGAGATGCGAAGTAGTCGGTCCCAGGCTTCAGCGTGTCGCTGGGGGTTCGGGCGTGGCTGGCGCTGTTGCCGTTGGGATGGAAGGTGTTCTTGATGCCATCAGACGGCGGCTTGAGATCCTCCTCCTTGGCCGCAGCCATCTGGTCGAGTTCAGCGGTCATAGGGTGCGACGAGGATAGGGTTGCAGACGAAGGCGCAGGTTTCGCCGGCGGGTCGTCGATGTCGCCGAGGCGAGTGTAGGCTTCCAGCTCTTCTTCGGGGATGAGTTCGAGGTAGGAGGAACGGTGGCCGGCAAAGTATGGGCGGCGGATTTGATGGTTCACTGTGACGGGCATAACTTAAGTGTCATCACCACGGTCAGGCAGGCTCAATTGGGGTCACGCGCGTGAGCATTCCAGACGATGCTTACACTTGCGCCTCACGCACGCACGCTGCTCGGCGGTGGACTTCTCAGGAACGCAGTGGATCGGGTGCAGTGTTATCGCAGCGTAGACAGATATTCGGTGTATGTAGTCTGTCTGAGCGCGAGCACGTCCACCGTCTCCGTCACCGACCGTAGATCTTCCGCCACGCCGCCGTGCTCTGTCGCCTGCGCAGAAGACCTCACGCTGCTGGTAGGTGCAAGGTTGCTGGTAGGCGCGGATGGGGGAGACACAAAGAGACACGCGCCTGGTCGTAGTGGTCGGTGGCTTTCACGCCAACCAACTTCCCACATGGTCGCCTTAACGATCGCTCCATGGGGTATCGCTATGGCCGCATCCGCACTACCCATTACCAATCAACTATTCATGGTATGTCCCATCGATTTTTATTAATCTCCGACAGGCGCGCCTTGCCTCTTTCGGACTACGCGTCGTACGCGACGACAGCCCACCTCTCCATGTTCACTTTCCCTCTCCATCTTTCTCTGCGACAACTTTATGCAACACCGCCGGCACGCCGATGAGACTATCTGACCGCGGTCAGTCCTCTCACACACCGCCCTAACGACCGCGATCCGCCGCGCTGACTGTGGAAACGCGCCAACATGGGCAAACTGCTCGCGCTCGAGCTCTACAACTTCAAGTCCTACAAGGGCCACCATGTCCTGCAGTTCGGAGACAGCTACTTCACGTCAATCATTGGCCCCAATGGCTCTGGGAAGTCTAATTCAATGGACGCGATCTCGTTCGTGCTCGGCATCAAGTCATCTCATTTGAGATCGCAGCACCTCAAGGACTTGGTCTACCGTGGTCGCGTGCTGAAACACTCCAAGATCAATGCTGATGGCACTGCGACGGACGATGCACAGAATGGCCATACGAATGGAGATGTCAATGGCGATGCTGAGCAAGGCGCAGATGAGGACGACATGGAGGATGGAACACAGACCAGCAGCCGCAATGATCCCCAGACCGCGTGGGTGATGGCTGTCTACGAGGACGACGCTGGTGAGGAACAGCGGTGGAAGCGCAGCATCACTTCGAATGGCCAGTCGGAGTATCGCATCAACAACCGGATCGTATCAGCGAAAGCCTATAATGAATCACTCGAGGCGGAGAACATCCTTATCAAGGCGCGCAACTTCCTTGTCTTCCAGGGTGATGTCGAAGCCATCGCAGCACAGTCACCAAAAGACCTCACAAACCTGATCGAGCAAATCAGCGGCTCACTGGACTACAAGAAAGACTATGAGCGACTCAAAGTTGAGAAAGAACAGGCTGATGAGGAACAAGCCTACAAGCTCACTCAAAGGCGAGGTATCAACGGGGAGATCAAGCAGTATAGAGAGCAGAAGGACGAGCTGGACAAATACGAGCAGACGCGAGATGAGAAGGATGCGGCCGTCACTACCCACATCCTCTGGAAGCTGTTCCACTTCCAGCGGACCATCGAAGACAGCACAGCAGAAATTCAGAAACATCAAGCGGAGCTCAAAGAGTTCAGACGCAATGTACAGAAATACTCGGACAGACTGGAAGCAGTGAAAGCCGACCAGGCCAAAGTTGGGCGTGAGGTCAATAAATGCGAACGCGAGATCAAACGAAAGGGAAAGGAAGCGGAAGAGAAGGAGAATGAGCTCGTGCCCGTGGACGAGAAGCTCTCTATATCCACTGCGAACCTGGAAAAGTTCAAATCGCGCATTCAAGGCATCACCAAAGAGCGGGATGAACAGCGCCAAATGGCAGACAAGCTTCAGAAAGATCTCGACAAAGTACAGACTGCTCAGCAACGATGGGAGAAAGAGTGGCGGGCGCAGCAGCAGAAGGCGGGACGAGCGTTGAACGACCAGGACCGCAAGGAGCTTGAAAATCTGCGGAAAGAGGTCTACAAGCGCACTGGTAACGACCAGAATAAGATCGACACGATCACTCGCCAGCTCCGGACAGACGAAGGAACTGTGGCATCGCTCAAGTCTAGTCTCGACCGCATGGAAACAATTGACGCCACTTTGCGTGAAGAAGTCGCGAATCTTAAAGCCGGCCGGGACGAGACAAAACGCACCATCAAGTCACTTGGCAAAGACATCGAGGCGAAAAAGGTTGCGATCAACGCGCTCATCAGCGACAGGGATCGCACGGAACAGAAGCGACGAGAATTAGACGAGAAACTCCAGCAAGTCCTTCTCAAGCTTGCGGAAGCAGATGGATACCAACGGGAAACGCGAAAAGAGACGGAATTGCGAGAGTTAGTTGGCCAGCTGAAGCGCATTTATCCTGGTGTACGCGGCATACTCGGTCATCTTTGCAAGCCCAAACAGAAAAAGTATGAGACAGCAGTCTCAACCGTGCTGGGCCGGCACTTTGACTCTATCGTTGTTGACTCTGAGAAGACCGCCAGGGACTGCATTCAGTACCTGAAAGATCAGAAAACATCGCACATCACCTTCATTCCCCTTGACACGGTCATCCACAAACCGGCCAATGCCAACCTTCGAGGTCTGCATCAGGGTACACGCTTGGCAATCGACACGATCGACTACGACACAAATTACGAGCGGGCTATGAGCTACGCTTGCGGTAACGCGATTGTCACCGATACTCTCACCATCGCCAAAAACCTCATCTACAGTCGGAAGGTGGATGCGAAAGCGGTAACCTTGGATGGGACAGTCATACACAAAGGTGGCAACATGACCGGTGGTGAGGGGTTCGACAAGAAGCGACGGTTCGAAGACGCAGAAGTCGACAATCTTCGAAAGCTTGCAACTAAACTTAGGGATGAGATTGAAGCACTGCCCAAAGGCCACAAGCGTCAAGTTGAAGAAGAGCAATTGCGTTCCGATCTCTCAGGACTGGAAGCGAGGCGGAAGCAGGCAGAGGACGAGCACAACGCCTTAGTAGCCAACATCGAAAGCAAAGCAAAGGAGCTCAAGCACGTGGAATCACAGGTTGCCGAGATGCGACCACGATATCGAGATCAATCCCAGGGCGTCGATACTCTGCGTCAATCTCTCGAAGAGCACACAGAGACTGTGGCCGAGGTCGAGGATGAAGTATTTGGCACGTTCTGCCAACGACTCGGCTACGACAGCATCCGCGACTACGAGCAACAACAGGGGGCTTTGCAGGAAGAAGCGGACAAGAAGAAAGACGAATTTGCACGTCAGGTCTCGCGACTTTCGAACCAGCTCGAATTTGAGAAGCAAAAGATACAATCTACCCAGAACCGGCTGAAGTCCATAGAGGCATCTAGCAAGCGCGACGAGGACATGGTGGCGGCTCTTGAGGCACAAAAGCAAGAAATCTCAAGCGTGCTCGAGGAGCTCAATGGAGAAGTTGAGGAGCTGAATAGTAATCTTGATGAGTTCAAGAAGGACTTTGAAGTACGCGGCGAGAAGGTGCAGGAAGCCCGTCGCGAATTGCAAAAGCGCAGCAAAGGCGAGGAAAAGACCGTCAGAGAGATAACTGACCTGGAATCCGAGGTCTCAAAGGCTGCGAATGGCCGATTTGTTACGTTGAGGGACTGCAAAGTCAGAAATGTCGAGCTGCCACTGGAGCAGGGTAGTCGCAAAATTGACTCGCTGCCAATGGATGACCAAGGTCTAGAAGACGATCAAAACGCCATGGACATTGATGGCAACGAAGGCGCCTCGGCGTTCAAATTCAACGACTATGGCATCCGCATCGACTTCGATGAGCTGGATGACGATCTCAAAGAAGGCGGCGAAGAAGACGAGGAACCGCTTATTGACAAGATCAATAATCTTCAGTCCGCGCTAGACAAGATGGCACCCAACATGCGCTCCGCAGAGCGCCTTGAGGCTACCTCCGCAAGACTTGCTGCTACCGATAAGGAGTTCAATGATTCACGCTCGGCTGCCAAAGCTGCTAATAAGGCCTTTGAGGAGATGCGACAGAAGCGAATGGATCTCTTCAACAAAGCCTTCACCCATATCTCGGAACAGATCGGTCCAGTCTATCGTGAGCTCACCAAAACACAGTCGTTTCCACTAGGAGGCTCTGCCTCTCTCGACGTCGAGGATGAAGACGAGCCGTACCTGAGTGGCGTAAAGTACCACGCGATGCCACCACTCAAGCGCTTCCGTGACATGGAACATTTATCTGGCGGTGAGAAGACGATGGCGGCATTAGCGCTGCTCTTTGCGGTCCATACCTATGCACCCAGTCCATTCTTTGTGCTCGACGAGGTCGACGCTGCGCTAGACCACGCAAACACAACGCAGCTCGCGCAGTACGTGAGGGAGCACGCCGGCCCAGGCATGCAATTCGTTGTTATCTCGCTCAAAACGGGGCTGTTCCAAAACAGCGAGACCCTCGTGGGTATCATGAGGGACCAGGCAGTCAACAGCTCTAGGGCATTGACTCTCGATGTAAGTGAACACCGCCGTTTCGAAAATCTTGGCATGAAGCTGACACACTCCACAGCTGAGAAAGTACCAGACTGTTTGATCGCAGTCGCAACGCTCGATGATATGCTCTTGGTATCGTTGATGTGTCCGCTACATCCTGCGGAAGTAATCGGACTCGTTCCTCTAGCGACTTGCCTTGCCAAACAGCTGCTCAAGGAGGAGGTTCAGCACGGACCTATGTAGCTCTCTCATGCAAGCACGAACTGAAGATCTTTGAAGCATTGACCTCTCTTCACGTGCTCTCTTCACATGTTCTCTCAGACTTGTGTGGCCTCTCGTGGATGTGTTGGCTTAGCTTTTGCGACCAGGAACAGCCCTGGAAAACTGCGGCTCACCTATTTAGCCTGAATCATGCGGATTCCTATCGGGGCTGAGCAGCTTGTGGCATTGTGGCATCAGCGGATCCACTCAAAAGTTCCGCCGGACATCACCGCAGCGGAATCCTCCAATGGTTGAAGCATATGCAACAGCAATTCTGGAAATTTGTCACTTTGACAACCCGAACAACAACAACACTACTCTCCGTTCAATAATAGTACTTCGCGGCTAGAATGGCTACCGGTGGGCCGTTGTACATGGCAAGTTCTGCTCACCTTCTGAAAATTGATGCCGTTCTGACAGCACGCAGGGCTTCGACCTATCAACACAACAGCTGAAAGGTGAGCAGACCAATTCGACGCTGGCAACAACCTCACTGACCTAAGTCCAGGTATTGTCGTCGACTCAAATCTCAAATTGGTCTACGAAGCCAAGGTCGACTTCGACCGAGATTTGAAAAAGTATGGAATCGAGAAAGGCGTTCTCACGAATCCGTCGGAAGGGGAGGTCTTTGCGCCGCCGGCGATGTGGCTCGAAGCTGTGGATCTGGTGCTCGATGAATTGAAGAAAGGTGGCTTGAACTTCAGCTTGGTGAAGGGCATCTCAGGGGCCGGCATGCAGCATGGGACCGTGTTCTGGTCGGAGGACGCGGAAGCCTTACTTTCCAGTCTCGATGCCAGCAAGCGTCTCGTGGATCAACTGGAGCCTGGCAGCAAAGGGGAAAGGAGAGGAGCCTTTGCACACCCGATGAGCCCTAATTGGCAGGATGCATCCACTCAACAGCAGTGCGACGCCTTCGACGTTGAGCTCGGCGATCCAGAGACTCTCGCTAGAGTGACCGGCAGCAAGGCACATCACCGGTTTAGTGGACCGCAGATCCTTCGATATCGCACCAAGTACCCGTCTCATTACGAGCAGACGGCGAGGATCTCACTAGTATCCTCGTTCCTGGCCACTGTATTTTTGGGCAAGATCGCTCCCATCGACATCAGCGACGTTACTGGTATGAACTTGTGGGACATCAATAGAGGCGTCTGGCATGACCAATTGCTTGCTCTTGCAGCAGGTTCCTCAGAAGCGGTTCCTGAGCTTAAGAAGAAACTCGGGCATGTGCCAGAGGATGGCGGAGAAGCATTGGGCGCGATCAGCAGGTACTTTGTCGGTCGGTACGGCTTCGCCGAGGACTGCAAAATCATTCCCTTTACCGGCGACAACCCGTCCACGATTCTGGCGTTACCTCTACGTCCCTCGGACGCCATGGTGTCTCTTGGCACTAGCACCACCTTTCTCATGTCCACCCCCGAGTACCGACCGGACCCGGCGTACCACTTCATGAACCACCCAACAACCGCTGGGCTATATATGTTTATGCTGTGCTACAAGAACGGCGGTCTGGCCCGTGAGCAGATCCGCGACACTTTGCGCGGACAGCCAACTTCCAGCTGGGATCAATTCAACGACACCGCGACATCGACTCCACCGCTGTCACAGAAGTCAGACACGGGTGAGATGAGGATGGGCCTTTACTTCCCTCGGCCTGAGATCGTACCAAATCTCCCATCGGGCCAATGGCGATACTCTTACGATCCAGAGAAAGACGAACTGAGCAATGCGCCCTCCGAGCTGATCGCAGATGACGCGCGGAACATCATTGAGTCGCAGATGCTGTCTCTGCGCCTGCGGTCGCATAGCCTCGTAAAACCGGAACAGGACCCCAGGACTGGCGAACAACTGCCCGCCCAGCCTCGGCGCGTCTATCTGGTGGGGGGTGGCTCCGCGAATCCAGCCATTGCCAAAATCTGCGGCGAAGTGCTGGGTTCCGTAGAGGGGGTGTATAAGCTTGATATCGGAGGCAATGCGTGTGCTCTCGGAGGTGCCTACAAGGCCGTCTGGGGGTGTGAGCGAAAAGCAGGACAGACTTTTGAGAGTTTGATCTCGGATCGGTGGGACGAAGATGCCTTTGTCAAGCGAATTGCGGAGGGCTACACCAAAGGTGTTTTTGAAAAGTATGGAGAGGCAGTGAGAGGCTTCGATCAGATGGAGAAGCTTGCTCTGAAGCAGCAGTCTAAGCAGAAATAGTGGCCGGTGTCTCGAAAGCGGTAGTCACCAGCAGGATGAATTGAACCAGCTTCAGCATAGCCCTTGATAGCAGACAGATAGCGCATCGCCGAGTGCCACGTCGATATCCAAGTTCGGAGTTCTATGTCTATACGTCTGGGCGTGAGACCTGGACACAGAGGCATCACCACTGGATCGCCTTTCCAAATCTATCGTAAAACTTTCCGCTGTCGTCTTGGCCCCATCGCTCAATCAAAGGCAGAAGACCTTTGACGCTCTCCCCCGCCGGAATTGCACCCTCCTCTTTGCACCTCACGAGGCTTGTCTCCACTCTCCCCGGGTGGCACAATACGAAGCAAACATCCTGAACATCTGCAGCAAATGACCTTACAATCGTATTCAGAGCAGCTTTACTGGCGCGATATGCAAAGGCAGAGCCAGCGTCCTTATTGGGATGCTCATTGTTGCCAATACTTCCCATGCGCGAGGACATCACGACGACCTTGCCCTCGGCCGTCTGGAGGTTTGGCAATAGGGAACGCAATAGCATGAAAGTTCCCGCGGCGTTGATTTGAAAGGTTCGGGTCAAGGTCTCGAGGTCCATGACGTGCATGGTCTCGCAGGCTGCCACGTCGCCGGGGCCGGTCTCTTCTATCGACGGCACCAGGCCACGGATCCCTGCCGAATGAATCAAGAGGTCGACGGGGTCGTCATCTCCCAGGGAGGCAGCGAAGGCGTTGATGGAGCTCTGAGAGCCGACGTCCACCTGATATGTTCTGACGTTGGGCTGGGCCGTTGGAGGTTCATCAATGTGTTCGCGATCGATTGCCAGGATGGTGTTTCCGGGGTCTTTCTGGTAGGCCGCGAGGAATGCAGCGCCAATGCCACGGGCAGCTCCAGTGATCGCAATGGTAGGCATGATCTGTACGCGCGCGATTGCGAAAGACGAGAGACGTTGTCAGTGATTATTGCGAGAGACTCCACATGATGATGCTCTGCAGGCTAAGGTATGGTAATGACCTCGCCGCCGTTACTAATGCAGGCCCACCTTCTTGGCACATGGCACCCGGACAACGTCGCCGTGGTCGAATGCTGTTGCAAACATCTTCCAGACAGGACCAGACCAGGCAGGTTGTCGTTTGCTTGTCGCGTTGGCTGGCTGGAAAGGCGACAAGATGGCAGGAGTGTGTGTGTGTTTGGAGTTGTTGGATGATCCCGACGCAGCCCCGTGACTTGACGTGACTTTGGTCGGGTATTAGCATCGCAAGCGACGGACGGAACCTGACAGCAGCAGCAGCAACTCCACCTACCAAATTCCTCCCCTACCTTACTTTACCGTGAACCTCAACCCGCGAGTATGCTGCGCCTGCCCACCGCTGCCACCCGATCATCCGACAGCAAGAGCATGTGCGCTCTACTTGCCGGCACCATCGCTGGCCCGTAGGAGGAGGAAAGAGGGAGGAAATGTTCATACCACACCGCGCCTGAGCCGTCCCGAATGCTTTCACCGCGCACCGCGCACTCGGACGTGAATATGAATGAACTGGTCACCACGGTGCGCTCTCCCTACTAGTTCACACGCGCTACTCCATTTCTACACTTCGCTTCGCTTCGTCTGCCATCGCTTGCCTGCAACACCATCTCATCCATGCTCTGCAGCAGCCCACATCCCCACAACCACAGCCCGCTGCCAAATCCAGCAAGATGCGCACTCGACAGCGACCTACCTCGCGGCACGCGGCGCCTCCCCAGATCCTTCCTCCCACCAGCCGTCCAATCCGCAAGGTCTTCAACTGTATCGTCGACGATTCGGCACTCGTGGCTGGAGTCAAGAAGAGCACGCGAAATGGAATTAGACAGTGGGTCAAGAATGAACAAGTCCGGCTTTTCGTGCCGCTACACGGTATATCTACGCCTGGAAGAGTCGCGCATGGAATCCCTGCTAACGTTGCGAAGCGCTGGACGAGCTGAGTCGCCAGAAGTCAGGTAAGAACAAGCATGCGGACGACGTTCGCGAGACGCTCAGCTGGCTCGACGAGGCCACCACGAAGCACCCCGACGTTGTCACCCTCCAAGGGGCGGACGAGACGTACGAGAGATGGGCTGAAGTCGAGAGATTCGTCGTGCCGCGTACACTCTTCTCCGAGTATGACCACGAGCTGGAACCAGAAGCCGGAGGGAATGTGGAGGCCGACTCGGCGGAAAGGCCTACGCTGACGGAGGGCATTCTTAAGGATACCTTCAGCTCTGTGGCGTCTGAGATGAGCGGCTCCTTGTCTCCTCGCTCACTGAAGAGTGTCCGCTCCAGCGTGAGCCTGGTCTCACCACCAACAAGCCCGCCCAAAACCACTCTTTCTTCGTTCCGAAACATCTCTTCCGTCGCTACTCTCGGCTCTCGGCCCCAATCCACGACCGCTACAGTCCCCACTCGGCTGCAGCCTTTGTTCAACTATATACTCTGGCGCATCCACCAAGAGACAGACCCCGTGGCCGCTCTCGAATCCTTCATCTTCCTGTGCAACGACCCTGGCAAGGTGCACTGTGCCAAAGGCTTCGACATCAAGACGAAGCGCCTCGAGCAACTCAGGGAAGCCGTTGGTAGAGAGGATCGCGATTACAAGAATCGCATGGCACTACTCGATCGCGAGAACCAGAACATCGACTCTGCTCCTCGCGATCAGCTTGAGGCGCAAGAGCAGACAAAAGAAGACGTCGATGATGACGAGGACGAAGTCGAGGACGGGGACGAGGACGGGGACGAAGAGAAAGTCGTCTTTACCCCGCCCAGGGCACCCGCTGCAATGCTGCACAAACAGCAAACGAACGTTATTGATCCGAATGCTTTCAGTCGACGTCCTCAACCAGTGACAGCCCCCAAGGGCGACCACGCCGGAATCGGTCCCAAATCGCCCCGTTTGCATCAGGCACCTCCAAGCCGAGGCTCGCCCCGTGGTACCCATGCAATTCCATTCGCCCCCCGCGGTGCCTTGAAGGGAAATGCCAACGGACGTGGCGCTGGACGCGGTGGCCCTAGGGGACGCGGGAACTTTGCCTCTCCTCGTGGAGGGATCCCTCATGGTGCCGCAGACCAGGCAGGGCCGACGAGTCAGATCGATCCAGACAGCTTCGCTCGGCCGAATCCTCGCAGCGGTGCGAGTGGAAGCCGTGGCGCGAGGAAGCTTTGGGTGCCAACATGATGGCGAGGACAGCATGTCAGATTCTATCAACCATTTACCACCACGGTAACACAAAAGAACGGATCACGATTCTGGATCCATGGCCTTTGAGATACAGGATTGCTCCAAAAAGCCCGAACGGCACCTGCAGGACCATTCACGAAGTTGAGTGAAGTGAAGCGAAGCGGGGCCTCACAAGGGTGCGCCGCATCGAGGAATCGGCGGAGTGTGGGGATTTCCCAAGGGCGTAGCCATGGATGGCCATAGAGGAGCACAAGGAGAGGAGAAGATAGGAGAGAGGAGAGGACAGAGGAGAGTGAGGAGGCAGCGAGATGGAGACGGGGGCAGAGTTTCATTGCGGTATTGTCTTTCACTGCCTACAGACTGTTTAAATTGGAAATGTTGGGTGCTGCTTACACCAAATGGTCTAGCAAAATGCCATGTCGGAGAATATCGTTATCGTTGTCTTGCGATCCGAGGATGTCTCAAGCATTGACATTGACATGGTGTTTCCTGGTCACGAGATCAGCCGGCAGCACCCGAACTAGTGTGTGCGGCCCGGCCAGAGCCAGAGGCAGACCCCACATCTCCATGTCAACTTTCCCCACGTCTGCTTGGTTCCAGTTGTGTCGCTCCCGCTGCTCCTCGCAAGTCAAGTCACATTGGAGCGCGTAGTGCAGCTGAAATCATCCGGGCGTGAGGGACAGAAACACGTCCGGACCGGGACAAGTCGTCGCGGGGACAGCGCGAGGATCATGGCGCCCGGAAGATCTCGCACAGGCTGGTGAGTGGAACATGATAATGAAGGACGGAGAAATGCAATGCGCCGCCGCCATCCATGAGGTCGAGAGACTCGCTAAACCTGCCCTTGGTCCAGTCTCACCTGCCGTCAACGCAAGGTATTGCCCTCCTCCCCCATCCATCTGTGCATCACACCACCACACACCGCGGCCGAGCACGTGGGACGACGTTCCAATGCTGATGCGGTACGTGGAATCTGCAGCTCAAGTGCAGCGAGGAGAGACCGATCTGCGCGCAATGCGTCAAGGCCAACCGCGAATGCGTCCCCAGCTCCGGCATCACTTTCCGCCACCAGCAGAACCCATCGCTGAATGGAGAGGACCAGGAGAGCCTCAAGAGCTTCTACGGCTACAAGGAGACCTTTGGCAAGAGTACCACATGGGTTGAGATCCCCAAAGACCTCACCTTTGTCCACACGAGCAACCCGTACGAGGATGAGGAAGGCGAGGATCTCTCCCTCCTGACTGCCATACCAGCTGCTGCCGACAACGATGCACGGCGAGAACACGCCTACAGTTCGATGAGCCAGGCATCGTTTCCTGCGTATGCCACACATGGTCTGGAGGCGCTGAGCGCCGTCGCCAGCCGGGACCACTACAACTATGCACCCCCTCCGATGACCCATCACGAGCGAACAACGTCCACATCCCACCACTCGAAATCATCGACCTCTCCTCAGCACACTCATCCGACCCCGAGCCAAAACCTGGATTTCATCCTGAATCCCACATCCACGCTGTCACCCGCAGAGAGCAATATCGATCCGCAGCTGCATTCCCAGACACCCACCGCTGGGCCGCCGTCTCAACCAAGCCCTTCACATGTACGTACCGCTTCGTCCGCTTCACACGGCGGACGGACAAACTCACGGTCGAAAGGATTAAACCGGCGACCCCCAATCGAGGAGCCGCAGCTAGCTTTCCTCCTGAGAGACTATGCGGAGAGGTGAGAGAGATCGACATTGAATTGGAAGCAGACTTCGTCTAACGTCAGACCTCAGACCTGGCCTGTGGATGGACCTGTACGATCTTGATCTCTTCTTCGCGGCAAAAGTTCCAGTCATTGCCGTGACTTGTCCGCTGCTTTTGTATTCGTGTGCATCATTGTCTGCAAAGAGCCTCGGGAGGGTGGCGGGCAGGAAACCCGTGATGGTGTGTAGTGGATCGTGAAGAGGAAACCTGTGCACCAAAGACTGACTGACTGTATCGCTGCAGGGTGGCCAAGTCTCAGCATCACGACAAAGTCACCTCGAATTCTGGCCGGGTCCTCCACTCGATCCAGAGGGCTGGATTCGAAAAGGAAGGGAATATTATGACATTGGTATCTCGCTATTGAGGCAAGCGCTCGCAGGCGTATCAAGGCCGCCGACATCCTCGTTGCCCGAAGACGCATCTCCCACAACCCTCTTTAACGTGCGAGCAGAGCCCCTTCCCACCACAGACTCAGATGAACTCGTAGCCGCCACGGCAATCCTCTGCGTGTACGAATTTCTAGACGCGTCGGGTCCCGAATGGTCACGGCATTTGGATGGCGCAAAGACTCTGTTCGATGTTACCAAAGATAGGATGATGGTGCCACTCACGCTCCCGCCATCCCCTGTGTCCATCGCACAGCAGGTTACACAGAGATTAGCGAGCCAATCGGGGTCGGAAGAACAACAGCAACAGAGGCCTATACGGGGACTCAGCCAGGGGAGGCGAGCGGTGTTCTGGAACTTTGCCCGCCAAGACATGCTATCGGCCTTTATCAATAACAACTCGACGCGTCTCGACACGGGAGATTTGCACATGTGGCGTAGCGCTGGGCTGAAGCTGACGGTCGATGGCTATGTATCGCCTTCGAATCCACAGAACCCGGATTATGTTGCGGAGCAGGCCATGGGTGATGATGTATGTCCCGTCATGACGACGTTTGAATGCATGCGGCTGACAGAGTATAGATGATCGGCAATGCACTTGTCTGGTTGGTGATGAAGCTTGTCAACTTCATCGCTGCGGGCGATGATCTTCCTGATGGCATGTCCCCGCTCGGTCTGGGCGTTCGGCAACAAGAATTGCTGGAGTACTGGGATAGTCTGCACGAGCAGCTTCGCGTCTGGCATGCTGGATTGCCCGACGGCTTCAATCCAACCACCATTTACATGGGCGACACCGACAGCGACACCGAGAAGTGGTTTCCGAGGCCCATATGCGCGAGTACGATGCAGTGGTATCATTTTGCCAGGATACAATTGCTACACAACAAGCCGCATCTATCCACTGCTACTCCGATTCGTTCGGCTATGGGTCAAGGGGCTCCGGGAACGTCCTTGGCAACTCGCTACGCGAGTTATGCGTCTATCCTCCAACAGTCGAGAGACCATGCGAAAGAGATTGTTGCTATCGCGCGCGGACGCTCCGACGAGGGCACGCGGATTCATGGACTCCAACCCCTTTGGACCGCTGGTCTCGTTCTCGGCAACGATGACCAGCAGGGCGAAGACGACGCTGTTAGCCCGGAGACGGATGGCTGGCGACGGACCATTGTCGGGCTTCTACGCGGAATAGAGAGAGACATGGGCTGGGCAAGCGAATACCGCGTACAGAGTCTCTTCAATCTCTGGGGCGTGTCTTGGCCACTCAGTCCCGGCTGAATGACGCAAGGTGTATATAGCATGATGAGAAGTCTCATTTTACGCTTTGCCATGCTGGAATCCAGCTCTCCTTCTCCGATCCTTGCGCCTGTTCATTCGCTGATATCAACGCGTTGATCTGCTCATCCATGCGAAGTTTGCCCTGCTGTAGCACTTCCTTCTGGAGCTTCGTCATGACTTCAAGCTCCTTGAGCATGCTGTCGACGAGAGCCGAGCAATTGTCCAAGACGATCTCCAGGCTAGAGGCATGTTCGATATCGCTCTGAGGCGCCGGCGGAAGGACACCGATGTCGCGCTGGATGGAACGCAGTTTCAGAGCCACCGATGTGTGCACTGCCCTCCAAGTCTCGGGGAGAGCCTCAATGGCTTGATTCTGGCCGTCGAGCAAGACTGACTCTGCTCGCGTCACCCACATATCAAACGTCTCGGTAAGATCAGAGTAGCGACTGCCCGACTCTGTGTGTGCGCGAAGATCGGATACCACGCGACTGAGAGTCTGGAGATGCTCGGCAAGGAGCGCTTCGTCGGGACACCAGCTCTCCAGCGCATGCAGATTCTGACACCTCCTTTGTTGCTCTTCGTGCGTGCGTATGGATTCGAAGTCTTTCTGGAGTTTGGCGTGGAGTTCTCCGAGCTTGCTCCTCGCGCTTTGCTCGTACTCTTCGAGTATGAGGGCCGAGTTCTGGTGCAGTAGCGAAAGTTGCAGAAGTTCCATCTGCTCCAATGCGATCTCCAGGGTCATGGGGATCTCGGGCTCAGCGCTAGCAGGAGAGACGACTTTCGCGCCCCGGGTACTGGGCAGAGGCGGTTTGGGAAGCCCAGACTTCGCCGGGCTGTAATGCTGCTGATATGTCGAAAACGCTGGCCGCGTGGAAGGTGGGAGCATCTGCGACTTGGTGCGAGAGGTTGCGGAGCCGGTAGGCGAGATTGGCGAAGGCTGACCCCGAGCCTGGCTCGACATGGACGTATCGAGCGCAGGCGGCTTGCCCATGACTACAGAAGAGCGTTTCAGTGCCACAGTCGAGGTAGCCGCTCTCGTGCTGCTTCCACGGGCAGGGATCGATTGCTGGCTAGGAGTCGCCGTACTCGCACCGGGCCGGTGTGTGGTCGGGAGTCTCGTGGAGCCCGTACGCTTGTGCAATGAGTCTGTTCTCTGGGGTATGCTGGGCCCTCCTGGCTGAAGCGAGGGCTTCGATGATACCACATTACCTTCTTTGGAGACCGTTCGGGCATGCGCAGCGGCTGCTCTACCCGCACTTGACCCAGACGGGCGCAAAGAAGCGGTCCTGGAAGGCTTTGGAGGCGGTGGCATGCTTCTACTATCCTCGCTATCTCGTGGCCTGGAGCTGACTTCGCTGTCTGATGTGTCTTCCCTGATCATAGACTCCCGTATCTCCTTCTCACCCCCCGATGTCTTTCTTGATGTCGAGAAGCTCGGTAACAGGCTGCGTCGCTTCGCCTGCTTCGAGGTCGTGCCATTGTTTGGCAGAGATCCATCGCCATTGCCATGGCTTCCGCCCTCGATCCGTTGCAATGACTTGAGGTGCTCAGTCGGTGCTTCGAACACGGAGAGCGGCCTTGCTCTGCCGGAGCCTGCCGGTTTGCGAACGGAGGGAAGTCGACTCGGCGATGCCATCGCTACTTCGCGCGATGTTGCGTGGTGTTCAGGTGGAATACGTTATGCCTGGGGTTGTATGGGGGGATCACAAGTTCAGAAGCGTTCCAAGGTTGTTGTTTAAGTTCCCCTTTAGGAACTTTGACAGGGGTATCGGGGTCCGTGCACAGTACTAAGGCTTAGCGATACAGAACAGAGCCATGGGGTCCTTCACCTTTCTACAGCTTACCGTCACAGGATGCAACCACATTCCTATAGCGTCGTATCGACAGCATATTAACGAGTCGGCGAGTGATGCCGCTCAGACAAATCAATTGGCCCTCGCTAGCTCCCTCCTCGCTTCGGCAAGCTCTTCCTCGGATGGCATGTTGACCACCATCAAATAGAGGACATCCTCTCTCAACACCCTTCTAACCATTCCGCCACGGCGTCCTCCACGCTGACGACGACCTCGGCGCCGACTTCGTCCAATGTGCTCACCGAGAGGATCCTGATCCCTTCCTGAATTCCCGCCGATGAGCTCTGGCGTGGCACCATACATATCTTCGTACTCTTGGGAGGACGACGCGCAACTGGTGGCAATAGAAGCGCTCCCTCGGCCGCGAGAACTTGCAATTGCACGTAGGGCCCCTCCGAGCAGACCACCGCGCCCTCGTCCTGTCCTAGCGGAGAGCTCGTCGTGATATTCGTCGTCGTATCGACGGGCACGACGGCGTTCATGACGAGGCTCTCTTCCCCGTTCGATTCGGCGTGTGTCTCTCAAAAGATGCGTTTCTCTACGCCGTTCTCGCCTTTCTAATCGGGGCGTGAGCTTTCCACCAGATGCAAGCGTGACCAGTCCGCCAGAATACATCGGATGATTTGGGTCTGCTAGAGGTGACTTGAAGGCATGCTGTGACGTTGGGACTGCAAGCTTCGAGCTGGGATCTTGTGCCTCCTTGTCTTCATGTCAGTATCGCTACTCACTCCAGTGTGTCGCATTGAGAACTCACATATTCCATCTGAGCCCGTCGGTCCATATAGTCATTGAGAAAACCCTTGGCATCCTTCGCTTTATCCTTCCACGTTTCCGGGCCTTCGTGATCCAGCTTATAATCAATCTCGGGGAAGACCAGTGGCGCGGCCATGGGGAAATTTGCAGTCCCTCTAGTGGCGCCGCTCGCAACACGTAAGGCCTTCATGCGATCGCTCATAGTGGCGGTCGAACTCTGTTGGGGCTCGCTAGACAGTCCCTTGCCGTATTTCGCAATAGATTGCGTGGTCGACAGATCAACCTGCTCAGTTCGGATCAAACTGGAGAGCAAGCCTCCGCCAGCAGAAGCAGTTCGCTCCATCTCCGCGTCCGATTTGTACTTGAAGATCATGGCGTACAGACCCGCAGGTTGGAAAAGCTCCTTGTTCATGGTATCCAGAAAGCCGTTCATTCTCGTACGAGTTTGGATCTCGCCACCAACACGAGCACCAACCTCGACAGCTGCACACACGGCCGTAGCGATCACGGACGGAGCCAAACCAGCGATCCTCGCCGAGATGGCCAGAGCCGGGAAGATTGGCGATTGCTGGGAAGATTTGTGGAAGTTTTTGAGGAATTTCATGAAGGTAGCCTGGTCAATTCCACAGTTTTCCAATACTGGAGAGTAAGCACGTACGAAGCCTCGAGCCTTGGTGCGAGGGCGCCTCTGGGGGATGATGACAGGGCACGGCAAGGGTCGGTCGGAGGCTGTAATCTCATCGGAGGACGCTTTCGAACGCTTTGTTGAAGCCATCACCTCACGAACAAGATCATCGACGGTCTCATTCTCCTGCAAGGCTTCCGATTGTTCGTAGCTGGGAAGTCCCTGGCTGTCTATTGGGTCCTGAAAGTCGTCGAGCTCCCAGTCTTCCTCGTCCTCTTCGATCGACGCGGTATCGAGAGAGTCACTGTCATCATCTGTAAGGTCCTCGTCTCTAAGCTCACGGTTGCCGCTCTTCTCGGCCGACGCTGGCTGCCCAGCTTCGAGTGATCGCTCGGACGGACCAGCGATGTCATTGTAAGCGGGCGGATCATCTTGCACTGGATGCGTAGTTCGATGCCTGTCTGAAGGCTCCCCACAAAACTCTTCTTCTTGTTGTTGTTGTTGTTGTGAAGCACTCCGAGCTTGGTTCTGTTGTTTGCGATGCTCGCGGTATTCCGCTGCCATACCGACGCCTTGCCCAACGAGACCAAGAAGGCCTCCTACCGGCCCACGCCGACGCGATTGACCTGACATGTTGGAGTGAGCAAGGAGGAAACGCAAGGAACGAAAGAGAGTAATGAGATGGAGAGCTGAGACAGCAGGCTACGAGATGAGAGGCCACGACGGGGACGTATCTGAATCTTTATGAATCTCTATTCAGCTGCAGACGCTAGTCGAGAGCGGAGCACGTGAAGAAGGCGATGCGCTCGCGGCGTTGCTCAGCCTCGACCTCGACGGGCGAGTGTTGGAGGAGAGAGGTCGGGATTCCCGCGCGATGCATCCCCAAAGCGACCTAGCTCCATCTTCCTTCCACCAGCCACACACCCGACCTTACTGCCGAAGCCATCTGTGATCCACCAACAACAACAACAACATCCTCTAAGTATAGCTCATCGGAGCTCATCAGCCAGCAACACATCGCCGTCCCGTCTTGGACAAGCACAGCAAGGATGGAGCTTCCGCCCGATCACATTCGCGCGCTCGATCAATTGCGCACGCGTCTTTCGCAGCTCGCGACATCGCTCCGCCTGCTGCTCGACCATCTCCAGAACCACAACCCTCTCCCAACATGGTAGGCTGTCTTTCTTTCAATTGCTGATGTAGCGCTGCCATCTCTTGGCAGGCCGTGGTCGTATGCTTCAGTCCCGCTAAGGTAAGTGCACTACAGGCCTTCTCTCCAGGCAGACGCATCGACCGTGGGCGTCAACTTGGCTGAGCTTGCCGATGTCCTCAACTCTCAGCGCCAGCTCTTCTCCGCCATGCACGCCTATCCACTGCCCAACTATCCCGGACCCACTCAGGAAAACATCCTCCAGGGATTGCTGCGTAAGAAGCTGGACCCGAGAGCCGAAGCGTGGATTGACGACTCTTTGAAGTCAGAGACAGGAGGTCACACAAGCGATGCCCTATTATCAGACGAGCAAATGGAAGAAATATGGGAGTCGGCAAAGCCGTTGAGCCGCGAGATCATTGCACCAATGCTGGAGGAAGAGATCTTCGAGGATGACTACACCATCGAAGAGCGAGCGAAGGGCGTGGAAAACGTCGTGACGGGAATCAAGCGCATTGATGAGGAAGATGACGGTGACGCGATGGACGAAGACAAGCCTTCAGAGATGCCTTCGATTCCCGGCTCCGATCCCACGAAGCCCATGGAACCACTCCAGAACCTGTTGAGATTTGCGACCACGGGAGATTTGAATCCTCCAGGACCCAGTCGGTAGCCGTAGTAAAACTCGAGACGCTGCTTTTCCCTATTGTGCCTCACTGCGCGCCTGTCCAGCTTTCCTCATCCTCATGTGTCAGATTCGCTCTTGGCTCACCTTACAGTCGCGGGGACCACAGGGCCTTACAAGCATTAAAGAATATTCACAGTTTCTCTAATGTCGTAGACACGTGCTATTCACCTAGCAAAACCTTCTTGCCATTCACCTAGCAAAACTGCCATTCACCTAGCAAAACCTTCTTCCACGCACGTGGCACTCTGCTAATTCACTTACAGGTTTATTTATAGTTTATTTCTACCTCCACAGTGCACACGACAAAGCACATACTTCTCTCGACCTTGGTACTTCCATCATTAACATCATCAAGATCAACACAACTTGACCACAAGTCTGCGTCGTGCGGACTTCTCTTCCTCTTCTCTGACAGACACGCGCGAAAGGTTTATTCGTTGCAGACTCCAACAACAACCACACATCAAGAGCGGCCGCGGCCAAGCGATATCACAATGACTCGGAGGCGCGATCCCGATCTGATCAAAGCCTGCATCGAGCGAAATGTAAAGGCTTCGCTATACGACACATTGGACGGGTTCCAATTTGAACGCTCCATCCTCATTCGTCCCGCGGAGTCCGCCCGGCCAGTTTATGCTTCATCTGACATGCCGCTTGGTTTCGACCGGTACCGATTCGAAGTCTATGGGGGTATCGCGAAGATAGTACAGGTCCGGCTGCTCAAGGCGGGCGAGGTACAAGTGCTCTTCCACGGCGGATGGACCAGTGTCTCGGAGCTCGTCACGAGCCTTCCAAGGCCCTCCACCGAACGAGATCTCGCGCCGGCCGGACCATTGACGTTGGCGGAGAAGACAAGCCTGTGGGATGACCAGTGGTACTGGTGGCGCAAGAACGGCAAAGCGTTCCACTTCGAGCGCTTGCCTGGGGAGATACGCGAAGCTGTCTATGGCGATACCTTTGGCGACCATAAGGTCACCCCATACCCATTCGCTCGATGTAGGAGAGTCCCATTCAGCGTTTCAGCAGCTATCGCTCAGCGCAATCCCAGCACAGCACTCATCAGCGGCGTTTCGAAGCAAATCTCCGAAGAGGCTCGTCATATTCTGTTCAGAGACTGCTGCTTCTGCATCGAGAAGGCAGGACTCCTCGGCAAGCTCTCGTTCAACAAGGCCCTCGCAAGCCGCATCACACGCCTCGAACTGAGCCTCAGCCATCTCGGTTACTTTGCCCTTTTCGGCTTCCACATTAACGACATCTACGACTTCGAGCCCAACTGGAGGGCCGTCGGAACCCTCCGCGAAATGGAGCTAAAGGAGCTCCGCTTGCACATCCACCGCCCGCAGCGAGCGAGCCCCCACACCCTGACCGACTACGCGTGCCAGAAGATTGCATGCGACTGGATCTTCGAGGCCGCGTTTGACTGGATCAAGGGCCATCCCGTCGAGCTCACGGGCTGGATCAAGACCCGACAGAAGCAAGCGTTCGAGGCGAAGCTCGCGGAGGCCCGCGCCGAGTATCTCGCATGGTGCGGCGAGTGGAGTGGGTATTCGGAAACCACGCTCGTCGAGTGGGACGAGTACGAGTACCAGGAAGATGGCGGCGTCATGGTCGATGGGCGCCAGAAGGCCGAGCTGACAGAGAGCAAATGGCCGCGCGTTCGCCGTGTCGAGCGAGACGATCCTATCTGCTTCTGTGCAGTGTCTTGCGATATGGAGAATTGGACGGCTGATGATTGAGTTTTGGGGCTCGAGTCGTAGTACTACATCGGGACGATGAAAGGATACAGGGGAGGTTTTGGGAGACTCTACATCCATTGCTTCTCACCCGGATGACCGGGTACACACACTCTTTTGGCATAGGGGGGTCGAGGCGGTTTGATTCACAAAGCAGAGCGACATGCCAGAGAAACACGGATCTCTGCAGCGGAACCACAGGTCCTGCTCTTTTTCCGGTCATGGATATGGAACAAGCCGATCGAATACTTCGAATGGCAGTGTTACATTCACACAGACATCAAAAGTACTTCATTGTATTGTTTCGGGGATGTTGTCATCCCTCCTCGTAGAAGATTTCTTGGCTTCACAATGTATCATATAATCATCAAATCATGCTCCATTCGTCACTGCGGCCTGCTCATTCATGAAGCCACCAAAGAAAGCCTCGAGCATCCCGTTCGCGTCCTCGGAAAGCGGAAGGACCGCACTGATATATTGATCAGGCCTCACGACAACCACACACCCTTTCTCCCGATCAATTCCTCTCGTCTTGTAAATCTCGCCAAAGCCAAAGCCGTAGCTCTCCTCATCCGTGAACGCCTTCTCGTAATCTTGAATCCCCAGACGTCCCTTGTGTGGCAGGAGCAGCGGTGGAAGATCTGTGATGTTGAAGCTTTGGCGGGATTGCTGATACACGGCACGTACGTCGAATACGGAGTCGATGTCGCCTTTGGGAGGCGTGTGCTTTGGAATGAGCACGTGCTGGAGGTAGTCGCATATCTTCGCCACGGCAGAAGTTGGGGAAGTCGGATCCGAGTTGTCGCCGAAGAGTACAATTCTCCATCTCCCGTCTGCTTTCATTTCGTGGCCGAGGTGGATAGGTTTGGCATCTGCGACACGCAGGACCTGCGTTGACTGAAATCGGGTTCCGATCTCATATCCTGTCGCCAGGTGCTGATGGCTCGTATCCGAGGACGTCAATGGGCCAGGCTTATACTTGATCTCAACCCCGGCCATGAAGCGTGCCTGTCGTTGAAAGTTCTCCTGGAAGACGGCCGGATCCACAAAGTCCTCATCGTCCTCGGCGGCGTTCTCCTTGGGTTTCGCGGCAAACATGCGGGACATGACGCGGTCGAAATCTATCAGCCTCCGGGCGATGTCCTGTCGTTCTTCCGAATAGGTATGCAGAAGGCTCGGCGGCGCAAGACCTCGTAAGACGGCTGCTAGCTTCCAGCCGAGATTGAAGGAATCATTCATGGACACGTTCATGCCTTGACCGGCCTTGGCAGAGTGAGTGTGACAAGCGTCTCCAGTGATGAATACCCTCGGATCTCGTTGGTCGCGCTCGACTTTGGGCACATCGTCGAAATGATCTGTGAGTCTTTGGCCGACCTCATACACCGACCAGTAAGCTATCTCTCGCACATCAAAGGTGTATGGTGCAAAGATACGTTTGGCTCGATCGATCAAGACGTCTGCCGTGACATTCTTCGTAGATATCCGTTCGTTTGCATCTAATTTGTCCAACTCGATGTAGAAGCGTGAAAGGTAGCCACCCTCTCTAGGGATGATTAGGATACTGCCATCGTTCGCGGAATGAATCACGGTCTTCAGTCTCGCGTCTGGGAACGTCGTGACCAACAAGGCGTCCATCACTCCCCAGGCCTGATTGGCAAAGTCGCCCTTCATCTCCAGGCCGAGTTTGTTTCGAACTCCGCTTCTCGCCCCGTCACAACCCACGACATACTTCGCTCGTATCATCTCCTTCTTTCCTGCATTCTTCTCATCAATCCTCTCAATAGTGATATCTACAGGTCCGTCTCCCCTTGGTATGCTAAGCTCCGTCATCGTGCGGCTGTACGACGGCTCCAGCCTCGTTGGCGACCACTTCATGCAATCCAGCCAGAGGTCGTGCAGTCTCGCCTGGTTCAAAATGACATGAGGGAACTCGGAAAGCCCGTCCTCCGTATCCCGTATCCTCCCACTCCTCCGCAGACCTCTCCCATCGTCTGTCGGCGACCAGAACGTTGTCTCATTCACCCAGTACGCCTCTTTGAGCACTTTCTCACTGAAGCCGAAAGCCTCGAACACTTCGATCGTCCGACATTGCAGTCCATCCGCCTGTCCCTGTTCTAGTCGACCGTGCTTCGATTCGACGATTCGTGTTGTGATGTCCGGGAAGCGAGCTAGCTGAGCTCCCAGTAACTGTCCGGCGGGACCAGCTCCAACTATGAGTACGTCGATCTCATCTGGTAGTTTTGTCTGGAAGTCTGGCTCTTGCCCGTCGAACTGTAAGATCAGTGGATCTCCAGAGCCTTTGAAGCCGCTCAAGTGAAATTGCATTACGAGTGGAAGGCCGAGGAGTTTGATCGGAGACAAAGGGAGCAATAGTGAAGTAATAGCTGCGTATACCGCTATGGTAGCTTACCACGCCGATGGTGGCATATATTTGGGGTTATCAGGAAGATTGCGGAGTGGAGAGCCCGACGGGAGCCTCAGTTCGGGCTAGAGCACCGCATTCGGTTTGGGTTTCAGCTCGGCCGGCCCGCGTAGCGAAAAGCGCCCCAATTCCATCACCAATGAACAATGAACAATGAACAATGGGCCGTCGTGAAGAAGACAAGAGGCATCGAGTATGTTGGTGTGAGGTACATGTCGAGTATGGCTTCCACGTGAAACGGCGGAGGGAAGGTGGAGACGGTGCGGCTCTTCCTCGGTCGAAGACACAAGGCGGTACCGAACAAGTGCACGATTCCAAAGCGTGGCGAGTGTATCCAGAGCACTGTGTGCTAGGCCATGAAGACCCATGCGGTAGAGGTGGATTGCGAGTCCACTTCGAGGCACCATGAGTATCTCGAAAAGACGATGCTTTCGCCAGTGTACGTCAGACAAGCATCTGAGAAGCGAGCCGCGAAATGCACAACGTCTGGTCGCTTTGAAAGGTTGCTTGGGGGGATATAAATGCAGATTCGCTTCTCGATTCTATTACATCGTTCCGTGTGCATTTTGGAAGCTCCACATGAATGCCAAGGGTTACCTGAGATTCACATGCGCAGCACAGGCCACTGCAGTCTTTCTGACCCCGCACCCCCGGGAGCTTCCCTGCCCTGCCCAGTCCAAGCGGGTCGCAGGGATTTGGTGCTAACTTTAATGCCAGACACGAGAGCTCGAGAATACGATCTCTGCGACCACCTGATTATTTTCTTCTCCCTCAGACAACCGCCTTACCTGCCTCGCACAACAAGCCTCTCCTCACAGAACATCCGCTTCGCCCCTTCCATCCTACAACCTACCCAATCGAGTCGACTTCGAAAGCACCTCCACCATGGCCACGTTGCAAGTACCGCTGAGAGGAAAGGCAGGAGGCTCGCCCGTCACAAAAGCCGTCATTCTCGTGTGTATCAGGCGTCGCTGGCAGAGGCGCATATGCTAAGACTACGATAGGTCGGAGGTCCTTCGAGAGGCACCAGATTCCGACCCCTGTCCCTCGACTTGCCCAAGGTAAGCCCAATGCGCCCACTGCTCTAAGTCCTCTCCGAGCAAAGATTGATACCAGTCAGCCTCTTTTCGAGGTCGCGGGCCACCCCATCATCGAGCACTGCTTCGCCGCGATTGCCAAGGTCCCCGAGATCCGCGAGGTCTTCATCGTCGGATACTACGACGAGAGCGTATTCCGAGACTTCTTTAAGGATTGCGCAAGGACCCATCCCCAGATCAGCGTCCGCTACCTACGTGAATACCAAGCACTGGGTACTGCCGGCGGTCTCTACCACTTCCGCGATGCTATCCTCAAGGGAAGACCCGACCGCTTCTTCGTCCTCAACGCCGATGTCTGCTGCTCCTTCCCGCTGGAGCAGATGCTGAGATTGTTCGAAGAGAAGGATGCCGAGGCGATCATTCTAGGAACACGAGTCCCCAACGATGCGGCTACCAACTTCGGTTGCATAGTCAGTGACGCGCACAGCAAGAGAGTGCTGCATTATGTGGAGAAGCCAGAGTCACACATATCCAATCTCATCAATTGCGGCGTGTACCTCTTCGCGACCGAGGCCATCTTCCCTAGTATCAAGAGCGCGATCAAGCGTCGAACAGACAGGCCCCGACTCGTCTCATACCCCTCCTCGGACGCCCTCGATTCGCAGTACGTGGCACCCACTGACGACGATGATGGGGAGAAGAACGAGGTCATTCGTCTGGAACAGGACATTCTCTCAGACCTGGCCGACAGTCGGCAATTCTTCGTCCTCGAGACCAAGGATTTCTGGCGTCAGATCAAGACGGCGGGCTCTGCGGTACCTGCAAATGCTCTCTATCTCATGAAGGCTTTCCAAACGCAATCCGAGGAGCTAGCGAAGCCATCCGCCAACATTCTTCCCCCGGTCTTCATTCACCCTTCTGCCCAGGTGGATCCTACGGCGAAGCTGGGCCCGAACGTGTCCATTGGACCTCGCGCCGTGATTGGTCCTGGTGTACGAATCAAGGAAGCAATTGTGCTTGAGGATGCGGAGATTCGACACGACGCCTGCGTGCTGTACGCCATTGTGGGTTGGAGCAGCCGTGTCGGCGCATGGGCAAGAGTTGAGGGCACGCCAACGCCAGTCCGAGAGCACAGTACGAGCGTCATCAAGAACGGCGTCAAGGTCCAGAGTATTACCATTCTGGGCAAGGAGTGCGCTGTTGCAGATGAGGTGAGAGTGCAAAACTGCGTCTGCCTGCCGTTCAAGGAGCTTAAGAGGGTGAGTACACCATCCATCCTGCCATCTTGAAGGCTATGACACTGACTGATCTTGCAGGATGTCGCCAACGAAGTGATTATGTAGACGAGGCGTTCGGAGGGACACTTGATTTGAAGGAGTACAGCGTACAGCGAGCTGCATTGGGGCGCGAGGTAGATTCCGTGAAAATATCACGAGAATAGAAAGAGCTTCCGGGTGGCTCGTCTGAGTAGAATTTGAAAAGCAATCTCCGGCTCAACTCTATGAATGTTAATATTCGTATCACGTGTAGCATACTTCTTGAGCGGCGTCTGGAAATATTTTTCCATCAGCGTTGAGACAGATAGGGAGAACTGTGAGGGATTCTTGCCTTCCTCTGAGCATCTTTCTCCACGCATGCCTTTCTCCGAAACTTGCAAGCCGCTCCAGCAGCAGTGCGAGCATGGCTTGCAACGTTCAGGAAGCGTACTTTATACCTCTTCAGTCCAAGTCATCGTCACCCGCTGAAGCTTCCTTTTTCTCTTGACCCTTCTCGTTTTTCTCCAACTCATCTTTGGGCAATAGAGTGAAAATGACGACAAAGAGCGGCTCGCCCGTGGCTCGGTTCTTGAGCACGTATCTGAGCGCGTGCGAGCTTTTGGTCAGCCCAGTCAGTCGTGGACCGCGAAAAGCACGCACGAAGGCCGAACTGCAATGAGAGTGTACGGATGCAAATGGGTCTGAGAGGGGATTTGGTGCTTACCGAAGGGGTTGGCCGTCCCAGTAGCTGATGATGGGAATGGTGATGCCAGGTATTAGGCTGAAGCCCGGGAGGCGGAGGGCGAAGTCTGAGAGGTTTGTTAGTGAGTAAGGTCTTAAATCGAGCAGAGTAGAGACTGACCGTTGAAGTCCAAATAGGGGTTGAAGAAATCATTCGAGTACTCTCTTCCCTTCTCAAAAGTGAAATTCTTCAGATTCGACTCGGTCAGAAAGAACTTCTGTCTCTGCGGTCCGGCATCCGGTACTCCCAACTCTTTCCTAACATCTGCTCCATCTCCGTCCGCGCCTTCTTCGAACACCAGTGTCGCCTCGTTCGCTCTGATCTCTTCTACCTTCTCTTGCTCTTTATCATCCTTTGGGCCCACCCGAAAGGTATTTATCGAGCTTAACAGCGGACCATAGAGATATGGCTCGTCTGCGTAGACGTCTCCGTACAAGCCGGGATCGATGAACCATGTTGCGATCTTGAAAGCTTGCTGGAATCCAGGAGGGAGCTTATCCCGGATTGGGTGGTCGAAGTCGTTGCCGAGTACTAGGTCGTGACCATTGATGTCTTCTTTCGGCGTGAATGTGAAAGCGAGCGAATAGAGATCGTGCTTGTGCTTTTCGTGTTCGAAGTAGGGCGATGTCTTCGATGAGCCTTTCGGTAGTCCTCGATAGTTCTGTACTCGTAGTCGGAGGCTGGTGGTGACTTGCTTTGAAGATATTTGTATGGGTTCCTCGGAGTTCACCTGGACTTCTTTCTGGTCTTCGTAGTTGGGCCCCGCTGTGACCTTGAGGATATACTTGTCTGCCATATTAAACTTCTACTTGCGACAGCTTCTCCAGGATAGTTTTGTCCAGAGTGGTATGGAAGTAGATTGGGTTGAGGGGTGCTGATGTCAACCAGCTTCATCATGCACACCTCATGTGAAAGTGAAAGAAAACACCGAGACGTCATTTCCCGGAATGATTTCCGCTGGAAAGGCCCGAGCTCAGGCACCGAGCAGGCCGATCTCGCCAACAAATTTACACGAGCTTCTTGGGAGATTGGAATTTGGACTGCATCCATTTTATTATTCGGTGATTCCATGGCGGCGACACGAGCTCTCAGGATTGGTTAGCATCAATGCTACTATCCCCACTTCCTCCATACTAACGGGAATGCAGGCCTTCTGCCGGGCGACGGCATTGGCCGCGAGGTCATTCCTGCCGGCCGGCGCATACTCGAAGCTCTGCCCGCTTCACTGGGCCTCAAGTTCTCTTTCGTCGACCTCGACGCCGGTTTCGACCATTTCAAGCAGACTGGAGTCGCTCTTCCGGACAAGACAATCGAGACGCTCAAGAGGGAGTGCGATGGCGCTCTCTTCGGCGCTGTGAGCTCACCCACCACTGCCACCAAAGGCTACAGCAGCCCCATCGTCGCCCTGCGCAAGAAGCTTGACCTCTACGCCAACGTTCGACCCGTCAAGTCCGTCAAGCCCACGCCATGCTTCCCCAATCCAATCGACCTCGTCATCGTTCGCGAGAACACCGAGGACCTGTATGTCAAGCAAGAGAACACGTTTGAGGGTCCAAAGGGCAAGACTGCACATGCCATCAAAGAGATCTCGGAGAGCGCTTCGGCACGGATAGCTGCCAACGCAGGAGACCTTGCCATTCGAAGGCAGCGCGTTCGCAACACCACCGGCGAGTCGGGGAGGAAGTCGATGGTGACCATCACCCACAAGAGCAATGTCCTCCCGCAGACCGACGGGCTGTTTCGCCAGACCGCACGCGACATTCTGTCACAAGCCAAGTACCAGGAGGCTGGAGTTGCTATCGACGAACAGATTGTTGATTCCATGCTCTACAAGCTCTTCATCACTCCGCACAGCTACGATGTCATTGTCGCGCCAAACATGTACGGAGACCTTCTGTCAGATGCCGCTGCAGCTTTGGTGGGATCGCTTGGCCTTGTGCCTTCTGCCAACGTGGGAGACGGCTTTGCAATGGGCGAGCCGTGCCACGGCTCCGCTCCAGATATCGAGGGCAAGGGTATTGCAAATCCAATTGCTACATTGAGGAGTTGTGCTCTCATGTTGGAGTCGCTTGGTCACGAAGAGGCAGCTGCGAAGATCTACCAAGCCGTAGATGCCAATCTGGCAGAAGGAAAGCTGCTCACGCCTGATTTGGGCGGCTCGGCGAAGACAGAGGAGGTCTTGAGCGACATTATCAAGCGTTTGTGATCTTGATGGGACGAACTTGAGGACTAGGGCCCGAAAATCCACGCAAAGACTGGAAAAGCATTGGTTGGACTGAAACTATCGGGATAGGAGACGGCAAATACTCTCGACGAGTCGATGCCTCCCCAAGATCGTTGTTAGATATGTATCAATATGCGGTATGGAGATGTTGATGCACGGTGCATGTGTGTGTGAGAGGCAAATCACGACCTTTCCTCGGGCTAAGGCTGCAACATTCTCGACCTTTCTGCAAATGCGGTGGTCGCTGCTCCATTTCGCGCCATAGTTGTTGCCTGAGAACTTGCAGAGCGTACTCTCGCTGTCTTAACTGAAGTCCTTCTCTCCTATTACCGCAGGCACAATATACTGCTGGGTCCCCGAGTTCTCGGCTGATATATGCTGCTCCTTAATTTGTTGTTTCTGGCTTTCCACCCCGGCATATCTGCAACGCGCCATGGATCGATCGAACTCCCTCGAGCACTAGGATGGGGATCAAATCCCCTCTCTCTCGATCGGCAAAGCAACAACCTTCAACAGAAGACACCTACCGCTGCTTTCCATGGCGAAACTGGACACGTACCCGAACGTCGAAGAAGAAGAAGAAGAAGAAGAAGAATGGTTATCCTAGGAGAATAATGCTCGATGGTGTCGACGTCAACCGCGAATAAGATCCTGTCCACAGGAATAATAATAATAGCGGGGATACGTATATCCAGCACTATCTATCTATATCCAAGAAGTGAGCCTGGAAACTTGCAACGGAGAATTTGAGGTCGATGCGAGGTTCATCCTGGCTATAATAATCAATGGGAGAATCCAAGCAAGGTGGAAAGCTGCGCTGCGGCGGATTGTGCGGAATTCCAGGTGTGGGAATCCTGCATGTATGCTCCCGATGGGCTTTCGGTTATGATGGGGAAGAGACCGCAGGAATCGGTTTTTCAATTTTTCCGTGACGGTGTGGTGGGGAGGTCGAGGAGTGGGGTTGCTCTGATGAAGGGCTTACGGAGCGGGAAACGGAAGATCAAGATTCTGGAAGAGGGGTGTGCTTATGCTGCTCTGAGGGCGTATAACTCTGGGTTTGTGAAGGGGAAGCTGGATGATGGTGTTGGGAAGGGCAAGGGACAGACGGGATATATGAATGATGTTGCAAAATCGATCGCTCGGATCGGGATAGGATGGTCGAGGGAAGAGATCCATGAGTTGTGCGTGAGCGGTGGCTTGAAGATGTTGATGTTCCATGCTCAGGATTCCCTGGACACTTTGGGAGATCTGGCTGCTGAGTTCCACATGTCGCCGCTAAAGTGCAATGAGAAGCACCAGACCAGCACCCAACGCACCACCCATGCACCAGAGACCACGAGTGGAGACTGCAGCCGCAGCGCTCGACGTACTTGACGAAGCAGCAGTGGTGCCGGCAGTGCTGTCGCCCCAAGATATGATATGATATCAGCCCTACAGCTCCATCGCTAGTGACGGGAAAAGGACGACTTACGCGGTAGCCGTAACGTTGACGGCCTGGTACACAATCTGGCTGGGTGCCAACGTACTGGTCGTACCCCTCTCGACCATCCCTTCCCCGGAAGCGACCTGTGAACAGACGGCAGAAGTGGACCCGGCTAGTGAGCAGCCCAACACTGCCATTCTGGGATTCCGAAAAACTCAGCTTCTCAGCTCTGTCGGGAGGGAGGGAGGGAGGGAAAGGGAGAAGTATAGCTTGCTCACCCAGCACTATTGGTCGTGGTGTATTCGGCCGTCGAGATGCCCTCGGTCAGCGTGAGGTTGGGCGAAATGGCGCATTGTGGCTCGGATGTCGGGCATGCGAGCACATACACGGTAGTGGCGGTATTCTTTTTTTTTTTCCCGGTCCACTGGATTAGCATGTGTGTTTCAAATGTAGCACGCTCCCTTTCAAATCGCCACTACTCACGTTATGAGCAATAGAAGCAACGGGCGTGCCGGAAATCGTCTTGAAAGGAATCCAGAGGCTTCGTTGTCCCGTCTCCGGCTTGAAGCTGGTCTGTTGCGCCAGTGCCAGACTGGCGAGACCGGAGAGCAGGGAGACGAGGCAGCGGAACATTGTCTAGTCAATAGAGTACGTGTTCGCGAGCTTTGGTGGGCGGCAAGGCGTATTACCTATCACAATCGTGAAGCATTTCGAAGCCGTCCAGTTTTGCTGGATATTCGAGGTCGAACATGCGTGACTGTAGAACCCCCCTTTGTCGTCAGCTGAAACAAGACGTGTCTAAAGTTCATACGGAGCAAGGTATGAGCTCGCGCGCTCACGTGGGAGCAATTTTATTTTATGTATGTCATGACTGGACGCTCTCAATCGCTCGCTGTGCGACTCGATAACACAACTATATTCACTAGAACATTCGGGTTCAAGATGATCGTTGGATGGAAAACGACGCAATGATACTTGCCTGGTGATATATTCACAACTCAATGCTCGCTGCGAACTGCTCAAGGGTCATTGTACAGGTATCACAGCGACACTTTCAGATCCTGCCTCAGATCACCATTGCTGTCATCGTTCGCCGTGCTCCGGACATCTCTTCAAGACCCAGCGCTCCCACCGCTTGCGTTTGGCATTGTCGATGCGCACGTCGTCATCCGCCAGGTCGTCCGACAGGTCTAGATACCCAGGTCCGCCGCAATTGCACCAAGGAGCCGAGGCCGGCGTGTCTGGTGAGTTCAGATTGGGGAATTCCATCTCGTGAGCATCCGGTCCGTGTTCATCGTCCGAATCGTGTTGCTCGTCCGAGTCATCCTCGCTGTGATCAATCTCGTCGTCGCTCGGGGCGGAATCGACGTGGGTACTTGGTCCATCGGCGTACTGCTCGTCCTCTTCGTTCTCGTCCTCTTCGCTATCACCGTCCAGCGGAGGTACTTCCGCTCCGGCGTATTGCGAGTATTCGGGAGAATGAAAGAACGCCGTGTAGCCAATCCTGCGCAAGCTGACCCAAAGTAGCTGGCGCATCTCATCTCTCAAGAATGACAGCACATCCTTCCACTGACTACCCTCCTTGAGGTGTACGTCTCGCAAGCGTACGCCCCTCAACTTCGTCGCGTGTCTCTGTAAGAATTCAACGATTTCTTCCGAGTCAAGCTCCCAGCCTTGTATTCCGAATGCAATGAGATCATCCCAGGCAACGTGGTGGAACACACTGGCCAGTGGCAAAGTTAGAGGTCGATGAGACGGGAACCCAATGTGTACTGCCTTCATACGCTTTGCTCGGCTAAATACCGTCTTGAATAGATCTGAGAGCTCCATGATCTTGGTGTCGAGATCGTCACCATCATCGAAATGCAGAGTCAAACAAGTCAGACGTTCAGCCAATGTCGATATTCCATTTGGACCTGCCACCTGGAGGAAGCGTGCGCTGGAAGGGCTTGCCATCGGCAGAGAGAACCGGTTTGGCTGCACGTTGTTCGATGCCAAAAGCGCAACTCCGATGGTATGCGATGCGTGTCGGCAAGCCGAAGTCCAGTCCAAGTTGACAGTCGTGCGTGCCTCTGCATGGCCCCTCAAGTACTGCAGAACCATTTCATCTTCTCTCTCCGACACTCGTAGGATCTGTATCAACTGCAAGGAGGAGAAGCTTGCAATGGCCCTCTTGAGGACATGGACGTCGTGCTCGCCTGCAATAATGCTCCGCTGCTCATAAGCCTTTCGTCGGAGGTTTCCCAGGTCGGACGGACGCAAGCCGAGTTCGCGTAGCTCCTCCTTGATTTCGTCCAGGTTATTCAAGCCTGTGTCAGCCAGTCAGCCGGTTCATGTGGAAGATCCTCTCTGGGCATCCACAAACCACCTTCAAAGAAGTAGGGCACCAGATAGCTGAATCTCTTGACGTGACGTGCAACATTGCGCCATCGAGCCAGATCATCGAGCCTTTGCAGGCCCTTTTCAGAAAATCTTATGGCGACCTGCGTGAAGATGTACGGTGCACCGATGTCCGCAAATCTCTTGCAGGATCTTCGAAAGTGGCCTACATCGACTATAGAATCCCTGAACTCTCTCGTCGGGGCCGGTGGCGGAAGACTTTCGACACTCAGGAACTGTCTCTTGATAATGGCCTGCCGAGAGTCAGACTGGGCAAATGGCAGGGCACGAATCTCGCAACATGGCACACCTTGTCAATGTGGAGCGTACTGTCGTGTTCTGGTGCTATGTAGCTCAAGATATGCTGGTAGAGCTCGATAGGAAGTCCTCTGGGAAGGGTCTGATTTTCAGAGGAGCCGTTCTTCGCAACTGCGGTCATCGGGTGATGCTACAGGCTCTCGTCAGCCACAGATATTGGGTGTGGTCTGTGTCCGGCTGGATAACGTCTTTCCGGGGCAAGCGCGAAACCAAGGACGCCGAGCAGGGCCTGCGTAGGTGAATCGAGAGGCTCGAACTTTGCACTGTCGAAGCAAGGTAGGACCAGAGTGATAGACGGCAGTGCCACTTGAGCGAGGACTCAGTCGCCGGAGAGCTCTATGCTGGGAGTAGGATTGGAGGACGGGTGACCTTGATCTTTGATCTTTGATTTCTCAGTGGCCTGTCGGAGAGCCCTTGTTGCAGGCGGTGGCAGAAGAGATACGAAGCGAGGAGAGCATGGAGCAGGTTAGGTTTGCTCGGGCCGTGTCGACGAGAATGTGAGGAAGAGGAAGGGAAGTTAGAACCAACATGACGAGGCCAAAGGCTCCCATGTAAGGGCGGCGTCATGGGCGCATGACTGTTGCAGTGCAGAGCAGCCACCAGGAGGAGCATGTTGTTTGGCCGACACCAATTAAAGAGGAGTATCCGCAAAGCCGCAGCTCACGGGACCTCAGCTGTATGCGTGAGATTGACGCGGAACGGCACGAATGCAGGCGGCGGAAGAAAAATCTGGACGACGAGCTCCGCGCTGCTGGCGATGCCTGTACCCAGCAAGCAGCACCTGGCACTCCTACCAGGAGGTATACGGTGAGGTATGCGCTGGCAGCAGAGTCGAGGTCGCGATGCAACGAATCGGGCGACGGGTCGCGCACCACCCATCTGCAGCTCGCCGTGCCGAGGGCTCGTACAGTAGGTTGCGGGCAGATGGGCGTCTAGTGTTAGCTGCGTCGCGCGCAGACAGCCGAGTTGGACCTCAGTATTGTATTGTGCTCGTGATTGCGCCGGACCGGAGAGACCGCACCGGTCCAGCAGCTCAGGTGGTGCTGAGGGTGTGCAGGGCGCCTCTTGCATGCGACGACTCGTGGGTGTTGCTAGCTGCACGCTCGCGGCGACGCGCACAACACCAGGACAAGTCGGGGGATTTTTATAGTGGGCTGCGGCAGATGACAGGTCGCAAATTGGAGCAGACGAGTACGGAGACAGGCGCACGGGATGCAGGATACATCATGCATGCACGGCAACGGGCGCTGCAGCTTCTTGACTGAGCGACGTGCCTAAGGTACGGCTGCGGCGGGATAAGGGATCGGGATGGCCTAATCTTTTATCCCGGTGCGAGCGAGAGAGGCAACAGAGGGTGGGCCCAGGTCAAGAGTTCGGACGATTCGAAAAGCCCGTGACCGTGAAGCTCATGTGTGGGCGACGTAATAAGGGTCTTGTTGATGAATGCACGAGAAAGGCGTTGACGGTGAGGTGAAGTCTAGAGGTGTGCCCAAGGAAAAAAGGTCCATGTCTGAAATTGGAAACCACCGCTCAATCTGCGTCCGAGCGCCACAGGCGCAGGCACAGGTACAGACGCTACCTCACTCGAGTGATGCGACTTGCGGTACTAGGTACAGCTCACTCCTTCGAACAAACAGATAGGTATGCATCTACCTGCTACCCTGATACTCCACCAAGGCTGCCTCACATCTTGCCGCCAGCCTGCCGCGCCAACTTCTCACGGATAGCAGTGCTGCTGATCTTGCTCTCAAACCCCTCCTTCACGCCTGCCGACTGCCCTTCCTCTTCCGCATCCAGCACGTCAACCTCAAACACATCCAATTGTCTCCATGCCTGCTCTTGGCGCTTGTCGTTGACCGCCTTCCCGCCAGCCCGCGTCTCTGCACTGATCACGAGCGCGGAAATGCGCTCCTCGGTGATGGTAGGCCCGAAGGCATCCTGAATCTCGGTGCACTTGACGATCAGGCCATGAGGATAGTGCACGTCGATGGACTTGCCATTCGGACCTGGATCATCCGAGATGCTCACGTGTCGCTGACCAAACGTAGCCGGCTGTGAGAAGTCGGTAATGGCGTTGAAGAACGTGGCAACTGCCTTCTGGCGATCCGCCCAGCTCTCAACCAGGTTGGCATGCTTCTTCTTCACCAGAAGCTGATCCCCCGTAATACCTATGGTGGCTGTGCGCTCGCCGTGCTCCTCACGGTCATCCACCACAAAGAGCGTCATGGTAATGAGTAGCTTGTGTCCAATATGGAGATGGTCCCAAGTGCCTCCCACGGCCACGTCATAATGCCGTTCGTGAGCCAGACTCGTAGGTGCAGTGGAATTCGAAGCTGCCGCTTGACCCTGTGCATTCATGACTGAGCCACTCTGGACCCGACTGACTTCATGAGCATTGCCTTTTGCCGTCACAAAATCCCGAACCATGCGTTCACCGGTCTCGGATTCGACACCGAAAGCGAACTGCCAACGGCGGCCAGAGCGGGCCAATGTACCAATGTCGATGATAGGGCCATATGGAATGGACGCGGGCGCTTGTGGCTCTCCATCCGGAGACCAAGCCACGAGTATCACACGTACATCAACGCCATCGGAGTCTTCGACATTAACACCGTCCTGGGCAGCTGTAACGACGACTAGCTTGTAGACGCCGGCGACAATGGCTTGTGTCTGGTCGTAGAGGGCAGAGCGCGGCGAGATCTTGGCTTGGAGAAGATGCGGGCATGCCAGTGCGATCTCAAGTACGGCCGCTTTGGTTGTTTCGGAGGAATGGGTGGCCACTTCCTTGAGGCAGTCGCTGATGGTGGGTCCATAGGCGGCTCTCAAGGCGGAGGCAGATGTAGGAATGGGTGTTGGTGGGAGGAGAAGCAGGAAGCGAGGCGGCTCCCCGGAGGTCACCCTCTCGAGAGACATGGTGGTGTAATATTATTATGAAAGTGGTTAGTGGAGTGCAAATCGAAGTCGAATTTTAGCGAAACATGATTAGCGGCGCAGGCCGTGGATGACTTCATCGCCTAACGAGCATTCATGGCGTAGAGCAGCGACGAGGCACAAGCAATGACTTATCAGTCCTGTGAAGCCGTCGTCGAGGATGAAGTGGAATGGATGGAGCAAGAAGGAGGTGAAAAGCGATGGTAACGATGATGATGATGATGACGATGTAGGAGATAAGGGGGAGCTCAAGCAAGGCCTCGGCACCCGTGTAAGGCACAGGTACAGGCACGGTTACAAACACGGTTACAAACACGGCTACATGTACGGTTACAGATACGGTTACAGATACGGTTACATTCACGGGTACATTTACGGGTACGGGTACGGGTACGGGTACGGATACTGAGGTGGGAGAAGTTCGGTTGAGTTTGGAGCCGGCAGCACTGCTTCACATCAGACCGACTGTTAACAACAAAGGGAAGCTGCTGCGTGTCGCGTGTGTTGAGTGTGTAGCGGGTCGAGGCAGGTCTTACCGACGGGGTTCACAATATTATAGTAGGGATAGTAGGGTACCCTATCACAGCCACCTTATCATGCCCTTCCACCACGGACACCATCGCCAGGTGCCGAGTGCGAGCGGTGGCATTCTCAGTGCTGCGATCAACGCCGCTTCCATCGGCGCGCCAGGCCTGAACCTTCATCGCTCGCCAGGCACATCCACCACCTCCACCACCACCAGCAGCGGCACCGATTCCTTTGCCCAGCAGCCCCATGACGAGACCTCCTCCGCGAACAGGGAGCTGAACAACTACAGCCATACCCTCGCCCAGAGCCAGAGCCAGAGCCAGAGCCAGACCACCGACATCAAACATGCTATGACTATGGCCCACCCCAGCCGACTAGCCCACGATCCTGCCGCTGCAGCGCCCTTGTCAGCTTCTGTGTCCTCCGCATACGACGCCAAACACCCGTTCACCTCTCCCCAACGGAACAATACTCACACACACACCCAGCGCGTCTCCGACGATCTGCGCATCCCCTCCAACGCGCCCTCGCTGTCGTCGCCGTACGATTACCACCCTCCCCAACACCAGCACCAGCAGCCGTACCACCCGGACCCGGCCTTCTCGCGCGGCATAGCTCCCTCGTTCAATCTTCAGCAGGCCACTCCCCAAAACCACCAGTCCTCTACCGCTCTGCCCTCCAACGCTTCCTCGACCAGTACCCTCCCAGGCGCACTCCAGCCGGCCGGGGGTGTATCGCGTCCCGCTCCGTCGGCCTCCTACACCGCACCTTCGACGGTGCCGACGATGCAACAACAGCCGCCCATACAGACCAACGCTTCGCAGTATACTCAGTCGCCCTCGAGAGCAAACACTCTGCACAGCCATTCGCGGAGCAGCCCTGGAGACATGGACGGCGGTCACAAATACATCCCCTTCAATCAAACTCCCGCTCAGACGCCTGCGACCTCCAATCCGAAGGCATACAATATCTCCAATGCACACACACCTTCCGCTGGGCCTTCGCACAGCCCTCTCAACTTGACAGATATTCGTTCGCGAGCCATATCCGATGCCAATGAAGGAGCGCAAGGCACCGCCTTTTTCAGCTACTCCGACTCACCGACCAACTCCAACTATCTCGCTCCATTCCCTACATACGCTTACGATTGGTGCAAATGGCCAGTAGTAGGTGGAAGCAGTGCTGGAAAGATGGCGGTCGGAAGCTATTTGGAGGATCCGCATAACTTTATTCAGATCTTGGACACACAAATAAAGCCGCAAGATGCAGCCGGGCCGGGTCAAGCGCCGTACGGACTGGAGTATAGCAAAGTGGCAGAGGCGACATGCGCATATCCGGTGACAAGGATCCTATGGGAGCCTCCAAGTTCGCAAAAGACGAGTACCGATCTGCTCGCGACGAGTGGGGACCATCTACGATTGTGGAGTCTTCCGGCGCCTGGAACACCGCATACGAGCAACAACATCAACCGCACCGCTACAGCGAATTCTCGGGAGCCTCAGCCACAGAAGCTGCAGCCGCTTGCCCTCTTATCAAATAGCAAGACACCCGAACACACCGCTCCATTGACATCACTGGACTGGAATACGTTGTCGCCGAAGCTAATCATTACCTCCTCCATCGACACGACATGTACGATCTGGGATATACCTACATTGACTGCCAAAACACAGCTGATCGCACACGACAAGGAAGTCTTCGACGTGCGGTTTTGTGCCGGATCCGTGGATGTGTTTGTCTCGTGCGGAGCGGACGGCAGTGTGCGTATGTTCGACCTGAGGAGTTTGGAGCATTCCACCATTATTTATGAGCCGGCCGAGAAGAGTGACAAGGGTAGGTTCTGAAAAGGAAGAAATCCGTTGCGACAGGTTAGACTGACTGCCTGTGTAGCTTCTTCTCCCGTTGCATCATCACCCTCGAAGGCAGGGCAAACATTGACCCCTGCGCCACCGCTGCTCCGACTTGCAGCTTCGCCGCATGATGCACATCTTCTGGCGACTTTTGCCTCCGACAGCAACATTATCCGCATACTGGACGTACGGCAACCCGGGACCGCGTTGCTGGAACTTCGTGGCCATGAGAGTAACCTGAACAGTATTGAATGGAACCCGAGCCGGAGAGGAATGCTCGCATCGGGTGCCGACGACAGCCTTGTCCTCGTGTGGGATCTGTTGAACTCGCAGAACCAAGCTTCCGTGCCCGCGGTCAATGGCAACGGAAGCGGCCCGAGCGAAACGCAGGGCAAAGGCCCCTTCGCAAGCTGGCGGTGCGAGTACGAAGTCGCCAACGTCTCGTGGGCTCCGCAGAGCAATCTCACGACTCAGGGCGGCGATTGGCTGGGCGTATGTGCGGGCAGAGGGGTCTGGGGAGTGAAGCTATAGGTCCATCGTGGAGGGAAGGGGAAGGGGGGGGAAAACGATACGTCTTGTATGAGGGGAAAAAAAATTTGGGCATTATTGACGCATTTACGGAAAGCAAGCGAGGCGTCTGGGGTTGTAGGAGGACCTCCCCTGTTCTGTTGCAGCAGGTCTCATGTAACGAAGAAGGGGATGGAAGACGGGGAATTTTCTCAGGGAGATCTGTCAAGCACGCATGTGTCACTTTTTCTCCCATTTCCTCGATATTGGTACAGCCTCATTGCTCGTGTCACTCATAGTAGTACAGTGTTGAGGGTGGGGGTGTTTAGGCCGAAAAGGACCGCCCTCAGACGTCAAGAGGAGCGCCACCGATGGTGTAGAGACCAGACTCACTACTCATCGGAGGAGCCTGGGGTCCATGGAGCTTTGCACCCTTGGCCTTGGGTCGGTAGTCATCCTCGGTCTTTGGGAGAGGGACACCGCCATCTTCACCGGAGTTCGAGTCCCAGCCCTCGGAATCCTCCCTCATGCGCTCCCTGGCGAGCTCCACTGCCGCCTCCGTCCGCTTCTCTACATCTTCCTCGTGCTGCCTCTCACTCTCTTGACTACCGCGTTGAGAGGCAGACTTGACGGCGATGGCGAGCATGGCTTGCAAGGTATAGACGGCGTCGTTGCCAGCATTGTGCAAGTGCCAGCCGCTCAAGTCGAACTCGGAGAGGACTTGTCCGAGCGAGCGCGCGTTGGGGTCTTTGCTGTAAGCGCGGTGCATGTTGACGGTATCGACGGTGTCGAGGATGTTGCCGCGATTGAGGACGCTGAAGCCGATGTTGTGGCAGTAGGTGATATCCTGGCCAAGATCGTGACCGACGATGACGATGTTGCGCTTCTCCGGCTCCTCTCCTTCCGCGCTAGGTGCTTCGTCTTTCTTACTAAAGGGCTCGCGGAAGCAGCTGGCCAGCACAGAGCTGATACTATCATTGCCAACGAACTCGCTGTCACCGAACTCGAACCGGTCTGGGCAGCCCTGTATGTATTCGCTGTTGGTGTAGTTCTTGTACTCGATGATGCGGAAGTGCCGACCACGGATGTACTGGTGCCAGCTCTCGCCGTTGAGTCCGGGTGCGATGCCTTTCAGGTCGCGAGTATCGAGTGTGGCAACGCCGATTTCGGTGACCGGGCGAGGCGGCTTTTCCCAAGCCTCGCAATCGATGGCAATGAAGATCGGTTCGCTGTCGAAGCTGTGCGGGCAAGGCCGACTCTCGTCGAGAGGCTCCATGGGTAGATTTGTGATATCGGGCATTTGTTGCTGTGACTCGTCCTGCTTCTTTGGAAGGAGACCCAGGTAGCGCTGAGCGCGCAAGGTCTCTTTCACCATTCCCTGCCGCGTCACGAGAGCCTGTTGATGTTTCTTCGCCTTCATGGCCTTGTTCTTGTTCTTGTTGGCGTCGAGTGCTGCTTGCATCTTGGCCTTGAAGGCTTCCAGGCTGCGGTCGCCTGAAGTAGGTAGAACCATGGCGGGCTCTCCCTGCAGCTGGCCGATCCAAGAATTGTATTGTGCTCGAGACTTGCAGTGTCCAAGCCAACGAGGGCGATACTCCTGGATGTGTTAGCGGATTGCCCGCGCGACGTATGCGCGAGCGGAAACTTACGTTGGTGAGATGTTCAAAGTCCAGCACAATGTCCTCTTCTACCTCAACGTTTGCGTCGGGAAAGGCCGAGTTGAGCTGGTGGATGAGTGAGTGCAGTTGTGATTCGGTGATGAAGGCAAGGACGCCAGAATAGTCGGAATTAATGTAGTAGCTGATGAGCGAGTCAGCAACGGCGCACGTGAAGTTACATGCACATGGCGTCTTTCGAAGCAGATCAGTGACTGGCGGCATGGCGATGGCTTCACGATGTGCACGGACGGTGTCGCATGTGAATGGATACATACAGCTCCCAATCACGATTGTAGATCTTATCGGCATCAAAGAAGGCCGAGGCGAGCGGCTGCATCCGCTGTTTGGGAACGAATTTGTAGCAGTATTTGGTGACTGCGATGAAGGGCACGAACTTGATGGCGAGTGGGGCGGGCTGGCCCTTACGGCCATCGAGTGGGAAGTCGGATTCCCCATCGCTCGTGTACATTGGAGCTGGTGAATTTGGCGCGGGCTGGAAGAGTGGTTGGAGGAGGGTTGGTCGCTTCAAGTCGGGGTCTCGCTGGACCGGCGGCGGTATGTCGTCGTCGTCGTCGTCGTCGTCGGGTCCCTCGTTGGCCGTGGGCTCCGTTTCTTGTGACTGCCGAGGGAGCTTTGGTGGTAAGTTCGCGGGCCCGCCGAGCAGGGCGATGAGTTGATCTACGCGCGACATGGTGAGATTGGAGGGAATGGTGGCGGAGAGGAGACAGTAGCGGGAGAGGGAGAGGGAGAGGGAGAGGGAGAGAGGTTTGCTGAGGCATAAAAGGCGTGCTCGGAAGCTTGGAGGAGGCAGTGGAAGATTCGCATGTGTCAGTCAGGTGGGGACATGTATCAGTATTGAGCAGTGAGGAGAGTGGAACTTGCTTGTGCTGCTCGACCTGGACTTACATGTGCGTGGATAAAGTAGTGCAGAGAAGGCAGGAGAGTTATACCTGCAGGAAGGAGAGTTATGCCTAGCGCCTCGGGACATGGGAAGCAGATCTACGGTACGGTACTTGATAGGTAGTACGCACTTGCCCCCAAGGCCGATGACGGGACTGGCAGCTTCCCAAATTCCCGTCCACGCAATTCCTCGAATGACAAAGATAAGTGTGGCCTGGAGGAAGGAGCGATAGAGTGAGGTGTCGGTGTCTTTCTTTACTCGGCACCGGACTGTCCGGGAAGACTGCCGATTCGTCGCGACCAAGACCCCTGATGTGGAAGCTAGCCTGACGGGAGACATCCACAATCGGGCTGCCTCCTGACAACTTCTGCCATCCCATCGATACCTTCAAGGTTCTGGCATCAGCATCTGGCGTTAGGCCTCATCTCGCACCAAGATGGAGAAGCCGGCCAGCGTATGGACGCGTCGCATCATCATCGCCGCCTTCTGGGCCGTCGTCGCGTGTCTCGGCCTGCCTCACTGGACGTGGACCACTTCCATCCACCGCGCTTCTCTCCCCCTCGAGTCGATGAACGCATGGGCAGAGGGGAAGGTATGCACCTCGAGAATCTAATCTGTCCTGCTCTCCCGGCTCATACTCACTCGCCTTGCAACAGTGTCGACTACATTACCCCCTCACCATTGCCCTGGACACTCCCGCTCTCGCGCCGCCACATGCCGTCCACCTGCTTTCTACTCTCGACTCGCTCATCAACCCTCCCTCTCCCGCTCGTCTCCACAGCTTTCATGTCGTCCCCGAGGCCACCAATGCATCCGCTCCCGCTCCCGCCTTGACCGTGCGCCTTGATCCCGCGTCCAACTCGGCCGCGCCTTCCGCAGAGCTGCATTCCTGGCTACCGGTCATGCACGTCCAACACCCCGTGCACTCTCCCTCCGATGTCGATGACCTGGCCAAGTATCTCGCGCAGGAGATATCCCGCGTGTTCGACGACGAGAATGCCGCTCTTTGGCATCTCATCAAGGACACCTCCTTTTCCAAAGCCCTCCCTTCTCCACCACTCTCCCCCGAGAGCATCTCAATGCTTGACAAGAGAACCACCAGATCCTTCAAGTATGCTCCCAACTATCACCTGACCTTCTCCCTCTTCACCCCTGGAGCCTCGCCTTCCGCCTGGGAAATCAATCAAGCCGTCGAGGAATACATCTCTCCCCTTCTAGCCCCTCTATCTGCAATCAGCGACTTCACCATCGACACACAGGTCCAATTGTACGCATCCTTCAGTCCGTCCATTGCCGGCCCCGTCTTCAACGCGGAAAAGAACCACTGGACGCTTGGATACGGTGACCTGACAGGCTTTGTCAATGCTGCCGAGTGGCCGTTGAGCCCAAGCATAGGATCGGGCCCCACCATCAACTTCGTCTTATACGTTGCATCTCCGGAGAAGCGCCCACTCTGGATCGAAGAAACTTCAGGCATCAGCTGGATCATACCTCAGTGGGGAGGTGTGCAGATTCATAACGCGCCGAGTTCGAAGCCGGATGAGCTGACTCTGGACGACCTACGTCCTGACATGCTGGTCTTTGCTGCCCAAGTGGCGTCCCTCTTGGGAGTTCCACCCTCGCCTCCGTCTCTGTCTCTACGAATCTCGAGCCTGACACGGGAAAGGGCGACAGCTTTGATCCTGTCTGCCTCCTCTACCCTTGGAGCTCTCTCAAGACTGACTCTCAAACTCACTTCGATTGCGATTCCCGCTTCGGTGGCAAAATCTGTCGACGAGACCTTGAGTCGACTCGAACAAGCGTGCAGCGATCTCAGCGATGGACGCTTTCAGAGTGCGCTCGAGAACGCTAGGGTAGCGGAAACAGAGGTTGAGAAAGCATTCTTCGAGCCCTCTATGGTCGGGCAGGTCTACTTTCCGGAAGAACATAAAGTAGCTGTCTACGTGCCTCTGCTGGGTCCCATGGCGGTTCCCCTGGTCATGTCCGCATTGAAGGAGTTCAGGAACTTTCGCGCGAGGAAGACGAAAGCGGCCTAGACTGCACCTGTTTCCTCCCGGATCCCGCTGGGTCCACCTACTTTATCGTCTCCCTTACAATGTGTATCTCTCGTCGAAAAGGTTGGACGGACCACTCTGATACACCTGGTGGCTTTCGGCATGCAGCGTACACGTTTACAGGGAGATCTCTGATTGGCGCAGTGCGACAGGGTCCGATGTTTGTGGGGTGCCGTCGCTCACCGACCAAGTTCAACAGCTTCTACTACGCGCAGGTTCACCTTCATCGTACACGACACGCAATACTCCATATACGATTGCTTGTCATCATGGCCGCACCAGTTCTTGACCAGGCACCCTTTACGCTTGACAATCTACCTTATGGCGTAATCTCGACCAATGCCGAACCCACAGCACGATGCGCGGTGGCCATCGGCGAGCATGCCATTGACCTTTCCGAATATGCGAAGGAAAGACTTAGGCCCTTACAGCAGGGCCACAATTACTCCTTTGAGCAGGTCTTTGGAGAACCGGCTCTGAACGCCTTTGCTTCGCTCCCCTGGTACGTGGTGCGAGAGCCACTCAGATGCTTGATACAAATACATCGCATATATCTTATTCGCGGATATTCTGATTCGAAATAGGCCGACGAGACGAGCAGTTCGCGAACAAATACAGTCCGACCTCAAAGCTGGCAATGTGCCTCGTTCGACCCTGTTGCCTCTCAAAGACATCAAATCGCATCTACCTTTCAAGATACCCGGATACAGTGACTTCTACACGTCTCTCGACCATTGCAAGAACTGCTCTGGAGAGTTGACGACCGCTGCGATCCCCAAGAATTGGTATCATGCTCCTTCGGTTTACAACTCGAGGGTATCATCTGTCGTGCCTACGCCAACCGACATTCGACGGCCGAAGAATGTATACTTCTCTGGAGGGATGGATTCGGAGCCCGCGTACGGACCTACTCGGAAGATGGATTTTGAGCTGGAGATGGGATACTTCGTCTCCACACCAATTCCCTATGGTGAGGACATGGCAATTGCTGATGCCAAGGAGCATATCTTTGGATTTGTTATGCTGAACGATTGGTCTGCCCGTGATCATCAGGTATTTGAGATGCGGCCCCTTGGACCTTTCCACAGCAAAGGCTTTGGAACTAGTATCAGTAACTGGGTCGTCCCTATGGAGGCCCTGGAGCGCTTTGGCACCGCACCTCATCTGAAGCAAGACCCTCCGCCGTTTCCGCACTTGACCTGGCCTTCTCCTCAAGATGGTGCTTTGGACATCAAGCTTCGGATTAAGCTGGTCCGTGATGGTAAAGAACACACCCTTGGCACCAGCAACCTCAAGTACCTGTACTGGACACCCTATCAGCAATTGACTCATCACGCAGCCAGCGGCTGTGGAATGCAGACAGGCGATCTGATTGGCACCGGCACAATATCTGGCAGTGGAAGAAATGAAAAGGACGAGATGGCTGAGCTGGGCTGTCTATATGAAGCGGAAAGAACGAAGACTCAGGTTCTGCCACAGAGCAGTGGACCCTATCAGGCTGGCTATTTGGAGGACGGCGACGAGATCATACTGGAGGGTTGGTGCGAGGGCGCTGATGGCACAGTGGTTCTTGGCTTTGGTGAATGTCGAGGACGCATTACGCCGCCCAAGTGACCTTGGCAAGCATCTGTAGATGGAAACGACTAGCAGTGAGTAGGTCGATAGGCATGCAATCAGACGCCATCATAGCAAGTTTGCTTTCCCTTGGCCCTTGTTTAAACAACGTTGCAATGCAGAAGATTTCCCAGAACACATACTTTGCACCAAATGAGATGCCTAGACGCATATGAATGGGGACATGTGCCGCCGCCTCACTGCTGACAACTCGTGAGCTTTACAGCGATGCGTTCCACTGGTCGTTGAGCAATAAAAGCAACCATCTTCGCTGGTGACGTCTTGGGACGTCCACGCCAGATAATCCTCCTTGGCACCACCGTGATTGCTGTCGGTGCTGTGATCCAGACTGCGAGCTACGGCGTCGCTCCAGCTGCTGGCCGGCCGTATTTGGAGGGACGGGCGTGAACACTGCCACTGCTCGCTGGCGTTTTGGCAGGCCGGACGGAACAAGCAAAATGAGCTGGCGAGGAAAAACTGCAGTGATGATCCTCCAAATGGCCAAATTGCACCACAGCTATCTATCTACAATGGACTTTGGACCTGCTGACACATGTCCACTCAGGCTTCAGCATCAGCATCAGCAATGAGCAATCTTTTCCATCCCCATCACAAATCCCATTCTTCCCCAGAAAGAAACGACCAAACCACACCAAACCGAACCAAACCAAAACCCAACCCAACCCAACCCCTCGACCGAGCATGTCGACAGCTTTCTTGCTTCCTCCCTTCGGAAAGAACGAAGCCTCGGGAATCATCCTCATCCTCATCATCGTTATTTGTTCGCTGATAATCGACTGCCGAGACACACACAGCTCCCAGCGGCCGGCCGGCCGGCCAGCGGGCGTTGCGGATAATTGACGAAAAGATGGCATGAGCCGCGAGGATGTATCGCGAGAAGAACTGCCGTTCTCCCCCCGATAGTGGCCAGACTGACTGACTGACTGGTTGGTTGGTTGGTTGGGGTTTGTAAAGAAGAAGTAGCGGCAGCAGTAGCAGCACCTCTCGGGTCATGAGAGTCGCGGAGTCAGTCTTTGAAGGAACTTGTTTGGGTTGTTTCAGCGAGTCGGGGAGACGTTCGCTCGCTCGCTGGCTGGGGAGATTGAGGATTCTTGGTCGGCAGAGAGATTCGGACGTTGTTTGTGTAGGTAGGTAGGTAGGTAGGTAGGTAGGTAGGTAGGTAGACTCTGTGGAGTGATTGATCGACGTGCTTGTATTATCGGGCAGCAGGAGAGTAGTCAAGATTGACCTGAAAGAAGACATCAACGACACCACCAAAAGGGCATCATATGACCATGCGCCTGTCGTCTCTCGTGTTCGGGTGTTAAGCCATTGCGACTACTTTGCTTTGGGAGCAGGTCTCGGTCCTTGGATCGGCGCGGGCTTGTTGTCGCCGGTGCAGTAGCCTCCGCGCGCCATGTCGACGTGGTCTGATGTGCTGCTCTCTTGTTGTGGTGTTATGCAAGTGAAGGTGCTTGCTCCGTTGCGGTCGAACCGCTTTAATGCGTAGTACCTTTGTTGGGCGAAGAGTCGAAGACAGAAAACGGGAGTGAAGGGAACGTTCCATAAGGTTGACCGCACGTACGTCAGTAAATACATAACTGTGTTTTTGGCCATCGCCACCGCCGAGCTGAAACTTTGCCACGAATGTTCGTCAACACTATACGCTCTTCGGGTCTATATTTGGCCTTCTCTCTTCTTGAACGACGTTTCACAGAAAGGTGTGGCTTCCGAGCTGATCTAGCCCACGAGGTCGCCCAGCTGATCCACGTAAGCACTGGGTACGACCTCAGCGCCTTCCGCGAGGAACTGCTCCTTCTGACTGACGCCAGTCAAGACAGCCAATGTGCCTCCCAACCCGCCTTCAATTCCAAACTGAATGTCGGTGTTGAGGCGATCGCCGACCATACATGCCCTCTTGCGGTCGAACTTGAACTTGCCTTCAACGGCGTCCATCATGGCCTGGCTAGGTTTGCCCAGCGCTAGTGGTTCCTGGCCTGACGCCGTCACAAGCGGAGCGGATGTAGCGCCGGCTCCTGGAAACAGAGATCCAGCATTTGGTAGCGTTGAATCGATATTGGTAGCCAAGAACTTTGCGCCGTTGCGGATATAGGCGAAGCCCAGCGCGTACTTCAAATAGCTTGGGTGGAAGTCGAGGCCAGTCAGGACGACGGCGACATCCTTGTCGAGTAGAGAGCCATCAGCGATGCGTTTGAAGTCGTCGTCGGTGACATCTCGTCGGAGGTCGGCGTCTGTTCCTCCAATGTACGGCACGTTCTCCGCCTTGAGCTCTTGCTCTATCCCTGTCTCGCCGAGTACAAAGACTTTGTTCTTGGGCGGCTGCAGCTTCATGATTCGGGCAATGTAGACGGCTGCGCTGTAGCTCGAGCCAAACACTTCTTCCTGATGCCGGTCAACTGCGTGTATTGCCAAGAGTCGAGAAGCCCAGCAGGTACCTCGGTGGCAGTAATGCCGACCTTGTCAAACTTCTTCTTGTAGTCTGCGCGCGACTTGGTGCTGTTGTTTGTGACAAAGACGAGTTGTTTGCCTATACAAGTCCTTCAGCGATCGGCTGCACCAAATGTCGATGAAAGGGACGCCCACCCTTCTTTCGCAGCATATCAATCGTCTCTGGCACACGGGGGAACAGGTGATCGCCGGACCAGAGTACGCCTATGCTTCTCACATCTTCAGCCCAGTGTCCGTGTCGCACAGCGCCTCTTCTCGTCTCATCCAGGAGCTTCGCTATCCTGAACATGTTGATTGTCCCTTTGACAACGTACCATCGCAATCGAACAGGAAGGTCTACATCTCGTCGTCAGCACATGTCCCGTCTCAAGGGCATGCATGCTCTTACATCGAATCTATCCAAGAAGGCTTCGATCCCGGCTCTATCGCCCGTCAAGTAGGTGGGTTGCGGCATTCTCGCGGTTGCAAAAGATTTCCAAGAACAGAAATGATGAGGCTCGAGTGACCTCAAAGAAGCTCTTCTGGACAAGTTGAGAAGCTGGAAGCGCAAACGAAGCGTTGGCATTGGCATGTGAACAACTTAGGAAGTGCGGTGCTTTCGGTCCGACAGCCCTAATGAATCCAATGAGTCATTTGATTAATAAGTAGATCGCCCGGCCGGCAAGTTCAATCAAGTACAAGAACACAGAAGAAGATGGAAGGAGCAGCCGGTTTTGGACAACAAAAGTCCTGCTTTCCACTTAATGCTGTCAATGAGTCATGAGGTATCTTCGTACCCAGCTGTCGCGCTCAAGTTATCTGCAATTCGCCTTTCCAGCGCCACGCTCAGCTCCAAATCTGCAAATAAGTACGCTCATAAAGAAGATCATCAAAAACACCAGGATATCTTCGGGCTGTCTTCCCTCGTTACCGAGCCTGCATGTTCCGACGCATGCGTACCTGGAACATCCGATGGTAAAGATCGCATCGCGGGGTCCCTGCTCGCGTATAGTCTTCAAGCTTATCCTCATCAAACACTTGCACCCGCGAGCGCAAGTATTGCACAAGACTAGGCTGTATTTCCTGGCCGCAAGGCTCCAACCCCTCGCCGTTGCGTCGTCTTGGTTCTGGAGAGAATTTGGACCGGACTGGAGTTTCATCACCCTATCGAATCACTCCCCACTCACCCACTATGCCTCGCTTTGCTTCCTTGTTGGGTTTATTGAAAACATCCCAGAACCGCAACGTCTCATCACCAGCTCCAGTGACGATGATAGCGCCATCGGGACTCATGCTGAGGTAGAGGACCCGGTATGTGTGGCCCGTTAGGCTGACCACCTGGTTCATGCTTGGATATTTCCAGATGTTGATGGCGTGCTGAGAGTACCCGTGCGTGCTGACCAACTCGGACGTGCGCTGGGAAAACAGGAGGTTGCAAACCTGACTGCCTGTATCGTGCGAGCTGATTAGGTGTGGGTTGAGCATCTGCGGCGAAAGTGTCGTTTCTGGCAAAGGAGACGTCGTAAGACCCAGACCAAGGTTAGTCTGCTCGATTGGTATACTCCTCGAAGATGACGTCTGAGCGTTCGAGATTGTGTTCCAGAATTTGATACAACGGTCAGCTGTACCGCCTCCGGATGCGAGCACACCACGTTGATGTGGGTTCCAAGCAATCGCTTTGACTGCGGCCCTGTGTCCGCCTTCTTGCTCTCCCCACCGATGTTGCCACCGCTCGTCCATCCTGTCCCAGATGAAGATCTTGTTGTCGTTTCCACCAGACGCCAGTTGCTCAGTGTCCGAGTTCCATTTGAGGCCGCAAACTTCCTGCTTGTGCCCCGTGAGACGCCTTATATGCATTACAGGCGATCGCACATCTCTGTGAAGTATATTGCGGTCCCGTGAGCCGGTAGAAAGTATGTGCGAGTTCCAAGCGAGGCTGCTGATTCGCGAAGAATGTCCAGTCATGGTTCGCAATCGCTTCTGCTTGTCCGTGTCCCAAATGTGAAGAAGTCCTTTTGATGTACCAATGGCAAGGTGTGTACCGCGCTGGATCCAACTGACGCTCGTGACTGTATCGTTTTCCAGATTACACAAGGTGGTAACTTTACCAGTGTCGCGGTTCCAAAGATATACTGCCGGACCTAGACCTACGGCAAGAATGTCGTTCGATCCCCAGTCGACCAGGTTCAGATAGAAGTCATCGGCCAAATCAGGTGCATCGAGCACCTTGTAGGGCACTTTGCTGACTGAGCGAGGTGTCTTGCGCGGGGACAAAAGCATCGACTGAGACGAGTGCTTCACTGGTGATAAGCTGTAAATCTCAGATCGGGCATTAATATTGGGGCCGCGCTCGCTCCGTGAAATTGATCGCGGTGTGAGGGATACCGGCGCGCTTGGACCGTATGAGAAGAGATTCTTGTGTGGCGTGGAAGGCGTGAGCGCCGATCCTGACAGAAGCGAAGTAGCGTTGGTGTTGCCAATGACGGGTGGAGTCTGCGCTCTTGATCCTGAGCGCTCGTTGATGATCTGCGGGACCTCATTGTCAAACATCTCAGACCGCAAGAGGGACGAATAAGTGCGATTTGCCTCCCTCTTCTGGAGATGAAGATCGCCCGGTGCTTTCTTGTTCAGCTTCGATGGAGTCGCCGGCGAGCCTTCGTCGTGAAGCAGGTTGTAGCTTGCAGAGAGGTCCTGACCTGCTCTGTTGGGAATGAAACGGTCACCTGCCTGCACCTTCTGGCGCTTGCGGCTTGGACTCGCGGTCGGCGTGCTAACTCGGCGCTGACCGGATCTCTCCACCTCTTTCAGCGCCTTGTTGAGCGCGATGGGATTCACCGGCTCGCTGCCCGCTCGGTGGGCTCCATCGTTACCGCTCGCTGTATGCGTCTCGCTGTGGGGTCGCTTGCCAGTGATTGTAGGGGGAGTCTTGCTTCGAGGTGGCGACATGGGCGTCGGCGTCTGAGATTCGGCGTGTGCTTGCTGGTTGCTCGTTTGAGCCGGCGCATCATGTGTGGGCTCCATTGTGCGCGGCTGTTCGAGGTGAGGTAACGATCGGTCGGGCCTCCGCGCCGGCGCAGACCCTTTGGCAGCGATATATCGCAGATGAACGGCGTGGTACAGAGTATGATTACGTCGTGAGGCCTTGCGTGAGCCGTCGGAGATGCGAGGTGCAGTAAACGATGCGGTTGCTATGATGGTGCCCCTTGTGTCGATGGCCCGTTCAATCAGTCCTCGAGCAGGTCCACCTCTTCTCGTGCAGCAAGGAAGCTCTCATCGCACAGCGATATGCACACGGGTAGAAATGAGTGTTGCTGGCTGGCTGGAGATGTGCGGCGGTGGTAGTGTTGTCTCGGATGTGTTGATGTTGGAGAGCGCGACCGTGTGAGCGTGAGTTGCAGCTGGAATGTCGGACCCCTTCCAGATGGCCTGTGCGGACCACCTCATTGATAATTAATCTTAAAATCCAGCATCGGCAGCAGCACGGCACTCGCTCTTATATATGCCAAGTTGTACAGGGAGCTCGCCGCCGACAATGGTCTACTATTGTTCTATTGTGCTCGACGGGCCTCGTCATGAAGCGACAATGTGTGAAGGCATGGCACAATAACATGACCGTCAATCAATGTTTGTTGTGGGCCAGCCCGCTGCGGCCAAACGCGAACTCAACGCGACTGGAGCCCGACGTATCTCGTGTACCGTACCTCTCTCATCAACAGCGTCGCCAGGGTAGTCAATGCTCTGTCCTGCTGCTCGATCGTCATCTCTAGCGCACGCTCACAACAGTACGAGATGCACGCGCAGCCTGACAACAACAAACGCCTTCGATCGGTTTCAGGCATCAGGATGGTTGGCTGCCGTTGAGCCATCTAAGCGCTCTGACCACGAGTTTGGTTTCAGCTCGGCAATGCTTCACTCGAAACGGGCATCTCACTCGCCAATGTCTTTCCCGGCACGTGATGCAACTCGACAGCCATGGCCGGAAAAGAGTTTTACAGTCAAGACAGTCGCTCGCCACGTTGGAGGCGCAAAATCTCGAACTGAGCACAAGCGCGCCTCGCCACTCCCACGGCTCGTCGAGAAGCAACCTCACAGCAGAACCTGGATGCGACGCACCACGGTCAATGATTTGTCGGTCGCGGGGAGTGGAGCGCCAGGTAAGGTATACAGTGGCGAGCAAACGCAAGCATGCCCCCCAGGCATCCCAGCAACGGCGGGACCGACAGCGAGTCGACAAGGAAATGGGCGATAACAACGGCCTTGTTAGCCTGGAATGGGAAGGAAGGAGCAAGTCTTCGACGTGTGATTCCCCGCCACTTGGCCAGACCATCTCACGATTCAGTATCATGGTACAAAGCTCTGCTGCAATGCTTGTACGCATTGCTTTGTGACTATTGCCTTGGACTCTGATGCGTTGCAAAGTCAATGGTCCAACTGAACACGAATAACCCTACCTGTCCACCGCTTCTACAGCACATGACCCGTGCAATTAGAGATGTCAAGGATTTCCTTGCAAATCCACACGCTGCAGCATAAGCACATAAGCATTCCTGCGGACGATCGTCGCATGAAGACGACGGCGTCACACAAAAACATTCGGCGAAATGCAGCACGATATATTGTCACAGCGTACCTTTCGCTTCCAAGATATTCCAGCGAAGCCCAGGCCTACAGCGAGATGGACAGCCACACACAAATCATAGGCAGAAACCTTCGAGACGTCATGGCGATTCGCGGAAACGCCGCGTTCGCGCAGCTTTAACATATCCCGCTTGATCGCAGATGCATCCTCATGTATTGTGAGTCCGAGAAGGATCCGGTCGGAACGCGAGTAGGCTAAGGGAACAGGCCGAGAGCCATCGCTACCGCTGCGTATCGGTGCGCAAGCAGGATGCACTGCATCACATGGTAAGCGTCACTGTACCCGCAGATCGTGCAAGACGTGGTGGCGCGAGATCATGCTCTCCACGCTACAGCACAATCCTGAACAACCATGGCTGCGGGAGGATGAGCCGCGAGCAGTGAACTACGCCAAAACCGTCCAAACTGTGCATCATCATCCTGCGTTTGGCCAAAGGAACACGGCGCTGGTATTTGACCAATTGCTGGCCGAGGCGGGCGAGAAAAGTATGGAGCGTTGTGAGTGACATTTGATGAGAGAGCGGTGTGCGTACTTCCTGCGGCGTGCCGTGTGAAACCAAAGGTGAAGCTCAAATGTCGCACCCTCATCATCATGCACGAGAGGAACGTGTTAGCTGCTCGGCTGACCGCCCTTCACTCAGCCGATTAATAAGTAGACAGTAGAATCGAAAGGCGGAAGAACAACCAGCGGAAGGATCGGAAGAAACCGCTTGTTAGGCCGGGTGCCAGGGAACGCCTTGATGATCTCTTGTCGGCAGCATCGTGCGAGCGGCAGTGGGTGCGCCCATGTAGCTGCGGTGCACTGTGCAACGTAACAACAGGCGTCCGGGGTCCAGCGTGCGCGGCGTGGAGAGTACTGTAGGTCTGCGCATGCGCATGCGCATACTCATGCTCATGCACACACAGCTGTGCACACCGTCAATGGCCGGCCAGCATGCGTGGGCTTGGAGAGGCAGCTATGCAGAGCTCTGCTGCTACTCCGGACAAAGACGGGGTGGCTGAGGACCGAGATGCGCACTTGGCAATGCTCGCTAACGTGCATTCGCCGATCGTCAGAGGCTCGGTAGATGGGGAAGATGCTGGATGCTGCGCTGCAACTGGCGCCTGGAGGAGGATAAGAGTGCAGCAAGCATGGCCGCCAGCTTACCCCGGTGTATTCGCGGTTGGCAGTGGGAAATATTGGGTGGACCGGACGATCGGTGTGGTTGCGCGTGGTGCGATGGGCGTGGGTGGTAGGTGGGTGGATGGGTTGCGAGCGTAGGCAGAATTCACGATATGGTGGCTGATGATGGAGAGACGGAGGTATGCATGTATGTGAGGTGTCTTGGGTGTGTACTGTAGCAGACCGAGCACGCCGGCGATGATGTCGTTCCTACTCGCGATAGAGAATCCCTGCATGTGTCAGTGGCATCAAGCTGGAGGTCGTGTCTACCGCCGCCGCTAGTGACGTGCCCCACTTGAGATGTCAGCCCCTAGAATGCTGAGAGGTTGTTATTTCGGCCGTGTCGCGTCGCGTCTCGCGGCCGGGGGATGGCGTGTGGTGGTGGGGAGGGAGGAAGGAAGGATGGCGAGGCGGCATTGGCGGTATCAGCATGTGCATGTGCATGTGCATGTGCGTGTGCAGTGCATGCCAAGCGCAGCAGAGCAGCAGGAGGTTGCCACGGCGCCGTACAGAAGAGGTGAATTTGGTGGTGGTGGTGGTGGTGGTGGTGATGATTTTGTTCATGGTAGTGGTACATGTAGTGGTGGTGGTGGTGTAGTGCTCCTCCACTACTCGCCAGCCGGCGCCTGCAGGCTGCAGGCTACTGTATTTCATGCAGACCACAGCGCCTCGCTATTGGTCCTCGCCCGCACGTCGCCTTACGCTGTCGGCGAGCAAATCTTAGCCCGCCCGGGTACACGACCTGCGCGCAGGAGAAGACTTCTCGCAATCGAAATCGACCCTTCTCGCAATCTGTGATCGGCCATCCCATCCCATCCCATCCCAGCGCTGCTGCTGCTGCTGCTGCACCTCCCTATCCCCTCCCTCTGTGTCTTCACCCATTATTGCCTGCCTCTCCCTTTCCAACGCCACGCTCAGTACGCGCGCACAGCTGGGCTGCGCTGATGAGGTGAGCGGGTGCAGTGTCTGCTGGTGAGTGTCACTTGATACAGACCGTCTACAACCGGTAAGCCCCCCCCACAACACCACTCCCTTCCATTCGCAACCAACCTGACTACTATACTGCAATGATCCAAATGCCCAATTCTCCCTGCCTTCTCCTTCCCTTCCCAAGCCGCCATCTGCACGCGTGGTTTGATTATTACTGTGTGTGGCACGCTGACTTCCTCCCCTCTCACAGCACGGCCTCTGTCCGCCTCACGCTGCCCTCCGGTCCCCGCTCTCCCATTATATCGTTATATCTACCCTCTCTGCTGCGCGCGGCATGTTTTAGGTGTCTTGCACCTCCCCACAGTCACACCGCAGCCAGTCTGTGTCACGCGCCCCGGCCTGCCTTCTCGCAGTCAAGCCGCCGCCGCCGCCGACGACCAACGCTCTCTCTGACCTGACACCGGCTCGCTCGCCGCCCATGTATTTTGCTTCCAGACCCTACGCACTACCATGGACTCGGAGGATGGGCAACTGTTCGTAAAGGCATGTACCTACCTTCCTGCTCACCCCTCTCGCCGCTCCGCTCCGCTCTCAATCGCCTCCGTCGACCGCCAATGTCCGAAACTGTCGCAGCAAGTACTGATAGCGTCATTTTCACAGACTTTGGCTTCCTTCGTCAGAACGCATGAGAAAGCGTTGGCCAACGCGCTGCAGTTGCAGCGCCAGAAGACCAAGAATGGAAAGGAGCAGGCCGGAGCCACCTCCACCAGCACTTCGGCGCCCTCTTCCACCACGATTTCCCTTGCCGAAGCGCTGACCCGACCCTCCCTCTTCTTCTCCTCCCAGAGCATCCGGCCCGCGAAGCTCACCCTCACGCCACATCACCTCTACTTCCTGCTCAGCAAGTTCGAGGATCTGGGCGTCGACGTCGGCTCCATGACAGTGCGCCTGGAGAACTTGCACAGTGATGCTCCATACACTTACAGCTCCTTCACCGGCCAGGCACCCAAGTCTCGCGGCAAGCAGTCAGATGCAGATTCTCTTCGCTCCGTGTCTAGCGTACGCAGCGTCATGTCGAGCATGTCGTCCATGTGGTCTTCCCTGACGCTGTCCAACAGCGCTGCAAAAGCTGAGAAACAAATGGCACAACATCGTGATGATCTCAAGTACTTGTACTCGTGCTTCACGAAGATCCCAGCCTTGCGGCTGTCGCCCGATCATAGGGCGAAGTTGATCAGTGGCTTCGAGGAATTCCCCTTTGATACGGCTGTCCCACTGTTCGTCTTCAAGAACGTAAGTTCTCTCGAAATCTGCGATCTCGATTTTAGACAGTTCCATGGCTGGGATCGATTGTCGGAACAGCTCCGCAGTCTAACGGTGAAGCGTGCCACGCTGGACGATCCTATAGACCTGCTCTATAACATAGTATTGGATGACGCAGAGAAGCGGAGGAAGCGTTCTTCCAAGACCCAAGTCCCAACCACACCCTCTACTCCTGGCGCCTTTTGGTCTATCAGCAATACCCCTCCCAAAAGTCACTTTGCTCGTCTCCCTGCTTCGTCGCCGGCCACGCCTGATTTGGGGGGGCGCCGTTCGTCGCTGAGCAGCTCTTACATGCTGGCCCGGGGAGTCTCTTCAGACGGAGCACCAGCCTCGGGCCCAATCAAAGGGAGCCATTCGCCTCCTCGGCCATCTACTTCGGCAAGACCTGGTTCGCTCCAGAAACCTCCCAGCCGTTCCGGAACTCCCAAGAATCGAAGGTCCTCGGGTAGTTCAGGTTCCAGCCATCATGAGATGTCTCCACGCCACAGCACCTCGGACTTGCTGGCGATGGGCATACTGCCGCCTTCGAAATGGCGATTCTTGCGACATCTTAGCGTAGCAGAGAGCGGGTTGACGGAGCTGCATGCGAGCAGCCTAGCGCCAGTATCCGGCACGCTCCAATCCTTCGACCTCTCTGGAAACTTATTCAATGAGATCCCGTCAGAAGCGCTGGCGGCTCTGACACATCTCCGCGCCCTAAACTTGAGCAATTGCATGATCACCAGCCTGGCATCGTTGTCGAAAGCTCCTCTCCCGGCCATCACTACCCTAAATCTGCGCTCCAATCGACTTCTGAATCTCGCCGGCATCGAGCGCTTATTTTCTCTCGAGAGGATCGATGTGCGAGATAACAAACTCCACGACCCAACGGAGCTCGCGCGCCTTACTGCGATTCCAGACATCAGGGACCTGTACGTGATGAAGAACCCCTTCACCAGGACTCATAGCAAGTACCGCGTGACGATATTCAATCTCTTCAGATTGGCGCCAGGGTACACCAAGGACGTGAGCATCGACACAATGGGACCTTTGTACCACGAGAAGAAGCATCTTGTAGATCGAGCACCCGAGCCTGCCAACAAGCCGGTGATCAGGCCACCTCCGGAGGACGAAGAGCTCCCTATCCTGGATCTCGAAATCTTTCAAGCATCTGCGGGAGTCGCGAGCGCCTCTGGTCCAGGCCATCGTCGGACGACATCGGATATGGGTCCCCAATCGACAGTGCGACGCAAGAAGGCGACCCGGCGAAGAATTGTGGAACTTTCGCAGTCCGAGCAACGCGCGGCGCGACCGAACGAAGACCTTGCTGCGGAAACCGCTGTACCTGAGCTGACCGAATTGCCTCCCATGCCGCCTACTCCGGCTACTGAGAGCGATCAGCCACCCACCCCAGAACCGACACCTTATCAATTGACGCCTTCGACTCAGCTGGCACCGACGGCAGCTCCTGTGCGCCCGAAGCTCGACACCTCCTTCACTTCGCCGAGTCCCCGTCAGCCCAAGATTAGAGACGCTTCCGACGACGATAACTCGCCTGTCCACTGGCCAGAAGATCTAGGTTCAAATACGGACGTCTACCGGCAAAAGGTCGAGGCGTTGAAGAAAGACCTGGGCCCGAATTGGCTGTCTGCCCTGAATGAAGAGCGATTCGTCGATACTCGAGCGAGGAATCGTAGCTTCAGCCCGGCTTCCCGGACTTCGACGATCCGAGCAGACAGGCCTTCTCGTGGAGTAAGTGTTGGCGGAAGAACTCTGGGATGAGTGTCACCGCATAAGATGATACGCTTTGTGAACTGTTGATATCCCGCCTCGACCAACACATACCAGAGATCGAGGCCCTGCGAGTGGTCTGGATTCGATCTTTCCGGGGACACAACCCTTCCACTTTTTCCCACCGATTTGCATAGCGATGGCGTTTCTGGCATTAACTCTCCATTCTGCGTCTTGGACTTCGTCTCGACAAGACTGGCAAACGACATAAACCGTGGACCTGCATGGCATTTTTCGATTGGAATTGTGTTGTTTCGATTCGTGTAAGAGATACCACCTGCTTGCGCGTGTTTGTGCTGCGGCTTTTGTGCGAATTAATGTGTGGCTTTTCCATTTCAAACAGGATGGGAGGGTGTAGATGATACGACGCCTCGTTGGCTTCGAGCACATACCTTTCCACCGGGCTAGATGAGATGGTTCGAATGCTTGAGATGCTTTTATGGGTTGGACAGCATTTGATATTACGTGGAAGCATTCCTAGCGAGGCGTTTTGGGAGGCAACGACTCTCTGGGTATGAGCATTTGGGATTGGGATCTAGCAGGCTGTCTTTAAATGGAAACGGTCTTGTTTGGATGTCCATTGGGAGAAGTGCTTCCTTTGCCTTGACTTCCGTCGGTCTGTCACTGTGAGCGTCCCGTGGTACCGTTAGCGTACCTGTCTCACGGCTCGGGGATGTGTTTCACGCGGGATCATTATTGACGATGACCACCTGGCAACCTGGGTCTTCAATGGCAGGGTTATCCGGCTCCACGTAGCTAGTGCTTGCTGTTCTTCCCCATGCCCCACACTGTAGCCATGGGCGCTCGTTTCATGCATGTGCTGTGCTTTACCAGACAGGAGAGAAAGCAACCTTGAATCGATTCAAAGAGCAAATGATGAGCTCGCACTGTTCCGTCAGTTGCTAGGTCTGTGATCCGCATATTGAGACGTAGAGGATCTGCGGATGTAGGGGATGTAGGGGATGTAGACGGTGGAGATATTCGTACGGCATGCCCTCTGGAAACGTCAGCGCCTACAGCTGTACGGGGGGGCCTGCGGGCTTCGTGAAGCGCCTGACGATGCACTCGTCGTTGCGGTTGCGTGCGAAGGAGACCAGAGTGACGTAGAGCAGATGCATCCCCCAACAAATCCGCCTTGTCGAATTTCGAAGGCCGAGAGGAGATGTCGGGGAGAAGTGCATGTAAGGGAGAGGAGAATGTAGTGTAGTGGTAACGTGAGCTGGCTGGCGAAGGCGCACGGACCAGATTGGGCGTCGTGGTTTCCATTCTCATTCCTAGTCCTTCACCCTCTCCTCAAACACTGAGATCCCTTCCAGCTTTGCTCTGCTCGACGGCGCCAACGCGACACGACAACAACACACTGCATCCACGTCCGCTCTCACGCCCACCCTCGTCCCTCACCCAGCGGTCGCTCTGTACACTCGCGCTGACCTTGCCTTCTGCGCTCCCATTGCTGACTGCGAGCCCCGCCGAACTCAAGCGGTCAAACAAATCCACCTCTGCTTCTCAACACTTCGCCCGCCAGCAGCTTCCGCAGAAACGACCACCACTACACCGCCGCTGGTCCGCACTCATTGGCGCCCGTCCCGAGCATTGTCCAACGGGACTCACGCTATCCGCTTCAACGACAGGCGCCCCTACAACCGGTCGACGACCACTCCAGTCGCGTGATTCCGCATCCGAAAAGCATCACCAGGAGGTGTCCACCCGAACACTAAACGCCTAATACACGATTGTGAGCAGCGGCGCACACGACCACGGAAAAGGGAGATCGCGCGTACGCCTGAGCCTCTGCGCTCGTCCCTTCACTTTCGGTAGGTGTTTCCCTCAGCTTGCAGTTTCTTGAGGTCGCGGACGCAGCGGATTGAGGAGGCGGTCATTTGAACAAATTGCATGCACCAGTCGTTCCTTTGTGATCCGGCGTGGTCAAACTTGCAAGGCGCTCAGCTTCTCAAACACTGGCAAAGTCTTCGGTCACGTGCGACTTGTGGTCGTGACGAGCAGAAGCAGCAGACTGGACTACCCGTCGTCGCTCTTGAGTAATACGCACAGCACAAGCTGACAGGTTTCTAGTTCATCAGGTGTCTTCACGCCTTTGACGGTGTGTTCTGCTCTGCTGGCCGAGAGCAGACTCCGGTTCAACCTCCCTTCCTCACCTTCCACCCACCGCACACAATGGCGGACTCAGGCGATGTAGACTTGGACTCCATCATCGACCGACTCCTCGAGGTCCGCGGCAGCCGGCCCGGAAAACAGGTGCAGCTGCTCGAGACCGAGATCCGATATCTCTGCACCAAGGCTCGCGAGATCTTCATCTCCCAGCCCATACTGCTAGAACTTGAAGCACCGATAAAGGTATGGGTTAGCAAAAGAGTTGAGGAGCTTGGTGGACTGACAATGATTGTAGATCTGTGGCGATATCCACGGGCAGTACTACGACCTCCTGCGCCTGTTCGAGTATGGAGGTTTCCCGCCAGAGGCAAACTACCTCTTCCTCGGCGACTACGTGGACAGAGGCAAGCAGTCGCTCGAGACCATTTGTTTGTTGCTGGCATACAAGATCAAATACCCCGAAAATTTCTTCATCCTGCGCGGCAACCACGAATGCGCCAGCATCAACCGCATCTACGGATTCTACGACGAGTGCAAGAGGCGATACAACATCAAGCTGTGGAAGACTTTCACGGACTGTTTCAACTGCTTGCCGATTGCGGCCATCATCGACGAGAAAATCTTCACCATGCACGGTGGTCTGAGCCCAGATCTCAACTCCATGGAGCAGATCCGCAGAGTCATGCGCCCCACCGACATTCCCGATTGTGGACTTCTCTGCGATCTGCTATGGTCTGATCCTGACAAAGACATCACTGGATGGTCGGAGAACGATCGCGGTGTGTCTTTCACCTTCGGGCCCGATGTCGTCTCGCGCTTCCTACAGAAGCACGACATGGATCTTATCTGCCGTGCGCATCAGGTGGTGGAGGATGGCTACGAATTCTTCTCCAAGAGACAGTTGGTTACCCTCTTCTCCGCCCCGAACTACTGCGGCGAGTTCGACAATGCGGGCGCGATGATGAGTGTGGACGAGTCCCTGCTGTGCTCATTCCAGATCCTCAAGCCGGCGGAAAAGAAGCAGAAGTAAGCGACGACTTTCAGTATGACACGCGCAGCGCTAACCATTTCATAGCAGATTCGGCAGGCGATAATCTCTTTCAAGTCCAGAATATGTGTTCTCAGCCGGATGACGAGGAAGCAACTCGAATTCATAGCCGGAACAGCTGCTCAGGCGGAATGCGTCATTTGCCAAATCAGCAGCATAAGCAATTCTGTATACGAGCCGGGGGCGCGTGTTTCATGGGGGCGGAAGGTGTGTACGATTTGCTGCGAATGCATGGGTTACAATAGGAAGTGAAGACAGACTGCCTGTTCGTGCACGCTACGGATGCGCAGCGCGGCGGCATCATCCAGGACGAGGAGGGCACGAATTCTTCTAGCTGCTTGACGAGTCCCGCGTGTGCTGTGCTGTTACATACTTCCAATCATGATGCACCTTTATCGATGAGCCCAATCCCTAAATCTTCCTTGCAAAGCAGCTCGAACTAGGAATATTGTGGCTTTGATGTTGCTGTACGTAACGCTAGAGGCTGAGCTCGCCTCAAGATACGATGTCTGGGAAGACAATGGTACCCGACGGGCGGCGTGTGTGCACGTTTCACATGTGGATTACCCCCAACAAACGTTCGCGTGGCATTGGAAACACCCGAGCCCCAGAGGTGCCTGAGGCTCCAGTAGTCATCGGCTCTCGGCCCGATGAATCGGCTCAACGTCACCTTTCCTGCGAGCTTCAGAGCTATTACATGCTTTGGTCAATTCCATCGACATCGTGCGCCTCTGCAGTCAATTCAGAATCGCAGAGATGAGCTTCTTCAAAAACCTGTTCAAGGAGGTACGTTGCTCGCTTTGCCAGGTCACGGACTCGCTCGATCATGCAAACGGTGTCGACAAACGCAGCAGACTGACAGCTCTCTAGAAGGGGGTGAAAGATGTCATAACCCTCTTCCACAGCCCCAAGAATGCGGTCTCGACACGAGTTCACACACTTCTGAAGCAACTGAATGCGACCGCCGTCGCGCACGCGACCGAAGACCAGGCGAGCGATCACAGCAATCAGAGCAAGCTTGAGAGGACGGAGTTTGAGCTTGGTACGTTTGCAGGGCTACCACGAGGAGTAAAATGGAGCTGACGAGGAGATCCGTAGATATACAAGAGGGGGCTCCCACCAGCGATCAGCTGAACAGCATTCTTGAATACCTGGGGCCTTCGAAGGCAGGCAGCGTCGTAGACGGCGCCACGGGAACCAGCGACGCGCTGCGCAAGTTTAAGCAGAATGAGAACGCTTTCCAGCGTCCCGTGACTGTTGACTGGAACAATGGAAGAGCGGGTGAGTGTCATCCGGCAATTGAAAGGCCAGAGCAGTCTGGGATATCAAGAACGACCTACTAATGCTCTGCTAGTTGTTGGTGATAACGAGAGCGAAATCATGAAGCTTGTCCGAACCATTCCAAAGGAGACCGAGAAGGTGTAACAGAACCACGAAGAACAGGTCCTTCGACCACAGGCAATGCAAGAGGGCAGAAATCAAGAGCTGGCAATGTCTACATTCCACAGAGGGCGTTCGGCGGTTTGTAGAAAATCAAACGGAATGAACGATATGGAGGTCATACGGGTAGCTGCATATGGGAAGTCTACCCGCAACTGTATGAAAAAGCCGACACGGGCATCTTCTGTCTCGGACAAGCGCACCTTGCAAGCATTGGATCTCTGTGGAGAGGTACTCGGCCTCCATTGACGACGGAGAAGTACAGCATAGCAAAATGCATATGGAGTTGCCGTCGTGGAATACTATGTAAGCTCATCGACCTCATCCCCTGCTGTCTGCGGGTGCTGCCGCCTGGCTTATGCACGTGCAAACAGTACTCGTTTGATATTCACCGCCCCTCAAATGACGACCGCTGCGGTGAACTTCACTGGTCTTTACCTCTATTCGCATCTTCTCATTGGTCGCGCGAGCGACGAAGGCGACGGTGACGTGGCGACGCGCCGACCATTTTAGGAAGGCACGACCTTTCTGTTCCCTTCCGTCCCACCGCGCAGCCAAACTGAGCTTGCACCTTCCACCTTCAAACAGACCTCCCACCGTCAACCACCAACCACCAACCAACAACCAACAACCACACAGCGAGCACACAACATCGCACTCGGCACGTACAATACGCAAGACACACAGCGCATATACTGCGAGCATCGACTCGGCCCACGCCACATCTCGAAACACCCCGAGACTTCAACTTGCCGTTCCTCCGTACACATCACGGTGTTGACAGACTCGAGGCGCCTTCATACGCGTGCTGAATTTGCGCGTCCACGTCGAGGCCATGGCGGACACTCCGCGTGAGCCCGTCATCGCCTCCAGCAACCGTGCTAGCGATGTCGAGCCATACGCTAAGCGGCTCATCGCCGACGATCCACAGCTGTGGGGACAGGTCTTGCCATGGGAGTTCCCACAGGTTGGCACCAAGGAGCAAGAAGAAGAATTCATCCGCCGCTTCTTCACCGAGCGCGAGATCCGCATGCAGGGTGGCTCGCCCAATGGCTTCCGTTTCCTCAAGCAGGTATACTACTGGGCCGCCGTTTGGAACATTAACTGCCGCCTTCCTCTGGTAGTCCACTGGTGGTTCGACAACAACAAGGGCTTGTTGGACGATCCGGCCATGAAGAGCCACTTGCTCCATCCCAATGTGAAGCCTTCTACTTTCTTTGAGGAGGCGCAGCTGGAGTTGTACGGCGAGAAGTTCCTCGAGATCGTGGTCAAGCAGATTCAGTTCCAGATCGACCCGTCTTGCAACAATGTGCCACCAGAGAAGCCACTCTACGCCCCGACCAAAGAAGAGCCGATGCCCTCCGCAGCTGAGGAGAAGTCAGATGGCACTACGACCACGGATGAGCCAGCGTCTGTCGCCGTCGAACAGGAGACGGCACCAGCTCCTTTCGAACAGAAGCCAAGCGAGGTCAAAGACGGCGAGAAGCCAGCATCAATTGCTGCTGAAGAGACGCCGGTCCTTGCCACCGATAAGGAGAGTGCACCAGCACATTCCGTCGCCATCGACATCAAGACTCGACCATCCAAGCTTGCTGCGCAATCGCCTAGCTTTCAACCAGAGCACATAGATGCAACTCCATCAAGCGCCCCTGCGCACGCAACACAGACTCCAAAGTCATGGGATACCGCGCCTCCGCCCGGTTTGGGACAGACCGGGCGATCGAATCACCGCAGCTTCAGCGGCGATGCATATACTCCGTCCCAGCGCGATTTACCTTTGCGTGGGCGACGTGGCTCCGGTGGCTTCAACAACAAGCGTAATAGCTTCAGCGGGCCCCGTCAATCTCAGCGGCCAACGCACAACAACGAGGCACCGTTCCCGCTTCCGCCATCGGCTTACTTCATGCCGGCTGCTCAGTATCCCGGTGTGGGTACGATGACAGCTCCACAGGGTCGTATACCATCAGGAGGTCCCTACGATAGAGCCCTTGAGCCAATGCCAGTGCTTCCACAGGGGCAACTGTACAATCCTCATGCTCCACCTCATGCCCAGCAACCGACTCAGCAATTTCCACCGCATTGCGGCCCACATCTTCCCAATGAGCCTGTACCACATATGATGGGCAATTCACCCTATCCTCCAGTGTTTCATCCTGCCGCCGCTGACTTTGTGCCTGCTTTATATGAGCGAGGCAACCTTGGGAACGAACAACACTTCAGCAGTGGTCCTGGGCACGGAGGCTTTGAAAGCAATACTGGACGACTTTCGAAGCGCCGTGACAGCATTGGCTCTCGAGGAGGTCACGGGCGCGGCTACAAGGGTAGCATAGGTCGTGGCAGAGGCAGCAAGGGCAAGAACAATTTCGTACAACCGCACATGAATAGCGGTCACATGCCTGGACCAGACCAGCGCTCTGTCTTCAATAACGAGAATAGCTACGGCATGGAGCACTGGCGACCATATGGGGCAGACGAGAACGCTGTGCCACGTCAACCCATGCGCAACGACGGCAGTTTCCGATTGCTAGACCATGCTGCTGCGAGCCCGTATGCTCCTCCTGGCATTCTGTCAACCTATCTGTCGCGTCGCTCCTCAGGCGTGCAAAACTTCGGATCTGCACACCACGGGAAGAAGCCACAATACGTACCATTGTGCTCTTACAAGTGTGAAAAGCAATACATTGACCCGAGATGCACTGAAGCACGCAAGCTCATTATCTTTTCTGTGCAGCCAGGAACGAATCAAGACCAAATCGTGGAATTCATTGCGCGATTTGGGGCATTGCAGAATGTCTCCATACAGCACCAACGTGCTGCCTATGGCAAGACTCTGCAAGACAGGGCCATGGCACATGTCACTTTCGAAAATGTTGATGGAGCGCGCAATTGTCTGCAGGCTAACGGAATGCCGTGGCCATTGGGAGCACCTGGAGATGGCGACTTGCGCGTCGAAGTAGCGATGGCACATGTTGATCGTCATCACTTCTCTCATGCTGGACGAGCGGATTCTCGAATGGTTCAGTTGCAACCCGCTCCTCCCCCTCAGGAGGCCAAGGGAACTGTGATTTCAGAAGGCGGAGAAGCATTCGACCCAGACTCACTTCCAGCCAAGGCATCCGCCTCAGCTCAAGCCTCCAGCCAGGGCCACGGCCAGCAGGAGCCGACTGCTGAAGTTTCTACCCCAACCGCTTCGGCTCGCTCGTCTCCCAAGAGGAAGACGAAGTCTAAGAACAGCAAGGCGAAGAAGAAATCCCCGCGTCATGAAAAACCCGAGGAGAAGCAAGAGACTGGCGACCATTCAGCAGCAGAGCGCCAAGACAGCGTCGTTGTACAATCAGCGGGAAAGCCTGACAAGACCGATACTCAAGCCGCCTCAAATGAAATTTCAGATGGGCAGGCTGACTTGCAAGCTACTGCAGTGCCATGTGCCGTGTCCGACGAAGGTTCAGCCGACGAGAAATTTATCACGATCGATGGCGAGACTTGGCGATCTGATGCCCCCCAGTCTGCAGTTGCGGTCGATGGTGTCCACGAAGACGCTAATGCGACTGCCAAGTCCTCGAGTCCAACGGCAGAACAGCCCCTTGCGGATGCCTCGAAGCCAGAAGAGGATCCGAATGAAGAGAGCTTCCATACCGCCAGCGACTCCCCTGGGAGGTCTACTGGAGAGAAGGAGGACGGCGGATTGACCTCTATGGCTTCGCAAGAACCATCATTGTCCCCTGAGGACAGCAATGTACAGATCCCCGACAAGAAGGAGGAGACTACACAAGCTGCTACCGCATCAGAGCATGAAACGATTCCAGAAGTCGCTGAGCCCTCTGCCACCAGTATCGACGCGGAGACGCCTCAGTCCCGGTCCCCAACCAGCATTAAGGATATGAAGAAGGCGCCAATTCCGCAGATCTCGAAGACTCGCAATGTCACTATTGCTCTCCCACAAGTGAACATCAGGGCTACCCCAACTGCATCCAAAACAACCGATGACGGCTCCCAAAAGGCCTCAGAGCATCGCTCGTTATCCGCAGGCTCCGAAGCTGCGCATCCGAACTTTGTGACGGCGCCAAATACTCCTGCTGTATCTGGACCAGATGCAGACCCTCGGGTGCCGCCAAAACCACAGCCACAAGTTCAGCCACTAAAGTCTGCGAAATCAAAGGGTCCAGAACAGACAGAGTCATTCAGCATATTTGGCAAGAAAGACAAGAAGTCAAAGGCACCGAAGTCGAAGAAGGGTTCAATGAAGGGTAAGCCTCAGATGGACGGGACTGCCAGTCCGAGTGTTGGAAGCAGAAACACCAGTCGCGCTGTGAGTGGAGTCAGCACGCCTGTGCCTGAGGAGTTCGTGTACGACAAGGCTTCCGGAAACCATCTCGAGCAGAGCGGAACCGATTTCGCCCTCGACTCCTCAATGGAGGCCCAGAACAGTGCAGCCATCCCAAAGGAGTTTGTCAAGTCAAAGGAGAAAGGAGAGGGACGTCCACGAGGCAGCACCATTGGCAGTTTGATCTCTGGCTTCTTAAGACGAGACAGCGGGCAGAACCCGAAGCCCGTCGCCCAGGGAATCAAGGCTTCAGAGGTTGTGCCAGGAACCCATGATTCAGCCGTGATTGAGAATGAGCGCTCAGAGGCTGCAGCGCCAAAGGATGTTTCGTCAGCGCTAGAGCCAACTGCAAAGGCCCACAAGCAGGAAGAGAAATCTCCAATCGCGCCAGATGCTATGAGCGACGAGGACTTGGCGGCCGCTGATTCAGCCTCTTACCAAGACCAGGATGAGACGCGGCTTTCCCAGCAAGAAGCGCTCGGGCCAGCTGGTTTAGGCATCCTTACAGATGCAGACGCACTGAACGGAGACAAGTCCAGGAAGAAAAAGAGGAGTGTCAGGAAGAAGTCAAAGAGGTCTTCGGCCGACGTCACTGACATTTCTTGCGCAGTGCATGATGCACACGTCGATCGACCTGTCGGTACCCTTGAGGGCGACCGTGAAGCCGCTTCTAAATCGCCCGAGAAGCCAGCAAGCTCTGAGACTGACAACTCTGATGATCGCGCCACTGACGGGGTCCTACCGCGTAGGATTGAATCCCCCCGGACTGCCACTGGCAGCAAGGGGTTCAACTCGACTAACGACTCGGAGCAGGCTGTGTCGGGTTTTGACCATATCGAAGGCGCGGCGTCCGAAGCGACGGACTCGCCGACCGAAACCCCATCTCTGCTGCTTGTCCCCTACATTCACATCAGCCAGCAGCAAAGCCTTCGTCTCAACATTGAAAACGCCCTTGATCACTTGGTGAAGCCCACGAAGGTACTGGAGGATGGAAAGCAAAACGACATCAACGACAGGACGGTTCTCGAAGAACGAGCCAGTCCAGAGGTGGAGGAGCTGAGGAAGAAGGCGGAGGATCTGCATCGTCAAGAGAAGGCGAGGAGGGAAGCAGTAGCTGCTGCTGCTGCTGCGAAAGAGTCGAAGAAGTAGTGATACTACGGCGTGAGGCGTAAGCAGGAGTTAGACTAGCGGCTTCGTTCTCAGGGCATGATATTCAGCAACGATGACACAGGTTGGGCTGTAGATGAGTAATTTCAAATGCTAAAGCGCTACCGGTACTTGGTAGCAATTGCATCTCACGTGATTTACGGAAGGCTTGTGCAGCCGATCTGACAATTGATACAATGGGATAGCTATAGGACGTGTGAGTGGCTTTGTAATTCCGAGCTACATTAGGCAGCATTAGGCACAACAGAAGCTGTCCCTCACAGCATTCCACGTGAGGGTGAAAATGATCGCCTGGATCTCGTCATTGAAGAAACGCGCTCCATTTGTCATGAGATGAAGCGCGAACTCTTGAGACAGCCATGGCCCAGCAAGAAAAGCCACCTTCCAACGCCGATTTATTGCATTTCCACCGCCGCTGCCGCCATCATTGTGCTCGTCCTTGCTGCTCCCATTCGATCGTCCCCCTTGCTGCCTTCGCCGTTCGTTCGTTGTTTACGAGGTTGGGTTGGGGTTCATCTTCCGCTTGCCGCCGGTCATGGTGACGTTGACGAAACGGCGGGTGTATGTGATTCTCTTCTTCGCGCGGCCCTTGGGGGTCTTCTTCTTCTCTTGTGGCTCGACCTGTCATCCGAATCCGCATCAGTATTGCGACTCTTCTCCCCCTCACACCTCACACTCTCTTTCTCTCGTTCCATCATCTTCACGTACCTTGGGAGTCTGCGACTTGACCTTTCCGGCACGGGCGAGAGATCCGTGCACCTTACCCATGTTGGCGGTGGTGTAGCTTGTGTGTGTGTGTGACTTGCAAGCTGTTCTGCAGAGTGGCGAAGGGAGTGTCAGCTGTTTGTGCCTCTGCGCGCTTCGAAGGAAGGTCGAGGGGGGGAATCTGAGGTGCTGAAGAGGGCGTATGGTGCGAGATGAGCAGATTCTGGGGTGACTCACGGTGTCGCTGATGGGTTAGTCGTGGGTTGCGCGGTGTCGCTTTGATGAGGTGCAGTCGGTGATGAGTATTTCGATCGAGCGGAGCAAGTGCGAGCCGCTCTCTGCCAAGCCGGTGTGTCGGTTAAGCGGGAGCGGCCGCTGATAAGATCATCTGATAGTTGGGGTCACTATCAAACATCTCATCATCATATGCCTTCACTCAGATTCCCTGTCTCTCGCCCGGTTCCTCCTTCCTCGCGTTCCACAAATTCTACAGGATGAAGGCGAATCTATTGCTCTCTGCGCTGGTCAGCGGTGCAGCGGCCAAGAGCATAGCGCCTCCAGGACCGCCTGTCCAGCACATCTTCTCAAACCCGCCAGAAGAGCATGGCGAATGGTACAAGCTACCGACCGTCAGAGAGTCCGCAGCAATGGCTCGAAAGATCCTACACTTGACCACACTCGGCACACTCGTGACAAGATTTCCTGGGCCGTCATCCGCGGGCGAAGTCGATTTGCAAGATAGTCGTCCGGCAAACGTCGCCGGTGATGGCGTTGGTCTGATGGAGTACTACGCAGACTGCGATCCTCACACCGGCAACCCCATCATGCTCGCGATAGACATTGCCACGCCGTTCAGGAATTACAAGCAAGGCTCGAACATCAGCCTTAGCGTAAGATGGTGGCCGGAACGCAAGAAGACATACTCCTCCCTCTTCTGGTCTCCGTCAGACGAGGAAGAGGGAATCCCAACACCACACACGCCTGCTGCGCTGCCTCGATTCTCTCTGCATGGACACCTCGTCGATGTATCCCCCAATCGATCGGATTACGACCGGATACAGAAGTGTTTCCTGCGATCGCATCCAGACTCCATCTACTGGCAGCCGGGCAACGAGGTCTCGCATGCAAGCCACTACGTACAGCTGGTTGTCGAGCATGTCTTCTGGTTTGGCGGCTTTGGAGATCGCGCGAGAATTCAGTGGTTACCGGTCGAAGAGTGGAGGAATGTCAGTATGAAGGAAGCTTTCGAGGCAAGGCTACCCGGCGAGCACAAGAAGAAGAAGACAAGCTGTACATCGGACAAGAGCTGGTGGAGAAATTGGTTATGAGCAAGCTCCAGTGCTTGACTCGTCTCAGAATGAAGAGGGCGTAAAATCATCACAATCAGTGTCAGGCTTTTTGAGAGCGCGGTCAGATCGTCAGCGTGTTTGTGAGCATGGTTAGTGGACGAATAATGCGACATGATGCAGCATGACATATGTGCTACCTACAGATATCGAAGCTTCAGCCACAGTCGTACTTACGGACATACATTGCGTATACGGGCGAGTACCTTTTGGCCCACATAGCAACGACCTCGTATCACGGAAGGAACCTCTCTTTCACCGCTTGAGGTTCGACGACAAGACGCTCCGGGGGACTATTGCCATTTCAGCGCGCTGAGATTAAAACTCTTTAGAGCCGCCTTTCCGATCTTAAGCTATGCCCGTCTTGCCCGTACGCTTTGCCAAGCGAAATTGGTGGAAAATAGACTCGCGTCCTGCGACACTTGGCAGAAGTATAGATCTCGCGCAGCGATCGGGAGAACGTCGTGAGGGATGGGAAAATCCCTGTTTGTGTCATCGGGTAGGCTGACCACTGACTTATGTACCGCTCTCGTTTCATCCGGCAACTTCACGTGGTTGGGTAGAAGCAGCAACCGTCGCTCGCGCAGCCAAGCCAAGATACGTATCATACGAAGTGCTCCGACTTGCTCTGGATATCCAACGCACAGTGTGTGTGTGTGTGTGTGTGCTGATCTGTTCTCGAGACACGCAATGCAATGCAATGCAATGCAATGCAATGCAATGCCATGCCAGAAGAATGCGAAGCGGAGACGCGTCAAAAGTGCTGCCGGAGAACGCGCGTATGTGTGTGGCAGGCTTCAATGATTTCGTGGATTGGGTTGGGTTGGAAATGAGACGGGAAGTAATCATCAACGCTAGTTATTAGGTAGTGCCTTGGTGGAATGGAATGGAATGTCAGAGGGTCCCCTCATAATAATAAGGTACTGACTGACAGTGTCTGTCATCGTCGTCCGCGGCATCCTGGCGGAAGACACAAGAGAGAGGGACTGCAAGCCGGGCAGTACTATGTAGTTGCGAATCCCGTTGCAGCATCAGTAAGGTAGGTTGACGCGGCCTCCCAGCAGAGCAGGGCAAGAATACAATGCATGTGGTGGCATAGCAGCTAGCTCGCCGGGCTAGACCTCAACATGGCGCACGCAAGCCAGGTTACGGCTCACGCAAGCGGCTTGCAGCGGGTATACATGTCTAGCGGCAATGCATACGTGCTCGCGCCACAGAGCGAGATCTCGACTACGGCTGCGGCTGCGGCACAATGTGCGCATGTAATGTCTAATATCGATCGACCGGGGTCCTTGATTTTTATCGTGTGAGATCATGGCCACGCCTATGCTGCTGTATGGGCGGGATGCCGTGGTGATCATTGAAGCAAGCCTGACTATACTGGACTAGAGACACCGTCCACCCACATAGTCTTTCGTGATCCTCATCCCGCTCCATGCCGACACATGATCATCGGCCCACGGACGCACATTGTATCTCGCGGCCTCCTTCCGAACGCTTTCCCACATCCTCCTCCGTGCCACTGATTGCATGTGAAGTGAAGAAGACTTCTTGTCGTCGATATGATCGATTTGTGTGATTCGGATGACTCGCACTGTGCGATTCTTTTCGAAGCACACCTGATAAGCCCCGGAAGATGTTGCAAAGATTTCCGTGGGCCCTGGCTGTCTCATGCAAACATCCACAGCATTGTCCTGAGTGAACCACATTATCTGATGACTCGATGTTGTCTGTTCGAGCATGGCACGGCTGCGAAAGAGCCGCACCTATGAATGCCAAGCTGCTTTCGGCCGACCATGCAGACATCGGGTCATCATTCTCTTATTCAACTCCCCAGTGAATAATATGGGACGCACAGCACCATGCCAGCGATAGGCGCCGTTGAAAGGCGGCGCGGAATCTCGAGTTACTGCGCCTTTGGCCTTCGTTGTGGCCTTCGTTGGGAAGCAGAAGCAGTGACGAAGATGACGGGTAGTTCGCGTGCGCCATGTTCATGCCATTCACTTTGCAAAGACATCGTCAGGTGCCTGAAATTACACCCCCTCTGGTCAATCTCCAGTTTCATATTTCGACATCCCCTGAATCGCGCCAGCCGAGTAATCGTTATACACCGATGTGGGTGCCGACACAGGTATCGTCGGTTGTGAGTGTGACATTGCCGCAGAGACCGCAATGTCAGGGTAACTATATCCAGCCACATCAGCGCCGAGTGGGCTACCGAATGGCGAAGATCCACCGGAGTTTGGTGCGCTACTATGGCTTCCCTCGTAGATTTCTTCGGATCGAATGCTAGGGGGAACTGCGGTAATGGAGTAGCCGGGCGTGTTTGCCATCGTATCATGAACTTTTTGCATCAACAGTGGCAGATAGCGCTGATGGCCGCCGCGTAAGTTAGAAATCAGGGACATGAGTTGATTCAAGTAGTCGCGCGGTCCGAATTCGAATGTGTACTGTTCGCCCGGAATCACAGACATCACGTCTGTCAGTGTGCATGCAACGTCGAAAAGCTTTTCGATCAGTCCAATCCCATGCACTTCCATCGCCGCCTGAGAGAATTGTGACGCCGAGCGGACAAGATCCCTGGACAACTCGATTGGGAACCTGAAGCTCATTGCGTTGTCCGAGGCAGCGGAAGAGAGAAAGCCGTGACTGATCGAGAGCTGCCAGATCATTGTTCGCAGCCATGATTGTGAGCATCGAAGGTCGACGGCTTGGCTTTCGGTACACTGTAGATATTGTGGTAGTGCATCGGAAAGCTGTTGTTGTAGGCGGGCAAGCCACTCTGTGGTACATCCTACTCTCGCCTTGTTCCAAAGGCCAACAAAGGTGTCGTCGAAAGGCCTGAAGAGGTTGACAAGATGAATGAAGCCGTTCAATTCGGCCGTCTCGGCGGGATCGTCATCGAGTGTCGGAAGGTTGATGGTCGCGTGAAGCGTCAGCGGCTTGTGTTGCTGCAGGGCGTATGCGCGTTCTGTAACGAAGAGCAACCAGTAAAGGCGTCGTCTCCTCGAGCTCTCAACGATGTCAGTCGTCTGATAGTTTGCCTCATCGTGCATGCCCATGATCTGCGCGAGCGTTGTAGCCTCTCGGAGATGGTACCAGGCGGTGTTGTGTCGGTCGAGGCAGAAGTAGCTGCCGAAAAGGAAGAAGGATGTGATGACGGACCAGACGGAAGGATTATCGACGTAGTTATATGCTCGCCGCACTCGCAATGCTTCCTGCAGTAGGAGATGGCCATGCTGGAGGCTCGATTGCGGTGGAGTCTCGAGGCCTTCGAAAGCGTCTGGCGAGATGACCATGTTCGGCTGGATCATCATATACGCGCATAGAGAGACGGTCAGGCAGTAGGCTTCGATACTCGTCTCCATCTGACCGATGGTCTCGCCCACTTTCTGACGGTGAAGGATGGGCTGGGTAGGATAGAGATGTGCGAAGAAGTAATCGACGCAGGCGGTGATCATATCCATTGAAAGCAGGCCAGCCTTCTTCAGATGGGCGGGTGAATGAGGAGGGCTGTCAAACTCCAAGACGTGGCGCTGTTTGGCGAGTTGGGCATGCCGTTGGGTCTCTCTGAGCTCCGAGATGACTTTGGCCCGGCTGCCTTTGGGGCCTTTCTTCTGTGGGATGGCATTGTAGGTGCAGGTAAGGCCAGCGGAAGTACAATTCTTGCAGGGGCGGGTGCCGTCTCCGATGCACTTGACCTTTCGACGGTGGCATGCGTCGCAAGCTCGCTTCACCGGGGCCGTGGGGGTGGTAGCGGGCGCGGAGGAAGAGGACTCGGGCATGTTGGTGAGATGACTGGGGCTGCGAGAGGGAAAGGTGACCTCCACAGGGCCTTGGAGGGCGGAGAGCAACATCTAGGAGTAAGACATAACACCAGAGACGGGACGATACTGGCGATTCGAGCAGCAGTTGAAGAGGTGAGGTCGTTCCCAGCGCTGACCAGGAGGGGTGTCGTGCCGCTGCAGGGCTAGGAAGAAGGATCGATCCAATGGGAAGGAGGGAGGGCGACGGCGACGGCGACGGGGACGGGGACGGGGACGGCGATGGCGATGGCGAGGTAGAGGGTGAGGCGCCGGAGCATGAGCGTGAGCGTGAGCATGAGCATGAGCATGAGCATGAGGGTGATGAGCATGCGGATGATGAGGGAGAAAAGAGGCTGCGGTGCGGGAGGAGCGAGTTAGTGCGGTGGTGAGTAAGGTGGCTCTAGTGTAGCTTAGGTGAAGACAGGACAGAACTTGACAGGGCAGGGGCGGACGGGCGGGGCGGGGCGGGTATGGCTTGCGCAGACGGAAGGGAAGGGAAGGGAAGGGAAGGGAAGGTACAGTAGTAGTACAGTAGTAAGGTAAGGTAGTGAAGGTGGGTAGGTAACCTGGGAGGAATCGCATGGTTGCAGGTTGCCGGTTGTTGCAGGCGAAGACCCCAACCGCACCCAGCAGCCCCACCACCATCACCACCACCAACCACACATCATACACCACACATTCACCACCCACCGCCCGCCACACACCACGCAGCGCCTTCATCCCCATAAGGTACTGTATCAGCAGTACTCCGAGCGACTTCGGTTCCAGCGCTTCGCCAATGCCTCCGTACGAGCAATGAGGAACGTCAGGCGCCATGGCGACGTCCAGTATCGCGGTACGTGTCCCTAGCGTGCACTGGCGCCGCAAAGACTTAGCACCCGACTCCGGCTACAACCCGCCGGCCGGCTCAAGAAGTCGCGTGCTCGCCGGTAGGGCTCGAGTCCGTCTTGGTGGTTGGTTGAGTTTGGTGTCTCTCCCAGCGCAATGCGTGCATGCTTGCTTCGCTCCATGAGTAGTAGTATCCTTTGAATTTTCGTTAGCAGTGGTACTTTCCCCCACCTACAGGGTATACATTGGTCAGCTGGTATCGGTGCACCCACCCCTGTAGGCTTCCCGCAGCAACGTGATTGGCCAATCACCTATACACAGTATAAGCACTTCTGTCCCGTGCCGCTGGTGGATCCGGTTGTGCGTTGAAGATTGACGAGCCACGCTACGGTAAGGCTGCAGGAAGACGTGCAGAAGCGTGGCGAGCGCACGTATTCTTGTTCTTTCGGTCCGATCACCATTCCATGCTGGTGCGTCTCCAGTCTCCGCTGCCAATCCACGCCGCTCTCGCTGCGTGCGTCTTGTCGTCGGCCATCTCACTTCGGATGCGATCCGGCGCCAAGGCAGCAGCAAGGCAGACCGCCGGGGAGTGAAGGTGTTTGACGAGCTAGTCCCCTGATTCAGTCAGTCTGAAGGCTCCAGGTCACGCTTCGAGCTGCCATCGTTACAGCCACTCTTCCGTCCGACGAACAGCCCGGAGCCTCTGGGGTCTTGGAGATGGCGCCTTGGTTTGCTTGCGAAGACAGTGGGTTCGGTGCGAAAGCCAGCACGGAGCCCGAAGATGTCGCGCCCTCGGTGGGCCGTGTCGCCGCGACAGCCTAGTAGGAGGCAAGGTACGGTGGTTTCTGGGCTGCGAAAGAATGGGTGTGGAATCCCGTCTTTGTTTGAGACAGAAGGCGGACGCGCTTGAAGATATATGTCTCGATGCCAGCGACCGTGCAACAGGCCCGCTAGGGCGCCGTGAAATATACCGAGAGCGACCGCGGTCCTCCTGCGGTCACCTCCATTTGTGGCGGCAACCTTGGTTTGTGTTGCCACATGGCGGTGGCAGATCTGCGGCGTGCTCTCGACGCATTCAAGCTCGCTGTATCTTCATGGCAATGCTGTGCATGTCGTGATTATTACTTGTTCGGAAGTTATGCGTGAGGGAGAGTGCTTGTCTGCAACGAAGGAGCTGGATAGTAGTTAAGAGGAAGTAAGGTAATTTGGAGGCCGGAACCTCCCACACTCGGCAATGGCAGATGTAAAGGAGGAAAGGTACACGTAGTAAGGTAGGTGCCTTACTGTATGCACGCATGTGGAGGAGTTGCCAACCGAGGTGCACGGCTACATGTACCTGACCGGACCTCCCACTTCTTGCTCCGTATGCCGATACCGTACAACACCGCAACTCAACGCAACGCAACGCAATCCGACCTCGCGCCAGAGCGCCTCGCTGACCCGGCCGGCCTCCCGAGTCGGGGTATCCATGAGCGGCCGTTAGAATTACATGAAATGCTAGCTGTCTTCCATACCCGCTGCTGCCCTGCAACGCCCCGTAATAAGGTACTCATCATGGAGGCGCAATCACGGTTCCGCCTTCGACCAGCGTAATCTCGTCAACTTTCTCCTTCGTCTCCGCGCCGCAGCATTCCACGCGCTTCCAAGTCACCAAACGCCCAGCGTTCGTGTCCATCTCCCACACCCTGACCCGCCGGTGGAAGCCACCATAGCCTCCGTAGCCCCCAAACCCGGATCCACCCGCGTAGCACATCCAAGGGCCCAGATGATCCTTTTTATCCGTTGCTGCGGGATGCTGGTTGGTGTTGGCTTCAGCCTTATCGTCCCGTGTCGTCGCCTTGTGGGGCCGCAATGCACAATAATCATTCACGTGGTCGTGCCCACATCCCACTGCCACCACGCCCTCCTCTGCGAGCGCATCATAAAAGTGGCTGTTGAATCCTGGAGCCGTCACGGGCTCAGCCCAGCGCCCAGCTGTCCACTTGTTGCTGCGATCGCCAAATTCCGGAAGAGGTATGTGGATAAAGGCCATGTCCATGTGGATATGGCTATACTTTCCATGGTTCTTCTTCAGTCCCTGCGCCGTTCTCTGAAACCAGTTAATCTGGTCCTGCTTCAGCCAATCGTAACCTCTGTAATGCTTCTCATCGGGAGTGAGTGAGTGCGTGTCCAGAAGATATACTGTGAGCGCGGAATGCTGCGAGCCAGGCGCGAGTACCTCGACATAGTAATTGCCCACGCCTGCCAGCTCTTCAGGACCTCGCCGCGCCAGGCTGAACGGAAGATTCTCCATGAGTACCATTTGCACTGCCCTTGGTAGGGAATGGATTCCTTCGTTATCATGATTGCCGAAGATAGCGGCGTACGGAATGGAGCGTTCTATGAGGGGAGCGGCGATCTTGAATATCGCGCTTTGCGTGTCTGGAGCCATTGGACCTTCTACCTGATCGCCGGAGAGGACCACAAGATCAGGCTTTTCATCGTCCAGTATGCTCTCGACAAACTCCAGAGTCCGTGGATCCGCTTCACAATGCGCGCTTGCTTCGTTTCCAGGGCCGATCGCATCCCTACACGCCCCCACGCCAGTCGACAGGTGCGCATCAGATATTTGTAGGATCTTGAACTTGCCATCTTTCCTCACGCGAGGAGTCGGAGGACTGGTGTCCGTCTTGGGCCGCCCGTGTCGCACACTGAGCCGCGGTGACCGCATTGCATCGCCGCCATCGACGAGGAGAGGCATCTGCTGCAATTGCCAGCCTAGCCGAGGGTCCACTGCATCCGATCCAAACAGTACGTCGATGGCTGTGACGGCCCTGTCCGAGTCGCTGTCATGGCGCTTGCTGCTCCTGCTGATGTATATCCCTCCCGGCCTGCTTTCCCATATCTCATTGTCATCTTCACGTTGCCCCTGCGACGGGTCCATTCGGCTGATTTTGACGCCCATAACGACTTTGTCCTTCGCTGTCAGCTGCTCCTCCTTCTTTCGCTGCACGTGCAAGTATGCGCTACTCAACCAGCCATTTCCCAGATACAGGTCTTTCTCCACCCTATTCCACACGTTAGGATCCAGTCGACACGACGACAGGGGGTTGACGGAGGAGCAGAATGCGATCGTGACATCGGTAATGACGGAGCCGGCATGGTGCGAAGGCAGTGCTTGATGGAGCGAGTTGGGCAGAACGCGGTAGCGCGAATCGGCAAGAAAGACCAGAATCAAAACAACGAAGACGAAGGCGCAGAATTGGGCACTGGCCCGGATCTAACCAGCGCCGTCAGTTTTCTCTCTTCCTGCATCGCCCTGGGGTTGGTCGCATGCTCACTATGCGTCGTGTCATGGCTGCTGGTCAGCTCTGGCCAGGGAGCTCCAGGGTGAGTATTGTCAAGGTGGTTGAGAGCGGGTGTCCGCCATTATTCTGCCGTCTGTGCAATGTTGTTAGCTAGGCCAATCGCTCCAGATCCAAGAGTCGAGGAGTGACAGGCGTGTCGTTGGAGGTCGTGCAAAGTGTGATGGCGGAAGTGTTGTAGGTGGTGCTGTAGCTGACCTGCAGTAGTAGAAGTTGGAGTGCCAGAAGCCTAGAACTAACTGGGGCCGTAGCGTAGCGCTAGCCCGCCCAGGGAGCTGCTGCTTTCACTTGCAGATCAGCAGGCCCCTTCGTTTTCACAGAAAGCTCACCTCCATCTTCCACCTCACTGTGGCTACGCGCCTTTCACTCCTTCCGCAAAGCACATGCGCCCGTCAACCTCGTGGATCGCCACGCCGCATGCGCTCCGAAGCTCGCTCCAGCGACGGCATGTATCTGACGGTCGCCTGTTCCAAGCCGGTGACTTGGTCCTGCTTCGGGAGAAACACAATCGCTCTACTCCGCCCATCTTGAGTCGACCACTGGAGCAGGGGAAACGAATCGAAGGCCACAGAGGCGTTATACTGCATGACGATGTCATTGGGAGAAGAGTTAGAGATGTCGTAAAGTCTCATACGCCGCGGTCGCAGAGAGATGGAACCGAGTATAGGCTACATAACGTTACGCTAGACGAATATGTGCGATTGACCAAGCGGCTTGTCACGCCTATCTACCCAGCCGATGCGAATTTGATTGTCAGCCTGCTGGATCTACATGCGGATGAGAGTATGTACGGTCCGGACGCAGACCAGCGACTTGAAATCTTAGAGGCTGGCACCGGGCATGGAGGTCTCACATTGCATTTGAGTCGTGCGATACATGCTGCGAACTCCTCGGCGCGCCTGAGCTCCAACGTGGGAGCCAGCGTTGGCATTGACGAGTTCAGATCACGACGTAGAGCAGTTGTCCATACTACTGATGTTTCACCACTGTTTTCCGCTCACGCTGAAACCGTGGTCAAGGGCTTTCGCCGCGGCTTCTACGCCATGAATGTCGATTTTCACGTCGGAGATGTCGGCGACACTCTAAAGAAGTTGTACACAGATCGCGACGACGGCACATATACGCCTTTCTTGTCACATGCCCTGCTGGACCTTCCGGCTGCTGAGGGACACTTGGCGAAAGTGGCCGAAGCCTTAAAGACAGACGGCACGTTGATCGTATTCAACCCATCAATCACGCAAATCATGAAATGCGTGACGAAAGTCAAAGACGAGGGAATCTTGCTGGATTTGGACAGAGTAGTGGAACTTGGCGTCAACGGAGGCAGTGGAGGTCGGGAATGGGACATACGATTCATTCGCCCCAAGTCACTGCAAAAGAGGGCCACGGCTCCGGACGATGTGCACAATATCTCAGAGACTTCTGCAGCGAGCGAGGACGAAGTCGAGAGCGTTGGCGGCTCCAGTACCTTGCATACGCCTGTGTCAGACGAAGACCAACACTGGTCTACGGTCTGTAGGCCCAAAGTAGGTGAGCGGATCACTGGTGGCGGTTTCTTGGGTGTCTGGAAAAAGCAGCGCGACATGAGATTTGGACTGCCTCTCCCCGAGGCTTCGATCTACACTTGAAGCTACCTCACCACCACTTTTCACAGAGCACTCTCTCGTCAGTCATGCCTTCCTGTTTTCGCAAAAACTCTACAAGCTCATCGGTCATTCTCGGTGGTCCGCAGACGTAGCAGGCAGTCTTATCCCGATGCTTGGCTCCAGACACGTTCTGCTGGTATCCATCGAGGGCGTTGAGAAGGTCTGAGCGATTGATGCGCCTGCCGTAGGTACGATTGGGCAATTTGCCATGCTCGATGACTCCATCATATCCGGTGCCAGTCAGGAACATACTAAGCGTCACGCTTGGGTCTGCCTCAGCCGCAATCAGGTCCTGGAGGCGCGGCAGGAACAGAATTTTGTGAGGATCTAAATCAGATGTTGCCTTCGAAGCGTATACGAAATGAACCTCTCGAGGTCGCGTTGATGTCCTTACTAGGTGTGAGAAAATAGAGACGAGTGGACTGTTGGTCATGTCAGCTTGAAGCAAAAACACCATCGCGACTGGCATCTGCGCACTTTATTCCAACGCCACCAGCGACGAGCACCAGACGCTCAATACTTTGAGGATCCAGATGGGGCGGTGGCCACGTAAAGCTCCCGCCGACTCTGACCGCGAGCTTCGATCCCAGGATTTCTTCTGTTGGACGCCAGAGCTACCCAAACAAGTGACCAGCATCAGCCAAGCGTTCAAGATACGTATCATGTAATTTTATTCCTTCCGCAGAACTTACCCAAGCCGCCGGCGGATTTGTACTCTTCTGTACCGCCAATTCCAAATAGGGTGGGGAATGCGCAGAAGGCCTGGCCTGATCAGGAGTCGAGGTGATGGTAAACCCGCCAGCCTGTCGCAGGCTCGGGATAAAGGTGTCCTGCAGTCGAAGATGGACTTTCAGTAGGCTGTGGTATGTGGCTTACATGTGTCATACTCACAAGCCATTGACCTGGGAGGAACTTTCACTGAGGTCAGTCAGCGTTCATGGTGTGTAGCAACACGAACGAGAGGCGAATACCTTGATGGTATGGTTCGGATCCAGCGCGTTCAGACGAAGCAATCGAACAGTATCGTTGACCTCCCGTACGTTGGCTAACACTACCGGTTCTACGTCGTCCTCACGGGGCTCTGCCTTTGCACGTCTATCAGTCTATGAAACGGAGGGAAAGAGGCGGAAGTACGCACTGCAGTCCTCTCCACGTGTGGCAATGAAGAGCGGATGGTCGCCATCTGACGGCAGCGAGCTGGGGATTGGTAGACCACTCGCGAGCATTTGCGAAAGACGTTGCTTACGAACATTGTCGATCCATGTTGTGTCCAGCATCGGCTCTATCTGTTGACAAGATGCTGACGTCTTGACCTGGAAATCCGATACCGAGATGATAAAGTGTCATCTTGGACGGATCATTGTTAATCCGCTCTGCTGCATCACGAACCGAAAACTGAAGCCGATGACAACAATATGGCCTCAGATGCTTTGCAAGCGGCGTCGAGGTATCTCATCTTGTGCCTGCGACGTGTCATACTCTCGCCTTACCCTCTCTCCTGCTCGCATGTCTTCAGCATGTCCGTCGCCTGTGCTCATGCTAAGAGACAGTGAAATCCATCAGCGTGCCTCCTCTGAGTCCAGCATTGTGTCTACGCCAACGAGTGGCTAGGCCGTGCACGCTGAAGGGAAGAATAATGAAATCAGCACTTCAATGGATGAGAGCTCCTCCGGCCTCCTACAACCACAATGTGCCGAGAGAACAGAAGCGCTGCTCGCCGTTGCGGAGCAATCGCTAGGTGACAGTAGCATTCAGAATGAGCTACAAAACCTTTTGGTCACCTCTAAGAAGCATCTTGCCGAGGAGACTCAAAGTGAGCGCGTGAAAAGGCGCGAAACAGCTGAGACTGACGTGGAGCCACAAAGTCCAGGACCAACGAAAGGGAAGAAGTCGAGCACCTTGCGTGCGAGAAGCACAATCCATACGCCGATTCGAAAGCCCATGATGCTCAGAGCGAAGTTCCCGAGCCTTGAAAATCGATATTCTAAAGAAGCAAGATTGGCCCACGACGACACAGCGCCGAACAGAGTCCGTTTGCGAGGCGAATGTCCATTCCAAAGAAGATCTCGCGACATACCGGAGCTGAGGCTGTACGGCTTCAAGTCTTGCAGACCCAGGGAGAGATTCTGGGAGCTGAACATCCTATGGTGCTTGAAGGTCGGCATGCACTTTCTCTGAGCCGCGTCAAGAACCATGGCAACTGCCCGCCAAGTTTACTATCAGCTGTATCTCAGGCGACTGCGATAGCAAGACAGACGCTGGAAGCAGTTCACCCTTTCGTTGAGACGTTCTCTGCTGATCTGAAACCCCTGAATCGCTGGGGGTCGGCAGTCCCGGTAATGAGGTAGTTACACCCGCTACCACAAGTCCTCGACTCAATACAGAGAACGTTGCACGAGAAGCTTTGAGGGCGACTTCGGCAGACGGGCAAGAGGAAAACTGGGACTTGCTTCGTGGCAGATCAAGCTTACAGGAAAGCCAGTCTGCCTGTCTACCTGCTGAAAGGTCGCCTCCAAGAGTTGATACTAACCTCTATTTCGTTGAGGCAATGGTCAGCCGACCTACCATTGACGCGGGCACACGGAGCCTGTGTGTTCTGGGCAGCATAGTCCAAGCCACACCAAATCATCGTAGGCAACTAAAACCACCAATCTAATCTTCCTTCAACTTTCTCCTCTCTGTACCTTCTGCGACCAACTTGGCAACATCGTCAGCGTTGGTTCCCCGTTTCCGGCCCTCGGTGACTTCATTTCCCAGTTCTGTCCCATTCGCCACCAGGTCATAAATTCTCGCAAAATCACGGAATGGCGATTCATCTTTCGAGAAACCTCCATCGGCCTCGAACGTCTCCGCGATATATTCCATCTCGTTGACCCAGCGGTAAGCTTTAGGGGGCATAGCGGTCAGGCTCTTCTCCGCTCGCGCCCTGTTTCCTGGTGCATGTTCGTCCATTTCTGCTCTCAGGTGGCCAAGCACTCCGAGATTGTGTGCTGTCGTGAATGACGAGATTGCTATTGCCGTAAACCCTTTGCTCATGCTGGCGAAACACATTTTCAATCCGGATGCTGAGCCGATGTCATCGTTGACGTGCTTGATGTTGAGTGTTTCAGCGAGCTTGCCGCCATGAGGCTGCGCTTCTGAAAGACGATGAGGGCCAGAGGTTGGGATGCTAGGTCGATACCAGTTGCCGTCGTCTTTCTTCTTGGGTGGTCCTCCGATGATACCGCCGTCAATGAAGCGGACATTGGAAGACCTTTGAGAGAGAATGTCGTCGATTTCGCGAGCCGCTCGAGGGCTGATGGCATTCAGGTCTAGAAAGTACAGTGGGTTTGCGCGAGCCTTGGAGCCTATGCTTGATGCAGCAGTTGCAATGCGCTGGGCGGTTGCGATCGCGTCTCGGGGGGGCACGATTGAGAGGATATAATCGGCATTGTTGCATAGCTCAACATCCGTCGACACCAGATCGACGTCGTTTTTCTTGGCCCGATCCTGCGTCGCTTGACTTCACGGTCGGTTCAACAGCTGAATACCGATGACGCGGCTCGAGGGGAAGACGTACCCCCGGTCCGAAGCGTTAGAGATGACTCTAAAATTGTTGTTGAGGAGCAACCGAGCAACCCCAAGGCCCATCTAGGTTCGTTAGCAGAGCTGTACGTCCTACCTCGGAAGAAGCAAACTTACGTCTCCGATAGAAAGGATGCCCAGAGTTGCGAGTGCCATGTTCAAGTGCTTTGAGATGGTTGATGGTTTGGGAGAGACAGATCCAAACATTCTCAGCTTGAGATGAAGTGATGTTTCAGCCGATGTCCTTATCCTTGCCCCACCTTGAGGCCAATGCAAGACAACGACAAAGCTTGCGTGGGAGTTCGCGCAGGAGCACACGAATCTCGCGTAAATTCAACTATGTATGCGAGCGCAATGGGAAGTCTCTGGTTCGTGTGGGAGGTTATTCACCGCCTTGACCATCCGCCGACACCGAGTATGCCTCCGTCCTCGGCTCTAGGATCCATCGACCACTTTCGAATTGGTTCAACCTCCAAGGAACATGTGTAGCCTGCGTGCCACATCTCCAAGGCAGCCCAGGCAATCATGAGCGCATTATCTGTGCACAGCGAGGGAGGCGGACAAGCAATGCGTATTTGACCATATTTCCTTGCGTCCAGCATTGCTCGCATAACATGTCGAAAGTACGAATTTGACGCCACACCGCCGGAAACAACTATAGTACTCACTGCTGATGCATCGAGTGTTGCAAGGTGAAGCAGGATGCGAGAAACCACATGCTCGAAGGTGACTCGCTGGACCTCTCGCGCCATCTCGCGCCGTTCTTCCAAGGTCACTTCCTCTGCTGAACGGATCTCGCTCGCCAGACGCCCGTCTGGGCTGATCTTGTGCTTCATGAAGCGCTCTACCGAAGAAAGTACACCGGCGAAGGTGTAGACCATTCTCTTGGAAGTCTTGTCGCCACCTTTGCTGTCTGCGAGCGGTGGCGCAAGACCCCAATTCCATCTAGTCTTACGTCTGAGCAGTTCTTCCTGCCGACGGGTGGGTGCCACGTAATCGTAATCTAGAGCACCACTTGGAAATGCGAAGTCTTCCAGGGATTTGCCATACGGAGGCTTGAGTGCTTCGCGGGGCAGGACTGCCCTCGCGGCCTTATCCAGACAATCACCCAACGCCGTATCCTGCGTTTCTGCGAGGACAGTGTGCTCGGTGAGACTTGTCGAATTTATCAGCATCGTATGTCCTCCGCTCGCAAGCACGGTCAAGAATGGAAAATTGGGCTCCAGAGTGTCTTGGCCATTGTTTGCTTGCATCGCTGCCATGAGGCGCGGTGTCAGAGCATGCGCTTGCATATGATGAATACCGAGGAATGGAACATTGAGTCCCAAAGCCAGTCCTTTGGCGGTATCCAAGCCCACGGCAAGATTACTGCGCATGCCTGGGCCTCTAGTGGCAGCGATCACGTCAGGCCTGGGAGAGACAGCAAGTGCTTTGTGGACGAGCGGAGCCAAGTTGACTTGGTGGGAGTGAAGAGCGACCAGAGGATGAATGCCGCTATACGCATCGTTGTTGGCGGTGACTTTCTCGTGGAAGTGCACTTTCAGCGGACCGATAGATGGAAGCTCGGCCACGGCTACGCTTGTGTCGTCGCACGATGTTTCGATAGCCAGCGTAACCAGATGTCTTCTGTCCGTGGAGCAGCCTGGACGCTGCCACCCGCATGTCTTTACATACTGGCGACGAGGACTCGCCACGCTCCCTCGCAGGAGACGTGGTAGCATATGTCGGCGGGTCGTAGTGTGTAATGGGAGCACAGGAAAGGATGGACGGCAAGAGGACCGAAGCTGTAAGGTATGCAATAATGACCGACGGGAGGGGAGATCATTCATTCCATCGGCACGGACCTGGGCCGCGCTAGTAGAGGGGGGATGACGCTACACACCTGCACAACACTTTCCATTGTTTGGGGCGGTACACCACACACGCTTCTCCTGCTGTTGATCACGCACCTCGCCTGCGCCTGCTCTGACTCTTCCGGACGGACTTTTGACCTCGTGCGATGAGATAACCATTTTCGCGGCCTGTGCAAGGCTGCCAACAGCTGCAACACGCATGGCTGACACCAGAAAGGCCACCGACGGCCCCTCTGTCACCACTGCGTCGGCCTATGATTACACGCAACTGCCAGATTGGGACGATGACTTCTACGACGAGGACGGCATACTCGCCTTCGCGGAGGCTCTTACAGCTCCGGAGAATGTCACCGTCTCGCCTTCCGAGGAAGACCTCCTCAACCCGGCCTCAAAGCAGCCTCACGCCGAACGAATAACTGCCCTGAACGACTGGAGGCCCGTCAGACAACGCCGGATACCTAAGGTGGGTCCAGCCTCGAGTAGTAAAAGGAGCAAGACAAAGAAAACGTCACGCCGAGGCAGAGACGAGACGAGAGAAGGCTGGACCTATTCAGTCGTGAAGTATCCATTGTTATTCTTCGTCTGCGGCTGGATAGTGTTCCTGGGCATCTGCTATCTCTTGACGAGGTTCTACATCTATCTCTATGAGCAGTACGTTACATGGAGAGGCACAAGAGACAGGCTGCGGAAGAATTTGCGCATCCAGGATAGCTATGAGGACTGGGTCAAAGCAGCTAAGAGTCTAGACCAACATCTGGGCAACGATAAGTGGAAGATCGACGATGAGGGCTCATATTACGACTGGAAAACCTTGCGAACAATTGTGCGGCAGCTGAGAAGGTTACGTGCAGAAGCGGAAGAGGATGAGAAGGATCCCGGCCGCCGGAACGGTCGTGACGGCAACCGCTCAATAGACGACCTACGAGCGACACTCGAGACTTGCGTCAAAAACAATTTTGCTGGCATCGAGAACCCTCGGCTCTATTGCGAGACTTACTATGGCACGAAAAACTTACTCCAGACGTACGTTGACGAGACTACTGAATCGTTGAAGTTCTTGTTCTCAAGTGCTCAACTCACTCAGACGGATAAACGTACTTTATCAAAGCACCTCTCAGCCAATTTTGGACGGACAGCGTTGTGTCTCAGTGGCGGCGCCACTTTTGCTTACTACCACATAGGCATCGTCAAGGCCCTTTTGGACGCTGGTTTGATCCCCAACATAATCACAGGAACTTCCGGAGGAGCTCTCGTGGCCGCTTTGCTTGCGACCAGAACCGACGAGGAGCTGAAGAAACTCCTCGTGCCCGCCCTGGCATATCGCATAACCGCCTGTCATGATCCCTTTCGCGTGTGGTTCTGGCGCTGGTGGAAGTACGGGGCACGTTTTGACTCTGTGGACTGGGCGAAACGCTGCGCGTGGTTTTGTCGTGGCAGCTTAACTTTCCGCGAAGCCTACGAACGCACAGGTCGCATCCTGAATGTTTCCTGCGTGCCTTCCGATCCACATTCGCCAACGATCCTCGCCAACTATCTCACTGCGCCTGACTGTGTAATCTGGTCGGCAGTGCTCGCATCGGCTGCCGTTCCTGGCATTCTCAATCCCGTGGTGCTGATGCGGAAAACAAGCAGCGGTAAACTCCAGCCTTACAGCTTTGGACACAAGTGGAAGGATGGCTCATTGCGAACCGACATTCCCTTGAAAAGCCTCAACCTGCACTTCAATGTCAATTTCAGTATCGTCTCGCAAGTCAACCCGCACGTGTCATTGTGGTTCTTTTCTTCGAGAGGGACTGTGGGCAGACCCGTCACACACAGGCGAGGCCGAGGTTGGCGCGGTGGCTTCCTTGGTTCTGCTATCGAGCAGTTCATCAAGCTCGATTTAAACAAATGGCTGAAAGTTTTGCGTCATCTCGAGCTCCTTCCTCGGCCTCTGGGGCAGGATTGGAGTGAAGTGTTCCTACAACGTTTTTCTGGGACGGTGACCATTTGGCCGAAGACCAAGACTTCGGATTTCTGGCACATACTCTCCGATCCGTCCATGCAGAGACTAGCAGGAATGATCAGAGCTGGTCAATTGGCTGCGTGGCCCAAGCTCCGGTTCGTGAGCAACCGGCTGGCGATAGAGAAGGTCATCGAAGTCGCAAGAGAGGAGACTAGATCGCCGGAGCAACCACTGCCCACGCCAGTTCCTGAGGCGGGCCGCCGCTTAAGGAGCGTGCTAAGCGAGGAAGATCTCGAGGGGCTCCTGGAAAAAGCGCGCGGTAACAATGGCGTTGTCGAAGTACCTCCGCAACTCCTTTCGCCGGCCGTAGAGCGCGATCAGTACTTCAGCCGCCCTCTTCCACAACGACAAGACTCGCCATCGTTCACGAAGCGCATGTCGACCCTCTGGGGTTCGCTGCAGAATCCTACACCGCGGACGAGCTCGGAAAGCGTTCGGCCGTCGACCAAGGAATTGAACACGTCCACCACTGCCGAGCATAGCAGGCGAAGCAGCGTGATGGACGAATTGGTGCGGCAGAGTCGGGTCTTCTTCGACGACTTTGCGGACGAGGTAAGTAAGATGTTGAAAAATCGACAGTGTCCGAGAACGGTAGCCAAGCATTGTACAGGTGTATTGTCCACCTGCCCGTGCTGGAAAGTTCTGGGACGCTGTGGCAAAAAAAAAGCTTGTTGACATGCTTACTCTCGCCACAGTCCGAGGTCGCCAGTGACCTTGAAAACCATACGCATGGGGAGACGACGGACGAGGAAGAAGGTATGTCATCCGAGTGGTTCACCCAGAGCGACACAGAGGCATCTTTGCCCCATGGCCTGGTCGTGGCAATGTCTGCAATTTCCTAATCCCTTCCTAGGCGCTTCGGAGATGGATATGGTTTCCTAGGATGGAGATGACGCATCTGGACGATACCTCGAGCGACGAACGCGTCGCCGCGGAAGACCCGTAATCTGTGTCGACCTCAGCGAGGTGGTTGCTGGCGGAGACAACAACAATGGTGCGGCTTCTGGTGAGCGGTTGGTGGCGAATACCTCCGCGTCGGGTGAGGCCCGGCTGCAGCCTCAAGGTATGCGTAAAGCTCGGGAGGCTCTATGGAGGCGGAGGGCTAGCTTTGTGGAGCACGGATGATGAGACGGACGTCGTGCCGCGATTGAAGATGGGGACTGTCGAACCGAGTCTCTCCCCTGCTACTACTTCCAAATTCGAAGCGTTCAAGCGTTGTGGCTCATGAGGAGAAGCCCTACCAAACCCTATACGCGCGAAATGCAGTCATCCATTGCATGACGAGGGTTCTATTATCGATTTGCTCGCCAAGCATAGCCGCATCTGTCTGTCTCTTGGCCACGTGCAAATGTATTCTGATAGAGCAGGCAAAGACAGGCCCAAAAGCAGGTGTGCCCGTTGCGTGATACGCATGCGGGTACCTTTCTTAAGGCGCGGACCGATTCCCACAACAACCCATTGATGTCTCGTTCGACTCCTACAGACTACTGTAGTTCGGCATGCACAAGCCACAAGTTTCAGCAAGCAAAGTATCAAAGTTATCGCGGAGCAAGGCTTGTGGTGCGAGCCTGTCCGCGAATGGAAACCCATGGGTCTGTTACATGATCCTGACCAACGAGCGTGTAGGGCTGTTAGCACCAAGATCTCAGGCTTACGGGGCGAATCTTCGGTATTATTGCCTCTGCAGAGCATCTTGACTCGGATGCCTGAGAAGACCCTCTCACAGCCCGTATCCAGCAGGGCATCGGGAGACGGTATTGAATGCACAGATCGCTCTCGGTTGAGGCATCTTGGCGCCTAGCCGGCAGCTGAAAGCGGTGTCCGTACATTCGTAGGGTTCATTGCTCGGTGATGATCGCTGCAACTCTCCACAGTGATTGAAAGACTAATATGCGTCGCGGCTTTCACGCACGTTGCCACTGTCGTCAGGGAACAATCTGTTCCTCGGATGAAGCCAATAGTCAACTCACGTGCTAGAATTGCGGATGTTCAAGACTTGCAAGACTGGAGAGGCAGCATTCCTCGGCATCAAGCTGCCGGCAAGGGCCAAAGGGCTACGCGTTCCGCATGAAGACATTTGAGCATCACTTGCTGTGTCTCGTCAGCGAGTGCCAAGCCTACTCTCGCTGTACGTGATGAGCTTGATGATTCTCGGGTCCAGATGACTTTCGAATGCGTGTCAGCGTCGTCGGCATCGACGGGAGTGGTGGAAGTCCAGGCTTCGGTCGATTGCTGCTCACTATGTGATTGCCGGAGCAGATGCCGCTCAAGACAAGTTTCGACAGCGCAAGGATCCCAAGGCACAGGTCGCACGGTTGGATAGGAGACTGAAAGTAGGGCCTGGGTCAGGCGTGCCAGGGGACCTGCGACATGAGAATTGAGGCGAGAAGGGCTTGGTTTCGACTGAGGAGAGCCTTCCGTCAACGGAAGACGATGAGAGTTGGGTTGCAACAAGAGATGAGGCTGCTGCCACAGCGACAAGATGTTGGCGCCACTGAGTGGACATGTCCGTGATGTCCTCCAAGCAAGTGGTGATGCGGGTGCCGGGTCATGTCATTATCAGCGATGGGCAGCGATTACTGTATTTGCGAAGCAGCACCATCATGACAGCGCTCCGTGCTGTCGAGTCGAATGCGTGCTGTCAGAAAGCGGGTACAGCGTTTACGGGTATAGTTCGGCGTGCCGGCCAGCGCTGACGGAGGCGGAGGAGGATGCGGACGGGAAGCGAGGAATATGGCAAGCGCTATCGGCACTGCATACTTTGCCAATGCCGCTGCGGGTGCAATCACAAGGCATGAGGTGATGCTCATCCGGCCAGCGTGTGCGCGATGAGGCTGCCGGCAAGAAGGAGAGCTGTGCCGTGGTGGGGGTGGTGGTGGTGGTGGTGCGGCGGCTGGTGGAGTGGAGGGAGCAGTTGGAGAATTGCGCAACAGAAGCATGGGGGGGGGGGGGGGGGGGGGGGCGGGGGGG